TTGTTCCAGCTCGTCACGCTTCTTACACCCGAGCAGCTTCAGAAGGCGGGCGTCCGCGTTTATGCTCTCGACCAGCGAGCCGGCCAGCTCGTCCTCACGTTCCCTCAAGCTTACCACGCCGGTTTCAATCACGGTTTTAACTTTAACGAGGCTGTCAACTTTGCACCTTTCGATTGGGAGCCGTACGGTCTTGCCGGCGTAGAGCGATTACAGCAGTTCCGGAGACAGCCGTGCTTCTCTCACGACGAGCTATTATGGACGGCAGCAGAGGGCACGAGTTTAGGATTGACAATCCAGACTGCGAGGTGGCTCGCTCCAGCCCTCGAGAGGATTCACAAGCGAGAGCTCGACCAGCGAAAGGAATTCATCGCGAAGCACCAAGAAGATGGTCACGGTTCATGCGCGCTAACAGAAGAATCCGACGGGCATTGCTCTCTAGCTTTCGAGGTGTCTACCGAAGACGTTCCCGAGGAGGAGTACCAATGTGCTTACTGCAAGTGTTATGCTTACCTGTCAAGATTCAAGTGCCTCCAATCCGGTAAAGTCCTATGCATCCAGCACGCCGGGCAGCACGCCTGTTGCGATACCCCCGAACCCGAGCGCTACGCAGGTGACCATCACAAGCTATACTTTCGCAAGACCAACGAGGAACTCGACGAGACGTACCAAAAGGTGGCAGACAAGGCCAACATGCCGGAAGCGTGGGAGGAGAAGTACGAGAAGCTTCTCGACGAAGGAGGGAAGCCGGCGCTAAAAACGCTGCGAGCCCTTCTCAGTGAGGGTGAACGAATACCGTACGACCTCCCCTCCTTGCCAGCACTCCGGGAATTCGTTGACCGCTGTAACGAATGGGTCGAAGAGGCGACTAATTATACGGTGCGAAAACAGCAGAATCGCCGTAAAAATGACAAGGTCTGGCAGAGCGGATTACGAAAGTCCATCGGTAGTTCTTCCCAGGAGCAGAGAGAACGCGAGCTCCGTCGAGTCGAAAACATCTACCGCTTGATCGACGACGCGGAACACATTGGTTTCGACTGCCCCGAGATCCAGCAGTTGCAAGAACGCGCCAACGCCATCAGAAACTTCCAGAATAACGCCGACCAATTCTTGGAACGCGGTTGCGGACAAGAATCTATCGAGGAGCTAATAGAGGAGGGACGCGCCTTTAATGTTGACATGCCGGAGCTCGATAAGCTGTCCGAGATATTGGAGCAGACGAAGTGGAACGCCAAGGCCAAGTCCAACAGGGGAATGTTCTTGACGCTTAAAGACGTTAGGGAGCTGCTCGAAGAGGGTACCCGATTGGAAATCCCCCCGTATAATGATAATATGAGATACTTTGGCGAAAAGTACCAGGCGGGTACGCAATGGGAGACCAAAGCAAAAGAGCTCATCAACGCGGAGGTAGTCCATTATCCGCAGCTAGAAGCCCTCTCGAACCAGGTCCAAGTCAATACTCTCCCCGTGACGGCGGAGACTTTAGCGGCCGTCGATCAAATCCTGCATAAGCAGCGGGAAGCTCATCGCCAGATTATCGATCTCACGGAGCGGTCAAAGGAACCCGACTACAAGAAGAGACCCAAGTACGCAGAGGTGGTCGAAATCATGAAGAAGCTCGAAGACCTCAACTCGAAGCCGACCGGGACCCTCGATCTCGAAAAGGAGCAGAGACGTCACGAGGATTGGATGCGAAAGGGGAAGAAGCTTTTCGGCAAGACCAACGCGCCGCTGCATATTCTAAAGTCGCATATGGACTACGTGCTAGAACGCAATCTGGCATGCTTCGACATTCGAAACGATACCCCTCGGTTACCAGCCGAACCTGCTTCCAGAGCAGCCAGCGAGGAGAGAGGCGAGGGCAAGATCCAGCGGACCGTATGGGACGTCAACGACCCAGCTCTGATAGAAGTATTTTGCATCTGCCGCCGCATCGAGGCCGGCATGATGATCGAATGCGAATTATGTCACGAATGGTACCACGGAAAGTGTCTGAAGATCGCCCGAGGGAAGGTTAAGGAGGATGACAAGTACACCTGTCCCATCTGCGACTGGCGAGTGAAGATTCCTCGGGATGCCGCGCGACCTAAGCTCGAGGATCTTCTCGCCTGGCAGGAAGAGATACCCAACCTACCTTTCCAGCCCGAAGAAGAAGAGGTGCTGAAAAAGATAATCGACAACGCGCAGAAATTCCGAGACCACATAGCAGGCTTCTGCAATCCGCTCCTCACGACCGCAGCCGAAGTCGGCGACCAAAGATTTTACCTGCGAAAGATCGAAGGCGCCGAGATTCTCTTATCCTTCGAAACCAACTTCTTCCGACAGGAACTTCATAAATGGAACCCGGTAGCACCCGAGCCGCCTCCCGTGCTGGACGTTTCCAAGAGCACGCGTAAACCGCGACCTACAAAGCTGCAGAAGATGCTAGCGCAGTATGGCGTTGACGATCCCGACGACCTCCCAGAGAATATGAAAAGCAAGGCGAACAGCTTAAAGCGAAAGGCTATGAACGCCGAGGCTGCCGCTAAGGCCGCAGCATCGTCGGGCAATAACAACCTCGCCCCTCCAAACGCGACTAGTCCATCCTCTCACTCTTTTGCTTCCGGAGCCTACTTTTCTCGAAATTCGCAGCCGACCACTCCGGCCCACGCGCATCCGCAGCAGCGATCCAATTCGGTGTCGTCTAGCCGGCCGGGGTCGTCGCTTCGGCCTGACGGCATGGACGTGAACGGTACCGCAAGCTTACATCCAGACTTCTTCCTATCCGCCAGCAGCAATACCAGTCCTCAGCTGATCGCACCGGATTCGTCTCTAACGCTAGGACAGCACGGGCAAGATGAGGACTTCAACCTACAGACAAAGGAAGACATGGATAAGGCTATGGAATATCTACGCCGCACCGAGACCGGGCGTAAGCGGGCCGAACAGATGTTCGGGTCCGAAGTGTGGAGTAACAACCACGATCACCCATTTTCCAGCAGACAAAATATCGGCCAGGGTCAACCGGAAGATGATAAAGACGTAGACAAGATGTTCTTAGATCTTACTAACGCGGACGACGACGAGGACGCTAAGAAGGAGAGGCAACGCGAAAGGGAGCGATTGAGCGTCACGGCTGAGAGTTTCGAAGCGGAGCGAAACGCGTTGGACATGGAAGACTCGGACTGAACCTAACCGGACGATTGATGTATCCTTTTGATATCATGCTTTCGACCCTGGCACGTGAACCACAAAATTTCCCTACGGCGTATCGGAAAGCATTTCTTTGTGCTATATTCGTCATCAGCATACGAGGGGAGCCTGTGCGTTATCAGATATAGAGGCGTTGTTGCGGTTTGGGTCGCAAACGAAGATTCCTCTCTCCTCATGTACCATTAGAGGATATTAGGGGTTTGAAAAACCCGACTACACACACTATTGCATTAGATAGGCGTTGCGTTTTAGGTCTTGGTCCGGTATACCACAGGCACTCAGTTTCAAGGGAAAGGAGTCGGGAAGGAGGACCGATACCTTGCTTAGCTAGGCACAGCTATTTGTTTTAAAATTTCGCTTCTGCATGTGTTCGTTTCGTTTTGTGACCTGTTCTAGTCATACCTTGTAAGGTAGTATTAGTTACGTGGCCTAGTCGTGTTACTCTTAATAGATGTGAATAACGAGTTGAGTATTTGTGTAACGATGACTTGATTATGTGACTCCCATGCATGAATAACCCTGACTTTACACATTCCTGCCAAGGTGCTTCGTATTGTATATGATAGTAGTCCCTCGTCATGCCTCTTTTCATGCTTTTTTGTTGAGTTCGTACCCACTGGAGGTGACAGTTATAGCTCAAGTCAACAACTCTTGCTGACTCTACCCCATCTCAATAACTTCCTCACTAATTATACGGCTATAGTCATGTTGTAAAGGTGAGTTCTGTAGCCATTTCGAACTACCATCATGTCATATGGAGAGGTGAATGTGATACTATTAAATGTTGACTTGTAAACAATCCGAACCTTGACTGGTAAGCAGACAATATACGCTGTAAAACAGGTCAGTGATGTAGAACAAGATAGTCAGGATGCAATAGGATGTCTACTATATAAATTCAGACGCGGTCGTCGGTTCATCCTAAAAGAAACACACCAATTTCATCCACAATACTGTTCTTCATTCTGTATCTATAGTACGGGATTAAGATTTTGATCAAGTCTGAATATCAAGCCATAATCTACCATACGACGCCGATAAACAAAGCTATGGCAGACATAAACAATACCTGGGAGAATACAAACTTCATGTTCCTCCTTAGTGAGGACTATTCAGGTATAACCTCGGCCTGCGATAAACTCGGCGACTTGCTAGGGATCTGCGACGAGACGTGCGAGGAGGTTAAGGAGAAAGTCTTGGCAACTTTCACACCTATCAATATTCCTTCCCTCTGTGTTACCATCGGCTTCCCAAGCCAGGGCATAGCACACTACCTTGGAAGTAAACCAGGCGGCCAAAAGTTCCTCGCTCTTATTTGTACTCTAGTGACTGCGTTTGATCTGTCTGAATGCGCGCAGGTGCTAGTAAATCTGATGGGACGTCATCTCAAGTCTGGAGAGATACGATGTCCTTCAGCTGAGCAACTATATCCGCTAGTTAACACCATCGAAGCAAGATGTAACCTTTCCCATTTTGCCAGCCATATTGTAGACTACGAGATAATATTATCTCACAAGCTTCGTAAACGATACCACGGTGCCGCATTTTCAGGCCGCCTAGCCAAGACCCCTGACGCGAATACCGTGGCCAAGCTAGCCGAATTATTGATATTCCATCAAGCTGGAGGTCATAATGATGGCAAGCCGAAGGCAATAACAATTCAAGCAGGACGTTGCGTACCTTGGATCGTAGCTTTTATACGCTGGTGGTTGCGCAAAGAGCCCATGGTCTATATAGGGGAAGGCCAATCGCCACAATACGAAAAGCTCATACTCGGCGAGACTAATATTGGAATAAAGCTCATACTTCCAATGCAAAAAGATGCTCCGGAACCGATCAGAATCAGAGCCATCTACTCGGAATCACACTGGGAAGATTGGAATTTCCACCAAGGCCACGCGGAGCACTACAATGGTCTCGTCCCGATGCACACATACTTCCGCCTCATGCTAAACGCCCTCAAACTAGGCCAGGGTCAGGCGAACCAAGCAGCTGTAGAAGTCATCCCCTACGCGCTCTCTACAGCACGAAGAGGCCTAACGATGTGCTCCGAGGGATGCGTACCTCGTAGTCGTTGGGGATCGCCATGTGACACGACCACGGATATCGCCGGCGCAAAGTCTAAGCTCTGGGATAAATCGCAGGAAGAAGATAAAGAAGGAATCTTGGCTAACGAAGTGCTAAAGATCAGCTCGGGTCGCTTTGAGCCGTTCCCGGAACGCGCCGATATCAACAGCATCCTACAACTCGTCAGCGGCTGCGAGGGAAAGCACATGCAAGACCTACGAAGCAGGCAGATGGGATTACCACTCTGGGGACATAAGGAGGCGGCCGCATTCTTAGAACAGGCGAAGCACGAAGACGAGCGCAAAGATTGGCTAGCAGGCTTCCATTCGCAATTCCCCCTCGGCCAGCCCGGTCCCACGACCATCTTCGTCGAGCAGATAGCGCATATCGTCGCGACTATCCTAGCACTATCATTATTCCGGAACTCCGAGGGGCTGATGGTCCGGCCGGATCCGTTTATCTGGCAGAACGCCGAGTTTGCGCCAAGCACGGTGATCTCGGCCATCTGTCGCATCTCTCGAGCTCAGACGGCATGCTGTGACGTAACGGAGTGGCATCGCGTATGCAGGAAGCTAGCCGGAGAGCCGGAGGGACGACTGGAAATCGAGCGGCAGAACGCGATTATGTCTTGCGGTGCCGGACAGGTCGTATGGCCGGCGATGACGCTCGACTGGAAGTTACCTGTGAATGACGAGAGTTACCTACGACTGCACTGGTATCGAGGCAAGATTTTCAATTATCACGGCTACAGATTGTATCGTAGCATCGTGGCTATGAACTCGCAAGTTACGCCGGCTCTGACAATTCGAAGCGTGCCGGTGATCCCACCTAAACTTACACCGTCCAACACATCAGGGGTTAAGCAGACACATTACGGATTCAATCTACAGCTTCACCCTCTAGACAACCAAGTCTTAGAATGCTGTCTGGTTAGATCCTTCGAATACGAAGGCAATATAATGGCATTCGCTGCTATTGATCCAACCGGCGTGCTGAAAACTCTAGCTTCTGCAGAGCGAATCGAGTCATGTCCTCACGACGAACATGCATCAGCGAACATCGTCACAACCACAAACGCTCTAGGTAGTGGCGGTAACGCGGCCGCCGTATCCCCAGACCTGTATCTATGCACCCCCGAAGACGTGCTACCCTGGTTGTGGGACTGGGCGCGCAGGGCAGACGTTGAGCAAGTGGCACGGCAAGGTCTGGGCGAGATATTGGAATGCGTGAGGGATGCAGAGGGACCACCTGGTGCTGTAGCTGTGATCCCGACTGAGGCTGAAGACCGGTTGAGGATTTTTACTTTGGCCAAGCCGGTCGGGGCGCATGTTGCTATTCGAGGACATGCTTGTCTGGCTTGTTGTGTGAAGTTTTGCAAGCAATTTGGGTTTAGTGTGCTTGTGCTGTAGTGTTTGGACATGTCGTGGCTTAGGTATAGTGTTTATCTATGTGAGATGTCAGGGGATGTGAAGGATAACTATTAGCGATGCGTACCTGTTAGTTTTATGACAGTATTTTAGCATAGGTGTACTCTTGAATATATTTAGTATCGAGTATCAGAGCCGCTCTTTATATTCTAGAATTAATTCGGCATGTATTAAAGGTGCTCTCCTAATTAGGAACATGGCTGTCACTGCTAGAGGCGTAAATCCCGGCACTGTACAATCGTTCTTCGACGTGACATTTGTTTGGATCTAGTCTAAATTACTCACTGACTTGTTCAACATTCCAAGTACTAACGGAAGTATCATTACTTTACTCCCTATGGGACGAAGCTATCGTGATAGTGGTCATATGTACTATTAGATTACTATTATGGTAGTTGGAATTATTAATTAAGTACCTATCCCCGCTATCATTTACAATATGCTATCTTGGGTGTCCAATCTGATCCCTGATTCGGCATGGTAAAAAGGAAAATAATAAAGTCCCCTGCGCTATGCTTCGCCAGAAAACTTATCCAATGGATAATACCATTAGTACCAATAATCTGACCTGGTCGAGGTCTTGGTAATAGGAGTCTTATAGGCTTAGGAGGCTGTAGGCTTCGGCGGCTTAGAAGCTCCAGTTTGAGGCTTGATACGGTCCGGGGTAGTTCTGGCATGAAGACATACCATTTCCCTGCTGAGGCTGACTGTTCATAGTATATCCGGTTCCCCAAGACAACTGATTATGTTGTCCCGCCATCTGATCTTGGTTGTAGAGTTGCGGATAGCCTGACATCGACTGTTCTTCCGGGAGTCCGCCAAATTGGGCCATCGAAGCCATCGAGACACTTTGCTGATTCTGATTTCCATGGAGTGCTTGGCTAAACAAAACATTTTGTTGGTGACTCGGGCCCGTGTTAAACTGGAGCAAATCCAGGGAGTTGTCCCAGATTTCTACTCCTGGGCTACGTCTCTTTCGGGAGCTTTCGACGCTGCCCTGTCTTGAGTTGCTTGACGCACTGGAATCTCTAAAGAAGACTGGCACGTCTTCTGCGCTAGACCCGTTGCTCGTGTCTGATCCTGGCACCGAGAATTCCCGGAGCTTAGCCTGCGCCAACTCTTTTTTGAGTCCCGTGATCTCGGCGGCTTGGGAACGTTCCAGATCGCTGTGTTTGGTTCGATTGTTTACGCGTCGTCGCTTGGTAAGACTAGACAGCTCGCCTTGTAGCCGGGCGTTGTGCGTGCGTACCGACTGAAGTTCTTCCTTAGCTGTCTCGAGACCCTCCTTCATGCCCTTAAGCTCGTCTCTAACACCACGGACCATTCCAAGCAGCTGAGTGTTAAACATCTCGAGCTCTTTGTTACGCTTCTGGAGTTCCTCAACGTCCGAAGCGACGGTAGAGACGGGAGGCATGTTTTGAGTTCCCGTCGTTTCGGGGGCAAGGCGATCGAAGTCAAATTCCAACATTTGGTCTACGGGGAAAGACATCCTTCAAAGCTCCAAGCTGATTTGTTAAGTTGGGGCTTGGAACTGTTGTGAAGGGATACTACTTGGCGTAGTCTGTATACTGATTCTTGTGATCCATAGGTTAGTTAATTGGGTTTGTAGTCTTCTTGTAGATCATTTGACTTACGGATCTGGATCGCTAAACTATGGTATGAAGTCGAGAACGATTATAAATGACAAGATATTAAGAGGTTGTGTTGTTGAAGTAGGTAGATGTCCTAGTAAATCTTGTATATTATAACCCTTCTGTAAAGTAAGAAGAGATACCAAAAGTCGAAGAAAGATCTGAATGTTTTGGAATGTTGGCAAGTTAGGAAGAGAACTTGAGAAGTTGGGATGAACTCGAGGGATGTTTATATCCTCTTTCGAGATCTGTACAATCAGTGGCAAGCTTGGATGACAGCTGCACCGTAAAGGTCCTCGTTGTAAAAATGTTGTTTGCTCAGAATTAGCTCTCCTAAAAGGTAGATAGGATACATCATTATTGGTTAGCGTCTTTGAATACTGACGTGGATGGTTGTCTTGATTGGATATGTTAAAATAGTTTGGTTTATCGTGATGTATGACTGGTTTATCAATATGTATTACCAGGTGTATGGCTTTGAGAATAATGAGTTGTATGTTTGAGCTCTGTTCAATCATCGTGGGGATTCTGGACTTAAACTGTCTACCAGGTGTCTTCTTAGTGGTTGACATGACGATGAAAACATTTATGTTTCCAGAAGAGGTTTAAGCTTATCTACTTTCATGAGTAATCGAGTTGAAAACTTTTCTCTAGGCTCTTCTTTCCCCCTCAGGGTTCCTTATATCTGCACTTTCTCTTTCCTTAGTGGTCAACCTAAAGTTGTTTATTTCTTAGTCACAATCATAGGGATGCACTAAGCATTCACCCGGGCATTCTATTCACTTGTGCAGTATTTCCAATTCTAGCACTGTCTCGTTCAGAATGTCATGTGGGTTTTTGGGTATTTCCTGACAACCTCACAATGACTAGAAACAAACCAATCTGACATGAGAAAAGCAGAGCTAGCAGAATCAAGGACTTGCCAATTTTAATATGCTAACTTCGAGGGTATTTACCACGTAAAATAGAGAATCAATATCGATGCTTCAATAAAAGGGGCAGTTTCAATACAGCAATATTTACACTACAACGAACGTGATGCCACAGGGCAGCCTGTATTTAAGTATGAGGTATATAATATCCCTTAGCCTAGGCGGCTCTAAGTAATGGTTTGTAGATTAGGATATAGTAGGCAAGTGATCAATCTAAGACAGACATCAATTGGTAAGTTTATGCCGTGTTTCCTCCAACCAACTTGTATTGCCATAGCTTCTATGTGATGTTGTAAGGAGGTACATATCGATGGGGGATGCTGATGATAATAGTAACGTCTATTGTGGTTATAATCTAAGGAGGTAGCTATAGCAGGCGGATGGTACCTAAGGTGTTTAGAATGCCCCCTTCAAAATACATAGAGCTATAGTTTCCTTTGATAGATCTTATTGATAGGGGAGCTCGTGTAGTACAGACGTTATAGTCCAGATGCAAGGGTACGACAAAGGTATGACAAGGCCGTATTATATCTACCACAACCCTGCAGCATGCTAGAATAGGCAACAAATCAGGTATAATCGAAATCTGATTGGTCACCTTCCTAAAGGCTTTCCGGGCCTCAATAGAACTAATGGGACATTGCCGTCTGAACGATTCGATAGAATGTAAAGGGGCGAACACACGAACGCATTTATGAGAACCAACTATAGAACTCATCTATGGCATGGACATATTTACAGACACTAGACAATAATGAACACCAATCACTGGGGCAATACTGGTAAGAGGAAGCAATAACTACAGACAAAAACAATGCACTTCAAAATATATATCCGAATTCAAAAATCGTAATCATAAATACAAGAATATAACCGCCCAACCCAAGCCAAACTGCTTATATGTATACATACTATACAAACATTCTCTCATCATCGTCCCAGCCGCCCAACCCATAAGCTTAACAGCTTAAGCAGTGGCAACGCACTGGAAATAGTACGGGTTGTACGACTTGCAAGCACCCTCGGCGCAAGCAGTAGGGCCGGCAAAGTTGCTACCGCCGCACTGGCCGTACAGGCTCTGCACGCCAACGGCACCGGTCGGGGCGGCGGTGGGAGTAGCGGCGGCGGTGGTAGGAGTGGTGGGAGCTGCTACGCGGGTCGACGTGGCGAGGGTTGTAGGAGTAGAGACGACGGTGGAAGTTTTCTTAGAGGTAGGAGCGGCGGTGGTCTGCACGGCGGTGGTCTGGGCAGCAGTCGTTGTGGGAGCAGAGGGGCTGGTAGGGCTGGCGGCGCCACCGTTTCCGACGGTCGCGGTTCCGGTAGCGGTGATGGCAGATGAGGTCTGAGGGACGGAGGCGGAGGCGCCGGCAATTAGAGCAGGGCCGGGGATGGTGTAGCTGAGACCGGTGGTGTAGATGTTGACGACGATGCCGGGGTCCTGAGCAGAGTACAGCTTGGTACCCAAGACACCAGCAGGTACTTCGGTGCCGTCACCGGTGATCTCGAGGTTGAAGCATTGAGGATAGGCCTGAGCGCCGTTTGCTTGGCCTGCGGAGTGGAGCGCGATGGTTTCGTGACGGAGGACGTAGTTGCCAGGCTTAATGTTGGAAGGGATCTGGACGAGCCAGGTGTTGTTATTCTTGATCAGCTCGTCAGAGCCCCAGAAACCGTTCTGCACCGAGTCGTCGATAAGGCCGACCTCGTCGATCTTGAAGAATTCGAGGGACTCCTTGGCGACGCTCTCGCAAGAGCCATCGCAGGCCGCTAGGTAGTCGATCATGGGGCCCTTGTGAGATTCGGGCCAGGTGTTCCAGCTGATGCTGATGCTGTCGCCAGCCTTGACTTGAGCATGACCTCCTGCCGGAGTGGCCGACTTGTGGCAGATGATGTCAGCAGTGCCGAAGCTGTTAGGCTCGACGAAACCGTTGTCGGTCTGAGAGGTAGTCCAGCCGACGACGGTGGGAGGCTTCTGCTGATAAGGGAAGCTAGTTGGGTCGTAACCCTGGTAGAAGAGTCCGTCGACGACGATGTGATCAACGTGACCGTGAGCGGCGACGGTAGCAGCCGACACGAGGGCCGCGACGACGGGAGAGATTCTCGAGATACCCATTTTTGCTGGTTGTGATAGTCGATGCGATATAACGTAGCGAGCGAGAGAAAGGTAAAGACAACAAGTTCTGTTACGAAAAGTAGTTAAGATGTATCGATCAAGATAGCTGTTCTCACCGGGAGTAGAAAAGAATGACTGGTTAAAGATAGACAATAATGAATGATAATCAACTTCACAAACAGATGGTGATGGTGAGAGAAAAGGCTGAGAATATGGCATCTTGACTCATGTTATATAGAGCTTCGAGGGCAACTCGAGTCGTGGTATCCATGTCTACGATCATATAATTGCAGTCCTCTAAGATCCACAGACGCTAGGGTTCCCCCCTAGGGTGCCGAAGGAATCGAGTTGCAGGATCCGACACACGCTGACGACCTCGACAGCTTGAACGGGCATATGACCCGGTTATGATTGGAGCGCTAGACTCACGATGGGGAGCCCCTACTTTGTGGCCCACGTCGTCCGAAGTTGGTTACCAGCCGGGATGGCACGTACAGTACCGGCGAACCAGCTTTTCGGTGCTGTGGGACCTACACCAACCAACGCCATGTTATGCCTTGGCAGTTAATGCGACGTTTGGGTTAGCAACAGACGACCTGACTTATTACAACATTGTAGAACTTGGTAGCAACGTAGGAAGGTTACTTGGTGGTGAACAGTTACCAATTCAGTTATTATTAGCCTCAGTCTCAGAGGTAGTCTCAGAGGTATGTAAATGGCGTAGTTAAAATGAAAGCTAAACTTGTATTATTAGGTTGGACTTTTGCTCGTGGGAATATCTCCAACGCGGCCCAGGCCGTAATTAAATTAAACGGTCAAGAGATTTGTTCTTGGCCCGACCACACCATCGGTAGCCGCCCCTTGGATCCACGATGGCGTGACACCCGGTTGAGCCGCGGCGGGAAGTCTGCCCTCATTTGTGGGATTTCATTTTGACGAGCCGCGTTTTTGTATATGGTGGTTGAAGTTATCAGCTGGTAATTGGTATGGGGATTCATGAGCTTGATTATTCTTATGTTGATGCGATGCAACTGTTAAAAGTGATTTTATAGAATTTGATGTCTCATCACAAACGAAAAACAACCTCTCGCAGCATATCTAGTGGACAATCTATCTTGTCAGACGCATACGATAACATGACGTGGCCATCATATGAAGCGTAAAGCTTTGATCATGCATAACCAAGATGGTGGATTAGAAAAATCCGGTTCGAGTTGCCGTTATTATAAAATGACTCCATCGAAGAAAGTTGAGGTTCACACAGTTCAGCGGGAATCAGCGGGGGATCAACCTCGGGATGAGAAGCAGAGGGCAACTGCAGGGCTGGAAATTCATCGGTATCCACTACCGAGCCCCTGCGTCGATCTCAGACGATCCACATCGCCGTTTCGGATGACCGTAAACGGAAGTGGTCCCGGTCGGTTTCATATTTTAACGCCAGATCGTAAAAGATAGGAGAGAAATTCTAGAAAAACCGCAAGATTCTTTTAGTTAGCTCTTTTTTCGTTTCTGAAACGCGACCAATATTATGAACAGGGTATAAATTAATTACCGTGAATGTTCTAAAGCCAAGCCGATTGCGTGGATCATCTAATCTTGAACAACGTGATAGATGATAAGTGGTATGTTATATCTATCTTGTTATTAAAGAATAGGAGGTAAAGGTATTGTTGACTCCACAGATGATTTCACTATAATATTACCATCATATCGTATAATAGTACTTCTTTTGGAAGATCGGGATATAGTGTATTGGGAGCGTTTGATTACAATCAGCCCAGTCCTTATATGCTTAACAAAAGAGTCAAAGTTGAGTAGATAATATTAAGTTTTCACAATCGTAAGAATGTCTATTTACACGACCATGCGCTACCGATAGAATCAAGTTCGTTACGTTACGTATATGGGGAATCATGCCGTATCTCATGAGGTGCTTTTTTCTTCGAACATAAAATCATGCGGGGTTGGGAATAGCCTTGGGATGTCAAGTTGGATACCTCAGCTCCCGCTCTCGCTGTATTTTCTGTTGCCGATGTAGCATCATATGCTGTGAATATCGAGGTGTGAAGATTGAGGCCTGGGTATTTTAGAACTCTCCTTCTCCGCCACCTCCTGCCACTCCGGCCGTCCACAGCCCAACGAGCCCCCACCAGCTGACCTTCCATCCTCTCCAGAGCCCATCTAATCCCTGGCCCCTCTTGTATACCACCTCTGCGGTGGTCTTAGACTGCTTCGCCTTTTTACCACGGGCCGGAGTCTTATTCGGCACCGCGTACACGGCTCTAGAGCCCTCTTCGGTAGCAATCGTATACATCGTACCGAACACTCCATTGTATCGTCCCGGCGGTACGATCGTCTCTAGCTTATCTGTCTGATCGAGAGCATCTAGATACGTGTGCTCCGACAGTACCGCCACCTGACCACGGCGGAGGACCGTTTCCAACGGTAGCTTAACGAATAAGGACGCGCACGAGGTGCAAAATTTGGCCACGGAGAAAGTCATAGGAGACTGCTCGCGGTCGATTAGGAATTGGGTTCGTAGGACGAGGGGTGTGGATAACGTGAGGAGCGGGTGGACGAGAGAGTTGAGAATGGTGGGTGCTAATAGGGACGACGGGCACAGCCACGAAGGTAACGACCGTAAGGTTGATAGGGTCCGCCGCGGGGTACGTCCGGTGGACGTGACGATCAATCTCGTCCGGACGAGATCGAGAGGGGCTAATATGAGTCCCGTTGATACTGCTGCGGCTGCGGCAACGCACAACGAAGCCCAAGGGTACGGCGATGCGACATCGACTAGCCTGTCGACGTCGTCTTTTAGTCCCAGATCGGGAACGTTCAGCAGCGCGCTGAGAAGGCTGCGCGACCAATTCTCAAACAGCGACTGCAGCACCGTGTAGAGAAACGTGGCGTTTGTTCCTTTCCAAACCCCCCACATGGACTCCTTCGACCATAACTGCGACAGCACGTCAAGTATCGAGCCGGGCCGCTTTAGAGCGAGATGATGAGGGAGGGTTACGGGTCTCGTAGGCGACGCGGCGGGTGCTGCGGGCGACGAGTCCCTCCTCTTCGACTTTGGAGGCGGCGTAGGCGTATACGGCGTATTAGTCGTGAAATATGAGGAGCCTTCCGGATCTGAATCAGATTCGACTTCCTGCAATCACGTCAGTATCGCCACGCTAAGAGCTAGATAATAGCTATAGTAAATTCGTTGCTATACCTCGTCCCATACCGAACGCTTGGGAGCGATAACGTTCGGACTAGAAAGGCTCGGGCTCGACAGAACCGGGCTGGCGGGCCTTATGGTAGGCTTCGGTGCCGCTTGGGTATTTAACCCTCCGAGGTCATCTTGACTCCTCACTTGCAGAATCGTCTTGGCCACCTCGAAGGGCTGAGCCATTATTACCGACGTGTACTTCCATAGTAGCTCGTCTACTAGACTCTTGACGGATTGTATAGTAGATGGTGATATATCGTCGAGGTGATCCTTATAGTCTATATCGGGAAAGATATCACGAGCTCGGGAGGCGTATTTGTTTGGAGTAGAAGCTGTCGCATTTCCTTGGGAGAAAGGATTCGGTTGAGACGGGAGACTCCCGGCCTGCTCCCCTATAGAGGGTGGTATATAATAGGGGCGCAGGGGGTTTACTCCTTCTCTAGTTGTGGACATTTCGAGCGAGATGGAGCTATGTTGACTTTTTTTCAAGATTATATCGTGAGTATCTTTGTACGAGTGAAAGATACAAAGATTATCGTGGGGTGGAGGGACTGAGTTGTCTAGCTTGTATTAGGTAAGCTAGGGGAACCAATGCGAGCTTAGCCAAGCTTCTAAGTGGGATTATGCATGCGTGGTGCGATACATAACCCAATAAATTTGTGTGTCAAAAATCGATGGATTTTGACAAGATTTGTTTATCGATAAGATAAGCATCAAGAAAAAAAAAAAACAGAGCATCTCGGATTTAATAGAGACTCTCCAACGATCGGTCACCGGCCGCTAAGCTTGTTCCTTGTACTCGGGCCGCCTCCAATATTTTATCGGAGCTAATTCAATTCGCCTTCTTCTAATTCGTTGGAATATCGTCGCATCGCATTGCTGAACATCGTCAAATATCCTAGTTCGGTATTTTTTTCTTGTTAGATGCAAGCAACCTCCGATCCATATGCTTGTTGGTTCCCCCTCTATATGGAGTAATGCTACAATAAGAGCCTCATTTTTCTAAAGGCAATTAATTAAGATAGTCTTTACCTAGGAAGATCTACTCTTATTCCAATATTTACAGCTTAAATTCTCTTCGTCCCATCTCATCACCGAAATCCCCGAGTTCTAGTCGCACCTCTCGGACTTCGTCTTGACGCAATGGCGACTCCTCGAGCCCTCGTTCGAAGCATACATAAGCTTCAATTCTCCTCCTCCCAGTCCCTATCGCATCTTAGGCGGCCTGCTCTCTCTACATATAGCAGGATAAGATCCGAGGCGCCATTAATATGCCATACCCGAGCGAGCGCTTCCATACTCCGACATTTTAGCACATCTCCTCTACGTCAGCATGGACATATACATCCGCCTAAGCCAGGCGAGGAGTAAGACATTTCTACGAGGGAATAATACCATACGCTAATCTCCGACCAGACTCTACGTGACGTTTATCGACAAGGAAGGAAACGAACATAAGATCGCAGTTTCTAAGGGGGATAACCTGCTAGACATTGCGCAAGCGCACGACTTAGAGATGGAAGGGGCATGCGGTGGTTCGTGTGCGTGTTCGACGTGCCACGTTATCGTCCTAGACGACGAATACTACGAGAAGATGCCCGAACCCGAAGATGACGAAAACGACATGCTGGATCTGGCGTTCGGGTTGACGGAAACAAGCCGATTAGGCTGTCAGGTTGTTATGACTAAGGAACTAGACGGGCTAAAGGTCAAGCTGCCTTCTATGACGAGGAATCTGCAAGCGAGCGATTTCGGCTCGAAATAATAAAAGATACGATCTTCTAAAGTTAAAGGCAAGGAATGGACATATGAAAAACCACCGAATTGTACCAATATGACGACAGGTAAGGCGTAGCGTACCGGTGCGGTGGCGGCATTGCAATTGGCAGCCTGGATAAAACTAGCGAGCCATACGATACGATGTACTATACTCGCAGCAGGATAGCTATAACTGGCTTGGAGATAGGACAAAGCCCAACTCTTAACGAGGTCACGTTCACGAAGTGCTTTTGATATCATTCCGTAAAATGCGATTCTAAATCCGAATACGCGCGTATCAATTAAGCTTAGGCTTCTTCCAGCGCACCCTTCTTCAACTTCCCACCGCCTCCGGCGATCAAATCTAGGAAACCTTGCCGGCTCATCTCGTTAACCTTCTCCTGGCGCCTCTGAACTCCCACGATACCATCCTTCCGCGTATCCCTCTCGGCTTCTGCGGCCCGCTCCTGCGCTTCCCTGACGGCACGGAATAACATGACAACACCACGATGCGCCACCTTCTTCAAGCGCTTCTCCGTCTGCTGAATCTCTTGGGTGGAAATCTCAGGTTGACCTTCCTCGTCGACAGCGCCGACTAGTACGTCCTTTACGCGCCCCTTCTCCTGCGCCAATCTCTTCTGTTCCCGTAGATGTCGCCGCGCCTTGGCCTCTAGCGCATTATCGACAGCGTCCTTGGCTGATTGGTGGGCCTCGGCGCTGCGCGAGAGGACCGGATCCGCACGTCTTGTGGTAGATAACTTTGTAGATAGAATCTTGGACATGGATGTCGCAAAGGCATCGGGATCGTTGCGTTTTGATTTTGATTTTTTGAATTGAGTTCTCGAATCGTCGTCCCCATCTGAGCCTTCTTCTTCTAGTTCATCCTCGTCCTCATCCTCATCATTATCGTCGTCATCTTCTAATTCGGCTTCTGGACTCTTGTCGCGAGCTTCATCTTTAGCAGGTTTCTTTGCTAGTTTCCGTTGTTTCGCGAGAGGCTTAGATTTGTTAGTCGCATCGTTATCCGAGTCCGAATCCGAGCCTAACTTCGAGTCCGAGTCCGAGCCGAATGGGATATCATCTACGACGATATTGTCGAGGTCTTCATTGTCTGAATCGAGGAGGTCGACGGGTCGGAACTCGGTGTTGGGACCTTCTTCTTCCGAATCGCTGTGATACTTGGGGACCTTTCTTTGCTTCTTATTCGGTCTCTGAGATTTATATTTGGTATTTGAATCTTGATGGCCTCTCTTTTTTGAGGTCGGACCTGCCATTGCGAAAGAAATGCACGTTTCCCTTATATATGTAAGTTGTTGGGTGATATTTTAGGTGTATTTGTAGGCTGATGTCCAATTGAAGCGCTAGCTCTCGACTTTTTCTTCGAAAACTTCAATTGCAACGCAGTGCCCCACTTAGTAGCTTATTGATAAGATAAGTCTAAGTTGACCGCCTGCCGAAATAATATGAAGTACATGTACAAAACATCGGCGAATTCTAATTCGCGTCCTGGTAAACTTTAATCGCGACGATCATTTATATTTTATTTTGAAGGTATTCCAAGTCGTCATAATCCCACTTTTACATCTTCGAAGAGAAGCACATCGAGCACATGAATAGGATTAGCATGATGGCCAACCGCTCCACCGATGCCAAGCTGTCGCTAACATCGACATGGATGTTATTAGATTTAAGGAGGGCTTGATTAAAATCCGAACTTGACCTTTCGTCTTTACTCTTTCATCCAACTAGTTTCGATTCACACTTTCGTTATACTGCTGTAGGAAGTCGTCGATTGCTTTTTTTATATTATCTCGTCTGTTCGCAATCAGAACTTGTCACTCTTTTATCTCAAACCTACCTATTCAGGAGCAGTAAACGCGACGAATGTATACAGACCTTAAAGCGACGTAGAATATTTCGGTAGGCCCCAATGGCAGGTATCGTAGGCAGCCAAAGCGACAGCACGTGCAACACGCACAACGCCCTGCGCAACATATCCTCGTACGCCTGCGGTGTGACTTTCGAGTTTAAGAGCACCGCGGATCCGCCGCCGGACATGCATTACGGGGTGGTGTCACTGAAAGAATGCTGCGACATGGCGAACAGCCCCCTGATGCGCATACCGGGTAACACGGGCTGCGAGATACAGTTCTGCGAGCTACCCGAGAGCACAACTTCTACTACTATGACCGTCCAATACGCCTACGCCACGGGTTCCGGTACCGCAGCCGCGACGCCGCCACCGTACGTCACGGAAGACGTCCGCGTCGGGCCGCCTGGCGACGTCGAGTCCTGCATGCGCTTCGTCTACGAGCGCGACGTGCCTGAGAATATCGCCAAGGACATCGCCTCCGCGGGCAACTGGTGTATCGTTCGTATGTACGACGACGAGCTACCCGATTCTGAGGTATCCGCTGCCGTAACGGCTAGCCCGGCGCCTCCGAGCTGGACGACCGCGGCGATGGACCCGTTTGATGTTTACTTTTCGACGAAAAGCGCTGCCGAAGCGAGCGCGACTGCGGCTCCTAAGTCGAGCGACGGGCCTAGGTATGCCGAGCAGGGTAGGTTAACGGGGGTTAAGATATGGGGTGTTGTCGCGTTGGCGGCGCTTGGTCTTGTTGCTGCATTATGATCTTGGACGGATGTATTGTATATACCGAGAATAATTACCCTTTAGCATATAATACTATGATTACAATCCCTATTGTAATAATAAGTGTTGACCTACTTACACCTTCTGCAGGGTTATCAGATGAAGATCTACTTATCGTCATATTTATTGATAATCTTATGCGGGGCAGAATCTCCCTTGGGGAACTCAAACAGGCAGTTCAATGTGGAACGTCGCAATCAATTGGACTTGGCTTTAGACTTATAACTCTTTACATACCCGTAACCGGTTTTACTTTGTCAACCTAGTTTCTAGCCGTGTAAAAGTTGGCGATGTGGTGCTCTGCGTATCTATGAGTATCAACTTTAGCAATAAGTGCAATCTAGAAGGTTGACTTCCGTCTCCTTCAATTAGAATCATATGCGCAAGCCCTATGACATCAGCCATGAGATTATCCGTATTTAGCATAGTCCTTGCCGCAGGAATAACGCACGCCCAGTCCGAAAACGAAACCGGCGAACATCCAGGATGGCCGCGATGGTGCGGAAAAGTCTACGAAGCCGGATACCCGTCTTTCGAGCCAGGCGGTCACACGACAGAGCCAGCTCTCATAAACCCGGACGGATCGCCAAATCTGTACGTGCAATTCAAGCCACGGCATAGCATCTACCTAGCTGGCGAGGACAAAGGCTCCTTCGTCGTCAAGGCCGAGCTGTCGACTTGGTTTGGCGAGCCGTGGGAGAATTCGACAACAGACGAAAAGTCGGTGACGGAACCATCTACGGATCTGCACTTCTCCATCAACCTGATATCCAAAAGCGGCGAGGGTAATGCGCCACTGGTCGAGGGCAGCGTGCCGATTAATGCGACCGGTTCAGGTTTTGATTTTGACCTCTCCGCTTTCGAACCGCGATTAACACCGTACGAAGTCGTGCTAGTCGGCACGTCTCGGCTTGGCGGACGTAACTATACGGCGAACAGCTCGTTTCGGTATCTGCCAGATATCGCTCCGGGAGGAAGCGCCACCAAGATTGACAACCTGAGCGGCGGTCTACTATTCCGCAACGCGCAGACGGGGGATGCTTTCGTACCTCTTCTACCGTACGGGTTCTACGGCTTGTATAACGGATCTAACAGCACGGCCGAGAGCGACGGATTCGTTCGCGAATACTCCAGCGGCGGAAAAGGTCTCAACGCTATCATCTCGTTGGCGGGATTTGCCGATACCAATCCGGTATACGACAGCATGGACGCATCCACCATGCGCTTCATGTTCGATCTGCGTAGCTCGTACAAAAACTTGACGGAGGTTACGCAGCGGGTGAACACTATCAAGCATCATAGCTCTCTATTTGCTTACTGGACGGCAGACGAGTAGGTACCCCCCTAGTCGAATAGCAGTTAACGGTTTCGTCAGCTTACGCCAGAATCTATTAGACCCGACGGCTGGCAAGTTCCTTTTGACGTTACGCCCGCAGCTCAGGAGCTCATCCACGGTCTAGACCCTTATCATCCGGTAGCGGTGACTCTCAACTGCCAAGACTATTACTTTGGAGAGTATTCGGCCGGGGATATTCTAATGCAAGATCCGTATCCCATCGCCATCAATAGCACATTCTCCAAGTGGGGTACAGCATGCAATACGACCCTAGGAGACTGCGGGTGTGATAACTGCGCGGGCAACCCGCAGGACGTCTCTCGCCGTCTTGATAACCTAATACAATACGAACGCTGGCTGGGCCGGTGGCCGCTACCCAAGTTTCATAACCCGCAAGCTTTCCACGGCGAGGACTACTGGGCCCGCGACCCGACACCCGCCGAAGCCTTCGTCATGAACGCGTTAGCATTCAATAGAGGCGCCACCGGTATCTTCGCCTGGACGTGGCCCACCAGCCAGGAATTATTCGACGCTCACTCGCGGATGGCGGCAGCGGTTACGAGCGCCCCCGCGAGGGATTTCTTGCTCGGTGGTCAGCCCGACGGGAATATTCGCATCGACAATCAGGAGCTGCTCGATATAAGCTATTGGGTGCGGGAGACCCAAATCATGATAAGCATAGTAAACGGAGGTGCTGGCGACATCAACGGGCCGGTCTCGATAACGCCACCAGACCCCGGGAGGCGTATCGCGGACGTACCATTTGGAGACCAGTCGTGGAGCCTGGCGGATGGTCAATTGATAACTGACAAGCTGTCTGCCCTGTCGGTGAGCCTTGTTATTATTGATAAGGAGTAATGGTAGTATCATATGAGTAGGTAACATCCTGGTCAAAGTAACGAATAGAATTTTAGCGACTACACCACATTTAAATAGTTCCATCAGAGGCTTCCTATAGCTTGCTGCTCCGCGTTACATCTGTATTACATCTGTGCTACTATAGATAACGGTATGTAAGAGTAACGACGGATTCTATTCTTGGTTAGGGTAGGATATGATGGGAGAATGATGGCTGCGTCGTAATGATGTCAACGTCATTTTTATATATGAAGTAGACGTAGTCCGTGTATGTCCAATATGTTGTACTCCTGAATAAACCGTCTTAGTCCGCTATGGATTACTTACACGCCATCTCTTCGTACGGCCTCGGCCTGTGGGATCAAGGCAGACTATCTTCGGTCGTCGCCCTTGGCGTGCCTTTAGGCGTGCTTTTTCACCTTACTATCGCTCAGATGGGAGATGTGGAAAAGTTCATGTATAATCTTATGGCAGCTATGCTATTTCTCGCGCTCGGCATCGTTTCCGTTTCCGTGTTTCTAGGGTCTTCCTTTCTAGGCGCCTTGGCCGGATTATGCATCTTGGCAATTACTTTCAACACAGGCCTCTTCTCGAGCATGGTCATCTACAGATTATTCTTTCATCGGCTGAGGAGATTTCCTGGGCCCTTAGACCTCAAGATCTCCCGCTTCTTCTCCTTGCTCCGGGTTGCTAAAGAAGCCAAGTACCATAACGACGTTGTCAAGTTGAACGAGCGATACGGCGACTTTATTCGTACAGGTACCTAAACAACCGCCTTCTCAAATATGAAGTGTCAAGCTAAACGTACCGCTATAGGACCGCGAGAGCTTTGCATCGTTCGAGACTCGGCAATCCCAATCATATATGGTCCGAATACAAACTGCCACAAGCCGGTTTGTTACATGGGTACCAGTCCTGATTCCAAAAAGGTATCCTTTCACGGCTCGCAAGACCCCAACGACCATAAGAGAAGACATAGGGCTTGGGATAAAGGATTCTCGATCAAAGGTATTAGATACGCTACTTGAGCAGTTATCTGGATGGCTAATCTCTCAATCGCAGCGTTACAAACCTACGAGCCTCGGATTAAAGCATTAGTTACTAAACTTGTGCATCAAATATCGCAGAGAAAAATAGTAGATGCGACGACTTGGTCGATGTATCTCACATTCGACGTCATGGGCGAAGTCGGATTCGGGAAAGACTTCGGTTGCGTCTCAGATGGCATAAATCATCCCGCGATTCAAAACGTACGCGACCATATGCATATCCTAGGCGTCTTGAACTATATCCCCTGGTTGTTGAATATATTCGGGCGTATCCCAGGCGCGTCAAAATCATATCACCCCTTTTTTAGTTATTGCCAATCTCAAGTCGAAAAGAAACGGGAGGTAAGTCATCCAACCCCTATTACCGGCAGTTCTAATATGTCACCAGAGTATCGACCTCGAGAAATATCCTCAAGACATCATGACATGGCTACTAAAAGCCGTCATCGAAAAAGACATTTCTGCTTCGCCAACAGAAAGCTCGCTTTACGACGACGCCAGAGTACTTATAGTCGCAGGAAGCGAGACGAGCGCTACGACCCTGGCGAGCTCCTTATTCTACTTGGCAAAGTTTCCTCGCGTCTTGAAGAAGCTACAAGCCCAGATCGACGATATCATACCGACCCCGGCAGACTGGACGTACGAGAAGGCGAAATCAATTACGTACTTGGACAACGTCATCGACGAGACCCAGCGTCTAAAGCCCGCTCTGCTTACCGGAGGATACCGACGGACGCCGCCCGAGGGCGTTCAAATCGACGAGCAGTTTGTTCCGGGAAACGTATCCGTCATCGTGCCCATACAGCTGATCCAGACGCACCCGCGCTACTGGAAACAGAGCAAGGACTTTATACCAGAACGATTCGGAGAGAGGAGTGCCGAGATGGGAACTAGCAAGGCGCCTTACATGCCTTTTAGTCACGGTAAGCAAACTCTAGATAGTTCAAGGTACCTGGGTTGACACGATTTGTTATAGGGACATACAGCTGCCCTGGTAAGAACCTGGCCTTGATGACCTTGCGGATCGCTATCTCTAGTCTTGTGCAGCACTTTGATATCACCTTTGCGGCTGGCGAAACAGGAGAAATATTCGATACGGAGGCGCAAGATGTATTTACCACTCACTTAGAGCCTTTGAACCTGCAGTTCTCGCCGAGGAAGTGAAACGAGATACATTATTTTATATCCGGAGTCTAGTTGATAGGAGTTTCATATTTTGCGTCCTTTTCGAAACGAATACGATAGCGTGGACGTTAGAGTTACAGGTAGTGCTCTGTGAGGCAGTATCAATGTACGAGATCATTTCTACATAGCCTGACATAACCTTCTATGCTATCCGAGTAGAATAATATATTCGGGACGATGATCTTTGACGATGGAATCAGCCATCGCGACGTAGACCAAGCTTGCAGTTACTATGCAGCCGACGAATCTATATTGAACATGTTTGCGGACTCTAGCGATGACCTACGCCTATTGCCCATTCCTACAGAATCTAACGTGAGTATCACCAGATGCAAGATGTGGAATATGCTCTGGGCCACTCCAGTGTCATCATGGCAATTAATATCACAATGAGCCTTAGTGTCTACTTTCTGTAAAATATTATGGTAACGCGGACTGTCCGACGTTCAATTCAATTTATCATTAGTTACAGTAAAGCAAAGCAACCGACCCAGCATTACCACATCTTTCATACCATTGACGGCAAGGAAGCAATATCGTCCACACACAGCACACGACACAGTAAAATAAAGGCCTCTAACCTCCTTCTACTAGTCTACTAAGTGCTCGACGATGTCGTCCAGGGTTAGGTCCCCGAAGTCGACCTCGTTGTCATCGTAATTGTCGCCATGATTAATCATCGGCGTATCCTGACGGTCTTCCTCCTCAACCTCGAGCGGCGCAGCGGGAGACTCGGTCTTCGACAGCCTCTCGCTGTGCAGGATCAAGGCGTCGAAAGAGCAGGTGAGGGGATCCGACCCCAGCTGAAAGACTGAAGCGTCGCCGCTGAAGTCGTAAGAGGCGATAGCCTCCTCCGAGATCTTCAAGCTAAACGATCGCGTCAGCGGGTAGGTATTCAGGCGTCTGTGCTGGAAGTGGGTTGCCAAATCCACCCAGCTAGACTCCTGAGAGCGGATAGGAGGGAGACCCGAGCGTCCCTCGACCAGGAGTTCAAAATGAACGCCGATCGACAAGGTCTGTAACAAGTAGCATTCGTCACAGCTGTGTTTCTTCGTGTTGTGAAGCACACAACCGGAAACAAAGCCGTCCTTGTCTACGGGACCAGGACATGCGCTCAGTACGTGGCCCTGCTTGTTGCAGTTTCCGCAGACAGACGCGGGAGGGAAAGACGGGGCGCCAGCGGGAGTTTGAAAGGTGAATTCCTTCTGAGAGGGGGGGTTCTGGCCTGCAAGACCATTGCCGCCCTCGCTCTCAGGGCCATTCTCCATTTCCACGTCCTGCACGCGGCCGGAAGCGGTAGCTTGAGCTGCCTGGCGCTCAAGTTCCTCGCGTTCCTCGCGCGCGCGCCTGCGCTGGCCTTTGGTCTTCTTCTTCTTCTTCTTATCCGCCGGAGGCGCAGGGCCAGTAAGAGCCTTGGGCTGCTGCTGTTGCTGCTGTTGTTGCTGCTGCTGCCCTGCCTCATGTACCCTATCCTCATCGCCTGGATCCTCTTGCATGAATCTTTGGCGGCTGGTGCCGTGGCGCAGGCGAGTGACAGTAATAAGAGATGGTGGAATATAACCACCGTTCTTCTGTTTCCACATAGAGGTCAGATGATTAACCATGAACTTCTCCTCAGGTGTGGCTTGATCGTAGCCGGATTCAGAAATTGAGTATTTTATGTCTGGGTTAAGGCCGATCAGCTTGCGGAATAGTTCACGTTTGAAACCGAGATCATCTTCCTTCTCTGTAGCTACCATCAAGCTCCTGGAAAAACCGCTTGCGGCAGCGTTTTCCGGGGCTTGGACGGCAGGCTTCTTCTGCACGACGATGGCGCCATCTACGGGGCCTTCAGCCTCGCGCTTCTTCTGCGCGACGGAGACCTGACCTTTCCCCTTCCGAGATGTGATGATCTCGTCAGGAGATTGGTCGATCTTCGAAGGCGTCGAAGATGACTCTGGTGCGTCGCGCGCGTTAGCGCTAGACTGCTCCGAGCGAGAGGATCTATTCACATTCGAATCTGCCATGGTGATGATGATGATGATTGTGATTGTGATTGTTGTAAGTGATGGCAGATTAAAACGCATAGAATGTTGTTGAAGAGAAAAAAAAATTAGAATTTCGAAGGAGAGGAAAATATTTATTTTGCAGAGGGCGGTGTCGTGCATCTGCCGCCAGCGGGGTTGGTGATTCCCTCGCTAAGGAAACTTGTTAAGCGACTAGGTACCTGGGTACCTAAGGTGGCTACCCACCTAGGAGGTACCCAGGTGCAGAGCTTTATGCTTAGTTAATTTATTTACTTTCGTGGCTATGTATTTCGTCACCTTGATATCATATCTCCTACAGGAGATTTATCCATTTGTTTTCACTGGTGTAGTGCACTGCAATTACGAATTGCTCTATCTTAAGGCGTACCTAGGTTTTCCATATTAGGACACTCGTCGTGCTATTGCTAGATGCCATAGCGTGATCCGGATAATATGGGCGATACATGCAAAAGGATTCACACATGACTAAGGAGGAATATAGTTCGAAGCCGGCTTTTCAATATCCATACCTAATTTGATTGTCGAAGGTACTTACATTGCGGGAATCTTAATACTGACCACAGAATATCTCTGCTTCAAAATATGTGGAAGATCCATCCTCTACTCGATTTTTCTCAGCTAGATGCTAGATGAAGACTTACCCTGGAGGTACCCCTGCCAAGACGTGACAATACGGAGATAACCAATTAGAACGTGGCTGTGTTCAAGTGCTATACGTGGGTCCCAGAAGAAGGGATCCACTCGAACAACTTTATTTTGACTACTTGTTCCTCTTCCTTTTCTTCAAGTACTGCACTGGAAGCTTAAAATCAGTTATGTACCTACATCACATATCTACGTTAGAATTGAAATTCAAGAATTGCTTTACCTGCAACATGATTTGAGTCACTCTATGAGTGCACCTGTTATATAGGTAATTATGTAGAGCGGCTTTATTAACGTTCAACACTGCAAAAAGCAGTCTGGATCTATTATTTCTATACCCGGAGTAATACGTGATTCGCGAAAGCTCTCTATCCCATCCCCGTATACTTCCTTACATCATCAAGAAGGCTATTACATAACAGGGTAACATCCTGAGCGAGGTATTCTTTACCTTTGACGGTTAGTCCTGTGTAAATCGCCACGCATCCTTTCTCTTTATAGTCTTCCCAAGCCTTTTCGACGTCGAGGATATTGGTTTTATCCACGCCGACGTCCAAAAGAGACGCTATGTCAAACGGCCGTGATTGCTTTTCGCTAGGAAGAGCTACGAGGTTGTATCTGTAAGTCGACAGAAGCTCATGTTCGATAAAGATGACTTCTTCGTCCGTGAGCTCTGTCGCGCCCAGCTCTTCTCCGTCGAGAAACGGGGGTATTTTGAAATATTCTTCGAGGTTCTTTACAATAACTTGCACGTTAAACATGCCGGCGGGGTTGAGCTTTAGCCACGGGGTTGGAAAAAGCATCCGGAAAGCACCGTTGGTCACGAACGCATCCAATGCTTTTACTCCCATTTGTACTTTCTCCTGCCACAGGCCGAGGGCACTCCACAGGCCCCCCCTGTGAACAAGAGATGCGCCGACGCCTCTGCACATCTGCCGGACCTCGTCCAAATCAGGCGGACCGGCATTTTACAACTTGAAACAGATGTTACCTATGCCCACCTGCAGAATAGCTGCCAGTCGGACGATAACTCGCATCACGTTGGCCTCCGTAGAAGGCTTTCAGAGCATGGTACCTAGCAGCTTGGAGGATATCCTTATCGGTCGAAACGAAGTCGGCCATCGCGAGGCGGAGCAGCGGGTTGGCTTGCTCCCGCCGTCGCACAGCTTCGTCCTTCGCGTCGCGAAACTCCAAGGGTAGCTGGCTAATGATGCGACGAATCACAATTAGAAGTGTGTCCAAACCTGTCGAGTCGACTTGGTCTCCCTCGGGGATGCCGACGATGCTTTTGGGAAAGTACTGGGAGGGAAATTGAACTTGAAGCATATAGTCCTGCGACAATTTGTCCGCAGGGTAAATGAATCGAAGATCTTTCAGGCCCTCCATAACCTTACTCTTATCTAATGCCATGGTGTTGATCGGGCTGTGGGAACTAGATGGTAGATAGTAGAAGAGTAGAAGAGAGTAGATGAAGTTGTAAGTTTTATGATTTCGTGGACTTGCGAGATTTTGTGGGATTAAATAACCTAGATACCTACCTTAGGTACTTGTTTGTGCATCTAGGAAACAGCAAGCACTAGCTATTTCATTACTGTAAGACTCTACCCAATAGAAGGTCCTCTAATTACTGAGGATTGGTGGGATTTATTCACCGGTTACAGAATACCTAGCAGCAAGTATTACTTATATCATTACGATATAAGAAGTTATCAAATCTATATAGTTAGGAAATCTGTAGAAGCGATGGTATACATATTATTAGCCATTCCATTATAAGCTACATATTCCAATACATGTCATTATCGTCTATCTACCTGAACTTTGCGGCTGAATAGAAAACCGGGATCGCGCTGCAGATTAGTACAATGCTAAAGCATGTCTCAAACCTCCTAGCATTGCTCCAGGGTAGCTTCAGTAGGACTGGACCCACATAACACGGCAATGGTACCTTCCAAGATAAACAAGAAAATTGCCGTTACTATGCGAACTGGAAACAACCGACTTATCGTTACTTCCTAACCGGTAAGTTAACGCCTAAAACAACAATAGTTGAGCCTTAATCTATTTTCCTGTTACGTTACAACAACAACAACAAACGTACCTAGGTATGGACGCTATTCGATTCCCGCCTAGACCGTCCGCTGCTACGCCCTCGATTTCAACTCTGCAAGCCAAGCTTGTAGACCAAAATTGATCACCGTGCCACGTATGAAGAGATATACGCTACAATTGTAGAAATGGGCGAGGAGCTCAGCAGTCAGGACGCTGCTAAGGCGCAGGACATGGTCGCTGCGCTCAGGGAGGACGAGGGAAGACAGGTGACCTTGCTCCTGCACACGATCCCCTGGCAAGTCTTGCGCTCGATCGCGATGCGTATGGTAGCCTTCGACTTCTGGAAGAGAGACTCGGACAATTGCGCGCTCTTGTACGACAAGGAGGGGCCCGGAGTTTACATTGCTATCATTTCCGTGGTCAACCGTCAAGGCACACCAACGTTGGAATACCTGGTATGTACGATGGACACCAATGTATGATCAATGGTATGCAAGAGAACTGTTGATGCAGAACGTCGCAGAATTGGTAGAGAAATTCGACAAGAAAAACAAGTTGACAATGGAAGAGTTGAAACTACGCGATGAGAAAGAAGATGACGAATTTATAGTTGCTGAATTGACTCGGGGCACTTAGAGCCTAGTTAATCGCATGTAGATGGCTAGATCATAGTATTAACCCTGATCGAACATGTCACCGTCCTCTCCAATATAATAAAGGTAGTACGTCGTACTTAAATAGTTTAAGACCGTAGGATACCTCAGCTAATAAGTCTAATCTATAATTCCTAATAAGCAGGTACCTATTGAGCCGTCGTAGTACCAAATATCAGCTTGATATCCTAGACAGTCTATATGAAATTAATCAACGGGTATCAATCCTGAAAATGGCTCATCTGGCAAATGACAGAAGTTGGTCTTACGCCTTGTGCCACAACGAGACTATTACGCAGAGATTAGTGAGCATTGGATCTTATCAAGAAGCGGAATGGCATGTCTACGTTATAGTAGTCTAGGAGTGTGTACGAAAGTCGGCCAGATGTCAATTGTATTAAGCTTTCTAATGTATCTAGCAATTATGGTGACGGGACAGCGGACCAGTGATGATCCCTGCGATGTTCTGTTCTGAAAGTAGATCCAAATCTAACTACTAGTCCTTATAGTGAGAGGTGTCGGGCGGCACGGATGCCTCGCCGGAGAGGCTTAGAGTCCCAAAGTTGGAGGCGAGGTTGGTGCCTTCGTCGTCGTAGATGATTTCGGCCTGCTCCTCACTTTCCGAAACGCGTTGGTCCTCGTCGTAGCTCTTCCCGTAGCTTCTCCACTTCCTCCCGAATCTTAGCTAGAGCGGCCGTGCAGCTCTTCACGGCACGTTTACTCTTGGCCTCAACGGCCGGGGACCAGACTTCTTCGACCACTCGTAGGCGAGCGACAATGTCGGTGAGATAGGGGAGCCGGTCGTCACCTTCGAAAACGAACTTTTGAATCAGTTCGGTCTTCTGCGAGGCGCTGTTTCCGGACTCGGGCTTGATTATATCGCGGACGAGGTCTGCGCCTAGCTGGAGCAAGCGCAGCTCGGCTACGCGGGCGCGGGCGGACGGTCTGCTGATAGGGATGGCGGGGTCGCCCTTCTCCACGAAGCTAGCTAATTTACTAAACTTCTCTTCGATGGAGATGTCGCCGTCGAGAAGCTTTGCCGAAACTTCGTCGGCCAAGCGGGCCATCTCTCGGTGGTGAGCGGCGCAGAGGCGAGCCATCCGCTCAGACTCCCGGCTAGCCTGGAGGATCTGAAGGCGGCTCTCCTCCTCCGCCTTGTTCACACCATCCAAAGCGTCCTTATATTTCTCGTAGCCAGTAAAGTCCTGCGTGGGGACTAGCAGGGTCGACTTTTGGATATCAGCTACTAGGTTCATAATGCTGATATCTTCCTTGACTGCCTTTGCGGCGGCCAAGCAGAGAGTGTTCCACGCTTGTAAGAAACGCCACTGTACGCCCGGAGAAGTGGCGTCGACGTCTGCGCGTAGGCGCGTGAAGAGGGTCGTAGGGCGGATAATGTCTCCGACCCTACAAAACACCATGCCTTCACTGCCGCACAGCTCGTCGGACAGCTTAGCCAGGTGGCGCTCCAGCTCGTCGGGGCCGGCGAGGACCTTAGTGATATCTCGGGAGGCAGGGATCGTGATCTGGAAAGGCTCTTCGCCTTCCTCGACCTCTTCTCCGTCCGCGATATACCACCAGCAAGACATCAGGGGAGCGATATCCGTAGGCTCGACGCCTTTTGGAACCACTCGTGCTTCCGCCTCGGTCTTCTTCTCGCCAGCCTCTCCCTCGACCACGTCGGATTCCTTGGTATCGCCGTTCCCGTAGGTTCGTTCGTACCAGTACTCCATATATGCCAAGCTAAAAGGCTCGGCGTGGGTCTCCGGCTCTTCCTCGTTGAATTCCCATTTCTGGTTCTTCCTAGCCCTTTTGAAGGCGTTCAGACAGGTCAGGTAGCGGAAGTACGACTGGCTAACGCATGGAGGTTCCTTGCGTCTTTCGAAGAGGAACTTCAATATTACATCACCGGTCACCTTCATGCCATTATCCCACGCTTCTCGCGAGAAGCCGGGACGGTCTATCAACAACTGTTGATACGCATGCTCCTCTCTCTCCAGATCGGAGTCAGAAGGCTCGTTGGAAATCTTCCACTGCATCATTTTTCGTGTTTGGTAGTAGTCAACGAAATAAAGATGGTATGAAAGCGTTGTTGTTGAGGAAAGAAAAAAGGAAAGAAGATGGAAACTTCAGAATTTTATGTGATTCGAGTGCAGCTTGGACCTTAGGCAGCAACCTGGCAGCTGGACAAGCTGGCAACCTGACAACCTGGCAACCTGACAACCTGGGCAGCCGTGCAATTAAGTACCTTTAGGGACCTGACCTACCTACAACCCCATGGCGTGCATAAGCGTAGGTACCTAAGGTACCTTATGAGTCCTATGCAACGTGTATTCGCGGTCTCTAATTACACTCTATGATGCATGCCTCGCCGGCTTAGGTAGGTATTCCTACCTGTAGATTTGTCAAATAAGATTCGGGTAATTCTACAGAGGCGATTGGCTCTTTATAAGATGAGAATTGGATTCAACACGGGAATATTACGTAACAGAACTGGCATTATCTATAAGGTGATATTTTAACTCGGACTTGGGAGTTAGTACTTAATTCTTGGGCAGATACTACGAGTTCACTATTGCGTTAGAAGCCTCGCTCAAGGAGTGGTAAGGTTAATGTTAGGATAGTTAATAGTTAATTTAGCCATGTCTAGAAGCTACACCATCCAGCCTTTTTCCTCATCTTCATCTTCCTCATCTTCGTCTTCCTCGTCTTCCTCCATATCGTCCGAGAATTGTGGCCGAGGTTCTGGATCACTCGTAGCCGATCGGAGGGCCGCCGCTCTTGCTTCTAGGGCCGGGGTATAATTCTGGAATGTGGCGAAAAATTCATTCCTTTCAGGTCCGAGTAGTAACCGAGTAGGAATCAAACAACCAGGAGGACTTTTATACGGCTCGGAGACTTCCTTACCCACCGGAACATCCGGAACGGAAAACTTAACGGCTTTACTAAGGTTAACACGTAACCCTTTGGGGACGGTACTGTTAGAGGAACTAGTAGCGTCGGTTCCCTTATCGGGTCTGTAGGAGCTACGAACTATTTCCACCCTTGTACTACCACGAGCAGGAACAGGAGCGGAAGCTGCTTTCTGTATCGGCTTTCTGGGCCTATCCAATCCGCTAGATTCTGACTGCTTACGTCTGACATTGCCGCTGTCAACAGTGACAGCGGGAGTACGGGCGGGAGCAGGACCAGGGGCAGGACCAGGGGCAGCAGGACCTTCGTCGTCTGAAAATATAGGCGCGAAGCTTTCATCTTCGCCTGCCTCTACTTCGACACGTTGGCGCTTGGCATGCGATCCCACATCACTCCTTTCCCGTCGTCTCTTTCGCCTAGGTGCTTCAACCTCATCAGCCTCATCAGCCTCAGCAGCTTTAGCAGCTTCAGCAGTAGAGCGGCGCTTGTCAATAATCTCGGTACGTCTATCCCGAAGGATGATTTTCTCGCGCAGTTCGTTAAGCTCCTCCAGTGTCTTCGGCGCATCGTGACTCTTCTGGGCGGCGAGCACAATGCGCGAGGTCACAGAGAGAGCAAAGCGCGGAACCCCAGCCGGCCTGGTAGCGTTGGCGGCTCTGGTAACAATATTTAAGTCCCGCGTGGTTATCTTGAACACGGGAACTTCAGCCGGTCTAAACGGAGCATTCTTCTTCCTGAAGGCCCGCTTCTCGATATGGCGCATCAACTCTGACATAGCGCTGGCTAGACGCTTCCGGCGGCGGACGAAGTATGCGAAGACTTCCCGATGGATCCTCACCACTGACTTAGAACCGTCCTGGTCCCACATTCGGGCGAAGAACATATCTAAAAAGTCATCAGTGATCGGATTATTACAAGGGATCGGCCCGCGGTAGTCCTTGCGGCAGATCACCGCATACTGCAGCGCCAGCGTCAGGAGATTGTGATTAAATTCGAATACCGGGTGAAGCGCGAGCACCTTGAGCTTTCTACAGAAGGACGTTGACCAGTTAGGGTCTTCGTCTACCTCTTCATCCTCGTCCACGTCAATCTTCCAGTACCTGAGGTGGTTCTGCGGACTGATGATGTCCATCGGGAAGCAACCAAGAAAGCGGCGGATGATCTTCCACATGGGAAGAATATCTTTGTTTTTCTTGACGTTTAGTGCGTCAAACTTCGCTATTATCGGGTCGCGACTAAACCGGTCTAGTAGATCGTTCTCATCTTCTCGAGTCCAGTACTTGTTGTACTTAACCTCTAAGGACTTCCTACATTCGATCATGGTAAGAGGCGGTCGTGCTTTCTCCACGTGTTTCGATGTCCTCTTGTCCATGCTTTTTAGCTGTCGCATGAAAACCATGGCGACTTTCTGCATAGACCTGGAAAGACCATTGTAAGAGGCTAGCAGCATATCCTCATCAACCGTTAAAGTACGCGGAGGTAGCGGGTTCGGTGCGACGTGGTTTGGCGGGTACGCGTATACAGTCCCGTCGACGTTTAAATCGACGTCGAAGGTATCATGGGCATCTCCGCTTGTCCATTTCTCATCGTCTTCGTCAGATTCCGACGCGAAAGGGTTTTGGTCGTCGACCTCCTCCAATGGAGGATCAATCTGACTTGGGCCAGCTAATCCATCCGAATCGTCGGAGAGACTACCTTCCTGAGAGTCTACGTCCATGTCCTCAAGCTCGCGCCTTCGGGATGGACGGGATCTAGGCTTAGATGCTGTCGAAGTGGTCGCAGCGGCATCGGCAGCAACTGGAGAAACGCGGGCGGTACGGCCAGACATCTGTTACTGAATTAGCAATTGAGAGAAATTAGATAATAGAAATCATTACCGGTGCAATACTTACGGTGAATGGAGATGCTGATGGTGGTGCCGATGTTGTAGAAGAAGAATAGAAGAGGAAAAAGATAGTGTGCGTGACGACGATTTCAAAGGTTAGGCTACCCGATATTCTCGAGACAGATAGGTATGGTAAAAGTATACCACCACGACATGAACTTTTGGAACGTGTCAAATGAATGGTATTAATTTACGATATAGCAACCATTGTAAGGATCTTGAAGTTTGGTTTGTACTGTTTCACAATCGTATTTTTATAAGCTGTAGTCCTTATAAAAGTCGTACCAATTATTATCAATATTTAACTACAATCTTAATGAAGCTACATTTTTAGTGTAATTGGGAGAGGGAACGTGGGAATGCAAGCCAATAATAAGTTTCCAAAAGAACATGTTGTTAAATTGACCACATGGCCAAAAGGATGTATCTTATCATAACATAAATGGAAGGTACCTACCCTGGAACAAAGATAGGAGGCTCCGGACAAATGATGCGTCCAATCAAAGCGCTGCATGCATCCTTGCTCTGGCGAGACCCCAGTTTTTAATCGAGCCTCAAAGCTTAGATAGATGACAATAACAGGTACTGGAGCGTGTAGCCCGTAAATTGCTTGTATAGATTGTGTAGCTTCCTTACTTCGTGATCATACATATGAATAATACATATGATAGACTCCTGGTAAAGTGCTACCTTACAGCTCATCTAATTCATAATGTGACTACATTGTAATTTAATTATACCTTTGAAAATGTTTACATTGCCCACTATCGAGTAGAAGGCCATGTAGCTGCGTAGCATTATGTACCTAGGTAATGGTAGGAAATTCGCCATCCCAACGTATTTATAGTTGTTGGCTTCCCTATACGCTCGTATCTTTATCAGGGCCTTTTTGACATCATCATACAAGCTAGTCTCCGACGGTTGCTGGTCCCTTTTGATGACTGCCAGATATCCCAATACTTTATGTAGGTCGTAGCTTCTTCGGGGCTTGTGATTTAGGACAACTTCTGCCCAATAGTCTTCGACGGTTTCCGCTCTCTGGGTGATGGCTTTGTCATGTACTCCGAATCTGTCTTGAATGTATTTGCGGCCACGATTCTCCCAGTCTGCAATCCTGGGTTTCCATCGAAATGCAGAAATAGCCTCGCGAATCTCGTCTTCTGTGTATGCTTCATGCGCCAATTCCCACTGCTGCTCGGTCATTAGGTAGTTACCTAAGGTACCCAATGCACTAATAGCGCTGTCAAGGCCTATGTACCTGCCAAGCGCTTGCGTGTAGTAGCCTAGGTAGGTAGGTACCCAATGTGCAGCACTCTTAAAAACTATCGTCACCCACGCCGTCTTTTACTATTTTCTCTTTTCTCTTACAACATCGACACCACGGTCCATCACCAACATCTCCATTCACAGTAAGCATCCACATATCGCGCTTATAGTAATACTCATGTTCTCTTCTAAATTGCTAATGCTATAACAGATGTCTGACCGTACCGCCTGCGACTCTGGAACTGCGGCTCCTGCCCCTGCTGGACCTGCTGACAGCAGCGACGCTAAACACGAGCAGCCAACAGCCGTGCCCACTACCGCCATCCCCCCCAGTATCAGGGACGATAAGGGAACCGAGGCTGCTAATGCCGTTCCCAAAAGGGTCAAGGTTCGCTTTAGTAGAGCCCGCATGCTCCCCATCAGAGAATCTTTTCCAATGGGTAAAGAAGTCTCCGAGCCGTTTAAAAACCCTATTGGTTACTTCCCTTCCGATTGGCCCCTGTTCGGACCCAAAAGGGATGAATTCTTGGCTACATTTTCAAATCATACCAAAGAGCTAAACCTTCAACTCACGGTACGCCGCTCGATTTATGGTGAGCGAGAACCTCGGCCACCAGTCCCTCGCGATATGGAGGACGAGGAGGAAGATGAAGAGGAGGAAGAAAAGGTTTGAGGGTGGAGCTTTTAGTCGTAGCTGAATTAACTATCCTACTATTAACCTTACTATTTTTTAAACTCGAACGAATTTATAATATATGCCTAATGCTTAAATGTTAAGTCTTAAATTCGACCTAAAATATCATCTTATAGATAATTTTAGGTCGATTATAACGTAATATTACCATATTAAGTCCAAATATTAGGTATATTTTTAAATAGGAACTAATGTTTCCTGCAAAAAATGGCTTATATAAATCGCTGGCTACAGATAGCACTATGTAGGGTTTACTGATTAAATGAATACAAATTAGAAAATTATCTTAGGATAGAAATGCCTGAAGACAATGTTTAAAATAAACAAAAGAAAGGCTAGTATTCCAGTTGAATGCCATTTTGTCGCGAGCATAAACCTTCCTTCGTCGCAATTACCATATAATCTTTCCTAATAGGCCATTTAGCTTACCTATTATAGCCTCCTTAAAATACGTCATCCAATAGTACATCAACATTGCAGCTGCAGATTTCATCATCATATCTACCTATGTACCCAGGTAGTATATTCTTGCTAAGGTACCTAAGGTATATATATACCTGGTACACTCATTAGGTCCGTGCACCAAGGTAAACTCGCAGCTTCCTCTTGTCTGCTGGTTACCTGAGGTACACTTAGTTGACTGTAGTTGCCAAATGGCCTAGGCATGTATGCAGCTTCCTTCTGAAACAATCCAAACACTCTCCGCCTTTGGCAGAATCCTCTAGATCCTAAGCACGAAATATTAACTTGCATCTCCCATTTTAATTTTTCAATTTCAACTTCAACATATCAATTACAACATCTCGACTATAACAATAACAGTTAATAATGATATATTACCTACCCAAACTACAATACCTAAACCACAATACCTAAACTACACTACCTAAACTACACTACCTAAACTACACTACACACCTGCACTACCTAACATTACACATGCCCTTACAACCTTATTCTAACTCATCTACATTATCTTCAATTCATCCCCAGGGAACAATATACGACGTACAAGCTAAGCCACTATCAAGGCCTGCCAGTAATGACGCGGATAGCGATGCTTAGCTGCATTGTACCATCTCGTACTGGTCACAAGTTGACGATTAAAGGAACTCAAATGTTGAATTTTATAAGTCAAGTGAGGCATATTGATAATTTCCACGTCGCTTGCTTACTAGTGTCTGCCGGAGCCCGTGCGGAGCAGCATAGGCCCCGCTAAAAGACAACGACTTGTCTTTCCTGGCACTCGCGGAGCACAAACTCATGCAGGACACCTTTTGGCAGCACGATCATTTCCTCCTATTCAATCCCGAAACGCCTTACAAGGTGAATGGGGAGTGGGAGTTCGGGACAATATGTGATATCACGGAACTGGCCGAGGACAGTCTCATCACGTTTAATTCGGGTAACCTCGGCGAGAAGATCGCGGAAGGGTTTGGGCTTGGCATCGACGACGATATAGTTTTCGCCAAGCAGGCCAAGCCGCCGTCTATCCTACGGGTTCAATACGACGTCAGCGCGGACGATCCTAAGAAATTCCAGGACCTCCGCAAGATCGTCGTGGATATGACGCACGCGGAGCGTAAACCCTCAGGATTATGGGAGCTGACAGAGCCTGGCGCGGCTTTGATGACTTACCGTCTGATAGCCGAGGTCTGCCTGTCCAGCTCTCCCAAGGTCAAGGACACGATCAGAACGTATCTAGCGGAAGGAGAAGTGATTCGTATTCCCACTACCTTCCCGAATCATATGAGCGAGCCCCTAGGCAAGGCGAACGCTCGCTATATGCTTTACTATTGCTACGGCGTAAAAGATATTCCCGGCGAGGATATGTACTCGGAGATACTGCCTCCCTTCGATATGGCCAAGGCAAAAATCTGGCAGGATGTAGTGGACGGCAACTCGGCCGAGCCTAGTTCGTAGCCCAGTAGCGGAAGCGGCGAACATGCGGATTTCCTTCAACGGCATAGATATCTTCATAAAGGAATGGGTGCAGATGCCAAACACGCTGTATTTACTCTCCTACGTAGCTGATGATTCTTCAATTTAACTCAACCTCCTCAGATGTATCTTCTACCTTCTAGACGAGTAAGATTGTAATACTGCAATGCTGTTTCCAATACAAATTAAGACGCAAATCAAGTATTAAATATACGCAATTACACCACCACGGCAGTTAGACCAATATTTCTTCGTTTCATTATCAATTACGAAAGCCAATAGGTCAATAGACGAAACGAAGATGTTAATGTCCTAATTTTAATCCCTAAAATCTTCAACAACGCGGTTTTCGTCGTTCCTAGGCAAAAAAACAGGTTTCTCTACATTATGGACTGATAAAAGGCTTACAACTTACCTCAAAATGGGCAGTACCCACCAGATGAGTTATATGGCACATATTAGAAGGCCCTATCAAGTGTCTAATAGGAAGGCGAAGTTGATTAGAACTAACTAGAACCGTATCATTGGGAACTCGCCATAGTTGTGACTCTTCGTATATTAGAACCTAGGATTAGACGTAAGTTTACATAGTAAAGGTATATATAAGGAGTGCTCAGCGCCCTCAATATAAAATTTTAGTTGGTGTTAGGATTAGTTACCATAACGAAGAATTGAAAGGTCATGTAGAGACACTCTAAACGCTCCTGAGCATGAAGAGTTCCCAGCTCAAAAAGGCCTGGAAGTATGTTGAAATGAGTGGTCAAGGGACTACTCTCAGGTACAGTACATGGCATCTTGGCATGGAATGTATATATAAGAAGGACCTCCCTCCTCACTCATACAGTTGGTAGATTAAGTCAATATACAACTACAGCTCATATACCGTATCTTTCAGCATACCTTTCTACCTCAGCGCAGGCATTACATACCACTTTACCGAAGTTTACATTTACTCATCAAGGAACAGTTTAGTTACGTTTACCGTTCTCATTGATGGCGGAGCTTGATTTTCGTGTTTCATAGAACGAGACGATTGTCATATGTATCCCTTGTGATAGGCAGTTTTGATCTTTAACTGGTTAGTTCGTAGTATAAAATGAGTATATCGCGCTCGTAAACTAATATATAAATGTCGCTAACTCGAATAGTGAATCATATCTCATCTTAACCAGCTTAAAAAATAGAGCCACCGTATTCATCCTTGCCTAAGCCAAAACCGTCATCCCCCCCATGTGCCAAAAGAACATTGACGAGTTCGACACAACCATATCTTCGGGCATACACGATCGGCATCCAGTTATCCCCATCTAGGGCTCTCACATCTGCCCCGGCATTTATTAATATTTCCGCAATCTTCACCCTGTCCTCGATTCGTGGCTCGGTAAGTTCGAGGTCGTATTTACCAATTCTTCCGACGTCCGACAATTCACATAGCCTTGAAAGGTAGTGGAGCGGCGTCCCTAGATCACGCGCTTCCGCGTTTATATCCACTCGTGGGTCGGCGACTAGAAGTAATACTACCTCAAGGGAACCATAGCGACAGGAAAGATGTAACGGCGTACGGCCGTAGTTATCGGCAATAGAGGGGTCAGCTCCGTGATTGAGCAGCATTGAGACAATGCGTGATCGTCTCCTAATCCCCACGTGGGCTCTGGAATTTAGTAGGTAGATTATCTTTGGGAATATATCGGACTGGTATGTAACAAGGTGAAGAGCCGTGGAGCCGTATGCATCAACCGCGTTGACATTAGCACCATAGCGGATTAGTCGTTTAACAATATGCGACTGAAGGTATTTTGAAGCAAAATGTAGTGCTTGGAGTCCTCCTCTATCCTATAGAACGTTAGTTTAGGATCGCTATGATCTTTTTAGGCTTCTTACTTGAGCGTCTATAGGCTCCCCAGCTTGCACGAGGAAGTCAATGACTCTGTCGGCCTCAGCTCCAATAGGTATCTCCGTGGCGCAAATCCCAGACAGCGGCGTTCTCAAACCCCAACGTCCATTTCCTTCGAATCTTCTATATTTAGTGCGCGTAAAATTGTATTTACGTTCCGCATCGTAACTCTGAATAGGATCAGCTCCAGCGTCAAGCAACATCTGGAGGCAAGATATCATGGCTTTGTACCCTTTATGAGAGTAGGGGAGTTTTTCATATAGTTGATTTATAAGAAAATTCCAAACAGTCGTCTCGTAAACAGGCACTACTTCATTTATCGCTGGGTAATCGACTAGCTCGATTGCCAACCACTGGAAGCAGTTTTGTATACGATATCGCCATCCTGTGTTAAGCATGCGTGCTGTGAAGATGTCGGAGAGAAGTTCGAAACGACCACACACAAGCCTTTGTCGAGAGTTACCTAGCATAGTAGCTGCGTCTCGTAAGATCCTGAGCTTCTCCAGCTGATTTCTTGTAAAGGTTCCGACTTCGGGTTGATTTAGAGAAGAAATGCAGAATTTATACTGAGCCTCGTAAGCTGCATGGTTCGTGGTTGTATTTGTAGCAATCGTTCGTCGTAGTAGATTGATCGGTATAAGATCATTGTGAAAGATCCGTATTTCTGGGCTGCGGTCTATGAACCACGGGAAATAATGTTGGTGGTTTTCTACTCCGTAGTCTAGAAGTAGCCCTGTAAAATAGACCTGAAGTTCCCGTCCAACTATAGGGGAAAGAGCCCACTCTAGTGGGCGGAGTCCTCCATATGGATCCTGTAAGTCGACGTCGGCATGATATTCCTCTAGTAATAGTTGGACGATATCGACCTGTTCATGCCCTATTGAAAGGTTCAGAGGTGTTCGAGGGCTAGACTCGTGACGAGTTCCGCATGGATTGGGGCCGGTGAAGACGTGGTTAACGTCTGCTCCAAACTCGATAACCGTACGAAGAAGAGTTTCATCCCCATTACAACAAGCCCAAGAGAGAGCCGAGTTACGCGTTCGAGAACTGGTTCTCAACAGCTCATATCTTGCTATGCGGTAGAGCTTCTCACTGCCGGCTCGACTCAGGGCGAATTTGCCGCAATCGTCAGTGAACTGGAGGAGGTATACGATCAACTCCTCCGGTAGGTTTGAAAGCCGGGCTTCAGGGTTCGTAGAGGTAGGAATTGTGGTTCCCTCCATTGTAAGGGAATGGCCTGATCGTTTAGGATCAAAGAGCTCGGCAAAGGATTGTTGAGGAAGATACTATGAAGAGGTTGAATAGAGCAGTCTTGTTTGGTAAAGGTAAGTGGTTAATGAAAGGCAAAATGCTAGGATATGGTTATATAAGTAGTGAAGAACATGAGGGAGGAGGGTAAGATTTAAATTACTATATCGTTTATAAAGGGTAAAAGCTAAGTTGTAAAACTCCAAGTGTATCCAATTCGATGGATTGTAGTGACTCATGTCTGGTTTGTAAATAACTAGGTAATTATACAACTAACTATGGTATGGTCTAAGCTTGGTAAGTGGTCGTTTGTATAATATCGGGTAGCAAATTCTATTTTTAACCGGTTGACCCTGACAACATGCCCGTAATGAATCATCTATATAGAGTGATGCTATTTACAGATTGCCCCACAGAACAGGTGAATGTCATTGACAAATAAAGTTCTTAGTCTAATGTCATGGCCCCGTTCTGCCCCATAACTTCCCTTGAACACTCGTAGTTTTAGGGGACCTGTGCGCTCAATCTAGCATGCTAGACGGCTGCCAGGATATTATTGAGGTCAAAATTTTAAGACCTCTGTTCAAGACTTTTTACGCACCTGATATGAGGCTCTGGGGTCTTTTAATATAAAGCTACCTACATACATAGTAAGGTTGTCACTTATTATTATCTTTCTTAATATACCCCGTATCTATAAAATCTTAACACCATTAGATCCGTCTCACTTTGAGGATTACGTTGATATAAGTAATAGCTATGAAATGCGCTGTATTTGGTGGTAAATATAGTATACATATTACTATTTATAGATTGCATGCCACTATTCAGAGATTAGGTTCCTTATTCAAAGATTACTTTCTTAATAACTTTTTCAAATATGGTTATATCTCAATATAATTAGTATAAGTCAATCCAACTCGGTTGGATAATTCTAACGATATATAAAAAGGGCTTATATCTATTAAAATTACCAAATATCATCAACTTTCTATAAGATTCCTAAGGAATATCATTCTATTAATAATTTTGGTGGGCAAGTACATGTACTTAATCTGTGTGGTAATCTGTCTAGAAGGCCTATCACGGCAATCTATAAGCAGCATCACTCTTAGTTATAATGCTCCTGATGTTAAGTTGTCGGTATGATAATGTAAGGCCCAGTAGTTGATGTTACCCGATATCAGATGACTAAGGGTGAAGACGTTCAAGTACGAGATCCGGTTATGAGCATTTTGCTTCCGTTCCGTGACGCGCTTGACATCTCCGTGATCCGAGACTCAATAGCTTACCGGAACGCCGCCGAAGATTCCATATGCGGAGTCCCTTAAGTCACGTGACAATGTTATGACGATACTATGTAGAAGTCTACGAACGGTCTAGATTGTTGTACTCGGGAATAGAGCTCGGACCTCCCGATCCCGAACCATCATACGTCCGATCATTTCCTAAAATTTATTCTACCGGCTTACCTTCAAGTTCACCCTACAATTATAATCGGAGAGTAATAAATAGAGAGTGTTGAATAAGGAAACCCACGAAGAATGTTTAGGGTTAGATATACATTGTCATAAAATTATCGTCGTAGATCCTGAAAGATGTAGCGCTCGCGTTTAATCCTCGCGGAAATTAATATCTCCGCATGTTGCCAAGTGAATAAGCACCAGTACATAATGTCGGGCGAGATATACAACGACTTTCCCCATGGAAATATTAAGACCTCCTGTATTGGATATTTAGAAGCTTGGTTAGATATTACGATGCTATTATGAAAAAAGAAAAAGCGGTTGTACGACTTGATCAAGAAGTTATTCGACCGCGGAGACATCCGAAGCCGCTGTCATAGCTGATATGAGTATCTTGCTTATTCGCAGCTTTTGTAAATGAACTGTAGTCAGCCAATTTCGAGAGCAGTGAGCTGAGTAGTGTTAATAAAACTCTCCTTTATAAAATCGAATCTAACATGATAACAGTACTTGGAGCTATTCACGATAATGCGCATGACAAGCTTCAACGTTGCAATTCTTGGCAGCTTGGCAGCTTGGCATCTAGGCTATCTCTTGAAAAATGCTACAGCAGCTTTTAGCTATCGTTATTTTGCAAAGCTGGTCCTGATACCTTATCTCTTGAAGAATAGCCAAGAAGCATCTGACAATTCATTTATATTCTTGGTATTTATATTGATAAGATATCATCTGCTCCCATAACCAGGGTAATGGTTCTAGTAACATCCGTAACGGGCAAGCGGTCAGATTCTCGCTAGCTGGGCCATCAATCTTATCTTCTCCAGCGAGACGGGTGACGTGCGTTAATATAGATCCTGGTGCCGATTGGACGGTCGCAAATCGGTAAGTGACAGGAAGGGCAGTTATATTTTCTGCATGTCGGGCAGCGCGAGTGAGTTAAGAATACTACCCATCACGAATTGACCTTTGGTAGCTTACTGCACTCGCTTCTAATCAAAGTCCCCTCCGCCAAGAGGCCGTAGTCTTTCCTGGCCGATACCACTAGGCAATGTAGCTACGAACTTACCACACCTAACCTTATACGTACTACTTTCGGTACTTTAGCTGATAGGGCAGAAAACTCGATTTCGGCAATGATTGTCAGGCGCGAGGCAGGGATTCATCCAGCTTCTCCTTATAGATGATCTACTATCACTCTGAACCAGTCCAGTGGTAACCTACTCTTCCGAGTAAGACTCTCTTGGAGTCGAGACCGCCTATCTTTAAGCCTTCCACGCACGTAAGAGCTGAATGTGCGAACTACCGTGACCTACATCGTAAAGTAGACTTAGACTAATCCTGCCGTCAGATGCTAAGGGGTGGTGACCGATTGGTTAGCTAGGAGTCACGCACGTAACGAACTAACGATTTTGCAATACAGAAATCTCTGAGCAGGAAAAAACGCAGTGGATACGTGATGGCGCAAATTAGGCAGGTAACAGAGCTCTCAGCGGCTTCGCGCGGGACCGAGGTAGATATGAAGAGTCTGAACGCGTATGTCTGGTTTGGTATAAGATGTCACAGGCAGCTTTCTCGATACTCCTATCCCAACCGCATACCTTATTGGATATTTTCACTTACAATAACCCTAGTCTTCATTCCTCGGTACACAATGTTGTTCAAGTCAGTTACCGCTGCTGCCCTTCTGGCTTACACAGCCGCTGCCCATCGTGTGTTCCCGCGAGCAGATGGGAACTCTACAAGGCTTTGCGGTACCCCTGAACCTACCGAAGCCCAAATAGCTGCCTCACAGATTATGCTTGCCAAGGAGCGGGAGATGCGTGCTAAGGGCGAATTTCGGGCCCTTAGATCATTCAGCGTAAACGCTTATTTCCATGTTGTAGCGGCATCTACATCGGTCGACGATGGTTACCTTACCGTGAGTAGTATATTTTCGTCCCGGCTGCTTTGCGTACTAAATTTTATATAGCAAAAAATGATTGACGACCAGCTTGACGTTATGAATGCTGCCTACGGTGTACACGGCATTACGTTCAACCTGGTTAGCACTGACTGGACCGTGAACCGCAGCTGGGCCCAGGATGGAGATGAACTTGGAATGAAGAGGGCTCTTCGCAAAGGCACCTACTCTGATCTCAATATTTATTTCCTCGGCGATCTCGGCGGTGGATTGCTTGGGTAAGCCCCTAATTATTCCCTACAATATTATAAGCCTGTCTCTTGTTCCGTATGTCTCATCTAGAATCCTGACAAAGCCATTAATATTTCCTAGGTACTGCTACTTCCCGGACAACGTTTCTGAGGGATCAACTCAGTTTTACGAGGACGGATGCACAATATTAGGTGCTAGCGTCCCTGGGGGTAGCGCCGAGCCGTATAATTTAGGCGGGACCGCGATACACGAGGTCGGTCACTGGATGAACCTCTATCATACATTCCAAGGAGCCTGTAGCGAGACTCAGGGCGATTTGGTTTCAGATACTCCTGCTCAAGCTTCTGCAACGTCAGGCTGTCCAAGCTCCCGTGATTCCTGCCCTGGTGGTGGTGTTGACCCTATCCATAACTATATGGATTATAGCGATGATATTTGCTACGAGGAGTTTACCCCGGGACAGGAAGACCGCATGTATAGCGGATGGTCGACATATCGTTCTTGAAGTATATTCAGTCGAAGACTATCTTGGTGGTAGCTATCTCGGTGGTAGGCGTACCAATATATGCCAATATTTGTTGTAAGAGAAGGTTATCACATGACTTGAGCTCCGTCCTACATAATGTCTCCACATAATGTCCCGCATGTACCTAAGTACCTAAACTAGGTTCTCAATCCCGCACACCTTAAATCTTCCCTCGGAATACAATGTTGTCAAAATACTATGTCACCTTAGCTACCAGTTAGTATGTTAATAGAGCTAGAGATTATATTCTATTCGGCTTTAGAGATCGCATTTTTTTCTTATACCTACTAGGGAATTGATTTAGTTATCGATATTATTGTCTAGGATATCTCATAATATCCAATAACTCCCTAGGTACCTAACCAACCAAACAGAAGTAGACCCCGAGTCCAATAGCCCATTTCGACGTCGAGGTAAGCTATAAGCGGCTCAACTAAACGCTCCGTCTACCTATCATCTTGGTTTTAGCTTCCCCACGTTCCGATCCTTGGTACCGTGCAGATCTTACACCAATGATCCTGGATGAAAGATGATGTTACCACACTCAGCAGTATCTAGAAGGCCATCAAGGTACACGATCCACCCCACTGCGCCTCTTCCGAGCGCTTCGAGTTTGAAAACGGCCGGGACCAGGATTAATAAGTCGATTGATTTTATTCATCTACGTTAGCAATGATGGTAGAGTCAATCCCATATTAAAAGGGAACCACGAAACATGGAAACCAAAGCAAATGGTGTACAGTTACATATATCCCCCAATCACAGTATCCAGTTCTTACTCCGCCCTTTCATCTGAATAAGCGTATGTATTAACGACCTTCTACCAACAATCTCTACCAACTCCTAAATTCGCCGTATTCGCCGATTGCTCCATCTCTTGTCGCACTCGGAGCGGGTATTCCTATTTGACGCCATCGGCCGAAACGAGATTCTTAACAAATTCAAGTTCGATATAACTCCATGTATCCATGCTTCTTCGTCCTCCCTGAATTGGCGATTTAACAAGTCCAGCACTCTCCAACCGAATCATAACCAACACCCCAATCTGTAGGGTATCTGCAGTACAGAGACCGACCGTGACATACGAGCTCGCCAGCCATCATGAGACAGTGCGGAGGCACAGCTGGTGTCTTGAATGGCGTACATGCCGATTTGGTCCGACTCGCATTCAAGGTAGACGTTACGGACGAAGGTGAAACCACGGAATCAGTATCATTGGCTATCATATTCGACCCGAAAGCTTGTATGTACGTCTCTGCTAATCCTTCGTAGTGTTTCATCGGTCGCGCATCGGCAAACCTTGAGATGGCTAGAATAACCAATAGTCGCAAATAGGTCGCAGCTTGCATGGCTAGGAGTTCTGTTGCCGTCCTAGGTGACGTTGAAGAAGAAATTGGGATGGTTGGATAACTCCCTCGTAATTTATAACTTCAAGTTCGGCTTTAACCTGATAACAAACGCCATTCGACTTCACGATAGTTGTCAACGTCTTCGCCAGGTTTATATCTTGCGGTCGAGGTTTCAACAACCAGTGTCACTGACGTCGTAAGCCCTCCTTTACATTTCGGCTAAATACCACCAAGTTACCAGGATGATAGACGTACATGCATCCTAGGAGACAGCGACTCATATAACGATCGCGATTGGTCCCATCCATAGCCGAACTTCATGTCGGCTTTTCGGAATAGATTGAGCGCAGGCTAATAGCACCTAACAATCTGGTCTTTTTAGAAGTAATTCAATTATATACGATACCTACATTCTAGAAACTTCTCGCGACTGGAGGATGAATTATACTGAGAGCAAAACTAAGTCTCAACTATCAGATTACTATTCATATTGGATCTAAGTCTGTCTATTCGGTCTAGCCTCTATAGCATTAGGTATCGCCATCGTTAATGTTTTAGTTCTTCGGAGAACCTTTCATAATCTACTTCATCCCCTTGAAATACGGTCGGCCTCTGCTGTCGCGAAGCTTGCCGGCCGTCTTCTCTGAGTCATTTCGGGCCTCCCCAATACGAATATAGATGGATTTTGTATAAACATATAGTCCATATCTTCAAGAGTACGGTTTGAAGTTTCCGGATAAAAGAAGAGCACTATTGGGAAATAGGAGAAACAGAATACGGCAAAAACTTTGATAGTCAGCAAAACCTCCAAGTTACCACGCCAGGGCCCAAAGACAAGGAACTTACTTAGGTAAAAGGCCCAACTTAGGTTATCAATGCCTACTTTGGTAAATTGAGTCACTACGAACCCGCCGAGCCAATTTGTGGCCGTGGCAGCTCCTGCTCCTCGAGATCGCCAACCTAGCGAGTTTACCTCGGCGCTATATACCCACGGTACGCCTAATTTATGAAATCGTGTTAGCCTCGTAACCCTACAATTCTAGGATCATCGCGTTCGAGAGAATCCAGGTGATAGGACCATCGCACTTACTACTAAACATTAGCCATTGTATTCGAGATCATTCTAAAAAGGAGAGTCGAAAATAACAACATGAGATGCTTTAATACGTACCAAGCCCATGTTAAACCGAAAAATACGTGGAAAACGATGAACATCGCGGTAGTTACGTTCCCCATCTGTAGCTACGGTAAGCGCGGTTCATATATCTAAGGTGGGATAGTCTAACAAGTTTCTTCTCGGAAATATCGAGCTCGCTCGATCTGAGACACAACGAAGCAATCAGATGGCATATACCCATAGCGATAGAACCGCATAGTAGCATCCTAGGCTTCTGTCAGCAGTCTTCAAACTCTTCGATAGGTATCTGAGGGTAAATGAATACTTTCGTCGACCAAGAGTATCGATGATAATTACGCTTCCGAATGCCGAAACTAGGTAGACAGTACCGCTGACAGCAGCAATCAATCGACTCATTTCTTCACTGAAACCGACGTTCTGCGCCAATAGCGTAGGAAGATAAAATCCTATCGAAATATTAGAATCATCCAAGAACTGGGTATAGAGAACCGTACCCAATGCGTTTATGCCGCTAAACTGCTGCATAAACTGAGTTCCGCAAGACAGTATCAAGCGACGGAAGTTGTGTGTCTTGTCGCGGAAGCAGAGGACATCCATTATGGGCGCGCGGTCTTCCCTCTCGAGCTCTATGGCGACTTTGATAGAGCGAAACTCTCCCGTGACGGTATCGTCGTTCATCGGAATATCCTTCCCGGCGAGCTGGCTAAGAACCCTGAGAGCGCTCTCTTCCTTACCAGCTAATAACAGCCACCTCGGCGACTCAGGAACCAGAAGGAGAAGCGGCGCTATCATGAAGAAGTAAACGACTTGAAACGCGAGAGGAAACCGCCATTGGAATGGTCCATTCTCAGAGTATAGGGCGTAGGCGATCCAGTTCGCTAACGCAAACGACGTCACGTTGGAAGCGGTACCGATGACGACCAGTTTACCTCGCTGGTGTGATTTCGCACATTCGGATAGGAAAACGGGAGTCGTAGTTGATGTTAATCCAATACCGAACCCGTTTATCAAGCGTCCGACGATCATCTGGGGCAGATGCCACGATGTGAACTGGAGAATAGCTCCCAGGAAGTTGCACAACAAACCCCATGCGATAGTTTTTCTTCGACCGAGTCTATCGCCTAGCATAAAAGCTGCCATAGAGCCTAGGAAGGCTCCGATCTGTACGGGTTCAGTCTTGTTTGCACGATAAAAGATCACTGGAATCAAAAGCAAAATAGCAGGGCAATTCTTACGAAGAAGCAACTCGATGTGATGCCTGATATATTGGCATCGAGGACCTCGGGAAACTGGTCCTTGAAATTCTCAGATACCAAGACACCAGCGAAAACGCCCTGCAGTATGTCAGAACAGACTACCCTGCTTACCAAGGCTTCAGCATTTAATAGATACCTGATCGTAGCCGAACCAGCAACTTGAGACTTAAGTCACGAATATCAGCCGGGCTCCGCAAAGTTTAGACATGCAAATTCCTTACGCGCATCGACGAGCGTGATCATAGCGATCAGCTTATTGCCGTAAATCTGGCTCTTTTGGCGTATCATTTTGGTCGATGATTACACGAAGACGTTTAACGATTAATTTCACAGAAAAGAATGAATACAGGCGTTAGCTATAACCCATCATATTTTATTACACTCTCTAGGGCGATAGTGTTGGGACGGGTTTGCTAAACTAGGAAACCCCGAAAGCAATCATTAAGTTTACACGCCGACGCCGGCTACACCTAACGCGAGTCCGGCCTTGGCATGCGTCCGGAGTCCCCGTTTTTGTAATGCGTCGGCTTCTGGTCGCGGTCTAGACGATGTGGAGTTAGTAAGCTGTCAAATAGATAGTCGAATATGGAAAGCTTATCAGAACGAGTGGGTATTTCCCCTTCACCGCATCAAAATACGTCGACGTAAACCGGAGATAGTCCTGTGGGGTATTAGGGCCCCATGGTCGGTTGTTGAGTTTAACGTATTATGGCATAAGTAAAAGTATTACACAATATTAGACCATGGTTCACACCCTACGAGGCCGCGGAGTGGAACTCTAAGCTGAACCGCCCATGTAAGACCCTTAGATTTCTAGGTGTATGTCTTTCACATGCTTTTCCTGTTCCTACCCACATCAAAATATTCATTCAACAAACTCACCTGTGCCCCTCCAAAATTATTGGATATCTCATACCTTATAATAATTTTTAAAATGCTACATAGCCACCTCCAATATACGTAGAACCTGTCCGTTGATCATTTAGTTATTTGATTCAATTTCTTACTCTCGCAGCGAGACCCATATTTCCGGGATTGCTCCTATTAGTCACCTCGGGATATCGAATTAAGTTTCGGTAAATGTTAATATCGACCGAGGTGCGGTCCGGGATTAAGGCCCCACTCAACCGGAACCTTGTGCAGCCACACTTAGCCACAGTCTTAGCCACATACCTAGCCCTAAGTCCTGGACTCCTTTCTTCTCATCACCAGTCGATGCAACTAGGCAGTTAATAATATTCCCTTCGAATATAGGTCATAGTTGAATCTATCTAAAGCACCGAGTGAAGATAAAATCAATGAGATTATGCTATATCGATAGTACTCCTTTTAGCCTGTAGTCGATTTACTGTGAATAGGGGTAATTAAGTCCTGTAATGACTTGACCGGATCCAGATTCCTTAAGTGACCAAACCTCAGCGACTCCATACCCGGGTCTGGTGGAAGATCAATATTCCATCGACGCTTGAGTACGTCCCTGATTACATCGTAACAAGCACCAATTCTGATTACCTCCACGGAAGGGCCGCTGAAATCTAGCAGCGTGGAACTTCGACCGTGAACCCACCACTTCAGCAGTCCGTAGTCTATCACGATATCCGCGATGTCAATGAGCTCCTTATTGATATCATCCACGCGATATTTAGTCCCTGCATAAGATCCCCATTAGTATCATCAGATTAATGTTTCTAATCGAACAGCATACCTGTGCCCGATAAATTTGCCGAACTACCCAAGAGCGGTATGTTTTCGGCAAACGTCAAGCTTGTTAGCGCGTCCTGGAATGCCCCAGCGTTAACCAGAACCGAAAGACTCCCGTTCACGTCGCATGCCTCCATAGTGACAGGGTCGATATTTTTGACCATTGGATGATCCCGCTTATACCGCGCGATGACACCGACCGGAATATCGAGATCCTGCGTCAGATGGTCGACGATTTCGTGATGTAGAGGTTCCATAATGTGCACCTCCTTATGAATGGCGTACGACCCAATCCCAGCATGCCGCTTGTGGGCTCCTCGTTGCTTCGTCAAGAAGATCTTCTCGAGCGATTTTGGATTGATGGCCATAACAGCATATCCGACATCTGCTGGGCAGATTGCTATGCCACCTCCTTTTAAGATCTCAAAGACGCGTTTCGCATCTTCTTGTACGTTAGGACGACCCATTGTTAATCGGATATTCTATAGGTAGATAATATGTTGTAGTCTTGATCTTCTATCAGAGATTATGTGCCTTATTTATATGAATAAATCAAAGCTATAGTTATTGTCGGTGAGCTAACTCCTGCAAATTTCGTCTATACCCTGGATAGGCCCCTGTATAGTTGTCGTCATCTTATAGTTCTGCAGTATAATGTTTTGTATCGGTCCTGTTTACTGGTTCGCTATATATTACGTGAGACGGAACCAATGCACTGATACGCGTAACTCAGATTGGATTATTGGAACTAAAGAAGATCTACATGATAGGTCTATCGTACCAACAACCTATTAAGGAGATCCCAAGTCTATTCGTTAATTGGTATTCGAACGAGTGTTGCTTGTATACGAATCATACTTGCTTACATGGGATCTACCTCCCCGCGAGCATGTCCGTCTTCGTCACTTTGCATTGGTATCCCAACAGATCTGATACAGCTCCTTATAATATTGCTTATAACTTAAGAGGTAGTTTGGGTTATCCTTCCAACCCAACCAGCGACCGGCTCCGCACAATACTCTTCGACAATAGCCACAGCATGGAAATTGTTGGGCTTAAAATTAGTCTTCGAACGATGCTTGAACCACTCCTCTACCTCGACATCATCAAGAAGACCATTATTTCCCTATTGAATGATCGGTTGAAAAAGCTTGTCGGGAGTGCTCTTTGAATACTTGCAATCCTTGTACCGTTAATTGGTCTCATGAATGCTGCAAGGTTATGCGGAACACCACTTCCCGATGTTGGGATGAGTGGGGTGTCCGTGAAGGAGTTATGCTTCTGACGGCGAATTCGCGCTTGGGATCCCTGAGATTTAGTTAGGCATTCCCCACTCTCATCAGAGGCACAGTTATGGTCTTCTGTGCAGACTATCATGAAGGCACCATCCGTGTCAACCCGCTTTTCGGTTCCCCGAAGCCACCGTCAAGATTCACTTTAGTAGCAAGCGTATATTATTTGCTATGGTCTATAAATCCGTAGCTCTGCCGATGGAGTAGCCGAAAACGCCTACTCTGTCCGAGTTCAACCTCAAAAGATGTACATTGCCGGCGCATCCAAGGATCTTGTCCGTCACTATAGGCTGGTCTTGTAGAACCCGTTCCCGAGCTGAAGAGTAGGAGCCTCTGGGTGATAAGAACATCGAGACTAGCTTGTATGGCGATATTCCCTTTGCAACACCCCCTAGCTTTCGGGGACGGTGGCTGTATATGGAGGGAGTTGTACTGCGCGTATGCATTGGCCTTTCTGCGTAAAATGCAGCATCTTGGGAAACACTATCGGCTAGACGGGACTGAGACAGTGAAAGTTTCTGTAACTAACATGTAGCGAGTAGGTTTAGTCGTAAATAATCAATTATTTCTAGTATGGTTGTTCCATTATTGAAAGGGCGCGTACACTAATATTGAAGACACGAGGAAGTAGTGATAACGGTCTAGACGATATGTTAGCGCTCTGCTTGTGAGAATACTTGGGCTGTAACAGTTGGTCAAGATACAAACACGTCGAGTCTATAGATACTATCTACAGATAGTATTTCCAACCTAGGTGAGCTAAAAGTTTGAAACTGTGGCTCCTAAGGTGTAAACGCGATGAATGCTGCTTTATAGGATTATTTATCTAAACCATTCTTCACACCTCTCGCATTTATTTACCCCTATTGGCTATCCAAGGAAACGTTATTCATACAGTAACGAAACAAGCCGAGTCCTTTCGGAGTTCAAAATGCAGTACCTGGAAGGAGATTTGATAATTGACACCTAAGCATAACACAGTTGCTATATGGTACTTCTATCCCGCTTTCGATCGTCGACCCCTTAGTCGCGATGCGCAGCTGCCTCTGCCAGGTCTACATCCGTGCGCGGCCAGAACCGAGTAAGATCGCCAAGAGGGAGGTTCAAAGTAATACGCATCTCTCCAGCCATGATCACGACGCACATATACCAACCTAGTGTTCCCACGACGAATAGTAGAGCTCCACCAGCCTATGCGATTAATTAGCTATGGTCTCTATGTTTCAGACACACAAAAACTTACCTTTTGCAAGCTTGCTGCTGCCTCGTAGTTACCTGCCGCAAGCTTGAAATACGAGCTAGATAGGGTCCAAACTGCTGAAGTGGCACAGGCGAAGATGATAGCAAATACCAGGTTGACCTTGAGCGTGAAAAGGAAGAAGGTAAACAGAGCAAAGCCCCATACGATAAGATATATCCCGAGCACGGAGTTGTACTCTGGCGACATTTGACCGCTAGGGTCACCAGCTGTGGCGTAGGGCTCTCCTAGTTGTAACGTGGGTAGCTGTAGCATACCGAACGATAACCAAAAGACGGCGTAGAGACCCATGGCCATCATGGGAAAGAAGTTCCCCATGATCCATTCGAAGACCATGGAGACTAACAGCAGAATGGGTCCGACGAAAAAGAATATGCCCCTGATGATTGGCGAAACGATTTAGCCGCGTTGGACGGATGGTATACGTTGTGGGGCCGGTAAAATACGGGGGGTATAGAAAAACACTTACACCACAGGCGTTGCTCCCTGAGCTCCTCCCCAGCCCATCAAAGTCATGGAGAAAGTAAAGGTCGAAATCACGAATCTAATTGTTTAGTTACCAAAGTGTCTTCATATGTCTATTTCCAGGACTATACAACACTTACCCGACAATGCCAAGAGGTGTCGGATTGGCGAATCGCTTGTTATAGTCGCCCACCTGAGGAACTTTGGGAGTAAGGTACAGCTATAATTGTGAGCATGAAGTTATAAATCTAGTATCAGGTAGCTTACCTTCTCGAAGAGCTCCGGCGGCATTGTCACGGTCGTGTCCGACCGGTTTAGCCCCTTCTCTTCATCAGAATGGGTCAGGATGCCTACTCTGGTCGTCATCTTGATTTTAGTCCAATTATAGCTGAATTGAATAGGAGAGAGGTTGAACAATGTATTCAAGCTATAGTTTAGATTTTTACTTCAAACTCACAAACTTCAGTAGATGATATCCTACCCTTTAATAGTTCTTAGACATTTTATTTACCCCAGATTCGATTAGCCTAGAACGTATCCAAGCTATATTGCCTTACTGGATGCAGCACTTCTGAACGACCATAACTGCCGGAGGTCTCGCATCTATCCAATTAAAGATTGAGTAGCGCTTAGCCACTGTATTCGTTCCGCGGCGCGTATTCATATCGCATGTAACCATATCAGTGTCTGCCGAAGCCAAGACATAGCTGCCTCCGAATGTGCGAGCCATGGATACAACTCCGGTGCGGGGCTTGGCTGTAAAAAGCAGTTGGCAAGCCTTTTTATGAATAGAAAGGCTACCATTTGTTCCAAGCTCATTTAATCGAATATAATGTAACTATTAGCCAATTGGTTGTCGTATCTATCTCTACACGCGGAAGGAGATCAAACTGGTCGAGAAAGCAACACCTTGGCCGTTACTATGAATGGGGCGCAGTTGAGATAAAATTGTCTGGGCGACTACTGATAGCTAAGATTCTTGTCTAGATGTTAGCCAGGATCCCGAACGAGAGCATGAATTGATTACCTAAATATCCATCACAGGCAGAGAGTCGACCAATAGTTAACCAATTGTTACGGGATGGTTCGATACTATTAAAACCGGTGTCCGTATGAAGAAATCTCGCTAGGTAGTATTCCGAGAAGTCGCATGCGTTGATACATGCTCAGTTACAATATGAGAAGTTTTCAGCTATGGCCTTGTTTTTAGATAGCTCATAGTTACAGCTTGGGATGCAGAGGACTGACTAACTCCTAAGTCAGCCAGCTGAGCCACGCCCAAGGAAACGTCGCAGTATGAGGGTCTCCATATGGCCGAGTGATATACTACACTGAGTTTAAAACAGGCATGTTATAATTCAATTTCTTGTCTATCTGCATGGCACGTCGTATTATCAACACTTTTATACTTGTTGAGAAGTTATGATTCCATTCGGGTCGTATTCTTATTTTTATTAGCTTTTAAACCCGATCGTTATAACGCCGAAGAGAAAGATGAAGGATAGTGAAGTGAGAACGGTGAAGAGTTCCCTCGGTGTAGAGAGCGGCATTATGAGGCGAATTAATTGTTACATTACGATTCTGATTTACCCGTGAATATTGTATGAAGCATATTCGTCTTTAGCGCAATTAACTTGCTATAGATATTACGCATCTTTGATAGGTCCTCGTTCTTCATAAAATCTGTATAAAATTTCAATATCAGCTACTATTGATGTTATGCCCTCTATATCAATATCATGCCCTACCTCATCGCCTTCATCTCAAAGTCACACGATCTCGACTCAATACTAATATGTTAAATAACGAAAAATTTAGACTAATATAGCCGATGGGCATAATAATGAATTTAGCTTCTGATCCCTACTCTAGCCCCTAATTAGCCGGTGGCGCTTAGGAGAAACGTGCCCGGTAAATGGTAGATTTACCGGGCAGGGGTGTATAATATATGTACCATAGCGGCAAAGGGTGGTTTTGAGAAACGGTTATTCATACTTAACATTATTTACCTGAAAAAAATCGTTTTTGTCTAGATTATCATTTTCTTATAAAACATCATTTTCGGGTAGAAAATCGTTTCCCAATTTAAAATTAAGATTTTTTTTGATTAGATAAAGTATATAATGCTGAATAATAAGCTATTCTCGCGTGTATGTGTTAAATAAACCCCAATTGGCCTAGTAGTAAATCCCGCAACCCGTAAATCCCGTGACATATCCAAAGTCCAAAATCCGCTGTTCGAATCAGCTCGAGTGTAAAAAAAAAAAAAAAAAAAAAAAATTTAAAAAAAAAAATTAATTTAAAAAAAAATAAAAGAATTGGAAATTTTGTTTTTTTTTCGAGAAACGATTATTCGTCGAGAAATAATGTTCTAAGAAATAACGTTGCCTCTCTAATGAATAATGCATATGGGAGGTACGGTACTCGGTCGAGGAATCGTTTCTCAAAACCACCCTTTGCCGCTATGGTAGCCTTTAAATGCAGTGTCACGGAATTTAATTAACCGGAAACTAGAATCCCCGGATACCCCAGATGTCAAAAGGAAATTCCTGGGGAAGTTTTACAAGGACCTAAACATTTCTCGATCGAGTTGATATTTTTATTCATGCTCTCCTCCAGCGTTATGGGCAAATCTTCCCTTACGAAGCTAATCAATACTCAAACTTCTGTTTGACAAGTTCCTCACTTAGCTTCCACAGCTTCTCAACGTTTTCAGGGTCCGTCGCATATGGGGCGGCCTCGTGGATCTGGCTATTCATCAAGTAAGCCGGCGACTTGGCGGGAATTTCAGGGTCTAAAGCTGCGATGAGTGATGTAGCAGCAATTTGCGTGTACGTCTTTGATCGGGGAGACTCCCATTCCCAATCTTTACCCGTATTTCGCTTTACGATCTCAGGTATCTCCGCGTAGTCTTCATAAGTAAGGTGGCTTCCTAACTCGGTGTCGTTGTTGTAGCCCGGATGAGTAGCCGTAGAGGTCACGCCATGGCTACCGAGTTGTTTATTGAGTCCGTAGCTAAATAGAACGTTTGCGGTCTTCGCTTGGCCGTACCCAGTCCAATGGTCGTAGGTTTTACCTCCTGAGTAATTCCAGTCGTCAAAGCGGAAGGGGCTAAGAAAAAAGCCGGAGCTGGTGAGATTAACGACTCGTGCTCCACCCGGCTCGGAACCGGCAGCGATGAGTGCGGGTGCGAGCAGATTCGTTAGTAAGAAGTGACCGACATGGTTGGCTGACAGCTGCAATTCGATGCCCTGCTTATCCAAAGTGTAGTCTTTGATGGCCATTACACCGGCACTGTTGATAAGGACGTTGATTTTGGGCGCTGCTGCTAGTATCTCCTTGGCTGCTCTTCTCACTGACTCGTGATCCGTTAGGTCAACCTGAACAAAAGTAGTCCTGATAGAACTATCGATCTCGGCGATCTTTTCTAGCACTGGGTCGACCTTCTTGCCTGTGCGCGAGGCAATTAGAATGTGCGCAGGGGCACCTCTCGCAAGAGAGACGGCAATCTGACTCCCAATACTAGGATGGCCAGCACCCGTGATAACGAACGTGCGACCTTTAATTTGAGACGAAAAGGCCTCGATGACCTGTTCGCTGGTCGCTGTCTCGTCGAAGACTGGCATGTTGTGATTTGATTACTGACTGTTGTAAGGCTGTCTGAGGGGTCGGATGTGTATAGTGAAAGTACTGTGTATTAAGGGCTCACTTATCCATACTTATCCATGGGGAGAGATGCCCTTTATATAGAGTACATTACTGGTAGACATATTTAAGTATTTCTAACCTAGGTATGGAGGTGGAGAGGGAAGGAGAATCTGAGGCTTCTACAAAAGGGGTTTATGGAATATTTCGAGCTGCCTAAAAATGACCATGTTGGATTTACCGGACGTAGTAGCTCTTAAGACCGGTAGGAATTATGTATCGAGGCTCGTAGTCTAGTCACAATTGTAGAATGTTTCAATATTTACGACACATGTTGGCGTATTTAGTGAATGTCGTTCTTAACCCCCTATAATATTTGTCATCTGTTTGATTTAGTTTGGAGGTTTCGGAGTAATAGGGACTCCGGTTGTGAGACTTGCTCAATAAGCATAATTTTAAGCTTCTACGGTAAACCTTAACTTAAGTAAAATGTGGGGCGGAATATCATGATTTTCCGAAAATGATCTCCTATGGGTCCATCTGTATTAGCCACTTTCCACTTGTGCAGTGGTCAATAGAAGTTTAGTGCAATCAATCATCCTACATCCATTTGCCTATCCTCCTAGATATCATCACTCCTACGCTACCTCTACGATACCTCAATCCGCGACGGCTTGATAGCCGACATCTATCATGGTTCTCCAAGACCTTGGTCGCCGCATTAGCGGTGCCCTACACGATGTTACCCGCGCACCTAACCTCGACGAAAAGGTATGCGCCATTCTACTGCACCGTCGCACTGTCGCACCCCCGCAATGCGATCTGATGGGGCGAATTCGCTAATATTCATCTCAGGCCTTCAAAGCCATGCTTAACGAGATCTCTGGCGCCCTACTCGAAGCCGACGTTAACGTGCGACTTGTTAGCAAGCTAAAAAACTCGATTAGTACTACGGTCAATTTTAAAGACCTCCCACCCGGCGTTAATAAGAAACGATTAATCCAAAAAGCCGTATTCGACGAGTTGGTCAAGCTCGTTGATCCTCATGCCGAACCGTTCAAGCCTAAGAAAGGCAAATCAAATGTTATCATGTTCGTTGGTTTACAGGGTGCCGGAAAGACTACCACATGTACGAAGCTCGCACGACATTACCAGGCAAGAGGCTTCCGTGCATGTTTGGTCTGTGCCGATACCTTCCGAGCTGGTGCTTTCGACCAGCTGAAGCAGAACGCGACCAAGGCGAAGATCCCATACTACGGTTCCTTAACCGAGACCGACCCGGCCAAGGTCGCTAGGGAGGGAGTAGAGAAGTTTAAGAAGGAACGATTCGAGGTTATCATCGTGGATACTTCAGGACGTCACCGACAGGAATCGGCACTGTTCCAGGAGATGGTAGATATTCAAGAAGCCGTAAAACCCGACGAGACGATAATGGTTCTTGACGCCTCCATCGGTCAACAAGCCGAGGCGCAGGCGAAAGCTTTCAAAGACGCAGCAGATTTTGGAGCCATCATAATCACCAAGACGGACGGCCACGCGAGCGGTGGTGGTGCTATCTCCGCTGTTGCGGCGACGCATACGCCCATCGTCTTCATCGGTACAGGAGAGCATATGTTAGATCTGGAAAGATTTGCCCCGCAGCAGTTTGTGAATAAGCTACTAGGAATGGGAGACATGGCAGGTTTGGTAGAGCACGTACAATCTTTGAAGCTCGATCAAAAGGAGACGATCAAGCACATAACGGAAGGTATATTCACAGTAAGAGATCTCCGAGATCAGCTCAGCAACATCATGAAAATGGGACCTCTATCCAAGATGGCCGGTATGATCCCCGGCATGTCCAATCTCCCAGGAATGGCAGGTATGGATGACGAGGAGTCAAGCTCTCGGTTAAAACGCATGATCTACATATGCGATAGTATGACCGAGAAAGAGCTCGACTGCGACGGCAAGATGTTCATCGAGCAGCCAACTCGTATGACGAGGGTGGCTCGCGGTAGCGGCGTCAGCGTCAGGGAAGTCGAGGACTTGCTCACCCAGCAGCGGATGATGGCTGGCATGGCTAAGAAGATGGGAGGTAGCATGAAAAATATGCAGAGAGCGCAGCAGGCGATGGGAGGAGGAAACAAGGCACAACAGATGGCAGCCATGCAGAAGAGATTGCAGAGTATGGGCGGTGCTGGTGGAATGCCGGATATGGCAAGCCTCGCGAAGATGTTTGGCGGAGGCGGCGGCGGAGGTGGATTGCCTGGCGGTATGGACATGCAGAAGATGATGGAAAGTATGGGAATGGGCGGTATGATGGGCGGCGGACGAGGCGGCAGGCGGTAACACGGATAGGAATGGACAATTTAATACCAGCGCATTATCGGTACGGTGTCGATTCATAACGTGGGCATTGCATGGCGTTTGGCGGTAAAACTAGTGATATCAATACGAAGATTGGTTTATTGACGACTGGAATTAGTTGGTTAACCTATAGACTCTGTCTCTTAGGGATTACTATACTTTGCATGGCCTAAAATCAATGGTGGTGTTGGTATCTGGCGCAATACATTAATTGTAAGAATTCCGTACATCCTGGCGCCGTATACGTGTGTCTACTGGGAACAAACCATCGCATTGCACTGATTATATCTATTTCTTGATCTATCAGACGGTATCACCGTGTATACCTTATCGTCCCCCGAGAGCTCCCCCGTCCGATATAGAGTTGTGGCAAATCTCGAGTTTGATAGCCCCAGAGCTTCTGTTCCGGAATTGTTGCTTCGCATGTCCTCGGACCACGACCTCTGTCCGAACGATGTACCGTTAAACAAATAAGGGATCCGAACCGGATTCACTACTCCGGACATACCTCCATAAACATGCATTGTTATTAATTAGCTAGTTGAGGGTCTTCACCGTTCAGCAAAGACCCTAAGGGTACCTGTTATTCGCGATGGTAGAACAGAGGTGTAGAGCCCCATGATGTAACGTTTAGTAAGCTCGGAGAATTATTGAGTCTAGCCACTTACCTTAATACTTTAATAGGCGGGTCAGTGGATATTCTCAATAGTGGGGATGCGATAATCCAAACCTCAAACACAGACTTGAAGTCATCGTGTAACGGATTTTAACAACGATGTGATGTAAAGCTGACGAAAACGAAAACGAAAACAACTTACTATAACACAGTAAATACCATTCAGTAACTTATCACTATGTCGGAGTTGCCCAGTCTTGGCTTAAATGTATTACATATCGCTATGGCTGTATGGTTAATCCTTTTATCGCCGTTTACAAGATCGGGAGGTATCAAGTTTATGCAGTGAATATGCCACATCTCAGTCACAGGCTCATATATCCCCTTCATTCCTACCGTACAGTTCCATATCATAGGTACCTAGTCACAGAATCAAAGATATGTAACTCGCACCTTTTAACTCGTTTCATGCTGATGACCTGCGTTTGCTGCTAGACTGGTATCTTGGCGATGCCCAATAGGAGCATTTCTTCCGGTAAAATGACGCACGTTTTCGACCCGTTGGAAACACCCAGCTGGGATCGCTAAGATCAGGTGCTGAAGATCTCATCCCAGTTGGAGCTCTTCCCTGCTACATATCAGCTAGTAGGACTTTCGATTGGTCAAGAAGCTCTACCAGCTGTAGGGGTCCTATCTGATAGAACCTGGAGAAGATTCGAATGGCCTTCTAGCTTAACGTCATTGACATTCGCTTCTATAGTATTTTGTGTCTAAGCATTTGTATATCGGTTAAGCCCCGATGCATTGGTTCTGACAGCCCATGTGGACCCTGAGACGGGAATAAATCAAAGTAGATCCAGTTTGATGGGATTTCAAGAATTGAATAGAATTCCATGCTTCGCCTCTTGTCAGACGTCAGAACTGCGTCTTCGTTTTGACGCAAATCCCGTGGGGGTACCTTTCATCGAGGATGATTGGCTGATATACACGACTTACAGGTCAACTCGTTAGGCGAGACACAGTCAGGATGGAGATGAAATCTGTTGGAGCCACTGATCAGCCTCGCTTAGAGTTTGCTCGGGACTTGGATCCGTTTTGGCAGGACGAAGTCCTGGTGAGAAAGGCGTTTGCGCCATTACGCGGATGACATCCGTATTAAAAAGCTGACATTAGAGCTACAATCACTGCACATTTCCGTACGCGGGCCGTCCTATCCGGCTACTGGACGCCTTGAGACTAACACTACTTATATATCGGACACTTGCAGTTCATATAAACTGATCTTCATTCTTCTTTCCATTCGTGCAAGTCGCTTACTACCTAGGAAACGTATTCTAGCATGTCTCTCTGCGCAAGAACCCTTAGTAGGCGGTGCTCCCGCGCATCGTCTACCTTTACCAAAACCACTTTCACCACTGTTCCTATCACACAAGTTAGACCAATTCATTCCTCAAAGCCAACTTCGACAGCGCCGACCTCAAGCACCATGGCCGAATTCAATCGCAAAACCAATACAATCCCCAAGCCGCCAGACTCGAGGGAAAATCCGACGGTTGGAATCGCGCCGAGTCCAGGCGAAAATATCGGCCAGAAGCGATTAGCGGATTTTGACCTTAGCGGCAAAGTATTTATCGTAACAGGAGGCGCTAGGGGGCTTGGATTATCATTGGCAGAGGCGTTAGCTGAGACAGGAGGGAACGGTATGCCTGCGCTTTCGTTTAGAATACCCCCAACTATGACATAGGCACTTATATGGTAAATGCAGTCTACTGTTTTGATCGAGAGCCAGAGGCGGATGAGGGCTGGAACGAAGCAGCACGACGAGCTGATCAGTTTGGTGGCTCTCTTCACTACAAGCAGCAAGATGTACAAGATACGGAGGGGCTTGATCGAACTATCGCAGCCATTGCGGATAAGCACGAACGCTTAGATGGCCTTATTGCGGCTGCGGGTGTTCAGCATCTCTCCCCGGCTGTTGAATGGTTTGTTTAAGACTATATGAAGTAGAACAAGTATGCTAACGTCTCCGCTAGGACGAGGGACGAGGTAAATCGAATGATGGATATCAACTACACAGGTGTGATGATGACAGCTACGAGCGCGGCCCGTCAGATGTTCAAGTATAAGATCCACGGTAGCATGTGCTTCATTGCAAGCATGTCTGGCAGTATCGCAAATAAAGGGCTACTGTCACCCGTAAGTAAACCCAGATCATCCCTTTTCGGCATGACTGACTTGAAATACAGGTATACAACTCTTCCAAAGCTGCAGTTATTCAGCTAGCACGTAACCTCGCCATGGAATTCAGTCCTATTCGAAAAGACGGTACGGGAGGTATCCGAGTGAACTGCATTAGTCCTGGCCATATCTTAACGCCGATGGTTCTCAAGAACTTTGAGGAAGTCCCAGGCCTTCGCGAGACTTGGGAGAAAGAGAATATGAGTATGTCATCTCTCTATCTTCAGAATTCGTAATGATATCTAACGTGAAGTTTCACAGTGGGTCGATTAGCAGAGACGACCGAATTCAAAGGTGCTGCCCTGTTTCTGTTAAGCAATGCTAGCAGTTTCATGACGGGGAACAACCTTGTCATTGACGGTGGCCATACGGCATGGTAGAGCTAGCTGCCTCCTGTTTTCATATCGGAGTTTGGCTGCCAATGCCCGGAGTTTATATCAGGAAGCGAGCATTTCCGAAAGCTGTGTGCGAAGCGGCTCAATGGCGAATAAACATGCTGAATCTGTTGCGACGGCTCAGTTGTATCTTGGCTGCATGTGTTAACGACTCAATGATGGATGAATGATATTCTATAGACTCGTATGTATAGTATTAATGCACTCATAGAATTTAGAATGATCTCAGTGGCTGATCTATTTAATCCCCTTGAGATGCGAGCCAAGATTAGCCGTTATTAGGGTCGATGGGAGTGTAACACTCTATGCCGCGTCGTTGGGATCTATGTCCATTCAAACAGGGACACAGGCTGAGGCTATGTGAGGGTAAAAGGGGCGATTCAACGGTTTTCAGGTACATACTTTAGAAGGGAACGTCCTGAGGAATCTTCATGCCGTGTTTTCCGAAATCTAGGCCTAGATTTTAGTGCCCGCCACTACAGCTCAGGGGACCCTAGTGATCCATCTAGCGACCTAACGTTATAAAGTTAGTTCAGCTGTCCAGGTACGTATGCGTATGCTGTATATTAAGAATTATAATTTATTAGAGTATCTGGTGATATAATTTGACTTGTAAATCCAGTGTCTAACCCTACCTAATGCAACTACATCTACTATTTTATTAAATCTACAACGAATAATGACAACTAGAAACAAGACCAAAGTCTTCTTGTGATGGCAGAGGCTACTTAAGATTGCTAATTACCCGATTCGGCAACTAGACAAGCATTTGCCAAGTCGTGCCAAGTTTTTATCGTCCATGACGCTCAATTCTGGGGTTGACGAATCAGATCTTTCAAACAGATGGAGTCAATATCTACATTTGATACAACACCATGCTCAACTTACCTAACAGAACACCACTCATCGCGATTCTAGATTTCAATTCGTCAACTCGAATGTAAATGATTGGACTCGTTTAGCAAAAGACGATGTGACCATGGGTCGTCTCGTCTTTGTTTGCATAGCGTGATGCTCGGCTTATTTACCGAAGCTCATAACTCGTGTCATAACTCGACAGGCTTAATCATGACGTCAACTTTTGATATACCGTCATGATCCATTTTCAACTGATATTTATATAGCTATGTAGTAAGGTCGATGTTTACCAACCGTACTACATTCAGTCTTAACTTTGTACACGATTACGAGAGCTCTCTTTGCACCCTCCGTAAGTTCGAGCATCCCCTTATCGGGACTCGAATAGGAAGATCTCGTATACGCCATACCCGCATTCCCTATTTAACGCCTAACATATAACTCGGCCAATATGGGTTTCTTCAACCGTCGTCGTGCAGACGAGACAACCAATAGCCATGGTAATGGACATCGAAACAGACAAGCCCAAGATACCGTAGCCTATCCTATGGCGGTCCGTCCGAGTTTTGGCCAGTGGCTCAAAGTCACATGGCTCGATATCCTTACTATGGTTGTTATGGGTGCCATAGGGCTTGGTGTATGTTATCCTCTTCATTGATGTGCATCTGCCAAAGTGGCAAGTCTTGGCAGACTAAATCCATACTTGCTTGGCACTCTAGATAGTTTCTCTACTAACATCTACATAGGTCTACGAGGCGAAACCAGCTCCCACTCGATCGTTCCCAGTAACCTTCTCCGATGGCGAGGTCGTATATCCACAATTCGCATATCCCCTACGCAAGGAGATCATTCCGATCTGGGCAGCAGCCTTACTCGCGGCTTTGGTCCCTATCTTCGTGATTCTTCTTATGCAAATTCGGATTAGATCCTTCTGGGACGTGAGCAATGGTGTTATTGGTCTTCTATACTCGCTCATTACCGCCGCCGTCTTCCAAGTATTTTTGAAATGGCTCATAGGTGGCTTGCGCCCTCATTTCCTTGCCGTGTGCAAGCCCGATATAAGCCTCGCTAGTAACGCTCCCGGCGTTAAGGGCGCTGGTTATAACGGGGCCGGCTTCACGAACATCTACTACACTAAAGAGATCTGCACCGGCGACGAGAACCAGATCAATGACTCTCTCGAATCATTCCCGTCAGGTCACAGCACAGCGGCCTTCGCTGGCTTTATCTATCTGGCCATATATTTGAATGCTAAATTAAAGGTCTTCTCAAACTACCACCCGGCGATGTGGAAGTTAGTTGCGGTCTACGCGCCAGTACTAGGAGCTACGCTGATTGCTGGCGCGTTGACGATCGATGAGTTCCATCACTGGTACGATGTTTTGGCCGGCGGCATCATTGGCACCATCATGGCCTTCTCCGCATACCGCATGTGTTACGCCTCGATTTGGGATTGGCGCTGGAACCACATTCCCCTTCACCGCGGACAGCCATGTCTATACACTTACGACAGCGTCGAGCTTATGGATGCCTTATGGACGCGCAAGGCCGGATGGGGTGCTGGAGCCTCGAGTTACGGCGGTAATGGGCAAGGTACAAGCGGCCACGGCGGTGTGACTGGTTTCCAGAGGAAGCCGGTTGGGAGCGGTGCTGCTCGAAGAGGTGATGATATTGTCTAAATGATTATATCTACAATCACAATATTTAATGATTTACGACGACAAACAAAACGTCGGTGATTGGGCGAATACACGACGATGAGATATGCCATATGATTGTATTATAAACGCTTGCAGTACAATAAATAATGTTAATTGAAATCTTTGCAAACGAAACTTTCCGTCTTAGTGTGATGAAAACCAAAGCCGATAACTTAGGTCTTAGGTTTCGAATGCACAATATTATAACTTTGACGGACCCTACCAAGAATACTGTTCGCTTCGTTCGAAAGGAAAGTATAGTAGGCTATCGAGAAGTTATTATGTGCTAGGACATCCGTAACTTAAACTAATAGGATAAACACAAACTTTGCTAAAGTTTCTTAATCTAAAAATTAAATTTAAAACTATTTACATAGTTCTGATATGTTAATAATAGCAAACTTTCTCATAATCACGGACACAATGAATTCAAGGGCCAGCGATCCAATGTTGACCCAATATCCAGAAATAGAATTATTTCCAAAGGACTCTAGGTACCAACTTAACTCTAACGGATATTCCTTTCGTAGTCCGTATAAAACATTGTTAACAAAGAACAAAGGAACGCCTCACGGCCAAAGTATCACTGATTACAATAGTTAGACATGCACAAAGCAACCAACATGGACAATTGTTCAACCTTAGTCCAAGCGTTGACAACGTTACTATACAGTCTTAGCTATTTCTTGACAAAGAGTTTGTTCCGATGCACCCCAGCTTCCAGCCCCATCTTCTATCTTATAAGCCCTGTTTCCCAAATGGTATAGGAAAGTTACCCAAATAATTCGTTAGTAAAAATGGCATCATCAAATTCTTCCAAGAGCGCATATTCTGAATCATCCGCAATCTCTTCGACATCAACGGCTGAGTGGAGCCACATACCATTCGATACGTTCCAGTACAGTGTCCTCGCATTCGCACAAAATGATATTTGGCCTGATGCAAGTCCCGAAGACATAATCATCGAGAGACTGCAAGGAGGTGGATTCAACCGAATCATTGGGTTAACCCGGAAAGAAAATAGTCTTATAAACTCTGCTGAAGTCCGATATATCATACGGATTCCTCGATTCGAAAATTCACACGTAGACCGTGATGCTGCCGCTCTTGAATTTCTCGAGAGATATACTAATATATCAATACCCCAAGTCATAACATTCGACACAACCGAAGAAAACGAAATGGAGTCTCCTTATATGATCCAGAATCGTATTGCCGGCGTCGGCGTATTATCAGGCTTTCCTCAGCTCAATCATGCCGAAAAGATAAGATTCGCACGCGAATTCGGGAATGTTTTCCGCCAGCTCCTAGCCGTCAGAAGCGACATAACTGGCTCTTTAGTATTCTCATCAGACGATGGCGACCTCGGGGCAGAGTTCTGCGTTATACCGTATGGGTCCGAGGGTACTAATTTGGCAGTGCCATACAACAATACAACCACTACGCAAAGAGTAGGCGATCTCCTCTTCAGCAAATTTCGGGGTCAAATGACGTATATATTAGAGTATTCACCTGAGGCCTCCTCCAAGCTGGATCATTTAAATCGGTTTTGCTCCATGACACGGGAGTTGGAAGCCAGAGGTTGGTTTAACGATGTTCGCTACTGCCTCGCCCATCTAGATCTTGCCCCTCGCAACATATTAATCAACCCAACGTCTGATCTGAAGCAACCCATAATATCAGCGGTTCTCGACTGGGATAGTAGTGTATTCGCACCTCAATTTATGGCCTGCGCGCCGCCTCTCTGGATATGGAATTGGTTAGACGACGAAGAAGAAGACGAGCGAACAGCTAATGATGATCCGCCCACTGTAGAAGGACGTCGGCTTAAAAGGACATTTGAAAAGGCTGCTGGAAGGAGGTATATGCGATTCGCATATAACCCTGTATATCGGTTGGCAAGGAGGCTCGTTAGGTTTGCAATTGAGGGTATAATATCATCAAACCAAGAGTGGAGAGAGGCTGAAGAAATGTTAGACGAATGGGAGAATATTAAGTAGCTGGGATATTACGATGAAAATTTAAATATGTATAGGTAAATATCATTATGTTAGATACTTGATTTTTCACGGTATAAATATTAATGTCTATTGAGTCTTGCATTTATGATTCTTATGACGCGATTAATGGCTATTTCACCTGCAAGCCTATGCCTAAAAGCTACGTAGATCATATTAAGTGTACAGTTCGTTTACTTGCACATGCATTCTATTACAATAAAATTAATGTTACCTAAGGCATGGCCTTCTACTTGATATACACTATTAATGTTTCTGTATTAATTATAAGTATTATATCGGGTACGTATGCCAGATATAATTTAACTTCTTTGAACCATATCGGCTTCACATAGCTACGGCCTCGGACCTCGATCTACACGCCGTTATCCACCGACTAGCGTTTTGCTATAAAAGGGGTATATGATAATAAAGCAGCTACGTTATAGCTTAATAATGCACGGTCATATACGCTAAAAGTCTCTATTATAGCCTTTGATATTGTACAATGCCTATGTTCATCGTAAAGAATGACTAAGGCCCAAAGGAACTCCATCGACTATCTTTATTGACGAACTAAGAATATACCTAAAGAGCAATGGACTATATAGATTTATAGCACCCGATCTCATTATAGTTACGAATAGACTATTATGACGCATCTAATATTAGCATTAGCTTCAAGAGCTTAGAACAACTTTCATACCGTCTTAAAGAATATCCTAAGATGCCTAAAAGGGGAGCCACCACAACTCATCACTGTCCCGGGAAGCGGAAAGGTAACTGCCGTGGCATGAAGCTGATGGGATATTGCACTGCACATCAGATCTTATGTCAAAAGCATGATATGATTCACATGTTGGATGAGCCTTGTAAGATTTGTTTTATGCAGGCTAAGTTACTATAATCCTAAGATCTAACTAGCCCAATGTAGGCATTGAGATACAAAGGTAAATCGGGAACTAAGGGGCATCTCATATTAGAGATTCTTTATTAAACAATTTATATCTACTTTTATTCATTACCATTGTCATTTCCAGCTACAAGCCCCAATGCATCCACACGTTAAAGTTGTGAGATATCCCCTTTTGAAACTGTCATTGCCGTAGTTGTCATTTTCTAATCACACTACGCAAGAAATACAAATCTAGTTAGCATACGACATCCAAATAGGCGAATAACTCAGTAAATATTAATCTACCTCTATAAAGAGGCCTCGTAATCTATAATATACCCATAAGCTCTCGCAATTTCCCGCTGTAAATAACTCCAATCAACTCCCTCGCTATATGAATCCCTCAGCTAGAATAAGACATAGGTTTAACTTGCTTCCAGATAAGAGGATTCATTAGGACTCCCACCCCTCACGGCTTACTCTCGATATATCTACCCTCTTTCCTCGCTCGGCCTGGACCGAAGGCTCTACAATCTTGACATAGAATACCTGTAAATTTTGCATAATCGTGAAAGCTGGAGAAATTAGTTCGGGGAAGAAATCTTCCGCAACCTTTGAGATCCGAAGACGAGCTCCAGCAGATAACCATACCGTTAAGGGGTATTACCTGTCGCTTCCTGCAATCCATGCATGTCTCCATCGGAGTATAGCTCTTAGATGTCATTCTGAAACTGCTACTCGGTAGTATTCGTGTGCAACAAGGACACCATAGATGGACGTCGGTCGGTATAGTAGAAATGGTTTTGAAATCCGTCGCGAGCATCGCCCATAGTGGTCGTTGATTTGGGAATCGAATTCGAGGGGTAAGCCTACGACGAGATGATCGACGAACTGCGGGCTCGTTTCCGGCAGCTTCGGGAGGCGGAACCATTTCGGAACGATACCCAGTCCCACGCGAACCCACAAAGATAACTTGGTTCTCATCCTCTAGCTCTTCGGCGTGCCCAGGTCTGTAAGTCCATCCGCGTAAGAATTCAGGGGTAACTGCCGGGGCATTCGGGTCGAAAGATACTCCAATGGGTAGATTATTCTCTGTCCACTCGAAATGGTTAACGAAGACTTGAGAATCTGGACTCGACGGATCACTAGCTTCTCTGTCCGGTGCCTGCCCTATCGTCTCGTTACGACCGGGTTGATTGCCCGATACGTTAGTAGGGTTGGGGTTGTCGTATGTGAAGTTGTCATATGCGAAGTTGTCCAATAGGTATTCCATATTCTCCACCTGGTAATTGTTGTCTGCCATTTGTAAATTCATACCCTCTATCGAGAAGTCGAAACCTCCCAGCTCGTCATCAAAGTCTTCCATTTGGGGATCGAAATCTTCCATTCGGAAGTCGGAATTTCCCCCTACTGGGAGGTTAAAGTGGCCTACTCCAAAGTCCATGATGATGAGATGCGATCAGGCTGGCTGTAGGTCCTTAAGTATCAGTGGATGTAGATATTAGCTCTGTTCGATATTAAGAGGAAGAGGGGAGGAAACCTGTTCTGTTAAATAATAGATATTATTCCTTTTTTTGTATTACTTATAAATGATACATTGGATCACGTAGAAACGGCCAACCCTTAAGTATAGAGACGACATGATGCTACAACTTAGATACTAATATTCTTGTTAACTGTAAACACGGTACATCTAATGTCCCTCAAGGTTGTGCGTCGAGAACAGTTGACTTGGATGGATATCACTCTTAGTATAAGCAAACATCCTTAGAAACCCCAAGTAGTCGCCAGGCAACGTCGTAGAAATTTTCAAAGTTGCTACCAAACGAAATCCACGTGTGTCATTAACTGACTAAGGGACTGTTAGTGTGGATATTCGCATTATCAAGTAAATAAATTCATATTCTACTTTAGTTCCATACTTACAAGTGGGTATTAACATCTGGTTTACGGGCTAGCATAGTAGTGACACACATAGTGCAACAAAATGCCCCAGTCATGATGATATAGTGAATTGGAACAGTCTTTTGGGTCTGCATTGTGTTTTTCCGTTATCGCATGCATCATCCCCACCTTTATTATAACAGTATATTCAATTCCTACATACTAATCAAATGTATTATGTGTAAGATTGAGTAAGGTGTTGTCGGTGATTTTGCTCGAAATGGTGCATTTGGAACGTTGTGATGAGAGAATTGAGCCATGAACTTTTTACGGGTAGACTCAGGATCCGTACAGTCAATACTAGATGCTGCATCACTATTTGATCATGGACCTAGGAATTGAATATCACATCCTTATATTAGGTACATAACCCCTCAATTACCTATAGTTAAGGAGCGTTATGGCCGATATTCAACAGTTCACTTGACCGACGTAGTTGTTAACAATAAGTCTCAATTTCTACCTAAGATCTAATGCTCAATAGGGTAGTTCACGCATTCTACGTATTTAAAGAGGTTTTGCACTTTAGAAGAACTTAATATATACATCATGGATGTAACTGATACAAGATTTCGTCATGTTTAGAATGTATACGAAAACTGTAGGACTATAGACTGTAAGGGGGACATGCAGATACTATTTTTGTTGAATGGTTGTACAAGCCAAGCTTCGATCAACCGAAACAAAGCTCGGTTTCCGAAGCTAGGGATAAGGATATCTTAAGGCTACTAGACTCCCCTCCTCTAAGCCTACTAGATAGATCTTGCTCCACACGAGACTATTCCACCCTCTCTCCAGTTTCGGTAATATGGCGACTCCACTTGAGACATCACTACCTAAGATGTCTTCTAGTAAGAACCAACATCGCAGTTTAAGAATCAAAGTTATTTCAAGAGCAACATTCTAACACTCTATAGTGGACAGTAGTCCTGGAGTAGTCCCACTGGGTGTCGAGTGGCCTCCTAAAGCCGATCTTCGAAAGGACGTCTATAAGCCCCTGCCCATGATTCCTCTGGGTACTATTAATCCCTCTGAAATCATCGGCGACGCTCCTACTATCCAGGCCAAGGTTGTTATAGACGCTTTCAATAATGCCTTGTTCGATAACGATGTCAAGAAGTTGGCTAGCTGCTTCTATACCGAACAGGTATTTTGGCGAGATATAGTGGCCCTTACTGGTCATTTACGTACTTTTTCAACCCCCAGTACTGTAGCCATGGCCCTTCTGCATACGAAAAGTCTTCGGGGTATCTTTAATGACGTTAAAATAACCGGAGATGCCCACTTCGTTGAGATGAGCCCGGTCATGGTGAGTACTGCCAATTGATACTTACTACACTAGGAATTTTATTCATTATTTTAAAGATGTTCATAGATTGTGGGATATCTTTCCGCACAACTTCTCCCGCGTTGAACTGCGTAGGTAAATTGTTGTTGCTACCAGTAAAAAGTAATACGGTCACAGATTCAGTTTCGTGGAAAATTTGGGTCCTGTCGACTTGGATTGAGAATATAGTCGGGCATCCGGAGAGTGAAATGTTACTATCGACACCCAAGAGGGCTTTAGATGGGCTCGATATTATTGAGACTGATGTTCTTATTGTCGGCGCTGGAAGCTCGTAAGTCATACCCTAAGTACTTTTGCTTTCAAGCAGCTTCTTATCATTATTAGGGGTCTTATGACAGCCGCGCGACTTAAAGCCTTAGGTGTTGAGAGTGTGATCATTGATCGAAATGCTCAAATCGGCGATAACTGGAGAAATCGCTACGATTGTCTCAAGTTCCACGTGCCAACTTCCAGTTGCGAGATGCCATATGCATGTAAGATCATATTTACCCTATTTATTATAACCGTAAGAAAACTTATACTCTTTGGGAAGACTACGGGAAGGAGTTGCAAAGCCCTTATCGGCTCAATAAGCATGATGTAGCGGATCACTTAGGACAATACGCTACGAAATTCCATCTCAATGTTATATTATCAACAACGATAGGTTCGACTTCCTTCAACACTTCGGATAAGAAGTGGACGGTAAAGCTTAAGGCTGCGGATGGGAGCCTAGGAAAGATTATCATAAGCAAGCATTTTGTTCAAGCCAGCGGGATCGGATCTCAAAAGCCATACATCCCAGCGCTAGAAGATCAGCATATGTTCAAAGGTCCCAGCCTCCATTCCGTGTATTTTCGTAATGCGCAGTCTCTATCAGAACAAGGGATCATGGTAAGTAAACAGCCTATCCTTGATCATATTCATCCTTGATACAATTTTATTCTTTTTATTTTATCGTTCTTATTGCTAATGTCTGAATTTTTTTAGTCCGTAGCTATTATCGGATCAGCTAATACTGCATTCGATATCATTCAGGACTGCCATGCTGCAGGGTTAAGAACGACCATGGTAGCTCGATCACCAACTTACGTCTACCCGTACGAATATGTAGTGAATCCGCACGGCTTTGGAGTGTACGACAACCTACCTCTCGAAGTAGCCGATCGACTTATGTATACTTTACCTCCAACTCTTGACGGACAATTCTCACACGGGCTGTTTTCTTACCTTGCCTCCCAAGAACCGTAAGTTTGGCCACGGGCTTCTCCCTCCTTATGTTCTGTTGACTCATCATCCAGGGACCGCTATCTCCCCCTGGCTAAAGCAGGGTTTCCGGTCCTTGACAGTAGGAACCCGTCAGTGGATATCCAAAATATCTTAGTCGAGCGTGGTGGTGGACATTACGTCGATGTAGGCGGCACGAATCTTATCTCTGAAGGCAAAGTTGCCGTACGTGGGCGTGTCGAGCCTGTAGGCTACACTGAAACTGGACTACGCCTTTCTGACGGCAGTGTCCTTGATACCGATGCAGTGATTTGGTGTACGGGATTCGCTGATAAAGATGTTCGTACAATAGCATTAGGAGTACTTGGTGAAGCGGATCCTGATATGACTGATGTTCTTGGCCCAAAGGATATCGTAGCGCGACTAGACGCCACATGGGGTGTAGACGCCGAGGGAGAAGTTCGCGGGGTGTGGAAACGTCACTTACGTATGCAGAATTACTGGGTAATGGGAGGCGTTATCCAACAGCAGCGCTGGTGGTCTCGACCGATGGCCCAGCAGATCAAGTTGGCTTTAGAAGGAGATTTACCATCTGCTTACCGGGATACGCCGGAGCCTAATTGAAAGGGTAAGCAGAGCAAGCTTCGGGTTGGTATGAAGCTATCGAAGCGAGATGTATGTTAGCGAATTTAAATAATGTGCAAACCCAGTGAACCGGTTGATGCTCCCGGCATCAGTTGGTCAAGCCATATAAGATCATTATCTACCATCTATGAAGTGTAAAAAGGGACATCATGGTTCATCAGATATTTTATCACATATCGCATTATCGCCCACGGACTTCATCTGTCGGACGAACTAGGTAACATCGTTATAGAATTTCTTACCATCGCGGTATGCCATATTTAACGTAGGCTAATAAAGAGAGTATCTAGACAACACACAGACCTACGAGAAGATACGAATATCTAGTCTTGCGGCTATCCCACCGAGTCCGAGAATATACAGAACAAGAAGTGTGTTCTTTCTCCTCATCACTTAACGATTACCATTACGTTATCCATTTAGAACTTGTTACCCTCCATGTACACGTTTCACGAATATCCATGCATGTGGAGTGTTTCTTCGCATGGCGGCATTAAATTAATGACCGACCATATTCTTTTACGACTGTTGCTGTAAGAATACAACCAATGGGGGCTCACCATGTACACCGATCGAGGAATCAGGATCCGGTAACTCATCAGCAGGTAGGTCTCAGCGCCAAATATCGTCAAGTTGGTTGGCTGGTTATTCTACTGTTTTCGATAAGTTACCCTTAGCTTCGTTGCCGGCATTCTAAAGTCAGCCAACAGTTGTATCTTGCAACCTACTACCGAGACCATATATCGATCATATTATACTCTAGTTGCTTGAGAGTATCCAATGACTTTGCTTATTAGTCTTTTGTATTTATAGGAACGTCTTAAGTAACACATAGTTACATGTTCTTCACAGTACGATAGAAAAATGTTTCTCGTTATTTACACATCCAAAAGATATCATCCTTTCATATTTGTTCTTAGTAACTACTTTCTTAATTGAGTTAACGTTCTTTTCTTTGAAGCTCACCAGCTTCAGTTGTGACAATTCGGGGTAAGAGTCTACTAGCCCAGGGGTTCATGAAAGATATTAAATTATTGTATACTGATACCTATCCCATAATTACCCACAGTGCTCTTTTGGTATATTTCGTAGTCTATATAGGTGTAGAAGTGGATATAATCTAGGGATATACAATAAGTATCAGTAACGATATTCCAAAGCTACTTAAACCTACCATGCAACGCTCATGATTATCCACACAAGCCACGTAATATGTCTATCCTATCCTAAGCCTTCGAACTCAATCTCAGCTGCTCTGCATCTTCAGATTCATATCCATAAATAGCAGCCTGAATTTATAAAGTTTACCGAGTCCGGATGCCGGCTATACAAAAGACCTTCTAGAATAAAACGACGAACGGCACCTCTATACCGACAATGTGGGTGCTTATCCACCCCCTTAAACAGTTCTAGACAACATGGATCGTCGTGAATGATCCACATATGCCGAACCCAGTCGCATCCACCCGAAAATTGGACCAGCTCTCCTTATTCCCGTCTCAAATGTCGGCAAATCCGTATTCGTAGATGACGAACACCTACTCGCATGTCTCGGCGGCCGAAGCAAACACCGCCATGAACATAAGTGGCTCCCTCTTCTGCGTCCCATATTAACTCCTGCTAGGCATGATAGTACATACATATCAGCTACCGCTGATGCCTCGCAGCTAGGATGCTTGTCCGGCGGGTGCATAGAATATTGACCTTTGGATACCACAGCGGCCCGCCGTCGCGGCCTATTACCGTTCTCGTGGGCCTAGCCCCTAGCCCCTATAACGGTTCGCCATTGCGCAGTGCGTATGCCGCCTGGCGAGATTTGCTGCGTAGCCGATAGGTCGTGATCCCCAACAATATAACACCTACTCGCTATCGTGCCGGCTCGCTTCCGACAGGATTAGGCTGCTTATAAGCGAGCTGACCGCACGAATCTCGTCAGCATAATGTGAGAGAACTGGGTGTGGCGACGTCTTGACAGCGCTCACGATGTTGCATAACCGGTCGCTGTGGCGTTGCCTACCCCGCTCGGCGATGTCTAGAATCGACGTGCTGCGATGGGATGTGGATGGATGGATCGTTTAAGAGTATGTGATGTGTATTAGGTAACGGTGATGGAGGTGATTGTGCAAGACGCTCGGTCCCGTCGCATCCTTTGTGGGATACGATGTAGGCCCACCCGAATTCGTATGTTACTTATGTCGTCGAGAGACTGATGGAGTTTCTGGGAATATGCTAGGAATACGCCCCCTAATTTATCCTGAGGCTGCATGATTAATGCGAGTACTATATGATCCCTGTCTAGATAAGATCGAATGCCCGCGAATGAACGTGGTGCTTCGGTAGGAAGCCGTGGTTGAGATTCGGATAAATGGACTCTTGGCTTTTGCTTTTCCCAGGTCCAACTTCGGCGGCTCTGCGCAGAAATCATCCGGCCAACGAAGATATTGCTACGTAGACGTGAGGGATCGGCTTGGCATCTTATAAATCGAAGAGGCTCTTCACATGTCGCATTTGTCATGGCCTTTGATCGCAATTTGTTCTCCGAATTCGGTTGAATTTTTTTTAAATGTAAGAATTTCAAATTGTCCAATTCGAGCCGAACTCGTTCGATCAACCTACCGAATATGCGAAACACTATATACAGGGTTAAGATGTCTTAAACGAATTATATAGGTGGGACTCAACTGCCGTTATCTTGGTAAATGTTCGTTACCTGACACATACATAAGGTAACATACATATTAGACATTCGACAACGTATGATTATGAACGCGACGACGTGGCTTCATTGACAATCTAATTGCGGTGAGTATCGTCTTGGGTAAACTGGAATAGAGGTAGATAGTAACTTAGAACTTGTTTTTGTAGTTAAGAGAGAATACCATGTATGAACTTACTTGAGCATCCCTAGGATTCGTAACACATAAGAAGATGGCCAATCAGAGCTAAAACATCCCCCTCATTAGGAAAGCATGGGAATAGTTCGTGATTCGATTGGATATCGCAGAATGGATATTGAGAGACAATGTAGTTCACAATAACTTCACTCAATAGTCAACACACGGCTTAGATATAATCGAGACTTCAAAAGAAAGAACCTCTTGCTTCTTAATACTATGACTCGAGCTATTATAATCTCAAAAAGGAAAGTCAACATAATATTAGTCCATATCGCCGAGTTTGTGTAACTAGCTACACCCCTCGCAGTATTTTCTAATAGCGAAACGTCGTCATTAGTTACATCGAACTGGCTTCAGATAATCATAATACAGTAAGCAATTTACCAAGCATCTCATGGTATATATAACGCGCCTCGCGTGTATCTTGTCCATCTACAACCTCTGTGCCGTATAAACATCCTTTCGAAAGAAATACAAGGAACATAACCGCTGCGTAAAATAGTATGCAAAACATGCTGCCCAAGTAAAAAACCAACCGCCTGAGCAGTAAAGCAAAAAGTTTTTTTTCTCGTAAGCCGCGAGCCCAGCTCTAACACAACAACGCCGTTGCCCGCCGTCCCCGATACTATTATTAGTAGCATCATTAAGTTTTGTTCTTTGAAGAACTATGGGTATGAAGTCTAAGCTTTTTTATTGCTGCGCCTCCTTCTCGCTCTGCTTTCGCGAGATGTACACCTCGAGGCCTTCCTGGACCACGAAGAAGGTCGCCTTCGCCTTGAGCTCTCGGCCCGGGTAGACCAGCTCGAACTCGAAGTCGCGGAGAAGGCGAGGGATCACCTTATTAATCTCGAGTAGCGCTAGGTTCCGACCGATGCAGACGTGGGCACCACCACCAAACTATTATTGATGTTAGTATTTAGTGCACGGATGTTTCAAGATGAGGTTCCGTCGTAACATACCTGGAACATGTATCTCTCCATAACCTTGGCGTTTTCGGGGTCCTCGAGCCAGCGTTCCGGACGGAAGTAGTCGGCATCCTGGCCGAAGGTGGCCTTGTCGCGGTGCAGAACCCAGCCGTTGAGAGCGAGTCGTGTACCACCGGGGATGTGGCGACCCTCGATCTCGATACCCTCTGGGGGTACGTATCGAGCGATGTTAACACCGACCGCGGGACGCATGCGCATAGCCTCCTTTAGGCATGCCTGGAAGTACGGTAGGTTCTGAGCCTCAGTCCACTGGATGTTACCTTGCGCCGAGATTGTTCCATCACGTGCCGCCGTATCAATCTCCTCTACCAATTTTGCAAGTACCTTAGGGGCAGATAGAACGTGCCAGAAGAAGGATTGCATGGAAGAGGCAGTCGAGTCTGAACCAGCAAAGCTGTATCCCGTCGTGTTAGCTGACTGGACCCTTTGATCTTGGCTTACTAGGAAAAGGGGTAAGCGGTTAGGGTTAAGGGTTAGGTATACTTACATAGCACCATGAGCCACAGCAAAGATATCACCTTCGTGGAACTTTCTCTTGTCCTTTAGGTGGCCCTTGATCAACGATGATAGGAGGTCCTCTCGGCCATCGCCGCTAGCACCCTTACCATCACGCTCAACTTCGAAGGGGCGACGCTTCTGCATCTCCTCTCGGGCGATACGGGTGATGACCGCGTTGTTAGGGTCGAAAGCAGGAATCCACCTCCAGAGAGGGTTCCTCCTTAGCAGGCAATCAATCTCGGGGATCTGACCAACGATACCGTTGTACTTCTGGCTGTTGTCGATGGTCTTGATGGCGTTTTCCTTGTCGACGCCGGCAGCTAAGAAGCCAAATGACCTTCCAAAGGCCACCTCACCTAGCACGTCAAAGGCAAAAAAGTGCAGCCAGTCGCCAAGGTTAACAATAGTGTTTCGTCCAGGGAGACCAGCCTGTTGAAATCCGGGGATGGCAGTGTCAGGACAGAACTGATCGAGCCGGCTGACGAGGAAGTCGATGGTGTCATCGATGAAAGGGCTGAGCTGGCGCATAGCGGCCATCGAGTACGGCACGTTGGCCACCTTCTTCTTCATGGCGTGCACATCCTCGCGGATCTCGGTGAAGATATCCGGGTTCTCCGGCGGTGGGAAGACCGAGTAAAAGTCCGTCTTATAGAAACGCTTTCCGGCTGAGAGAACGTGACGAGCGACTGTTGGAGATGAAAAAGAAAGCTCGTTGGGCGAGATTCGTACGATGGGACCATACTTGCGGTGAAGTTCAATGTGGTGAAGATGAGTTTGTTCTGAAATCGTGGACATGACTTTCCAGAGACGGGTGAAAGAGGCTACGAAGGGACCGGGATATTCGCGTAACGGTGAAGCATAACGCTTATATAAAATCCGGAGGACGATGAAGAGTGGGATAAGAAGCGGCCATTGCTCCTTGAAGATGCCCCATGCTGAGAGGACGATGGTCCTCGTCGGTGAGATCGTGACCTCGTCGCCGCTCATGATGAAGAGCCTATGTGAAAGATGGTATACAAAATATATATATGGGCAAAGAGTCTAGAGAGACGCCTCTAGGCGATAGGAGTTATTGCAAATGGGTCGTGTTGAGAACTTCCCTTGCGTATATATTTGCTACACGATAACTCCTGTTGAAGGAGTCGTCGTGGGATTCAAATATAAGAAACAAAAAATAGATGACAGCAAGGCGAGTGATGTCAAGACTTTTGCTGCTGATTATGATGAAGTAATTGCTTAATCAGTCGAATTAATCAGAATCATTAAGCAGACTCAGGGTCCTCAACAATCTACGATCCCACCGTGGTCCAGATCTCCGGGCAATTTAGATATATGAATTAATCGACAGTACCTGCTGGGAGGTCGGGTAAATGATACAGGAGTTCGTCGACATCCCGCCTGATACATGATGCGTGTTCGTCCATAGCTTATTCAAGCTTATTAACCTCGGCGAACCCTAAGTTGACCAATCAGCGAATTGCCGAAGACTCTGGTATGGTCTTCCTTGCCGTCTATGAAGAACTTCAGACAAGAGGGTCTGGACGCTATGTGGAGAGTCTACGAGTTAACGTTGGAGAATTGCGGGGAGTATTTCCACCATGGCAAGGATAACCAAGCTGAAGACCCAAGGCCCCAAGGGTAACAGAAAAGGGTTACCAGAGGACCGTGTTCGGCAACTGAAAAAAAAAACGAGACCGGCTGGATTTCTAACTTCCATGGGAGATGATGACCCCGGGGGCGGTCGTAGAGAAGTGTGATAAAACAAATGCCGGGGAAGCACTACGTAAAACGTGGTATCCGAGCCCACACCCTCCCTAGCGAAGCTTGGCACCGAGACCGTGGTTATGGGTGGATAGATATTTTTACTACCGCCAATCAACATTTCTAGAAACGTCATCCGTTCCAGCCCGCTCGACTTTGTGGCAATCCGTTCACCTGGTTCGTTGGCAAGGGGGGCCTGGTAGGGTCGGTAGGAGGCTACATAGATATTTCTAGTTTAATGAAATCACGCATACGGATCCGTAGATTCTGTATAGTCTTGTGACACCCTGGCTTATCCCTCCCCCTTACCTTGCCTATGATAGTAAGTATATCCTGAAGAGGTACAGATAAACCCAACGTGCGTATCTCACCGCGTCGAAAGTTCCCAACCGTGAGCTCGTCGGATTTATGGTAAAGACGATATATCAAAGTCAAAGGTATAAAACACCGAACTTGGAATAAAACGTACGACTAGAGTCGTAATGCACCGTATTATTAATTGCATTGACGAGTAACTACATTTGGTATCATTCCGAACCATCCATTCCTCTTTTTACTATCTGCTCGTAACAAAAGCATGCGCGTGAAAAGCATAAACTAAGCTGACTATCACATAGGGTATCACTTAGGGTGTCACTCATCCCACTTTTTGGCTTCGGCGCCGTCGGGTGGTAGAGTCTTGTACGTCTTCCCCTTGGCCTCAGCCCAGCTTGTGCTGAGAGATGTGCCGTTGCTCTCGACGTAGCTCTTCATCATGGCACGCCTCGTATCATCGTCCGCATCCTTGTAGAGCTTTTGGAAGAACGAGTTAACATCGGCATCTTCTTTGGATTCGTCACCCCCGTCGTCATCACCAATCTGATCCCAATTCACTGCTCCCTTCTTCGAAGAAGTAGGGTAGGCTTGGGCGCTACCGACGGTCTTTGTCGAATATGCCTTGCTATCATTTGGAGTAGGCTTAAGCACAGGATCGCTAGCTTGCGTGGGGTTACTTTTGGGCTGAATGGCGCCGCTCGCGCTCGCGCTCGTAGAAGACGATGCAGCCTCGGGTGCAGCATTCGGGATCTCTGAAGATGTCTCGTGATCGTCTAGACTAGCTGCAAGCTTGCCCAAGAGAGCATCGTACCAAGCATCCAGGTCGAGACTAACATCTGGAAGTTTGAGGTCATCGGGATGATTGTACCTAAAAATGTTAGCGTTGTAAAGTCCTAGACATAAGCTTGACAGGCTTGACAGGATCGGATACGAACCCCAGTCGAGAAATGAGGGTGGAGAATCTCTGGAACGATGGGGCCACCTTAGTGTTCCCCGCAATGTTAGTAAATCCATCGGAATCCTCCCGCTGCAGCATGGGCCATTTGCCTGGCGTTTCCTTTTTGAGGACTAGCTCGATTTTCATCGATTTAACTGTGTGTTTGGTTTCAACAGGCTTGACCCTGCCCCAAAGGTGGAGCTGGAGCTGGAGGGAGTTAGAGCCAGAGTCGGTATTTGAAATTGGTCCCATAACCACTTTCTGAGGCTGGGTAGACACGTCGAAACGATCTGCAGGCACGTTCTTTACGAAGAAGTCGGCATTGATGGTAGTGTCTGTCTGATAGAAGCTCGACCTGATACTTTTTGACACGAAGGCAGTCGAAAATTGTTTCCAGACTTTCTCCCAGGCGTCACGTTTTGCATCTTCATCTTGACCTTGATCTTTCGCGGGTACCGGACTAGCTTTAGTATCATGTCCGTCAGATGCAGCAGAACGCAACTCGGATGGCTTAGGATATTTCGAGACGTTCACCTTCAAACCGGGATGTCCAGCAGGTAAGTTCTCCAGCTTACTCAAGGCTTGCAGACGCCAAGAAGTTGCCTGATTTTTTAAGGTGCTTGTTTTCGAACTACCTGTACCAGCGCCCATAGCAGCAGCGATTTGTCGGTCCTTATCCGACTTCTCAGCAGTCTTAATTTCACTAGCACGTACGACATAATCTCCATTTTCGTCAACCTTGTTCTGCTGGCCGTCATCTTCGGTAGCCTTGGATTGCTCGAGCAGTCTGATAGCCCAAAAGGCGCAGATATCAGCGTCTGCATAGCGATCCATACGGAAGAGGGTGATAGCTCGTCTAATCTGAGCTTCGGCCATATAATCCCGATTGGCCCGCGAGAAGGCTACTTGCAAAGCTTGCTCGGCATCGTGCAAGGCGAGGTCGAGTTTATTAGTTCGTAAATACGCCTTGGAACGCTCGAGTAGCCAAAGAGGTGCTGGGCGTTCTTTGAGGGCCTGGGATAACTTCTCGATTCCTTCTCCGTATTTGCCAGCGCCCACAGCCTTGGTACCTGCGTCGGCAAAAGCGGCGGATGACATCGTAGCGATTTTTGACTTGAAAAGAATATGGGCAATTTATTGAGGTGGTACTAATTAAAGTGGAACGCGATGAGTGGCGTTGACGCCGAAGATAATGTCTTTCTGCGGCCGAATATGGTATATGGTAGATGATCACGAAATTGTGGTGGGGGTTGTATTGAGGGTTGGATGTATCGAGTCTCGACTCGGTAGAAGGTTCTTACAACGAGAACGAGAACGAGATTGAATCACACAACTCCAGGTAACAGGTCGTTTAATTACCTCGTAAACGTTTGTGCTAAATCCCTTTTTCTAAGATATCTAAATTATCATAACTGTGATAAAGTTCGTTGTTTGATTTTGCTTCAGTTTGCAAAATAATTAGGTTGGTTTACTTTAGCCAAACCTAAAGCTTGCTTACCATAGAAGCTACTAGTCATAGTGGGGTTTCCGCAATTCTGCTGGATTTATAGCTAAAAATGGTAGGCGGTATAAGGTTAAATCTAGGCTATAACTCACCGCCTAGCGCCTTGGGTCTAGGCCAAAAGCTCCGTGCATCAAGGCTGCCTACAATAACTCACTTTACGTGAAAATAATATATCCTATTCACGAGCTAATATCGGATGTTTCACCTTACCGAATACTTATTTACGGTGATAGTTCAAATAAGCTTTAGGAATTATGTTAGTAAGGATCTGGAGATCTGAGATACTTTCGACCCTCAAATTAATCAACGAACGAATCTAAATTAGTGGGTCATTATATAAAAAAGACTAACTACGTCAGTGCTACCGCGCCAGGGCAGATGACGTACGCGACAAGCTATCATAATAGGGGACTCAACGCCAATGGTAAGATAATTTGATGGATTTCTCGTCACCGAAAATCAAAACATCATATGTGGCATTAAGAATATTACGATTAATTAGTTACCCTACTCAATCTACCCATTACAGCGTCATCGTCCTTCTCAACATCAATTTTCATTTGCCTTACACACTAAACTTAGACCCGTTATACTACCGTCTCATTCGGGTACTTCGTCGCAAACATTCCGAGAGCCTTCATTGTAAAGGTGAATTTGTAGTTCGGGTATGAGATCATACAGCTCTTGTTGAACACACCCTCGATCGCCTCTTGTTTCCATTCACCGTTTGGTTGTTGTCTGTCCATAATAAGTTTGATACCCTTCTTCAGGGGTTCGATGTCTGGGTAATCCGCTTTCATGAGACCTATCAAGGCCCATGCTGTCATCACAACCTGGGATCCCGACGAGTGCTCGGTGTATACCATTCTTTCGCAGGACTGTAAACTGTTAGCATATGTCTACGTGAAATCCAAAGGGCTTAATGATCTTACGCGGTAACTTTCCGACCATCCCCCGTCTTCCCTCTGCTTTGAAATTAAGAAATCGCAACCTCTTTTCGAGTAAGAGCTATTGCCATAAGTTTCACCGATGCTTTTCAAGCTTTCTAGGGCAAACATAGTAGCGTAGGTATAACATATGGCCCAGTTGCCATACCATGATCCGTCTGGTTTTTGTAATGACTTGACTGCTTTGACCGATCGTCCAATAAATCCCTTGATCTCATTTGTCCGATAATCAGGCCAATGCTTCTGGAATAAGGAGAGCGCAGTGACCACTGCTGTAGTACACTCGACGTAATCGTATTCGACCATAATATTACCGAAAACCTCCGCCGCGTTAAGCATCTCCATTAGTTCACTCCCTCGAGTTGGTTCGTACGACGAGCAAGCACCAGACTTGTTCTGGTAAGTAAGAAGAGTATCGACGGAGTCGAATATGCGTTGGTCTTCGAGAAGCTGGGGATAGCTAGGAGTATGTTGTAGAAGGATGACCGACTTCAATGCCTCCGAGATACAGTCGCATACAGCATATCCCTGGTCCCTAGTACTGAAAGCCCACGCACCCTTCCGCTGCTGCCGATAGCAGATATCTTGGTCTTTACAGTTCTCGCGTATCTGCTGATTATCGAGAAATATCAACGCCTTATTTAACATCGGTCTCCAGCGAGGATCTTGCTCGAGCCCCGCATCCGTCATGACTTGTATCAGAAAAGAGGTATCCCAGCATTGAACACCGTTGGTGCCATTGCAAAGCATACCCTCGCTGTTGACCCACAGCGCATCTTCCAACCTTTCGATATGTCTCCTGACCGAGTATGCACCTGGGCCGTCGCGGATATAGCAAACGACAGTATTCATCGCCGCGTTCACCGGTGCCAAGTCCGCGAAGTCCGTATTCGCGTCTTCCATATCGATTAGTTTACTGACCCAATCTTGGGCCTTGTTAGCAAGGCCTTTGGTGCGGAGGTACGGGTTCCAAATATTAACGAGGAACCAGTTGGCGGTATTAAGAAGCCAGGACTTCGGGTGGTAGTTATCGACAGAACAGATACTATTTCTGTTTCCAACCCAGTCAATTTTCTCCCACGGTTCTACGAATAACTCTTGTCTCAAGGCCCGAATGATATCGGTCTCCTCGCAGGACCATTTCTTGTCGTAGATGTAGCCCATAGGTAAGAAGACCTGGCGCATGTGAATCCACCATCTCCAAGGGGCAAAGGGTACCCAATCAGGTAGTAGCCATAGCTCCGTAGGTATAGGGTTGACGATATCCCATTTACAAATACCCAGCACGCTTAACCAGAACTTAGCCCAATGGGGAGCACACGTAGCTCCTCCAAGTTTGTGTAGCGTCCCTCGAGCTTTGACCATGACCGGATGTTCGGGGTCGAGACCAATAATGCGAAGAACGGTATAATTCAACGCGGTTCCGAAAACGGTGCTTTCTCCTTCTATATGTAATCCCCATCCTCCATCTTCGGGGTTTGCTCTAGCGAATAAATAGTTCTTTATCTCCGTCGCGGTATACCACGGAATCGTCGTCTTCGTCGCATACCAGGTAAACACAATACCCGGTAATAAGAACATGGGCCCTCCATATTCGCAACCCCACTGCCCGGAAGGTAATTGAAGCTTCTCGAAGAACGTCAAGCCGTTGACGACGGAATCGAGGGGTTTATTTGGCTTTGGTAGGGTGGGGAGTTCCTATAACGAATGTAATAGTCAGCCATACCGCTCAAACGAAGCAATTGCGCGACAGGAATATTCGGAATGATGGGAATCTCACAGTATCCAATCCAAGATACCATTTATCAGCATAACTCTGCGGCCACTTCTCTACGGCCTCGTCGTCTTCTAGGTAATGCCAAGTATGTCTCCCCTTCTCGTCTAGCATACGCCATCGTGCCAAGTCGGTCTTTTCTTCGAGTTTCGGTCGCTTCGTCTTTTTTGTCGTTGTCGTCTCGAAGGTATCATCGCTAACGCGTTTCTTAGACCGTGTCGTCACAACCATCTTTAGCGAAATAGATATATTAGCGATTGGAGATGATTGAGATTGAAGAAAAGAGTTGCAAAGGGAAAGGATCGCAGGTAACCTAACCAAAATTCAACAATTTCTTATGTTACCGCGGCGTTCGGGAGCTCATACGATGCGTTACGTATCCACTATATTTCCCCTGTTCCGCACCGCTTTTACAGTGGGGCAACCCGGGGTCTTAGCCGGAGTCTTGCATCGAAGCTTAATATAAATAATTATTGGAAATAATAGGTACCTAATTAGATAGAAGATCACAAGAGGAATTATTTACATAAGATGTTTACCTTAGGGACATAATTTAGGCTAACTCGAGATACTATTATTCATAGTTTTCGTAATCTACCACCCAAGAAGTCTTTAAAGTACTAGTGTATAAAGATTGCTGTACGACCTAGAGCAAGCTGATGTAAATATCTTAAGGGTATCTTATCCGGATCTTATCTTGGACCAATTGAAATATGAGACACTTCTGATTTGGTAATTTATACTGTCGAGCCCTAGTAGGAAAAAACAAACTTTAGGCTGACTCATAAATCTCGGCCCACACAAATGTTTAGAAGACTTGGAATACATAAAACATCATCCCACCTTCTTTGCGAGTCGTTTTTACCCGCATCTATCCATCGTGTCCAGTATTCAATTCTACAATTGTATAGAAAAGAATAATTCAAGATGTCTAAGGGTCGTGTCTGTCTGTGAGTATTTTTCTTCTATTAATTATGGCTATTTGAACCTTAGCTAACCATCTATGTAGCGCCTACTCCGGAGGTCAGTATCTCCAGTTATGTCCCCGCTATCGGCTGTCTATTCGAGTCAAAATAGCGTTGTTTATGGCTACAATAGTCTATGGACGAGGTCATCGTTAACGTAACGACGATGACTATCCTGCCAATGGCTAGAATTAAATAGTCTTTACTAACATTAGATCTATAGGTCTTGATACCTCTACCATCCTAGTATGGTTGATTTCCGAGGGCTATACTGTCGTCGTAAGTTCGCTATATTGTATAACATAACTACTATTCGAGTCTAATATAATTAGTGCTTTTTAGCGGATGTTGGTCAGGAGGAAGATTGGGCCGCCGTCGAGAAGAAGGCTCTAAGCTTGGGTGCTGAACGCATGATAATCGACGTATTTACACCCCTTTCTTTCGCCCCTTTTACCCCCTTTTCACTACAATGCTGCTCCCTACTTGTACTCCCCGTTGAGATTTAAATTACTAACATTGAATTATTCAGAACCTCCAAGAGGAATTCGTGGAGAAGGTCATCCATAGAGCAATCCAATGCAATGCCATCTATGAGGATCGATGTGCGTAGTCCCTCTTTGATATAGAGTATAATTATTAACCTCTTTCTAGACCTCTTGGGTACCTCTCTAGCTCGCCCAATCATTGCAAAAGCTCAGGTTAAGGCAGCCATTGAGAACAACTGCGACGTACGTTAGACTTTAGTGTTCCGTTCCGTAATAAATCTAGAACGGAGGACCTCCAGTTGGTCGTTCTAGTCTCGAACATAGCATATCCACCTCTATCCTCTTCCGAGGAGTGACAGAAAGCACGCTGACCTATAATAATATGCATAGTTTGTTTCCCACGGATGCACTGTAAGTATATCACTTCCCCTATACCGCCTTCATTCCATAGAGGCAAAAAATGCTAATTCTCGTAGGGCAAAGGGTATTTTCCCTCCATTTATCCCCGTTCGTTTTGTCCTAGCTAATAAGTATAGCAACGACCAAGTTCGCTTCGAGTTGGCCTTCGCAGCCTTGAGACCCTCTCTGAAGGTCATCGCCCCTTGGCGACTACCAGAATTCTGCGCAAAATTCCGTATGCACTATCGTCTCTCTTGAAAATCTAAAATGGATGGACTTTCTAACAATCTTTATAGAGTTAGTTTTCCAGCACCACCCACTACGTTCCAGACTTTTTCGGTCACGTCCGGAGCTGTGGTTTCTCCCGCCTTAGTAATCTAAGACTTGAATACTGCATCTATGACCAAATTTGAACATAGAATACTGATACTCGTTTCCAGGGGCCGCGCAGATCTGCTTCGCTACGCAGCTGAGAAGAAGATCCCAGTTGTACGTATACCTCGTCAGTCAAGAATAATTAAACCGCTAGATGATGCTAACTGATTACAGAGCTCGACCCCGAAAGAACCTTGGTCCAAGGATGGTAAGTCTCATTGATTTCAGTTCCCTTACCTTTTAAATGCAGCTTGGCAAATCACTCGGTAGTTTCAAGAAGCTAACCGTATTCCATATAGACAACCTAGTGCATTGTTCGTACGAAGCTGGTATCCTCGAAGATCCCGATCACACCCCTCCGTAAGTTTATCTCTACACCAGCCAGTCATTCCCCTATTATATTTGATATAAGCGAAACCCATGAGAGAATGCTCGGTAGCTACCTAGTAACGCTTCCATTACCATCCCAGACCGAAATATTCCAATCCAATAAGCATGGGTGACACTGCTAACATGCTCGCCATAGTAAGGAGTTATGGACCCGAACCGTGGATCCGCTTGATGCTCCCAACGAGCCAACTGATTTCTCTATTCACTTCGAAGCAGGTATTCCTGTCAAGGTCATCCTCGCAGGCCAGGAGACTACCGGCAGTGTAGCCGTGTTCAAGCTCTTGAACAAGATAGGCCACGATAATGGTGTAGGCCGAATCGACATTGTAGAAAACCGCTTTAGTCAGTATTGGAATGGAAGGAGAATAATTGTACCTATGCTAATTTTGCTGATCTTAGTCGGACTCAAGAGCCGTGGTTGCTACGATACACCTGGACTGTGAGTTTTCCTTATCCCAGTCCTACGACCATATTCTTAAATTCCCTCTTGATCAACACGTACTAATTATTTTGCAGCACTATTGCACGACTTGCGCATCTTGATCTTGAAGGTTTGGTCCTCGACGGCCGAGTTCGCGAATTACGTGACCAGTTCGTTACGCACTCGTGGAGTCGCCTTCTCTACAACGGTCTCTACTTCAGCCCCGAGAGGGAATTCCTTGACAATTCCATTCTCTTCTCATCCCAGAACACAACCGGTGTTGTACGATTGAGGGCATACAAAGGACATGTGAGTATCGTCTATGACTAGTCTTTGCCAAATAACTAACCTGGGCGATTAGGTATACGTGCTTGGCCGCTCCAGTAACGCCAGCAACCTTTACTCTGAAGAGTAAGCTACTCCAAATCCCCTCCCTTATTCCCTCTAGAGACTATTGTTCTACCTATGTTCCCCTTATGGAATACAATAAGTTACTTACTCTAATCATTTAGGGCCGCATCTATGGACTCTCTAGAGGGCTTTTCGCCCCAGGACACAACTGGCTTTATTGCTATCCAAGGTTAGTCTTTATTATTAAAACTATTAAGCATCCTCTCCCTTGAGGATTTTCACGTTATCAAATCTCGGTTCATAGGGATAAAGTTACGTAGAGTAATCGCTAACATCCTTTCTATAGCTATCCGCCTCAAGAAGTACGGCGAGCAGCGCGATAAGGACGGCAACTCCCTAACTCAGTCTTAGGTTAGATAGTGGGTTGATTTAGCTTGATGGCTAGGGATACTAGGGTCTACTTCAAAAAATACAGATAAGCTACTATTACGAGATAGTGTCTATAGTATGCGCATGTCTAATCTCTTAGACATTCGATGAAGTGAGAATAAAATCGATATCCAATGCTTTATTTGCGGTTCCATGCATAATTGGAAAAGATGGGCGACGATGCTGAATCTATTAAAATTGAATCGTAGGGGTTCATGTATAATAAGTGGGGATACCGTGATCTGCCCCTGGTATTTATGTTGCGATTGCCAATAAGCTTGAGATGTGTAAGCTATAAGGCTTAGGTCTTATGCAAGAAGTTTCAGGGAGCATCATGGTGTATTCCATTAAATTGGTGTGCATTGGTATACATACCTAGGTAGGTACCTAGTACTACATGTATGCTGGCAGGAGTGACTGCCTTGAGATTAACATCAGTTATAGTCCGGCAAGAGCAATCAGTAGGTACCATAGTATACAGTTCATTCCTAAGCTGCAGTAGAAATGGCTAAGGGAACTGAAATACCTTCACTTGAATCACGTTTCATCACAATGGACAGGCAATTAAATAACATCGTCACGTTTGGTGGAGATGCTACAAGAAATATACAAGTCGACGCTGTTATAGCTAAGATTGAAGATGTACTAGAAAGAATTATTGACGCGCTTAGCGAGAATCGAGTTCTTGATATTCCTCTACGTAATCGCCGGACAGGCAATGAAAGTCTCATCCGGTTCCCAGCAAGTACGGAGGCAGAGGCAAAAAGATTTAGTGAGTTCATAGCACGAAAAGAGCCTTGCATCTTGCTTCTAGGTCATCTTATATTAATTACATATTTAGCATGTGTTCTTCAGATTCTTCATCTGTGCTATGAAGCACTCATTTCTGGCCATGTCATTACGAAAAGGTCTGTTTATTTTCTTGCCGAATTTCTCTGTCCCTTAAATCAGTCTCACGTATCAAGTAGATTTGCTAATTGGCTATAGAAATATCTACTATCAAAATCCAGATCTTTTCGGAAGTCAGCAGTATGTTGATAATCTTGTCGACGATATCGCCTTTACATTCGGAGTTGGTAGAGACTCGTTGAGTGTTGTACGTATCCTTAAAGTAAAGTTCGAGTAGATTTAAGGGTTAAGTATCGAACTAGGTTGCTGCATATAAAGGTCTTATTGCAGGGGGAGTTATTATCACGTTAAAGAACCACTCCGTTCTTGATTGCAGCTCTGATAATAATGTGAGGATCGAACTACACTTTGAGGAATGTGTTAACAAGCTAGCTAATGGATGTTACTAGGGTACTCTAATTCCGCATGCTGAATCTATTCATCGAATTGATATTGGTGAAACGAAATGGATCATCGTTATCGAAAAGGAGGCAAGTCCCTTTATCTGAATATTCGCCGGACATTCTCTGATGTTTCTACAAGGCCACCTTTCGTGGACTGGCCGCGTCTGGATACTATGGGCTATCTGACGCAGGTATAGGAGTTCTTGTTACAGTAAGACATCCTATTCACAGCGTAGTATTTTATCGTCTTTGCTCATGCTATTATTTTTAGGGGAAAGGCTATCCAGATCTGGTGACACGACAATTCCTTCACCTTCTACACTCATCCTTCCCGCAAATTCCCATTTACGCTCTTGTCGATTTTGACCCTAGCGGTATTGCCATCATGCTTACCTACAAATGCGGCAGCCAGGGACTCAGTCATGAGGAAAACGTGACGATTCCGGAGATCTCATGGCTTGGGCCAAAGAGCTGTGACATTCTAAGCCATACTCACTACTCATCTTCATCTCATAGCAGTTCCTCTGATGATCTCACTCCCCAGTCCAGTCAGGATTCATCTTCGTCCAGTTCATCATCTAGTATTTCTGTTTTCGCGATTCCGGTCGAAGTCGCTGCTCAACTCAGTACTTCTGACCGACGGAAAGCGGTTAGCCTCTTGCGCAGACTTGATAGCCGACCGGCTGAAAGTGAAAATGAACCGAGCTTGGTGCATGAGTTACAGCTAATGCTTATGCTGAATATTAAAGCCGAGATACAAGCAGTGGATGATTCAGGCGATATGACAAGCTGGTTAGACGTGAAGCTATCAAACTATCAGCAATAAATCTAATAATTCATACCTAACCCGACCATCTCCAATAGAGAACTATAATTAAAAGATTTCAGATGAGCTCTATGCTGTGGTATAAAGGGGTTTCTATTGTACCCCCTAATATCGGCTACACTCTTAGGTTGTTAGAATATCACGTGACTCTAGGACCCAATTTGAGAGGTAAACGCCCAACTCAACGCTATCATGAAAAGATGTTGCTACTAGAAATTCACCCAAGTCTTAAATTCTGACCGATTTACCATACGGAATTCAAAAGCGCTTTTTGAACATTCTTAGGTTCTAAATTCCATGCGAAATTTATCTAATTTGTCCACAAAAAAGCATCTGTGCTAAACAACTAAAAATTTTCATCTCGCTCTCCAATTAGGTCCACCACTACTCATACCAAGAGCACGGACCAGGACAAAATACCCGGACGTTGGTACTGGTTTGGAATTAAAGGATTTAGAGAATTACGGAAGGAAAATTCAAAATAATCAAAATGGCACCCAAGTTATCGGAAGATGAGATTGATGATCTCATTTACTTAGCCCGTACCGGCGACGATGCAGAGTTCACGGGAATGGTTCAGGAGCTTGCTGTTCGGGAGGGTGCTACACGGGCCGAGATCATAGCGGCGGCTAGAGATGACGGCAAGGCGACCTGCTTACATATGGCAGCAGCAAATGGTCATGCGAGTAAGTTGACGACTATGCATTTCAATATTTATATTAATATTAGACTAGAAACTGTCACTTTGATACTCTCACACTTCCCTGCTCCTTCTAAGGCATCCAAGGAAGCAGAAGCAGCAGCAGCAGCTCCGTCATCAGATGAAGTATCACCATCTACAAGTACAGAAACGGAGGTACCTTATATCAACTTACAGAACTCGTTCGGAAACACAGCCTTGCATTGGGCATGTTTAGGTGGTCACCTTGACGTCGTCAAACTTCTCCTATCGCGAGGCGCTTCGCCTACTGCGGCTAACGACAAAGACCAGATTCCGCTGGACTTGGCAGCCTTCAATAACCATATGCACGTTGTTGATTACTTTCTCTCGCAGAGCAAAGATCTGGAAGGCGATAATGCTAAGGAAGGCGGACTAGAGAAGGGCGCACAAGACGTGCAGATGACGGATGATGGTGCAGCGGAGGATGGAAAAGCAGGGGGCTCAGCAGATGGTAGTTAGGCTCTGACCAGGATTATGAAGTCTAAATTACATTAAAAAGGTTGAATATCGTCAAATTCGATGTGAAGTCTCTTTAAGGGGCATAAGGCAATGCCTAAGATAAACCTGTCTACCCTTCCCAAATTCCAGCAAGAGGTCTGAATCTGAGTGATTAACATTAGGGTATAGATATAGGAATAAAAGTGTTATATTTGGCATCACTTACAAAGGAAGAATCAAACGTATTAAAAGAGTATGATTCGTCAAGATGGTGGATCGCCATGTTCCTGTCAGACCGGCGATAAGATAATGTAAAAGCGCGATTATGATGTCTTACAGCTTACTAATTTTAGATACCGCTAAGAAAAAACATAACATGCGCCGTGAATCCCAATATTTAAGAAGTACATAACGCTGCACATAATTTGGAGTTGTTGGTATGCAAGATTGCGGGAGATCGCTCTTGCGTTGCAGGAACCTTTATAAATAAATATTTTTTGTTACCTCAATTCAACTATCCAGTACTTCGTACCTCCGTCTATCTCTCAATCAAGCCGTCATTCCCGAATCATCTCCGAGCCTATGAAAACCCAACTTCATTGAATTTACCGGTTTAACAGTTTGCGACATATCAAATATCTCCGTTAGCAAGATCTAAGAGCTATCTTATTCGATTAGAGATCTAAATCGTACGAGGAAAGATGTTAGATCTAGCTTTTGATGCCAAGTCCGCATCATTTTTAGATTGGTTTAGGACCTGGCCTGGAGCGACTTTTCATCCTAATATCAAGATTGAAGATCTGCGCGCAAACGGTGCCGGAAGAGGAATTGGTGCGGGATAAGCAGAACCAACAATGCATTTTAGCGATCATACCCAAATTGCTAACCAATGACTTTTCTTAGTTGCCACTGCGGACATCCCTGAGGATACCGTACTGTTCTCTATTCCGAGAACAGCAATCATCAACGCGGAGACTTCTGACCTCCCTAAACGCATACCCCAAGTCTTCGAGACTACGGGCTTAGAGGACACAGATAATGAAGCCGATGAAGATGGGAGCGAAACTAGCGGCCCTCCTGATAACTGGATCTCACTTATTCTCATCATGGTATATGAGTATCTTCAAGGTGACAGGTCTCGATGGAAACCTTACTTCGACGTGCTTCCTAATCAGTTTGAGACCTTGATGTGGTGGTCAGATCAAGAGTTGAGCGAACTGCAAGCAAGCTCAATCGTGTCCAAGATAGGTAAAGACGAGGCCGATGGCATGTTCCGCACTCGAGTACTACCAATAATCAATGAGTATGCCGATGTCTTTTATCCAGAAGGATCCGGAAGACTTAGCGAGGATCAGTTGATGCTTCTAGCGCATCGCATGGGCAGTACCATTATGGCATATGCTTTCGACTTGGAGAATGAAGACGAAGAAGCTGACCCTGAGAATGGCGAGGAATGGGTTGAAGATAAAGAAGGGACCCTCATGATGGGTATGGTACCGATGGCCGATATCTTGAATGCAGATGCCGAATTCAATGTAAGCATACTTCGTTTTATGAATATAATAGTAAATCCTATGCTACGAGCTCGTACTGATAAGCAACAGGCTCACGTTAATCACGGCGAAGATAGCTTGACTGTCACTACCCTGCGGCCAATTGTTGCCGGAACTGAGATACTCAACTACTACGGGCCGCTCGGAAATGGCGACTTATTAAGACGTTACGGATACGTAACGAAAAACCACTCCCGATATGACGTGACGGAAATATCATGGGACTTGGTATTGTCTGTATTAAAGGACACTCTCGGGTTGGATGAACCTGCCTGGGGTAAAGCGGTAAGCAATGGAAACGATGGAACCGATACCCTTACCATCTTCAGAATGCTAAATGTTCGTAGGTCAATGAGCTGGACTTAGAAGAAATTGAGGACGCTTTTGTCATCGAACGAGATTCAGGGGAGCCGAATTCCAATGGAGAACTTAAGGATGAACCGACCTTCAAAGAGCTTCCTTCGGATCTAGTCGAGCAGCTCCATGCAGTACTCAAAGCGATCAGGAAGGTCAACCCAGCTACTATTCCAGATAAGACGATACGGGACGAGATCACATCGTTGGTCATACATCGCGCCCTCGAACTAAGACTGGCACAATATACTACAAACCAATTGTACGATCTGGATCTATTGTCCGGCAATAAGGTTTTAGGCCGGCAGAGGATGGCCGTAACTGTGCGGTGGGGCGAAAAGGTTCTATTGCAAGAAGCTATCAACTTCGTGCAAGAAAGGGTGCACAAGTTAAAGGCCAGAACAAACCCAGAGTCCGAACCATACGCGAAAAGGCAAAGAACCAGGTGAAGGATGAGCACGACCGTCTGCATAGGAAGGTTAATATAGATCGGGATGCCGTCTCCCTACGTTTTTCCCGACAATTTTCAGCCACGTGTGCCCGCCCGATAGCCTGACCTTTAGGCAGCTCAGAAAATAAATTAAGGGGGCACCGACCACCCACAAGGCCTGACTGTTCCTGTTAAACGCAGGCTGAGGCGGGGTCGATCTCATGTCTTACTTCCTGGCCGGCCTATCAGGTTGCTGGCTATTTCGTGTTAGAGATGCGCGAAAATGCAGGGACTAGGTTATAAAATAAGGTGCGACCTGGGCTAGAAGAGTTTAGAGAGCTTGCAGGTAAACCTACTATGTAAGGTAATTAGATAAAAATGAAGACCTCACGGCGAACTATTTACCAATGCTGGATGCGAGATAGTGTAAATGCGAGAGTGTAATTTGGGATGTCTCGTAATTCTTAGTTTTATAGTTTTTAGTGTATTCCTTAATCGTCTACCTACCTCCTAAGGTAACCTTCCTAGAATTTGGTGGGATACCTTGGTTTAGGAACTTGGTATCGGTTTCTATTACAGCTGGTTGGCTTACCCGGAATCCAGCGTGTTAAGTCTAACTCGTTACCAATCTATTAATACACACGATAAAGTAGATAAAGCAAGGGATAAGCAAGTCAAACTTATGCTTTACCGTACGTAACTAACGCGTGTAACGAGCTGTATGGATACTTGCCAGTCGGCACAGGGAGTATGTGTAGAATTCGGACCGGAGATCAGTCTCATCTCTTCAAGACATTCGATGATTGCCGAAACTTAAGGTTTCTGTACTCGCCGAGCTGTGAAATGTGTGCCCCCCGCTCGAAACATCTCGACATCGACTGCTACTCTCACAGTGCTACTCAACAATTCCATACCTCGACCTCTATATGTAAGGCGGCAAAATGGAAATTACCTGGAAGTCCATCGTCATATTCATCCTAGCCTTTTTAGGGGTAATAGTCGTCGTAGCGCTGTAAGTTGATACCCTAATAACTTATTACTTCTCTATCGCTCTACATGCGGAAACGTATTAACAATCTTCTTCGGATAGGATCACTCGATGGCTCGATCTGCAGGGGAAGATAACCCGCCTATGGACTAGGAACAAGAGACACTCGAAACCTGACCTGCCAGATTCGATTCAACGGGCGCTAGTACAGCTAGAGGACGCAACTGAGAAGAGGCACGCTCGTAATTCACTGACAGAGTCGGAGGATGCTGAATGGTTAGGCTGCTCCCGAAATTCATCTTACACTCGTGCCGTACGTCTAATACTGTAGATAGTCCAATATGCCTCGCGCACCTCTACTCTAGCGACACTCGTCCATCCACATCAGCAACCGGTCGCGATACGGATCTAGAGGCCGGAGACGGTATATCAAGATCTGCTACGATAATCACAGTAGCTTCGGACGCAGCTGCAACGAAACACCAGCCTACACAGCCCATCGATGACGAAGTATTGAAGATGAAGAGGTGTAGACATGTATTTCACGCTAAGTGTCTAGCTACATGGTTTCTGCGGAAAGAATACAGATGTCCAGTCTGCCGAGATCCGTATTACGTGGCGGAAGAGGAGACGAGGGAAGACTATCGTGTACAGGCTCTGATACCGGTAGCCGTTGTTTGGTAATCGGTCTTAGGTATCTAGTCGCAGTACGTTATCATCTCCAGTAACGCATGAAGATAAGGCATAGATCAGGCATCTATGTAGAGTAAAATAGAGCGATGTATTAGGTATCGAAGAATGGATTCCGTTAATAGGTACACGGCCAATAAGCTGGAACCTAATTAAGGCGATGCACGCACCGTTAGCCTTTAGGAATACACGATTTCTTCAAACCAAAAATGGGCTGCAGCTGCTTGAATCCATTTGGGTTATTAGCTATAATCAGTCGTTAATAGAATAGCTTATAAACGTGAGGTTTTGTATGAAATGGAATGACGTGAAGAAGTTGACGACGGAGTAAATCCTTGTAAGCCCTTGCTGCTCTAGCGGAATGGGCCGCCACTAAATATTTAATTTCTTCGTTAATCTATACGACACCATTGACGATGAAAGTCAAATTAATTCTATCTTCAATATATGATGATGACCATTGATATATAACTTTTCTATATTCTTTGCGCAGTCATAAATGTATGTAGTTCAATGTTGCAAGCTGTTGGTGGTCACTTACACCACGTACTCCACTTACAGCTTGCAGCGTGGCTTACGTTAGGTGCTTTTTACCAAGCTAACAGGGCCTAATCGCGCTAGATCTTGCTCCTACAGAGATGCATTTCACGTGACTATCATGACCCCTAGACGCATTTAAAAGTTAGCTTAACTTAGCTTAGCTTTGGACCCTAGAAGTTGCCATCTCGCATCTCGCATCTCGATCGACACTAAGATGATTTCATCGATCATCGCTCACTTTTAAATGACCTCACCCTAACTCACATCTAACGCGCTCTAAGATCGGGGAACATTCCAATTTGTTTTATTGGATTTTTGTATTGCCATGGCCAACTCAAAAAGGAATCAGCCGCAAGAAATGGTCCGGCCCGCTGCCGCAACACAAGGATGGCCGATGTTCGAGAAGTATCCAAGACGGAGCAAAGCTTCCCTCGAGCTTCCCCTTTGCGCCTCATGATCTCGTGGCTAGACCCAATTCATGACGCACATCATCGGTTCTCACTTCACTAATCTAGTGATTACATAGTAAACTCTGTTAATATCTACTGTCGTACATACTAATTAACGATGGAGAAGGAAAAAGGAAGTTGGCGCTGTCTAGAATAGCGGCTCCGCCTAGCTTGCTTCTTTTACATAGCATAGCAGATGATCTCATCCATATTGGTTTTTCTTATTTGTAAATGTCTGAACTGTATCTCTTACTCCTCAGGTACTCTATTTACCCAAATCTTAGATCAAAATCATACGAGTTCACATAATAGCTGTGATCTCTCTTACCAGCCATCCGTCTTTGCATGTCCATCTTTCCACATCTGATTCGCTGCTCTAGAGCTGAATCTAAATGCTTTCTCAACTCCTTTAAGCCAGTCACCTATTTCATACTCACATATTATAACCTCTCCACGATGGTCGCTAAAAGACAGAAATCAACTGTATTTCTGCAGCAAGATGACAAGTCGGATAAGGACATCCAACAAGAGAAGCCTGATGTCACACCCAGAAGATCGGGGCGTAATATCAAGAAAACGATACAAAATCCGGACGTCACGGGGGCCATTGGTGGCCTTCGTGAAATGGAGGATACTTTTCGGGACGATACCAAGCGGCAGAAGACAGCAATTGATGCAAGCTCAATCTCGAGTGATTCTAACGGACGGAACGCAGATTTAACTTTCTTTCCGAAACCCGAAAATTGTAAGCCGGATTCAATTCCAGCGAAACTTGAAAGGGATAGCTTAAGAGACGACGACGACAAGAAAAAGAAGAGTGTAGCAAAGAAGAAGGAGAAGAATGGTGAGAAGACTAGTGTCGATGAGGAATTCGAAGCCTACGAGGACGGAGAACCAGGCGACAGGGAGGAGGGTGGTAACGGATCCCTAGGGGAGGCTGATGCCAACGCCTTCAAGCAAGAAGGATCCCGACCACCCCCTGTTAATAGTGACTATCTACCATTACCATGGAAAGGTAGATTAGGCTATGTGAATCCCCCCGAGCATAATTAAGTGTATGCAATCGTGCAATACATAATCTCTAACATTAGTCAGGCTTGCCTCAATACGTATTTACGACTTTCAAGCCCACCGGTATTCAGTTCGAGAACATGCCGAATAGCTTCCATTATAGAGCATCGTCACCCCCTTCAAGATCCGTCCCAGCCTGAACATGCTACAAAGAATCGCCCAGACAAGAATAAGCCGGCTGATGTAGCCAGAGGCCAGAGATATGTTGAAGCACTTGGTCTCGCCAATGCACGTGATATTGTAAAGATGATATGCTGGAATGACAAGTATGGTATCAAATTCATGCGCTTAAGTTCGGAAATGTTCCCTTTTGCCAGCCATGAAGAATATGGCTATAAGCTAGCGCCGTTCGCTTCGAAAGTACTTGCTGAAGCAGGAAGAGTCGCAGCTGAGCTAGGACATCGGCTCACCACCCATCCTGGACAGGTATGTTAAGCTACTCTATACGAGAAAGACGCCACTAACTCATTGAAAGTTCACACAACTCGGTTCTCCACGGCCTGAGGTTGTTAGAAATTCGGTTCGCGATCTTGAATATCACAATGAGCTGCTAACACTTCTACGCTTGCCCAAGCAACTCGATAAAGATGCCGTCATGATTATACACATGGGCGGCGTATTTGGTGATAAGGAGGCTACTCTCGATCGGTTTAGGAAAAACTATGCCAAACTCTCACAAAGTGTCAAGGCAAGGTTGGTATTAGAAAACGACGACGTGTCATGGACGGTACACGACCTACTTCCCATATGTGAGGAATTAAACATCCCGCTCGTTTTGGACTTTCATCATCACAATATCATGTTTGACAAAGGCAAAATCCGCGAGGGGACCAAGGATATTATAGAACTCTACCCAAGGATCAGAGCAACCTGGGATAGAAAAGGTATCACGCAAAAGATGCACTATAGCGAACCTTGTTCGGAAGCCATCACTCCACGTCAGCGACGAAAGCATCGCCCTCGTGTTATGACCCTTCCGCCGTGTCCGAATGACACGGATCTCATGATTGAGGCGAAAGACAAGGAACAGGCAGTATTTGATCTAATGAGAAACTTCAAACTACCTGGATGGGACCGTTTTAACAACGTTATCCCGTATGAGCGCGAAGATGAAAATAGACCGATACCTAAACCTCCCAAGAAGAAGAAGCGCAAGACCAAGAAAGATGCAGACGCAGATATCGAGGCTGGAGAGGACGCGGAGGAGGAGCAGAAACCACCGCCCGAGATACCGGAGTCGGAACTTGGGATGGGCGGCCCTAATAACCGAGTATACTGGCCTCTTGGTATGGAGGAATGGCTCCGGCCTAAGAAAAGGGAGGTTAAGAAAAAGAGAGCTAATGACGAAATGGATGGTGATGATTAGCTCCGTTTTCGGATTTGGGTAGTAGCATGCTGTGTTACAGCACGTTTGCATACCGGTTTATAAGTCAGATACCACGGGATAAACTCGGTAAGGTGTAACATCGAAAGCACTTTGTCGTCGCCCGGCGGTCTGGATGCTCCGTAGTTATACCCTTAGATCCCTAGAAGGGTAATCACTTCTCATATTTTAAAAAATGTGTAACAAGATTTCTACACACCAACTTCTTATCTGACCGCAGATATAAAATCTATCATATCTAGCGGTTGTATTTATTACAGTTACTTATTATCTATGGTTGGGGTGTGATTCGACAGATACGACTATGTAAATAAGCAATGTAAGCTTTTATATGAGCTGAAATTATTGATACTGCTTACTTACTCTAAATTAGGAATAGCTTCGCGACTCGAAGAAGGCTGAAAGAATATTACGGTGATCGATATTACTCCGGGGTATAAATGATGGTGTGAGGCTGTTAGACAATTTGGACCAACTACGTATGGGAGGATAATACGTATTAATGACAACAGAGCTATATTGAGTATATCGTCTTATATGCAGGGACTTCGCGCTTCATGTGGGATTGGTAGTTATGTAGCTATGGGTGCTACTACACCTTTTCCTCGCTTTACTCATACAATTTCTAGCGAGGGTCTCGATTATCCGGACTAGGAGTGATTGGTTCCGGTACTTGTGTGTTCTACGAAGACTATATAAATGATCTCATTTACAGCACGCGATGAGCCATAACTAAGACGGGTAGCAAGAGTCGACAATGCCGAATCGCTTATCTGAAGAATAGCCTTCTAGCCTCTTTCAACTATTACACCACTTTGTATGTAAGGATATTTATCAGCCGTGTCTGACATACTAACGCTAATCCCGTTCCTGTAGCTATTGTTCATTGAGCTAGTATATGTTCCCGAACCCATGATAGACGATGCTGTAGATACAGCAAAATGAGAGACAATAATCAGAAGATTAAGATAACAGAAATTAATTATAAAAGAACAAAAATTATAAAATAAAAATATAAAATAAAAAGACTACAACTGAAAGAATATTGCAAATACTTCTCGCTTCTAGCTCACCGTATGCACTTTATATCCACTTCTCATCACGATGAAATAGGGGTCTTCGGGAATTTGACGCATATATACATAACATTCTACACCATTGGCCAACCATGTCATCAAACCACCATCGACCCATGCAGATAGTAGTGTGCAATGCACGGGTTTTCATCTCGTAAAAGATATAATGGCACAGTCGTATCTACCACGGTATAAGGCTTATATCTCATATCAGAGTTCGGCAACTGGTTCACCGCCGGAAGCACAAACCAACAATCCAAGACATCAGGGTCGCCCAACACGTACATCTAGATAATGGGCAGAAGATAAGATCCCCGGGTCGATATCAACGGCCTACCATGGTCGGTTGCTTTACGGAGCTGCCGTATCTACTGCTGTGCTACGTGAAGACCCCTGAACTGCCGCCAGTGTAGCTTTTTAAAGCTGGCTGGCTGGTTCACCTACTATTTTGAGGTGATAGGGGTCTTGACCATGCATTATCGGTAGAGTATTAGGGGTGCTTGATACGTCTCTCTTCTCGAGCCTCAAAAAATTCCGGATAAGCATGTGCTAGCGACCGGTGTTTCTACTCGCCCTTGGACATCTGCGATCGCTCTACTCCCGTGCGTGCCGCCACGTTGCGCCAGGTATACGTATATACCTACATATAAAGGGCGCACATATAAGTCTTACTCTGCGACAAAGGGTCCAGGGGTAGGACGGGACGGGTGCGCTAATTATGTAGTATGCGCAGAGATAGACAGTCACCCTTTGGACCCTGATTTATATAAATAAAATTTCTTTTTTGAAAGGTGGGAGAGGTTCCGAGCGTGTACAGCGGCAGAAGGAAAATAAAAAAAACATCTTATTAGAGGACGAGATGATGCGATGGTAAAATTGTCGTCTCGTAAAAGGGGGACGAGGAAATTTAGGAGGTATGAGTTCCGCACACCCGGCTCAATGGGAAGGGTCACTGTCGCAAGTAGAAGATGAAGAAGCAAAGGCAGTTCACGGATTGGCGCATTTGAACGTACCTCATATGTACATCAATTATATAGGGATGGTTATATTGACGATAATGATGAATGCTTGATGCCTAGATATTTGGATTGGCAATGATTTAGATGGGACAAGTTTTGAGGGTCCTTTAATATTATATATTATATTGCATCTGATAGTAACTTGAAGGTCGGTCGGAGTGGACCCGAAAGGTTTCTTTGGACTCGACGCCGTGATGCCGTGAAGCCGTGACGCCTCGCACGAGGTCCGACAAAGTGGATAAAGGAACAATGGAAGTGAAGTAAAGATAGCTTAGGTAACGCCGTTATAGGCTGGCGACGCCGACGAAAGTAACGATAAGAAAATAAAAGTATCATGAGGTCACTTAGAAACGGGGCTTCAGGAAAATATGATGTCAGGTTTACCGCTTTAAAGGGTTTTCGGGAAGCATCCGTGGATCTCGAAAAGAAAGCTCGAGCCTTAAGGTGAGCAAGGAAAAGCTTGGCAAGCAGGGGGGGTTGCAGATTTTTACCGAATAAAAAGTATAATATACTTGGAATAGCCCGTCGAATACTTTAAAGTTTGCTATATATGCGCCGGAAGATTCCGTACCAAAGGATTTAAAACGTTGAAGTAGTGACATAAAGTTCTCGTGAGATGGTGGGATGATCACTCCCTTATTAAGCAGCTCTCCGTAGTGGCGGCTCGTGCTTCCCTTAGGTACGAAATACGTACATATGTACATGTATGTAGGTACCTAGGTACATGTAGTTACCGCGAAATACCTGTACCCACATTGTATAGGTATAGTACATAGGAATACCCACCTAACCACCCACCCATCCCACCTTCTGCACCTTCTGTAGCAAGGCATCAAGCAAGCATTAAAGCAAGCATCCAGCATTCAGCAAGGCTAATAATACGACTTGACCCCAATGCTGTAATAACTGCAGCAGTAGCGACAATAGTAGCCACGGCGATAGCATTATTAGGTTAGTATGTTAAACGTTTGTCTTTTTTTTTTCCACCAGAACAACCCGATCAGACTAATATAACAACCTAAACTAACAACTCGAACTAAATTAACTCGTCGTGTAACAGATCGTCACATCATCCTCACCTTACCTTTAGGTACTCGACTCGACAACCCCTCTGTTTCTTATGATCCTCTTGTTTGATCTTTTATACCAAAAATTCGAGTCCTTCTCCTCAATCACAAGATCTCCCCACCGAGTAAGACAGTTAGACACACGACATAGAGACAACACCATCAAGGGAACTATAGGGGAAACTATAGACCAATACGACAATACGATAATACTCTGCCTGCATTCCTCTCACCCTCCATCATAGGAAAGAAAAGCCACGCATCCCATATTTTAGGTAACACATGCCCTACCATCCATAAATCAAAAAAAAAAACATTCTACCTACATAGAACCTACATAGACTGCATAGACTGCATAGACTGCATAGTCCAGAACCCCAAACCCCACCGGCGCAATAGTCGCAATCGCAATATTCGAGTATCATCATCATAAGAACGATCAGCACCTAACAATAATCCTAGGCAAAGATTCTAGCAGTCAAATCACATCAAATCACAAGCACACGAGAGCCCAAAAAAAGAACTCCACTATTTTATACTGCAGGGTCCCAAACTCCCTGGTCACTTTTCTTCCCCGCGTCCGGCCGCCAATTTTCCAACTTTAACCTCCACAAATCTGCCAACCCGCCAACCCGCCAACCTTCTTTTAGCCCTTGCTTATTGTCCCTCCAGCCCTCTTCTTACCGTTCTTACTACTGTCTACTTTCCGCTTACTTCCGTCTACTTTCCCATCCTACATACTCCAGATTTTAAAACCCAGGCCATTACATACCAAAAAAAAAAATTTACTCTTCTCATCCTTCATATACTCTACTTTCCCATTCAACCGTCAACGGCTACCTAAACATACTTACCGAGACCTTTCTCTTCCTACAGTCCCAAAGATGGCGACCGTGGAGTTGAGCCCCAAGGCTATGCACATTCCGAACCATGAGATCAAGCGCCCTAGAGGTACGTCATACCCTTTATTCTACAATTTCGCATATTTCGCATATTTTCTGGATTAGCCTTCATCATACTAATTGGATCTCCTCTCGTTAGGTATTCTAAAGAACTCATATCAAAAATCGCCACCCCCCGCATCTCCGATTAAGGAACAGGACTTGTCTGAAAAGGAGCTTACCATCATAAATACCCAAACAAATGCCGGCCATCGTCGCTCCTCGAGCGCGGCTAGCCGTCCTCCTGGTTCGCGGCGCCAATCGTCGCGTACTCCTTCACACGGTCCAGACCAGGAAATGTTTGATAGCAATCAACGCCTGAAGTGGGACGAGGCGAATCTTTATTTGACGGAACAGGAGCGTACCTCCACGATGAAGATCACCGAACCCAAAACACCGTATGCTAAGCATTACGAGCCGTCGGAAGACGATGACGACGACGAGATGCTCGATGGGGAGCTTTCGCGGAAGGAGGAAATTCCCGGGCTATCATTGGGAGAGCCCGAAGAGGACATCCCCGAAGATGAATTTGGAGCCGGGCGCAAACAAAGCAAGGTCCATGTTAGTGACGAGGATGCCACACCGCAACATGACGCCGAGAATGAACTCCTCGGCCTGACCCCCGAAGAACAAGAAAAGCATCGCAAGTTTGAGGAGTTGCGGAAGAAGCACTACGAGATGAAGGACGTCGCCAAGTTCCTTGGCCACCCCGAGTCTATCGACGAGCTTGAAGACGACGAGGAGGTTCCTCCGATGCCTACCATTAACGGCGCTGTCGTCGGAGCTGGCGACTAGGAATACGGGATAGGCAGCTCTTCTCGTAAGAGGAATGCCACCGACGTTGGCGACGGAAGGGCGAGCAAATTACAACGACGGATATGAGTGCGATGACGGGACATGCATGATGGACGGAGTTTAATGGCTAGGTGGATTGCCTCTTGATTTTATCATCTTGTCAGAGGCACAATAGATGTGTTTTAGGTGTTGGAGGGGCGAGCGACATCCTACCTAGTATTAGGCTGGGCAAGATACAGTTATTTCCGGTTGATCATAGTTGTAGTTATAGATGTTCTACCTGCGCGGTCTTGGACCTCAGACTCAATGAAATAACATTCATTCATATATTCGTTGTCTTATAGCGAAACTGCACGAAACGAGACGAAACTTGATCAAGACATGTCTTGAAGTACTCGGCCATATAGGTTAGACACTGGGATCTCATTCTAAGTAGAAACTCGACAAACTCCATGCTCTACTCTAAGGAATAATGCGCCAACCCCAAAGCTTAATAAAATTAATCATAGCAGTCCCTTCCGAGCGAGTTCGACTTTTCTTCCGGCCTCCCCAGGTTTAAATCCTCCTTTAGATGCGCAAATTCGGTGACCATCTCCCATCTCGAACTTGTCTTCATGGGCGGGCCACGGGCAGGGGCAGTGGTGGGGGAAGTGCACGCAAGCTATTGATCAAGTAGTTAGCATATATGAGTTCACAATTACAAGCTAATGCCCGTTCCGCTGAAGGATCTATAAAATTGTATAAGTCGTGGTGGGAAAAGAGGAAACTTACCAAGAGTATCTGGGCAAAGGTAATTATCGCAATGCATACGATCAAAGTTGGAGCGGTAGATGGACGAGTCGCTAGGTACGTTCTGCGGTTGTTGGCGCTGCTGCTGCTGTTGCCCTCCGCCGCCGAACATTTGGTCGAAGAAACCAAATTGGGCGTGAGCAACGGAGGAGAGCAGGGCAAGAAGGAGTATTTGTAGGGGGGAAGGGAGGAGCTTCATCGTGATGGTTTATATGGTTTGATTTATACAATTAATTGAGAAATTGAAGCAATGGTAACAGCTATTAACATATGCTATAAGTGGTTTTACGTAGGCTCGAATTGGTATTGCTGGCAACTTTCCACTAGTTATCGTTATCGAGGTCGGTTAGTTATCGTAGCTGACTAAGTCTAAATTTTGTGGGTGCGGACCCGAGCTTTTTGCATGATCCAAAAGCGCTACCAAAACTTCCCCGGAAGAACGACAACGGTCTAAACGACGGTTCAAAGACGTATCCAGCCATGAGGATCGCTCAATTGCAGCGGCCCATAGTGGCGGCTGCTTCTAGTATATCGAGAGCAGCACCAGGTACCACGATACGACAGCTACGAGACGTATTCGGACAGCTAAGGATAGGAGCCAATAATGCAGCGGTAGAAGGTCGAAGAAATGCTGCTGTCAAGTCGCAGGGAGCATACAAGTTACGAGACTCGAGCACGATTCCGAAGAAGCTGGGCGCGAAGAAGAGCGGCGGTACGTTTTGGATATACCCTCCACTATGTCTATTTCCGATCTCGATTTTCGATTAAGAACGCGGGGCAACACTCGAAGAACTAACATATGAGGCTATAGACTCCTATGTGATTACCGGAAACATCATCTACAAGCAGCGTGGTACGAAGTGGTTCGCAGGTGAGAACTGTGGTATGGGCCGAGATCACACTATCTTCGCCTTGACTTCGGGGTACGTAAAGTACTACCGAGATCCCGCGCGGCACCCGAAGCGACAATATATCGGAGTTGTATTCAACAAAGAGGATACGCTACCTTACCCCACACATGCGATGCGCCGTCGCCGGCTCAACATGACCGCAGCCCCTATCCCACCCCCGCAACCAGAGCTCGCTCTCTCCGCCTCCGGTATCCCGACACAAGTTGTACGTCAGGGCTACGGTCGCAAGCCCCATCCGCGTGATGAGCGTGTGATCAAGTTAAGGGACGACGGTAGTTATGCCTACGCAGAAGAGAGTTGGCGTCTGGGTACACTAGTGCGTACCGAGAAGCGCAAGATGGGTAGCCGAAGAGTAGCCATGAAGCACCGTCGCAGACGAACAAAGGCTATCGCTCTCGAGATGCGGGCTGAGCGTGAGGATAAGATTGCGCGACGCAAGGAGGCGTTGGATGCACAGCGCGCCGCGAAGGCGAAGCGTATGAGGGAGTATAGGGCTCGTAAGGCGGCGGAGGCGAATAAGGGATCTGGACCGGGTGGTCAGATGCCGCCTCCGGGAGAGGGAGGGAAGACTGATCCTCCTAGGGTAGAAGCATAGATTAGGAGAGATTTGGAAGTATATAATTTCCTTGGGGGTCGTCCGTCATGTTTTAGTGAAAGACCAAGGCGAACAAGTCTTTTCTATGCTCTTTCGTCGAATAGTCATAGGAGGCAGATTACTACGACTCTGGCTTCACACCAGCTCTACTACCCTCTTGCTATGCAAGCTAGCTCCATGATGTATTATTATTAAGTACATACCACATTTACGAAGCATCATTGTATAAGAAAATAGACGACAATCGTGCTAAATCATGTAAGGGAAAGTGGAAATCATTTGTTACAGTATTTTTACCTCCTAAAGTAGGTAGAAGTTGGCGACGGGTTCCTTATCCCTTACTAATGTCCGCATCATCAGTTCATACGGAGGAGTCCTATAAACGTAGTCGTAAGATCCATTAAGCCCCAGTCAGGAAACGTGGGAGATACTTTTAACATGCGATTTTAGATAAACTGATCCCTTCATCCTGGGATCTGCAGCGTCTTTGCTGTCGTTGCGGATAAAATACCAGCTAAGCACTAGGTCTGGTCCAGCTCTCGATAAAGGTTCATTCTAATTTTAATCTAATATTTGCCATTTCAATGTCTCTTAGATAATGCAGGTAACGTAGTATTCATATCAATGCGTCAAACATACCAGGACATCCTACTCCAACGCTTAGTCCGTCCCCGCCGGGTCGCGTTGTTCGTCCGGATCCGTGTCCGTCTCCTAGTTCTGGACTCCTTCCTATTTATATACTAGGCAAATAATCTAAATTACTATCTCCGGAAATAGTTTTGGTGTTATTCTTATGTCCATAAACCATGAAGTGGTTAATGCTCTGGCCGGGATTCGGATTCCGGTTCGGAAGCCGATACTTGTGCCGGACACGGAGTCCGGATTCCGGCCGAGTATTCCTCCGTCCGCCGGGTGTTCAATTTTCTTCCGGTTTATTCCATTCTGGTCCTATCAAGCTTCAGCGTCTCCAGATTTCTTCTCAAGTGAGCTGGCAATGAGTTGGACGGATCAGTAGACTGCCTACCTCCCGACATTTGTGCCCGCTAGTCCACAGAAGCTTCACTCGTGAGCTAGGCCGATACGGCACCCTAAGTATATGTCACGAGGTGGAACTAAACAGTATAGAAATGACTTCATTGTTCCGCAAGGAATTCTAACTTTCTAAGAGGTTCTAAGTCTATACATACTAAACCTATTCTTCGTTCTAGATGTCTCATCTAGAATCCTGACAGTATAATTCAACACCTTGAAAATAATTAATTGGTTGTCTTACCCATGTACTATATGCATTTACATCTCCGAGTTTCGAAATCTAAGTCCCAGACGCGTTTCATAGCCACAAATTAACTATATCATAGATAGGGTTAAAACCATTATCTCGCCATATGGTAAATGCAGCGTCCTTTATTTTATTCAAAGCCGTGTACATATTTAAAACCACTCGGAAAAGACTGTTAGATAAATCATAAAAAGTACGTAGGCACTCTATCTACTTTAGGCCTTCTTAGCAATCTCCTCTGCCTTCGCGAGCTCACTCTGCATGAGGCCTTCCGTCCTCATAGCCACTACCTTCTTTACGATGGGCCTCTCGAGCAACTTCTTATACCAGGCATCATAGTACGGGTACTTCCCTTCCAAATTGATGTCCATGAAACTCATAAGGAGAGTTGCAATTTGCTCCCATATAATCCAATCAAGATCCGCAACGGTCATTTTATCGCCGACAAGCCACCCAGATGGCGACTTGGAGAGGTGCAGGTCAAGAACGCTCCTCACGCGTTCCATCTCTTTGACGTACCGATCAATTGCGGACTGGAGCTTCTCATGATGGACCCGGTAGAACCATACGGCTTGACCGTAGTACGGCCCCTGTCCTGTTAGAGATGTTAGTAACAATTAGTGAGGACGTGAAGCATGGCCCAGGGAACCTTACCTGAGATCTGGAAGGCGATCCATTGTTGGATCAAGTACTTCTCAGGTGAAGTACCGTAGCTTAGCTTGTGTTCTTTATCATAGTTGTCGATAATGTATTCGATGATAGCACCGGACTAGACGGGAAACACGATTAGTTTCGTTAATAGTAGATCTTGGAAGTCGGGAATCGAGTACCTCCCATAGCGTGATCCCAGTATTCGGGTCTTCAATTGCTGGTACTCTCCCGTTCGGGTTGATATTGATGAAAGGCTCTTTTTTCATGTCTTCACCTGGAACTATCTTATGCTCAAAGGGAATATTAAGCTCCTCGAGGATGATATGGATTTTCAAGGGATTGGGACCGATGTTATGTCCCCAGAGGATAATTGGCTTGAGAGATGACATGTTGAGTGGAGGGTTTAGTGAGACTTCCGGAGATAGATAGACCAAGTGGTAGATTGTATTGAACTAAGTATGTCTTCTATCCTCTTGAGAGGGCGCTGTGTGCCTCTTATATAGTTTATAGACCCATACTGGCTATCCCTACCTACCTGTACCCTGACACTCACCATGTAACCAGCCTACCAGTTCATACCACGCTGTTTCGTCCGAAATCCGTCCCATTGAAACCATTCTGTCCCATCTTGTCGGCCGAAGCTGGTTCACTACGGAGATAGTTAAATGCCGGAGGTATCAATAGGAATGCTCGTAAGGACTTTTGTAGGGATTTTTGTATGGTGTGTAGATTATACGCTAGCAAGGGCTTGAGCAACGGTCAGAACAACTACGTATAAGTCCTGCTAATTCCGTTAACGCCATAACCGTATACCGTTGACAGGACTTGTTATAGGTAATGGCAGATACATTGGTTAGCAATTATTGATAGAAAAGGATATATTGAGAGTGGAAGTGTATTCGTACGAGATCTCTGGTTATCAATTAAAGAATCCTGCATCACCTACTTGAAGCTGCTCACGGATTTCGTCTGGGGGTTTATATTGATCTCAAAATCTAAATCGGCATCACTCATTTAGCTGTACGGATGAACCACGTAAATACGATACCGCTAGTGAAATATCCGTCCTCATGTACTCCTAGGTATCGAATCCATTCTGCTCACCCTGGATTGCCCCTATTATGCTCGTGCTACCATTATTCAAGACTAGTTCATAGTCTTTCGCCGTCTCAACCCTATCGTAGATAGTATGGAAGGGAACATACTCCGATAATACGTCGAACGTTGTTTTTAGAAGGTATCATATCGTCGTTCGCTTCCATAAGCGGGATACGGAATAAACGCCAAGTCCGGCGACGGAGATGATACCGACCCAGACTTGCAACACTCTTAGCAGGACTTTCGTAGCGTATGCATCTGCTGCTTGGCCATCGTTCGCTCTGGGAAATGGCTCATCCGGAACCGGTACGCCTAAGAATTGGCAGATAGGTTCCCAACCCTCACTTAGATCCATTTCCAGCAGCTGTTCCTTCGGGACAACAGATCTAACTTTCTCGTGGTGAGCTTCTAGGATGTCTATAAACAAAGAACTATTAGTAGTTGACTAGATTGGTTGCAGGAGACTTACGAGGACCACCCTTCTCGATTAGTTCTGTTGGACTAGCATTTTTTGCGTCTAGGCCTGCAAGTCGTAATGTTGATCGACTATACACGCTTGCAAACGTCGGGATATATCTCCATCCAGGAAAGGGGGCTACCACAATGCCAAGCCACCATGGCGTAGTCCTACCGGTCAAAGTCGCTATGCTATTCCACCACTTGACCGGATCCCTACGAACTAACACGACCTTCGCCTCCGGATACAGCTCCACCATTTCGGGAATGAAGTCTGACGGTGGTAGATCTGCAGTTCCAGCAAAACCGGCAGTCGCCTTTCGAACAAGCTTCAAGGTCAGTTCCTTATCACCAGCCTCCCTAGCCTCGTACGCTTTGATCCACGTTGAACAGTAATCTAAGCCGGTGTTAGTGCTGTTGGTACCTAATCGCATCGAACTTACCATCATCACGTGTTAATATCTGTGTCCCGCCATGGAGTACTGGTCCATCAACTAGTTTTGCTAAGGCCATGGACATGGATACGGTCCCGGTTCGCGAGTATCCTGCTGAGATGACCTGGACCTTTCGTGAAGGATCGGTCGGTATAGAAGCAACTCCACCCATAATGTCTATGTATTAACAAGTTAAGATATGGTATATCCGTTTAAAATGTGCGCCGCCGATACTTTGAATATATAGGAGTATAGCGGGACTGTTGGGAGTTGGTAATTTAGATATTGTGCATCTTAGAGCTGACGTGATATATTTAACCATATTTGTACTAAAGAATTACTGAAATATATGGCCTTTGGCTCCATATTGTTGTACATCTACTTATTAAATTATACCGTTGTGCCGCTTGTCTTCTAAGCCTGTTATGTTATAGAATTTCGCCATGGACCCCGGGTTCCATTTGTATGGCATAGGACACTCGTAGGGCTATATGCCAAGTTAGCTGCATCGAAGTCGGCATTCAACAATGTAGGCTCTCGAAGCACATTCAGATCAATGCATAGAGATGGATATGTATTCCTACGGCACAGCAACCTACCTCCGGTACCTAAGATGGTCAAATGCATAGGTTGAGACTTAGTGTATAACTCTGTTTAGCGAATGAAGAACTGTGGCCTTGAATAAATATGTATCAAGTAGTTAAGAATTCATTGTGAGACTTTAGCTAATGGCTTCATTTAATGGGTTTAGTAGGTATGTTGGAGTCTCACATGTGCAAGGACTTATCTTACCTCATTCTAACGCTCCCTGACAGGCGATCATGCCAAAATGGTAAAGATATCTCATATTTATTCGTCAGAGGGTCACATAATATAAGCATGCCGATCTAAATACGAATTTTTGTAGTTATCTCCATTAATAATAACGACATTCGGGATTCTACTACTTCTAAATACTTGTGATGACTTGATTTCGATATGAGGATTGTTTATTGATCAGGGTCTATGCAATTAGTAGGTCGTAACGCCAAAAGATCAAGCATCGTCACTTATAAATACATGTTCAAGTGTTTGTTCGAATATATGCGTAAAAAGGGTTAGCTGCCGTATAACCGCCTTGGCCGCCAGCCGCATCGAACCCCTGCCGTCAGCTGAGGATCTTCATCTTACGGTTACGCCCGAAGCCACCATGTCTTGCCCTTGTCGACCAATCAGAGATCCACTTACTCTGCGACTCTGGGGAAATCTCGATGGAGAAGAGCCGCAGCCAAAGCAGCTGATGGGGTTTGCGTATGGAGGGTAGGCAGTGATAAATGCAAGGCTGACTCCGCATTGCTATTGTATAAAACTTCTAGGCATCCTCTTACGCGAAATATTGCGGTTAGCTTAAATCGTTAGCGACTTTGAGCGATCTCGCATAATTTAATATGGTCTCTGCAATGCGCGACTAGAAAACTGGCGTCTAACATGATCGTGTCGTGAAGGTTAAGATTAAATCAGAGTCGATATCACTCAAGTCAGAATGGCGGAAGCCGGTCGTGAAGACTCAGGTGGCCTGGGTCTTGAAGCTGAGTTGGAATTGCAGGATGCGACAACGCGCTCTACCACTAGCGCTCCTGATACGAATAACAGAACTAGCGAACGCGTAACTACTGGTGACCACGGGGCATCACATAGCGACGGCTCGGAATATGGTGATGATCCTGATATTAAGAGATCTATCGATAGTAGCTACTCGCATTGGAATCCGGAGCCAGGGTTCGCGCACATCGACGGCGACATTGACGGACATGGCTACAATCAGACTACGGTCGATATTATCGCCATACCCTGCGTCGGCGCGTCTTCTGTCGATACTTGGGCTAGGGATCCCCTCACGGAGGACTACTTTGGCTTTCCTATGTCGAATGAGCTGCACCACTACTCAACTGTCAAGGAGCTACCAGGAAGCAGCATTCTCTCGCCCACAATCAACCGTCCCTTACCCAAGGCGAGCCAGATGTGGATCAGGCAGGGAATCCGTAAGGAAGTTAGCACGGCGCGAGTGATGCTTTACCGTCATCGCGAATTGACAGAGGGCATGACGCTCGACCAGGCTGCTGATGACTTGCTTGATCAGATTTCAAAGATCCGCGCGCGCCAGTCAAAATCAAGACCTATCTTCTTCATATGTCATAGCATTGGTGGGCTTGTTGCGAAATTGGCTTTAGTCAAGGCGAACCAGAAGCCCGAGTTTCGGTCTCTGATCTTCGATTGTCATGGCATCGCTTTTTTTGGTAAGTCTGCTTTGGTTCCGTTTACCTGATTTTTCTGTATGCTATTAGCATAGTGTAGCTACTGACTTATATCAGCTACGCCGCATCGTGGCTCCAGTTACATGTCGATGCCCCATCTACGAGATAGCATCCAACAACTAATGTTTCTACAAAGTCCGCTTCCCAGATCCATCGCTCGCGAGTTGAAATTAGGGAACAAGTCGTTGCTTCATATACATGATCAGTTCATGGATCTTGCTAGCGAGTTACGCATATGGACGTTTTACGAGACAGTCGATTCCCAGTTGTCCGGCCTCGGCAGTTCTGACATTGACGAAGTCCATTTCAGCGCTCCGTTAACATCCATCAAATCAGGACTACTCGGGAGTCGAGGAGAGCAAGCCTTGTCTCTTGAGAGCGATCACGCTCACTGTGCCTCGTTCGGACTTGGCAACATCCGAACGATGCACTCATTTTTAGCTGATTTAGGAGCCGCAGTCCGAAAGGCGGAAGAGCTAAGCGCCAATTTTGAACATACGCCACTGAGATTAAGTGAAAACATCAAGCTCGAATTGGTCGGCTTCTACGGAGACCCTGAAGGTGAATCCGGTCAGGAAATTAGGCTCTACATCTCGAAACATATCTTGAAAGATTTTCTCGAGAAAGGCCCCGAGAAGTGCTTTCAGGAACGTATGAATACTGTAGCAGCTAGGCGGCACCGGGGCATATTACGACCGCGACGTCCATTATCAGGTCCGTCGCCAATTGCAGGTGCATTGGGGATCGTACAGGACTTTGGTCAGATGCTCCTGGGCTCGGTGCGGCCGAATAGCTCACCCGAACAATCTGAGAATGAGCCCAAGACCGGCCAGTCACCTGAGATCGTCGTAACAAGCCATGCTTCTTCGCGACCATCAATATCGGGCGCATCAACGGAGCCTACTCCAGCCTTCTCGCCGAGGAGAAGTCGTGGGCTAACAGTTCCTGCTCTTGCGACCCCAGGGTTTCATCGTCCATCCTCTAGGAGCAGTACCGAGACGGCCAAAACTACCAGTTCTGAGCCTCAGGGGGCTGACGTTTCTCCGAGGGCAGCAGGGACGGGTTTAACTACTAGCAAAGAGGATTCCTTCGAGTCGAATGGTGGTATTAGCCATTCTTCCACATTACACAGTATGGGAGCTGGCTTTTCTCGACCGGACCCTTCTAGAAGAAAGTTTATGTGGATTCATCTGCCGTTCAACAATCCTCATTGGGTCAAGGTTAGTAACTCCCCTATCTCGTTGTCGAGTTTTACTAAATATGCTCTAGAAAATATTCGATAAGCTTTCCGAGACGCAGAATCGAAATTTTGAAAAGCTCCTTAGTAACGAAAATTGGGCTAATCGACATGTGCAAGGACGACACGCGAATCTCCACGCTTCGTACGTCAAACCTGGGTGTGCTTTTGTTCCATCAGAGCCCGGTAAGGAATCATCACCTTGAAGTAATATATAAGAGCTAGACCTACCTTACTAATCTTCATAATAGGCTCACCTCGTCCGCCATCTCCTGGACGAGCCGGTAGGAGCCCTAGCCCCGCTATCACTCCGACACACCTGTACCTCTATCTACCGTATCTTCACTTTGATACGTATGTAAATATAGTGCGGCGTCGCAATATCATCAGGCGGAGGATGGATCAAGGTAGAGCAAGACCTGTTCCGAAAGATGTTGCCGAGCTTGAGTCGCTTGACTCGCGGGTGATCTGGCAGTATATTGGACACGATCCACCCCTTAATACGCGTAGAACTCTAGATCAATATGGTTATCCGGCTCTCGGGGATACTTACGCACGAGACGATGATCAAATGTTGTACAAACTTACCAAAGAGAGGATTGCGATCCCATTTAAGCGAAAGCGAGATATGTATCATGTAGGTGACGGCAAAGAACCCCTAAGCGCACTTTCACCTGGAAGTCGATTGATGTCAACTGTGGACACATTGAAAACTGCAGATACAGCGAACCATAAAGAAGAGAGTGATTCGGAACTTGAGAACGACATTATCGATGGTAATGTCCTCATGGTCGACCAGCTATGGCTTTGGGCAGTTGATACGAGTAAGTTGCTCCAGAGGGTGGTTATGCTAGTTGTATATAATTCGCTAACTAACATTTCCGAAAGCGACTTTAACGACTTTCTTCCCGAAGCGCGAATCTTATCCGATGGAAGGTCCGTTGTTCCAACAGGCGGATTTAAGAAACAGTGTATATAACGAGTTGAATGGAGATCTTAGCGGTCGCTGTGAAAATGCACTGGATCTCGCTGCTTTCATAACGTTACATGCAGTTACGGTATTACTCGATAGGACTTCCCATCCGGACCTAGAAATATTCCGTATATTTGAGGAGGCTATCGGGATACTTGTACGTGACTCTTACATATAAATGCGTGAGAGGAATTACTTACAACTAGCAGACCGAAAAGATGACTTCATCGCTTAAACGATTCCGAATGCAGACATTTCGAGATAGGATTTTCGAAGATTCGGATTCAGACGAGCCCGAGGATAACCGATCTGAGAGCATAAAGCAGCGCCATAGGCGAGAACTAGAGCAGTCGGAACGGGAAAACCGCGAAAATACATCTGCCTTACTTGAGCTTCGGGACATGGATGATGAACTCAATACAATGATGAACCTCTTCTCGGAACAGAAGGCTGCGATTAAGGCGATGAAGGAGAGCTACGAGAGACCTGAACTCCTATCGTTTACCGAGAATGGTCGAGGGTTCCTGGATGAAGCCTTGAAACGATTGCAGGAGTATCAGAAACAGGTACACGACATGATCAAGCGAGTGGATAACACCAAGAAAGATGTAAGGGCCATTATACTTAAGCGTATATAAAGGGCATATTGAAACAGCTGCTAACACAGTACTTGTAGTACGAGAAACTCCAAGAGATGATACAACGTCAAGCTCAAGTAGATGAAGTACGGTGGTCGCGGTTACAGACTGAGCTAGCTAGTTCTCAAAACCTCTCAGTCATGATCTTCACGACGTTTACAGTGTTGTTCTTGCCGCTGAGCTTCTTTACCAGTCTGTTCGGGATGAATACTAAGGAGTGGGGAGGTGAAGACGACAACTTTGTCAGTCTTGGGTTTATTGGCGCCATCTCGCGTAAGTTCTTTTTCTCCTCTCAGACACAAATACTGGACTATCGAGTGTGTTGCTAACCGGTATCATTATAGTCCCCGTATCCGTAGCTCTCATTGGCGGTACACTCCTGGCAGCATTTAGCGGTCGCGTGCAAGCTGTCTTCAAGGGGTGTTTTAAGCTGGCAAAAAATTGGATGCAGCAGAGTACAGCTAAGCTCGCGAAACTAGAGCCGGAAGCGTCGCGACAGGCGAAACAGCGACGTAAGCAGCAACGAGAACAGCGTGAGCAGAGAGCAGAACGACGTCGTGAGCGTGGCTACGACTTCTGGGAGACGGTGCGGGCAGAGAGGCCTGACGAATACGTCATTCCTGACCTAAACCGTAAGACGGCGACTAGGAGGAGACTGGCTGGTCGTGGAACGTGGAAGAGAATAATTAAAGATGGGTATTAAGGAGATCTGCATATGAATTAAGTGTTGGGTTTTTGAAGAGCGAAGTGGATGATACCCAACTGAGTTGTCCATCTATATGAAGACGATGATGAGAATTATAGTAATAGCATTAAAGTTAGATACCTGACTTGGGTTAATTAATTGTTAATATTATATTTGAGATAATATAACCAATTCTAATCGATCATTCGACGGTAACCTAGTAGTGTTAGTGGTGTTAGTGGTCACTATAGTTCTATTATTTCCACTCCCCCGCAGCTAACCGTAACCTACCACTGTTACATCTTGATGTCATCGTAATGATGCTTCATGTAATTTTCACTTGTCATTCAAACTTCTTACATCCTCAAGCATCTGATGAGGGGCCAGTCAGTAAGCACTATCCAACGAGTGCTGCTCATACGTCACCGACCACGATCATTCCAATCGCATCACTTTAACCAATTTAGCATAACCTTTAAGAAACAAAAGAATATCATGCCAGCGACAGTGGATACCTCGCTACCTGGAAGCGCCACCGGTGCGGCAGCTGAATTCGCAGCGGATCACGCCGCTGAGCATCCCCTCAAGTTATACGGAGGCTGGTTCTGTCCGTTTGTCCAACGGACCTGGATCGTGTTGCACGAGAAACGCATTCCGCATCAATATGTCGAGATCAATCCGTACGCTAAAGCACCTGAGTTCCTAGCGCTCAACCCACGCGGACTTGTTCCTACATTAGCAGTTCCCGTTGATGCAGAACTCAAAGGAAATAAGCGGAAGCCGTTGTACGAAAGTGCTGTCGTGTGCGAATATCTCGATGAGGCGTATGTTGACGAGAAGGAAAATGGTCCTGGATTATTACCCCGCGACCCGTATGAGCGCGCTAGATGCAGACTCTGGATTGATCATATTAGCAGTAAGATTATACCGGGCTTCTATAGAGTGCTGCAACACACTTCCGATAAGGGATATAGCATCGAAGAGGCGCGAGAAGGTTTCCTAGGCCAAATTAAAACACTAGTAAAAGAGATTCTAGAAAATGAGAAAGATGGCGAAGATAGCGGACTGTGGTTTCTCGGCCGTACGTTCAGCTTGGTGGATGTTATGCTTGCACCCTGGGCGAAGCGCCTCTTCCTTATTGATCATTACAAGCCCGGCGGAGTGGGTATCCCGGCTCCGGGACAGGCCGGTGACGAGGAAGAAGAGAAGGTATGGTCAAGATGGAGGAAATGGTATGATGCGATAATTGAGCGTCAGAGCGTCAAAGATACTTGGAGCGCTGATGAGCAGTATATCGCTGCGTATAAGAGATATGCGGAAGATACGACACAGTCTGAAGTCGCGCAGGCTACAAGAAAGGGCGAAAGGCTTCCGTGAGACGATGGCACCATTCGATTGCAATTAGGTTAGGTATTCACATATCTTCAAATTGTCTCACCTACTTGATCTGGTCTATTCGAAACGAGAACGGCGATTTTCTAAGAGGCACAAGCTCCACCTGAATCAATGGCTTCGGTTGGAATCATTCGCGATCCTTCAGTGGGGATTCCATTCGGTATCTTAATTCTATAATTATCTCTAGTTATTTATATCAATAAGAACCATGGCACCCCAGAAGAACTCTGCACAGACTAGATCGAAGATATACCCTATAATGCGGAAATATAAATCCATTATCGATGCCAATAATTACAATAGCCTTTTGGACTTCCCCGTTTGTTGGCTGCTCGTCCCACGCTGTAGCTTTGGCCTGGAAGCCCTGTCACTTGTGAGCCCCGCCATCTGGAGTTAGAAGGATTCTCTTAATCCAGAGAGCCATGTTTCAAAATAATAGATCCTTCTGCACCCTCATTTCTCTTGTCCTTCTTTGCTTCTTCTCATTCCTCTGTAGGATAAGTCATAATGTGACAAACAATTATATGTTATCTCTGTCGCGTGGTTCAAAGTTAATCGAGTTGATCGAGCTCGTAAGTCATAGAAAACATTATCGTCCTCCGCCGATGCATTCAACCTTCAAAGTAGCAATCAAAATCAAATTTTATTGTTTTCTTAGTAGCTTTCATTAAAACTTACAATTGATATTAAGTTAATTCTGCCTGTCCATTCTATTTCTAGTTCGATGCAGCGTCGGCTCATTAAGTTGAAGCATGTCAACGTGAGGCTGTGTGAGCCGGTTGTCCTATATAGGCAGTTCGCGGCGTCACAGATGGTCCACCATATATCGAGATTCCCGTTTGGGGGTCTAAACTGTACTTCCACTCCCCTTAATACCTACCGCCAAGATGCATGTCCTCCTAGTCAAGCACGAGAATCAACGATCATTAGATCTTCCCCAGATAACCTTCGATAGTTAAGCAACTACTTGTTAGAAAATAGCGATAGCCTATCCTGACCTAGTACCCAAAGTTACACCCTAGACGGCGAAGCTATTTTTGCCATCTAGCACGCTACGCTACGTTACTTTCCTTGCCAGCCTTCTCGGCGTTAGAATCCTATAGACCTCTAACAATGAATTCTGAGCTGGCTATACCCTGTCCTACATCCATGAGCGGCCCAGCAGCAAGGTCAAACAGCTTGGCGTAGCCCCGTCTTCCCATCGTCGAGTCCGTATATAACACCAAGGCAGACAGCCGTGTCGATGATCGGCGGATAGTTCAACTTGTGTTTCTTCATAGGGTTTTTTTTCTTTTCCGTCTTAGACACTCATTTCATAGTCATTCGGCTGCATTGGTTTTGCGTTCATTATTAGAGATCCGGAATCCTTCCCTTCTTTTTTTTTTCTTTCCAGTGTTTCTTATCACAAACATGAAGACATCATCAGTTCTCTCTTTAGCGGCTCTGTCCGCAACGGGCGTCGTGGCTAAGCCGATGCCTGTTTGGACGAATGAGGTAGCGCCGCGGGATATCGACGGTATAAAATCGATTGTTGGAAAAGTCTCCGATGCTATTACGAAACTCGATGGATCTGTCAAGGCCTTCGATGGCTCTGACATTAAGGGTGTAGAGAACGACGCGAAGGACCTCGTCAAGCTCCTCACAGAAGGCGGAAAGGAGTTAACCAGCGGCGACAATGAACTCTCGTTGGTCGACGCGATAGGATTGACGGAAGTTGTGACACCACTGGGCCCCGCGGCTGAGGATCTGCTCAAAGATGTGACGGACAAGAAGAAGGAGTTCGAAAAATGGGCGCTGTGCTCCATCGTTGGTGGTGCCGTCCAGGACATTGGAGGTGCTGCTAAGTCTCTCGTCGACGGTGTCGTCAACCAGGTTCCCGAGGCGGGACGTGATATCGCACAGGACGTTGCCGACCAGGTCGTGAATAAGCTGTCGAGCTTAGTCGGCGAATTCGCTCCCGACAAGTGCAAGGATGCGAAGGAAACTCCCAAGCCTTCTGACGACAGCAATGTCACCATAGAGACTACTATCACAACTACCACTCCTTGCTCAACCCACCCTACAGAGACTCCTACAGAGACTCCCTCTACTACGCCTTGTGATGAAAACACAACTGTGGAGATCACCATAACCACCACGACACCTTGCAGTTCTACCGAGACCCCTAAAGAGACTCCCCCGCCGAAGGACACTCCTAAGGAGAGCACTCCTCCTAAGGATACCCCCAAGGAGACTCCGCCACCCAAAGAGACTCCCAAGGAAAGCAGCACTTCATCAAAGGAGACTCCTACGTCGACCTCCGAGATGCCTAAGGAGACACCGAAGGAAAGCAACCCTCCTAAGGATACTCCCAAGGAGAGTAACCCCCCGAAAGACACTCCTAAGGAGACCACTCCTCCCAAGGAAACCCCCAAGGAGACCCCACCGCCCAAGGACACCCCTAAAGAGACCCCTCCCGCCGTTAGCAAGAGCACCGTCACCGAGACCGCACCCTGCTCATGCGAGACTGAGTCTACTACCCCCGTCGAGATCGTAACCGTCACAACTACGCCTCCCTGCTCGAGTTCTTCCATGGCCACTTCTTCCATGATCACTTCTTATATAGTCACCCCGCCTCCGCCACCCCCAGCCCCGATCACCACCCCGATCGTCAGCGCAAACACAACCACCACACCCAGCCCTACCGGCTCAGTCTCTAAGCCGGCCATCCCCATCGCTACTGGCGGCGCCGTCGCTCAAGTAGCCAGCACGGGCGCTACCGGCTTATTCGCCGTTCTCGCTGCTATCTTCATGCTATAAGCTCCATGCATAAACGTATGAATATATACCCAGCTCGTTTCCTTTGTCCCATCTAAAAAAGGTTCGCGGGCACGGTTAGCGGCGAGACAGGGGGGGAGGATGAGTAATGGTTGTGATTGATTCTATAGACGAACGTACGTACGTAAACGACGGGTTTGGTGATACCACGGCTGCATAAAGCTGGATCTTATTATTGTCTGTTACATTTAGGTTTTTTTGGTTTGTTTCTTTGCTCTTCTTCTCCCGGTGTTTTGCGGGGCTGGAGGACCCGGCTAGTATTGATCAAGTTATTATTATTCTCCGTGTATATAGTGTAAATATAACTTTTGATGTATATAATGCGCCTGATATCTTGTTGCTTTTGAAAGTGAATCGTCGTCAGGTGACATGTAGATGTTATGAGCCAATGGTTTGACTCTTGGAATACCTCTTCTCTTACATCTGCTTCATCGTGGTATTGTAGTTTTATGGGATCTCACTGGGGCTGGTCATATTCAACGTAAAATAAATAAATTGAACCAACTCAAACTAATCGTTTTTACATGCAAGCCATTTTTCTAAGCTAATCCATCCAACACCAAACATACCTTAAGCAGAACAATGTTAAGGAATCGCTCACGAGTAGCTTTGACTTTTCAACTAACAAGAAATGACCGTCGCATCTTATCCATTATAATTATCGTAGTTTCATTCAGCAGAAGTCTCAGTTGGCTCTGGACATGGTGGAGGCGAGAACGTGGGCGTAGGGCCACATGCTGGGTAGCATCTTCATAAGTGTTGGATTAGCATACGCGCTTCTTTGATTAATAGCAGGTACATACCCTCCATAGGTGAGGATAGCAGTAGGAGGCGATCCGCAGCTCCTAAGGTAATCGACGCAAGCAGTTCCTGTACTAGTGCAGGGCGAGGCGGTTGATGTTATCGGCGGCAACGTCGTCGGGGTTGGTGTAATCTCTGGGCATGGCGGAGGACTTGGTTGAGCATGCGTGCACATATCGTAACATCTACCGTATTTAATTCCTGTAAGGAAGTTAATTTTTATCTCATGACTCAATAGAGCGGTGGCATTCATGGAAAGCTACCTACCACATTTGTTAACACCATCTATACATCTGATGCGAGGACAGTCGGCCTTTTCCGGTAGAGCGATAGCTGCAGCCCCAAGGGCCAAGAGAATGATGTTGAATAGCATTGCGATGAACTGATATTTCAATATTTACTTATGTTTGCTTAATGGAAACAGCGTAGCTATGGATGTTGTGGCTAGGCAGGCTTTATGTAGTCCGAGAAATGCCATCTCAATCCCGGAACGTACCTACATCATGGATGTGTTGATACGAAGACATATACCTTGGCATATACTAATATTGCAAACGGTATCTCGTCCCGCTAAAATTTTATTACTACATCCGGTAGAGGTGGTCCCGGAATCTGGGGTTGGAAGACGCATGATAGAGCCGGTACTAGAAGTATTGAAATTAACCTAGTAAGGGGTCATAGGCTATTGCCGTATTGTTAGCTAAGCCGGGATTCATGCTGCGATGAACAACGCCATCACATCGTATCTTAGACTACTTGTTCCTGAATGTAGTCCCTGTTGTAGAGAACCGGGCTTTGGATGAGCGAGATCCTAGCCATCTTATAGACTTACGGTCGTCTGTTTGACTGCTGACGTCTTCAGATCGGCATATTGCATTCGTATTGAGTTGGTCTAATCCAACTCGGCATAGCGTAGGACTGGCCGTTATTCTGAAAATTTTGTTTGGATGTTCTAGAAAAGTCAACAGGTGTACATATATAGATTGATATGCGGCGAAATTAACCGGACTGTTGTATTAGCCTTTCTTCCGTACTTGGCACCGCAACCTCCATTATGAAAATATCGCGGGGGGTGTATCGCCGCTAATTATAGGTAACTGGATACTATATCTGAGTTTTGGAGGTATGTGGATGTATGACTTGGGAGCTGAAGTTTTGGTGATATATATAGCTCCGTAGGACTGTGTAAATCAGCTAAGTTGTGGAGGGGCTAGATTTGAGGGTGAAGTTCGTATGAGACTCTGAAGAGTTTCGCTTCATATCCTTATAAGGTCTTATTTACCTTATAAATTAAAATAACCCTGTCCTGGTGCCAATATGTTTATAGAGGTAGGTTGAATAGAAACCCTTATAGCTTACCAAACGGTTGTTTCTTTAATATCAAGGTCTCTTTCACCAGGTTGCTTACCTCTTATGTATTAATGACATGATGCGTTAATTATGGGACTTTAAATTCCACTTTCAAGCTTTCATTTAAAAATAAAAAGTTATTTAACTAATCGAGACTATTATGTTGATGGCAACATACAGCTAACTAATCTCATCATGTTGACTCTGGCGTTCCGGCATTAAATTGAATCTGTACCTACGTACTACGGAATCGGTTTAACTATTAAGCGTCAAACTGAGATCAGGGGTATGGACCCATCCCGCCGGGGCCGGGTGCGTAGATCCGGGTTCGTATGTGGCTTTTTTAGATTAAGCCATGTCATACGCGTTATTTTGAATTCAATTCTCAAGTCAATTGTATTCTTCGATTCCTGCGACAGCTCTTCCATATGTACTAGAAAATACGGAACCTTAACGAATATGTGTCGAGGACAGTGAACCAATTCCAACACTTACAACTAATACAAGACGGACATATACGTGATATCATCATACCGGTCTTGTCACGTTTTGAAAATCGTCACGAGATATCATCTCTATCGTACATTGTATGACCCTATCGTTGTGACAGCTTTCAACGGTCGAGCTTGTGTTGCCTATCATCATATGTCCAATACCAGGTGCAGGCGTCAGATGCTGCTGCATATTGAACATCGAGCGGACCTCACCGAACGACTAGCGTCATTCGCCGCCGCAGGTTTTCGAGAAGAGAATTCTATCTGTTTGCTTGGCAAGCATCAGTACGAATTTCATCAAGATGAATGAATCTATTCCGAATTCTCTATCCTTACTTGGATCAGCTCAAGTGAGAGCAAAGCTATTCGTTCCTTTCTGTTATTTTTCAGCAATTAATGGGAAACCCATCTCGTTATTCGTCCGCCGTGTCTATGTGTTGGCCCACGCAAAGAAGCACTATGAGATCATGCGGGGGGATGCATCATTCATCGTCCATCGTCTAAAGTGGCAACATATTCGTCTCTAGCGTGCTCGACAGCTCCAGCGATCATACGCCAGCTAGAAGTCTAGCCCGGCCTACCTGCTAAGCATCCATGATTGGCGTCTGTATGTGTGTAATAGGCCTCCCATCTTATTCCCATCTAAGCCATCCCACTCAACCCGCACTGTCCCCTGCAAATAGCAGAAGAGCTGTAATCCCAGTTGACATCACCTCTTATGCAATCTTTTCGATGCTAACGAAAGTTATTCGCTACACCGCTGGACTTTGACAGCGATATCGACAACGCTGTAATTTCCTGGAGACATCACCAACCAGTAATCGTCGACTTGCTGCAGAGAATACGTCGAGGCGCAGTTTTGCGTAATAAGACCCTACCTGCAGCCCCTCGGGAGGTCTCCCAGCGTTCTTCTACATAATACATTGCATACATCGTTCGTGCTTTTAAAAGACGCACATCACTGCGCTGCATTTTTGTAACTTACGGCTTGCTTTTCTTCGAAGCTGGTACTTAACGACTACTACCTACTTAACATTCCTCGTGTGAGACCTTATTACGCAAACACCAACCATGGCGTCTCGATCGCGCAACCATCACAATCGCTATGACGATCCTTATGTCTTTGACGACCCATACCGCCATTCGAATTCGCCTATCAACGACACTGGATACGAGTACGTTGGTACTGAAGAGGCCGACAATATTTCTAAATCTCATCGCGGCACATCGCCAAATCCTGAACCACGTCGACGACAGAGTCCCTCTAGGAGAAATTCCAGAGCCACCAGTCCGCCTCGATATAAACGCGATAGAGCGCATACCCTACCATCAAGACCTGATCGACGCTCATCACCCCATAGAACTTCTCGACATACCTCGCCACCTCACACCAGCAGGAAGGCATCTCGAAGTAAACCCCGCGAAGATCCAGGCTTCCTTCAACGGCCGGGTGTTCAGCGTACCAAGTCTATAGGTCAGAAAGGCTTAAAATTCCTTAGCGAAGCGGCTGCATTATACGCTGCAACACAAGCCGGAGCAGGTGACCGAGGCCGCTCGCAGAGTCGCGATAACTCTCGCCGAAGCTCCCATTATGAACCGGAGCCAAGACACCATCATCGTCATCGGCACCACTCTCCTACCCCTTCCCCATCGCCGCACAGGAGGCGTTCGCGCGCACATAGCGATGCCCCTCCGCATAGGCATCGGAGACACAGATCTCCATCTGTAAGTGACGAGTCAGATTATGAACGCGATCGAGGTCGACGCCACCGACGATCCCGAGCCAATTCATACACTGAGAGTCCGTCACCGTCTCCTCCGCGTAACCGGGGCCGTAAATCCAAATCAGTATCGACCGGCGTCGGATCTTCCAAGGTACCTAACGAAGTTGTTGCCGATAGGTGGCAAATGGCTGCTCGAGCAGCTCTTGAAGCGGGTGGCCTCACTGCCTTCAGACTTCGCAAGGACCCAGGGAGCTGGACAGGCGAGAAGGGTGCCAAAATAGCCACAGCTGCTTTGGGCGCAGCTGCGATCGACGCCTTTATCGACAAGGACCCAAGACAAGCAAAATCTAACGGGGTCAAAGGGTTCGCTGAAAACACGATCAGCAGTATGATTGCATCGAAACTAATGGGCGTCAAGAGCCCCAGTAAACGCAGGGGTAAATCGAGATACTGATATGTGATCAAATCAAACCGCTTTCTTCGCCGCTCATGGATCTATCATACCACTATTATACCAAATTGGCAAAATTTTCTTTTGATATTCAAGGTTATCAGACAAACTGGCGCTGGAGGGAAATACGATATGATACGATGGATGAGAGAAACCTAACGATGTTATGACGATACTTTCCCAGACAGGCAACGATTTAACATAGACGAACAGCATGCAAGGCGTTAGGGGTTGGTGGCTCAACTTAGCATAAGAGTATATAAAATTCTTTATTTGAATATAGAATCATAGACACGTCTTCCCGATTGTTCATCCAACACTGCAATCCACATAAACGACTTCAGTATGTCTTGCATTTCTCTCCACGTTTTAATCTGACATTTGCCCACATGTTCTACTATGCGCTCCCTTAGCCATACCTCGTCTGATATATTGAAGATTGAAATAGCCCCGATTATCAATAGCCAGAGCATGAGATGCGACGAAACTACATCAGATTTCTCAAGGCTAAGAATGCAGGATTGATATGCGACAGCCAAATCACAGTACGGTGGTTTAATGTCTTGCCACTGCAAGAAGATATGATAGCAAAAGACCAAAAGGCCTTGCCGTACAGCTTCGTCGATCGACCCGGTGGAGAAGCGCATGTGGAGTAGGCGATATGTTACCGCAGTCATTGTTTCGTAGATGATATCTGATCGGATTGTCCGTCGAGTTTGGGTCCCGAGGTCGATGAACAAGCAGAATCTCCTCAAGACCCTCCAAGCCGTTGCTAGCTCATCCTCGGTGATTCGAACTAGTTTCATATCGTCCCGGGATAGTGTCCCATCAACGGGAGCCGGCAGGAGTTTCTCGGGATATTCTGTCATCGACTCAGAAGGTTGGATGAAAAATACAGGGCATGACCCATTAAGCAATGCCACCCCCAGGTCACACCTATGAATGGTTAGGGCTTGATATTAGTAAGTACGGATCCTTGCATCTACTTGCCTTAGCATCTCTAGTAGTAACGGTGTTCCTTTGAAAATGTCGAGGCCTCCTCTTAAGTCGACCATTTTACGAAGACCTTCCATGTGCTGCCTCGAGGTCTCGTAGTCTCCGTCGAAGTGTGCTACGCTTGCTAGTTTCAAGACCACACTCATTGTCGAGTCTGAAATCTTCGTTTCGTCATCGTCCCCCAAAAGCCTTTCACGAAGAAGTCTTAGTCCTTTCTGGAAGTGCAGTATGGCTACTGGGTTAAGATTACCCTGACGGTGCAAGACTCTGTCGATGAAACCTTGTACAGCAAATGCCATTACGTGGAGGGCGACGGCATCTCGTCCAAATGGAGAGCGCCATCCTTCATCGTCACCTTCGAAGCTGATTGCTGCTCGTAAGGGGAAGATGACTTTCCTTGATACTGTTGTAACTGGGTTTATATGGGATTAGCTAATGTATGCCATTTAAGACTACCTTGACTAAGAACCTTTTTCCATATTAAAAAGTGCCAAAGGCTCTAAATCGTCGGAGAAATTGACGAAATAGATGTTTAACCCAGTCCGACCAGGAATTAATGGGGCATAAACTTCGACGACTTCTTCTAGTTTCAGCGGCTCTGACCGAGCACGAATAACTGTTGTCGTCCTAGTGGTCGATCGTTGATCTACGGCAGGGCGAATCCCTTTTCGTGTTTTCCCCCGTCTTGCATGGCTTCTAATCAGCTTCCTAGTGGCCGGATCGGTTTTCTCAATGCTCGATGATATGATGAATGGCATCCCAGCCGACGAGACAGAAGACCTTCTGGATCCATCCGGACCTGGCATCTTGACCTGCCTTGGCATTTCTGTTTGTTTACCAAATGTAGTAAACCCATGATTGATAATGGTGGAAAGGAGATGCAAAGCGAGATGAACTGTTTAACACGAAGGGGATGTTGCTTACTTATCTCACGATCGGCGTGATTCTTAATGCCAAGACCTATCTTGTTTGCCGTTTAGGGGATCCCGGCAAGGAGTTAACAGGGGTAGAAAGGCCGCGACTCAGACTCATAGCACTTACAAATCTACAAACATTAGACAACTTCACAGGACCTCTATAAGAATATTCTCTAAATTATTTCTATAAAAGCACCGAGAATCCCCATTCATATCATGGCATCCATACACACTAATTCCCTATTGATCATACTCTATTTCTTAGTTATACAATGTCCGTTTCACGGAAATCGGTCTTGATCACCGGCTGCTCTACCGGAGGCATCGGTGCAGCATTAGCTGAAGTTTTCCAGGAAAAGGGTTACCACGTTTTTGTAACTACACGAAATCCATCGAAGTTCCCACCGAACCTCTCTCGTGCTGAGAATGTTACGTGTCTGACTCTCGACGTACTATCGTCAGAGTCGATTGCCGCCGCCGTTGAGAGTGTTAAAAAGGAGACTGGCGGCACGCTCGATATCCTCATTAACAACAGCGGCGGGATTATTTTACTACCAGCTCTAGATACACCTATTGATGATGGCAAAAGATTATTTGACCTCAACTTCTGGGCGCCGTTCGCTATGCTCCAAGCCTTCGCCCCTCTCCTGATTGAGGCCAAAGGATGCATCGTGAATAACTCGTCTGCGAGTGCATATTCTCCTATGGCTCTTACGAGTAAGTACTTAATTAACATATTCAACAGCGCTCTTCTAACAATCCAGGCATCTATAATAGTTCGAAAGCTGCCCTTGCCATGGCTAGCGAGACGTGGCGTCATGAACTCCAACCTCTTGGAGTTCGGACGATTACTCTTATTACCTGTGCCGTAAAGACTGAGTTCTTTTCTAGATATCAGAGGGAAGAACTACCCGTGTCTTCGAAGTACTACGATATCCGAGACTTTATCTATAGTATCGGTGACGGCAGGCTTCAAAGTGGTGCTATCAGCTCGAGGCAGTACGCAACTAAGGTTGTTAGAGAGATCGAGCACGGCTCTGCTGGAGTAGTCTGGGCCGGTACCCACGCACTCCTATTTCGGCTTTTGTGTTGGTTATTGCCCAATTCACTTTTTGTAAGTATTAAATTGTTTCGAATCTTTGACATGTCTAATTAGATCTATAGGATATGGTGGTAGAGAGTGTCGTACCTATTTCTAGCGAGATGGCCAAAATTAAGCAGAAGAAGAAAATCTAGAGTTAACTTAGGTTCAAATATTATATTAATTTGTACACTACCTCTGATGACTTGAGTTTGGTAGAATGGATTATAGGCATTAGACTTGCACTGCTTGCTCGGCTCTCTCATTTATTTTTCTCCTTATCGTGTTGATAGCTACCTTGTTCCAAGTAAGTCATGATGATCTCGATACCCGATCCTAGACCAGCGCTCAATATTCTTGACTAGAGCCCAGTCCCTGTCAACTCTAGACATACCTCTGTATAAAGGTGAATCGTGCCAGTTCACAAGTCCATTCTCATAGACAAACGCTCGGGCGGCCTCGATTACGTTGTACCCACATTGCCAGAGCCCACTTTGTAATGGTAACAGCATCACGATAGCTTGTAAGACCCCAGGATCACCAATGTCGTTGTTCATAAGAAAGTGCCTTAGATTTATGGCTATTATGTTAGCCGTATGCACTTCGACAGGGCGGTATGAGTCTCCGTAGTATATAGTCTTTGACAGTTTAGAATAGATCACTAACTGCCAGTGCTCGCCCGTACTAAACCCTGACTCGGTATTACACGGGAGAATCATCCAGTCGTGAGAGTAGTAGTCATTCCTTTGATCACCATCCCATTTCAAACTACTGTGATCAAAGGGGCTTGACCAGAATCTAGAGCCGAATGGAACCCATACGTCAGGATGTGACGTTGCGAGGCGGAGACCTTGCTCAAGTTCAGATCGTGTCAGCCATCTATCTTCTTCGTCCCGCCCTAAGCCATTGATACAGATGTTGGCTTTTACATTTAAGCTACGAGAAGCTATAACAGCGTCCCAGTCTCGACGACATGAGATATCCCCTGCTGGATTATTTAATCCCAAGCGGAAGAAGGCGTTGACGTATGATTCATAACCAGAATTACCGTCGAACTGAGTTGGAAATGCAGACCTTTCCTCTTCAGTATATTGGATAGGCGCAGCAAGAGCTTGTGGCTGTAGATAGTCCTCCGAGAAACCGGGCCGCGGGTAAACATAACCTGCGGTCGAAAGAATAACTTTCGTTGGTCTATTATTCTGGAAGGTTTCAAAACTTCTATCAATATGACTCTCTACTTTTCTTTCTCCCAGAACTTCGATGTCATCAGATGATGGATCGTAGCCTGCCATAACTACTAGATAGTAGCTGTGTGTGGCTTTTTCAAGTAGTATTGTTTCTTAGAGTGCAATAAAAGTTTTGGGGTATTTAAGGGTGACGAGTTACTAGGTATTGTTGCAGCGAAACTAGCGACAGCCTTTATATATACAGCGATAAGACCTTGGAAGTATGTCGGTATAGAAATAGTATTGAGCTCACCAATATGATATATTTCGAGACGTAGGTACCCTAGGTAAAGAGATAAGAGGGGGAAATTATGTATGGAATAATACTGGAACAATGTTTTGTACAAAGAACGTATCAAAGGGAGTTTTCTTGGCATTAGTACCTATACTAGTGATCTGAGACTGGCCTCTTTTTTAAGCTTGGATATTTGGATGATGGTGCAATTTATTTTACCCTTGTCAAAGCGTTAAATGGTAATTTGAAGTGTACAGGGCAGATACAGCAGTTTGCATGGTGGAGTGGCATAAGTGTGGTTGCCTAGGAGATTGATAAAAACCAAAGTTAGCCTTATAATTATAAAAAACAGAACTAAATTCAGAAGCAATAAAGCGAAATACCCCCAGCTTGTACCTCGTGTACTCTCTGAATCATAGGTTAAGAGGGTAATCCCTCGATAATATCTATAGGGATGACAAAACACCGGGTTTTGGTACGGGTCCGTAAAGCCTACCGCCTCTGGCTACCCACGTCTCCGGATGGAATTAATGCTTCGTTCCGTCGGCTTCTGGAGGCAAGTATTTTTTGCTATTTACGAAGTCCCTACTATGGTCCGTGGAGATAGTCATGTATGTGAGTGATGGCATAGTAAGAAGTGAACCTGAGGTACGGTGGCACATTAGTTCATATCCGACAAAACAAAAAAGCGGATGAAAATTGGTCCGACTTGGCACATGTACTGTAATTACAGCACCCATAAGCGCTAAAACCCCTTATAATTACAGTGCATTACAGTGATGCATGCGCTAAAATTATAGCGTTTGAAAAAAAAGTCTCCGAGGCTAAAATCAAATTTACTAAGTCCACTACATCCATTGTAACTATAGTGGTTTTAGCGTATGTAACCACTATAATTACAGTGGCTTTAGCGTATGTAACCACTATAACTACAGTAGACTTAGTGGTTTTTCAGAAGTTAAATTAAGGTTTTTGGTGCAGCTGTCTACAGCTGGCCCAATGTCAGCCAATTAAAATTTTGGATTTGCAAGCCTTATAATTATAATGTGTTATTAACTGTAATGCCCTATAACTATAAGGTGTTTAGTGGGTATATATGCTATAAATATAATGGATGATTTTAGCCTCGGAGACTTTTTTTTATGCGCTATAGTTTTAGCGCATGCATCACTGTAATGCACTATAATTATAAGGGGTTTTAGCGCTTATAGGTGCTGTAATTACAGTGAATGATTTTAGCTTCGGAGACTTTTTTTTAAGCGCCAAATCCTTAGCGCATGCATCGCTGTAAAGCCCTGTATTTATAGGGGGCTTTAGCGCTTGTAGGTGCTGTAATTACAGTGCATATGCCAAGTCGGACCAATTTTCATCCGCTTTTTTGTTTTGTCGGATTTGAACTAATGGTGCACCGTACTGAGGGGCTCGGACGTGGGTTCGACACAAGGTACATGCCCCATGGGTTGCATTTGAATTGATTGTTTGGTGCAGTGGTTAACACAGTAGGCAACTTCAAGGTTCGCGATTCAAATCGAGGTTCGAAATCCCCTCTTTCAATTTTTCTTTTCGACTCCTACCAGGCTAGGTATTTTACTACGTAATTACAAGCCGCCAACTATAATGATTTTGGGATTTCTTACAGTAGAAATAAATTCATAGCATAGAATTTATTTTATATGTTATTTATCTGTTGTACTCGATGTTGTCTAGGTCATATAAGTATTTTTGATAGCCAGCCCAGAAACAGTTCTGGTTAATCGTTGTACATACAAAACTGGTAGTTTTCTAGTTTAAAGGCCATATCTCGGAGAAAAACTATTCATGCTTGTAATAAAGATCATGCAATTACTAAAAAAGCCAATATTCGGGCTTGTAGACAAAGTGTTGTGTTGTAGATGGTATCTCGACTTTATCTTATCAGATTTCAACTTTAAGATTGCGCTGGTACGTACTTCGCACATGCTAAGCTGTAAGTACCTAAGTATCTTTTCTGATTAAGCATATACCTTCAACCAATGAATAGAGGGCTCCACTACACTTTTCGACGGCTTGCCAAGTTCAAGGCTGAGAAGCTCCTTTACTTTCATTACTTTCTCGAACATTGAACTCTTGTAGCCTTGTTCACTTCATCTGATTTGATTTCATCAACTTCTCCTCTGCTAAGTACCCTAAACCATAGTCGGTACTCCCTCATCTCTATAACCTAAATACGCGTCAAATGGGCATTTAATTGGCTCTGGGCCACATACCGATTGTTGATTGTGGGGTTATATCCTCGCCTTGAGGTTGATCTATTGTCTGTCGTCTCATACGCGTTGCGAGAGCTGATTCTATATTTTACGAAGCCTAGTACCTCATTAAGCATCGTATACAAGTCGTTCACGCAAGTTGCGCTTAATAATTAAATCAACTATCGCATTAAAATCGCTGCACAGACTCATCGTCGAGGAGGAATAAATTAGGTACCTAAGGGTGTTACCATTACGGCTGATCGAAGTGCCAGGTGGTTAGCCGCTTCCCAACCACCTGTATTACTTCAAAACTATATAAACAGCTATCTTCTCTCCCAAATCTTCACTCTTTTTAGCGTCACCTTCCCGCTATCAACCAAAATCCTCGCACAACCCTCGCATAGCCTGCGAGAGTACTCTTAAAACTTATTGGCAACGCAAGTCGTTGATTACCTTTCGGGTCAATTTTACATATTTATATCGCCTTAAAACCTCGCCATATAACAATCATTAGGGGATTATATTTACTATCGGCAAATCTACCAGCCAACATGTCGGCAAATAGGGATACCCGCGGTTCTGTTCAAGATGCTTCAAGCAAAGGACCCACCCAAGAGCAAAGACTCCTATGGAATCAAGAGAGCGTCAGGGATGTTGCAGAATCAGTCGGTATTCTTAAGTTGAGCGATGAAGGACTACGAACACTTTCTCAAGACGTTGAGTATAGGGTTGGCCAAGTTATCATCGAGGCCCTGCGGTTTATGCGACTTGCGAAGCGTACCACATTAACCGTCCAGGATGTCTCTCAAGCGTTACGAGTTCTTGATGTGGAGCCATTGTATGGCTATGACTCTACACGAGCCCTCAGATACGGCGAGGCCAGCCTGGGCCCACAAGCTTTATTCTACGTGGAAGATGAAGAGGTCGACTTTGAAAAGCTGATTAATGCGCCGTTACCTAAGATCCCCCGAGACACCACATTTACTAGTAAGTATCCTGGAAGTTAAAAGATATCGCTACAGCTTCGCAATAAATCTTAATAAATACTAACTGCGCACCTATAGAGCACTGGTTGTCCGTCGAAGGCGTGCAGCCTAACTCCCTGGAAAATCCCACATCAGCGGAGTCGCGAGCGCAAGATCTTCTATCCAAAGGTCCCAGCGCTAATCCTGCACTTGCTGCTCTTTCTGGTCAGGACAATCCTAACTTCAAACCTTCAGTCAAACACATCCTGTCTCAAGAACTCGTACTATACTTTGAGAAGATCCAGGCTGCTCTGATGGATGATAGCCCGGATATTGAAGTGCAGCGGTTGCGCGAAGCTGCCTTAGAGTCTGTGGCTTCCGAACCAAGCATCCATCAGCTTGTTCCATACTTCGTCAACTTCGTCTCCACCCAGGTTACACACCACCTAGATGACATATTCGTATTACGGCAGATGATGGAACTTACCAACGCCTTGATAAATAACGATCGACTTTTCCTCTCGCCATATGCCAGCCCTCTCTGTGCGCCGGTGCTCACATGCATACTGGGCCGCAAGATCGGGGCCGAGAATGGCGTTGACGCACTTAAGGAACAGTATAGTCTAAGAGAATTTGCTGCTACACTTGTCGGACAACTTGCTCGGAAATATTCCGACACTAACAAGATGCTACGTCCGAAGCTGGTTCGCACATGTCTCAAAAACTTCCTCAACCCATCACTGCCACCATCTGTTTGGTACGGTGCAGTGTGCGGCCTTGGAGCAGCAGGCAGCGCCGATGTTGTTAAGGTCCTTCTACTGCGCAACCTCAAAGAATTCGAAACCTCGATGCTCATCCCTCTACGGCAGAAGAACGAGCAGATTTCTAATGCAGAATTTGAAGCCTTAGTTGGTGTTATCACGAAGGTCATCCAACTCTTAACGGAAGAGGATATTCCTCTGGCTAATGGTATGAATGGATTTTCTAGCGAGAACGAGGCTAGCCAAATCAAGGCATTCTTGGGTGACATTATTGGCCAGCGCGTTGCCGCCCTAGGCGATCACAAGCTGAACCAAGCCATCTTGGATGCGCGCGACTTTCAATAGGATAGTCTCGCATGGGGATTCTGAAGAGTGAATGCTATGAGCACAAACTTGGTTTATCGGTAGTCCTACACTACAGTACAATTTTGGGAATCAGGTGTCTGGATTGATACCCTTGTTAAGAGGTGAATGGCGTTTCGGCACTGCTTGTTTAGGATAGGCGGCGGAAATTGTGACACTTGCATGGTTGGCTAAGTTGGCCGCGAGTAAAACTGTTCTATTTAAATAGGTATTCAACGTGTGGCCGGTGAAAGGCGGCAAACAAACCACGTAGACAAAAGGAATATACATATTGTATTCCAAGTAACACCTACGCATCACTGATTCGTACAGGCTTTCATTAGACTTGACCATTTGCCAATGGACCAAAGACTAACCCTAGTGAGCCCTTCATAGCCTACACAACCCAACGCCCCCAAGTCCAACACACCAGCTGCTGTCCATGCCAGTATACCCCGTAACCTTTATTCTTGTAGCAACTTGGATGGATCATAGTAGGAAAACAGCACCTAGGGTAGCGACTAAGCTAGCACCCAAGACCGTATAGCTGGTCTGCTGGATAGTTGCCTTCTTAAAGCCGTAGGTCATGTCCCAGGTGAGATGACGGAAACCGTTTGCGAAGTGGAAGAAGAAGGGCCAGGCGGCAATGGTCTTGAGGCCGGCAAGGACAGCGGGGGAAAGAGAGGCGGCCGCTGAGGCTAGTGTAGCGGATTCGATGTGCCAACCGGTCAGAGGAGCAACTAAGTAGGCTAGCGAGAAGGCGTAGAAGGACACGCTAAGAGATTGCCCGGTGATACGCGTCCAGATTGAGGCACCAAACCACGTCTGTTTATAGTCATAGGCTGCTAGGTGAGGAGATACAGGGCGCTGGCGTCGTTGTGCCGCGAGTAGGGATTGAGCGTCGGTCTCGGAAAGCTTTTGGGTTGATGCGCTTCTGTATTATTAGGGTCGTTAGCATTGATAAAATGACAAGGTTGCCTTTTCTATAGCTTCTCCAAGATCGCAACTAATAGGTGTCTCTTGGATATTTTTGTGATGCGACTTGGAAACTAATGACTGGCAAAATGGTAGTTTGCGCAGAGCATGGTAGTAGTTGGAGGGGTATTAAAGATAGTATTCGGAATAGACGGGATATACCTGGTCTGTAGGCTTGCAGCATTCGTACCCAGGGCAAGGCGAGGGAGGTTCTCGAAGAAAAGGGCATTAGGCTTCTTGACGGCGGCTGTTTAAGTGATTGCCAGTTAGCAAAACTTGATCTATGACGTTTTTATATAACTAGAGGGATGAATTGGCAAGTTATCGCAAGCCACGACCGCACCGGGTAGAGGACTCTAGATAAGGCTTAAGTAAATAAGATAGGACTGTGGTATAGTACCTTGCCGTAGGGCCCGGAGGCCAACTCGTTGTGCGTTCATGGTTCCGAGGTATTAGGATACTGGTATGCGACCGAAATTCTCTAACTCGCTATGGATTCGGACGGCGCTAGATGCTGTGTAAGTGGACGTGTTGTGTTACAATAGATTGAGTAGGATCCTTATGCTTACCAGTATAGTCAAGTTCGATCAAAGACTTGAGACCAGCGTTGATGCCCTCACCAGAGGTTTACAATAGTGAAAGGTTGAATGGATAATTGGTTCTCAGATGAAGAAGTCTAAAACCAATTGCGGCCAATCCCACGTCTATCCTCGGCTCTTTGTTTAGCCAATCAAATAGCATATGATCTATGATGACCACGGCAACTAAAAGAAGTAGCGAAGTATCAAAGTACTAAAGTGCCTCATATCCTTAGTCTTAACGCACGTGATTGGTAGGTCCGTGCACACAAACGTCCCGCAAAGTAAAATTCATCGCGAAATGAACGCGGCTCTTTTCCTCTTTCTTTCCTTTTTTTCCTCAGATAATCAAGAGCATTCAGACCGCTGATGTCTTTCCAACTTTGGGATATCGTGCAATGGTCACAGCGGCTTTTTGTCGCTATGGATGTCTCTCAGAGTAAATATTCTTGGGAAAGAAGGATCCGTCGTTAATCTCGACCTCGAGTTGCTTCCGTCTCGATGTCGTTTCATTTTGAGATCTACATCTTTAGATACTATTCAGCATTACCACGTGTAGCTTTAATACAGATATATAAGATGGGAATTGTTATTAATGCCATCATCTCCGTCTTAATAGTATGGATGTCTTGTCATACTTAAGGACCTAAAGTAGTTAAGTCGACCAAGGCCAAGCTGCACTATCTGCTAACCATCTGACAACAGCAGTGCTTCCCATAGTTTTAATAGCCAATTACCTCTAACAACTCATAATACATACATGATCCTTTGCAAATCTGGATAAGAATCCTACCTGTGTTTTTCATGTGTGTCATACGTACCTGTAGATTCACTTTCACCTGATATGGACCTAGCTTTGAGATGCCCCTATGCACGTACCTCATTACAATCAATGGTAAAATGTATTTGTCTACAAGTTGGGAAGTTGTGAGGTTTTGCCCTAGGATTATCTAACGAATTACATGTACCATGTATGTAGGTTAGGATGTACGTAAAGTATACCGAATGCACCTGCCTTGCTATGAGATATTCAGGTAGGTACGGTAAGTGCGATCATTGCGGTGCTAGCTGTTGCAGTTACGTTGCTACCTCAGGTACAGAAGTACGTAACGTACCTCATATGAAGATTTTACTTCTTCAATCGATTCATCTTTTCTCTCTTTAATTATCTACCTATTCTACAACAACCAGTTCTGTGGGTATCATCCATTCTTTCTTCCCTCTCCATTCTCAGGAGTTGCAGTTATATTTTGCCAACCGTAGTTCTTTCTGTTTCGCCAGTTCCCTCCGACAAGTACCATCACTGGTCTTCCCGCAGTCACTATTTGCGCACCTTCGATTTTCCGCTATTTCGGTACCTCTGATAACGCGATAGAAACTTCTCGACCTGGATAATACTGAGCTTTTAGCTGCCTCGTTCCTCCAGAAGCTAGCCTTTGCCCCTTTACATTCGCCATTGACATTATCAATACAGTACTATCTCAATACTCCTATCCAGCGTCTAAGTTTACTATCAAGGAATAATATCCTCTTACTCAAAAGTAAGTCACAATCTATACATATGTTAGTATGTGTATATTAATGTTCTCTCTTTAATATTGGGAATCCATTGATATCACTTTGCCTAAACTGGCCAACATTCATTCCTTCGTATTTTCTTGATACCTTTTTCTATTTTGCTAACTTCCTCAGCTGCTCTCCTATCCATCTCAGGTATCTTACCTGCGAAAGAGCTATAGTAGCCCAGAATCATCCATTCAGCCCCTTGATGTTTTAATTTCCTCTTTGACGGTAAGCTGGTATAATGAACAGTACTTGTCCTCTCCAAAACTAACAGTGTTCAGGTATTGCCATTCTATAGTTTACTCAACTATGGATAGTGCCTCCGGTCCTCGTGCCTCATCATGGGCAAATGTCGTGAAAAATCGGCATCAGAACGACGCCTACCATGACACGCCTCATGATTCTTCATCGGTAAATATGAGAATGGCGTTCAAATCCAAAGGTGATAACAAGAAGAACCAAATCACCCGACCAGACCAAAGCGAATATCAAATGACGCCACCAATCCACTCCGCCAAACCTTCGGTATCTACGCCTTCTACATTCAAAGCTCAATATCTTCAGAAAGTTCAAGCTGCGAAACAGCTAGCAAATCAGAGGCCCAATTTGCAACAGCAAGACATGGTTCCGGCTAGAGGTATCCAAAATATGGCTAACCTCAATGTTGAACTCGCTTCCATGAAAGCTACTATCTCGACCTTGCAGGAGGATCTGTCTCGCAAACACGGCGATCTGATTCAAGCAAAGGCGGCTCTAGCTGGAAAAGACATACAGATCGAAGAGCTTCAGAATTCCGTTGCGATGCTAAGGGAGAACATTCGCTCTATCACCGTTGCTACCCAGGCAGATGAGAACGATTTGGCTGCTAAGGATGAGTTAATTTCGAAACTAGAGTGCGACAATGCTGAATTACGGGACTCCATCCATACCGGAATTATCTCTATTAGCCAAGTCTATGGCCCTGGTAGTGATCAAGCCTTTACCCGTATGGCTGCGAAGCAAATAGAAGCTTCTGGGTCTACTATGATGAATTTCCAAAATGGCCGTCAGGATAGCCACACAAACTCCGTGAAGACACCGGATCTATCAGCACCCTACTGCCCTCCGCAGGCATCGAAGCAGACTGATGGCGTACCACGCGGCCAACCTATACACGCAGCAGGTGATAGTCAGAAACCCGAACCTCAGAAAGATAATCAATCTTCTAAACAAGCATACCGGCCTTCTAAGGGTAATCGTTCTACCAAAGGAATGCATCAGCCTAACACTATGGCTCGCCAACCTATGAGCCAGGCTGATAATTCTATCACTGATGTTAACCGTCCTACTACGGACAACCCTCCTATGAAGCTCGATGAACCCACTAAGAAACCCGAGGGATCTGTTGAGTGCGTCAAAGAGCAAACGGAGGATCACCCGAAGCCGGTCAACGATACTCAGGAGGCTAACAAGAATGGACCTTCTATCGATTCCAATCAACCTACTGATATCATTTGTAGCCCGACCCAAGAGGACGTTGATGCTACCTCAAATGTTAAGACTCTGTCAGAACTTGATCCTTCTATCATCAGCCTTTCTCCCACCTCATCCTGTAGAAACAAAGCTGGTGGTATGGTGCATACTATTACCCAGGAACATTTGACTTCCGGTACGGAGAACGATGAGGTTTCCGATCTGAGCGGAGATCAGGATCAGGATCAAAAAAGCGAAGAAGAACCCAAGGCGGAGAAGGTTGACGGTAAATACCGCTCCAAAGGTATATGTGAGTCGGTGGATATCATGGATGGCGCTGCGTTAGCCAAGGTAGTGGATGAACGCCCCAAAATCGTGGATCTTCCAGCCGAGAAGCAACCGAACCAATTTCGAACTCAGATGATCTTCTGGAAAACTCGAAGCCCCGAGCCAGGAGAAAACCGTACTACCCCTTTTGGTATCGTGTCTTCGTCAGATCCTGCGGTCCTTCCTACCATAGAAGATGGATTTATTCCGGGAAACCGTAAAGATGGTTCTGAATGGGTGGACGTTACGGCTAAGAACAAGCTTAATAAAAATTCTAAGGGCAAGACTGAGAGCAAGCCAAAGAATAGTCCTACACCGGCAGAGGACGAGAAATTAGTGACGGAGCAGAAACCTGCAAACAAGTCGACCAAACCGATACCCAGAGAGAAGGGTATCCCAGCAAGTCTTCAGAAGCGCAGGGGTAAGAAGCGCCCCAGCGGCACAATTATCGGATCAAATTCCGTCTTCTCTCGGGCAGCCAAGGGACAGCAAAGCGAAGATGAGGCAGGCATTGATGAAGGTTCCACCGACAGTAAGGAGGCGAAGATTTGCACACCTGAATCATCCGGACCTCTAAGCTGGGCTGATGAAGTAGAGGAGGAAGAGGCACGACGTAATTCTTAAAAATTTTAGCATTAGGTATCCACTCATGAGTGATTGCTTCAGAGTAGCATCTCGAGGAAAGTTCTATGGACTATGATAGACTAATTTCGGTGGAATTATTGGTTTGAGGTTGGATCAAGTGGCTGATCTAATTACTTAGGTCAGATGGCTGAGTCTTCTTTGCTATGTAGCTAGGCCAATAATAACCTTTGCAAAACACTAGCATTTGGTCTAGCTATAATATTTGTTACTTGTTTGTATGACTTGTCTTGATGCTTTTATGCACAATGGTAAAGCCCCCCTTAAAAGTTGGCAACTTAGGTTGTTTTCATTATAATCTAATGCTTTCTACATTATGCAGTTAATAATAACGTTGCCTACATCGTCTACTACTTGAGGGAGATTGTCGTAAAATCACAGGCCGTGACGTGAATTCCAACTGTCCCATAAGAACGTTATAGCATATCAGGTTTTTGTCCTATTGTCTTATATAGACTTTACCGAAAGTTGTACTTGTGCAAGGTGTAATAACCCAATACATCATTATAGTCTTTGTAATTGTACATGGTTTTCGCTGCTTTGTCCCTTATGCTGGCTTCATGAGATGGAAGCACCATGAATGTGCCGAATGCGGTACTTATAATTGAACAATGCATTCAATTTAAAGCTATTAACTTCATCCCTTTTTGTAATTCTCATAGTGCTTGTTCGTTCTTGAGGATTGTCATGCCTAGTTAAAAAGTGTGATTCTAGGGTATGGTAAATTCTTTCTACTTCGGTTGGGAGACAAATTACAGAATTAATTTAGAATTTTGGACTGGATAAAAAATGCTAATTTTTCTAATTTATCTAATCGCATCCCTGTCGGTGTGCGTTGGTGCTGATTTTACCCCTTTTGACCCTTCGACCTCAATTGGATCAAGATGGCCAGGAAAGGAGAGGTGGGAAGATGGTAGGGTACGGCCTTACTACGCCGTAAACCACGTAAAAGTCAAGGAAGAGATTGTATCCCCAAAGACGATTGTAGAAGTACTCGACCGATATATGCATATTGTGCATAACCCAGCGATCCGAACTAATTATTATCTTCGCGCAGCTAAAGCAACGGAAGGAAATTCGGCTTTATTATCTCCTTTCTACGGCGCTACCTTGAGAGAGTGGTGGACATATCGACGAGCCTCTGCTGTACCGGAGGACCCGATATGGTTTGACGGTACGGTTGTAGAGGGCTTACTTGAGGCTATCAATATTACCGTCAACTATCATCTACCGCAGTTACTAGTAGTTCGGCCGGGGTGGCATTACGAAAATGCAAGCGAAGTTTATCAAGAGGAATTACCGATTTACTTTGCCTCTTCACTATTCCCAGATGATGATGTAGAGAGCTACGTCCAGGACGGAAGGTGGGAAGGCGTCCGAACTCATATTGCCGCCCGATATAATACACTTATTTACCTACACCGTAAATCTAGACTGGCGAGAAGGCATCTACGTGCGGCTGCTAATGGGCAAAAACTAGATGTGCTTGCTGCGACCGGGAAGGCGGTAGATATGGTTATCACACGCGCAAGAAAATTAGCATCAGAACTCGACGAACTCGATAATATCTACGAGTCACTTAGCAAAAGACCGGAGAGAGCGGACTGGCTCGGAAGTGCCTCATTGGACTCTCGGGATCTCCAATCTTCTAACTTCGTTTCACGGTTCTATTGGAAGATACGATATAATGTCTTTACCACGGAGAGGTCGAAAAGGCAAGATATCGAAAACTATCACCGTGCGTTGCGCGGTAATGTTGCTCGGGCTTGTGCCGAATATTACGTGAAATTTCTCCGCGACGAGAATAAAGCTAGCAACGGTACGATGGTTCGCGAAGGTATTCACCAGACCTATGAGGCTCTCCATTATGCAACAACAACAAGTAGGCAGGGCATAGAGTCGACAATTGATGGGGTATTACGGGAGTTTAAAAGGTACCACAGGTTACAGAATAACTCACAGAAAGCATTGCAGAACATATTACAGGAGGATCGCGCGCAACGGACTCTTAAAGAGTTGGGCAAAATAACGCAAATTCGCCAATTCGCTGAGGACATGGTAGCTGCGGCAAATAATTTGACACGAGATCTGGATCGTGTAGAAAGATATCGGCGGGTAGAGGCGGAGAAAGCCCAAGCTCGTTCGCAGGGTCAAGGCTGGTTGAACTACAAAGGTAAACTCCTAGATGTGAGAATGGAGAAAGTGATAGATGAGAAGACTGGGGAGGAGACCACAGTATACTACGACTACGAGTACCAGATCGATAGACCAAAGACGATGGGGTCGGTCATACGAAGCAAAGCCGATGAGCTTGAGTATGTATGGCACTCGGTACAATACTGCGAGAATGATCTGGCGTACCTGAACATCTGCGAGGTGACACGATTGAACTCGACACAGAAGGCACTAAGGCTTAGGAATGAGTTCAGAGAGCGTGATAATGCGCTAGGCCGTAGGCCACCGACTTGTGATGAGCTCGGGAATCTGGTACATCTTAGAAGTATTTGCAAAGAGAAGTATCTTGATTACTAGGCCACGAAGGATAGAATCTGTTAAGTGAGATGAGTACCTAGGGAATCTCGGATGGTGGAATAGGGGATGGGAAATACGGACTTGTATTGCAACTATGGATACTGTATATAATGGCGTTAAGGGACAATTATCAGTATTTTTAGCTTAATTGCTTGCTTAGAGAAGGGGTACTATTCAGGCCTTGTCTCATATAATTCTGTACCTTGCATATTACGATACTATATCATCCTAATCACGAACAGCGCCACGTCTAGGTTGGAATATAGATCTGCAAACCTAATCGTTCTCCAATAGATTTAGAAGATGACCCTTTCCAACCCGGGCATAATCTCGGCGCTTCCACGAAAGCTCGTGCATATTAGAACTAGACCAAGTCCAACTACTATGTGAATACGATAGGTGGAAATCTAGTTTCGGCGTTCTCTCCATGCAGGATTGGCCGAGATGTTCCATTAGGACTCCAAAAGTATTCCCTAGAGCAGAGTGGCTATGTCTCTCTCGGCTGGGGCTTTTGGATGTGGATCGCGAGGTCCTTGAAAGTTGGATTCAGCTCTTATTAGAGAATTCTCAATTAGTAAAGTTGTATCTGGTCGGAACCAACCACAGCCTTCCACCCTTCCATATGAACCACTTAGTGAAAGTAGGTAGGTACCTTTATGACGACTTCTTACAAGAGTGATGGGCTTAATGTGGAACCAAATCTGCCTATAATCTAATAGCCTATGACTTGAATGCAAGTTATGACCACCCTACCTCGACTGTTAAGTCTTCAAGTATATCGAATTTGAAACTGTTTAAAGGGTCCCGATCAATTGTATAGATATTTCCAGATTTGGCTAATACTTAATGCAATAAAGCTACTAAGAAACCACTCTTATTTGTCAACTTTAATGGTATATTATGATTAGAAAATTGTTATAATTGGTAACGTCGAGCGACGGAGCTCCCGTTTGAGTTGTCGTCCGCTTCCGATTTTAGTACCGCGACCCAGCGAGTACGTCCCGGAAAAAACGGATACATTAACATGGAAACAATTGTAAACGATATTGTGATGATAATTGGATCTTGGACAATGGTCCCGGTAAGTTGGTGTAAATAAGAAGAGCCGGAAGCGTTACGAAAGAATAGGTAGGGGATACTTGAAGAGGTCACCAATACATATAACTTCTCAATAGCTGCATATGAATTACCCCTATATTCATTAATCGCATTATATGGCGATATGCATGATGTCGGTTCCCTCAGCGCATTGTTCTTCTCTTAGCAACACCAAACAAAATGTAACATAATGAAGCTAATGAAACGGCATGAGAGAGTATGTACACGTAGGTGATATAGTTGAATAGCCTAATGTTCTGTTTCTTATAATGCTGCCTACTACCATTTGTCCGCGTCGCCTCAGCTTGAATTTATTTCGGACAGCCCCGGGTCGACAAACCGCCCAGCTTGGCATCCAGATTACCCTATCTAGGATTAGTGCATACGTACTGCCATTGTAGGGATCTGGAGGAAATCCACAGATCCCATTTCTTGGCATTTTTATTATCCTATTTGGGTTAAGCGGCAGTGCTTCACAAAGTGACGATGGCTACGTCCTAGGAGACGTTAGATGAGGCTGCGAAGGGCGCCATCAAAGTTTTTTTCTTCTAATTATCTCCCTCCGATTCTTGACTTTAATCCTATTTAATAAAGCTTTCTATTTCTCTTCTTTTAGGATGGAAGTCTTATATTCGCCGAACAATAACTACGAGGTTAGACAACAGACAAATAAATCAACAAGGAGGATCTATCCTATATCTACGACATATAGATCCTCATCTGTCATTTATTTCTCTGTTTCTACTACCTCTATCTAAAGTTTCTACACTTCCAAGATGGCAGCTGGAGAACCTAGTAAGAATTATATCCCCAATCAGGACTCAGGAGTATACAACTAACACAATCCCACTTAGTCTTATACAGCTTGTACGTCTATGCTCCTGACAAAGGTGCGCCCATCTTCTTCGCTGTTGCATATGCCCTCTCAGCCATATTCCATATTTGGCAATGCTAGTTAGTATACTTGTCCAAACCGAATTCAGTCGACCCCTAACAACTATAATAGCCGTTATGAAGCTTGGAAGTTGATCGGCCTGCACCCCGTTTGTGCTGTGCTATTCACCGTCGGTTACGCGATGCGCGAATATGGAGCCTACGACTACATGTATAGCGTGACTACGAAAGTGCCTCTGATGGTGTTTATCCTTAGCCAAGTCTTTATCTTCGTGTGCCCGTAAGTTTATTAGTCTTATTAACACATCGCCTATGGTCTTCGCTGATTAGATATAATAGTCCACTCCTAGAACTTGCCAACTACCACGTCCTCGGCCGTATATTTTCTTATGTGCCCTGGTGCGCACCTCTCCCCCCTGCAAGAGTTTTAACTATATTCGGTGGTCTCATGGGCCTCGTCGAAGCACTCAACTCCCTGGGTGTATCACTATCCGCAAACCCGTCGTCCTCGAGTTCGACACAATCTCTCGGCAGTAATTTAACAATAGCAGCCCTCATAATCCAGCTCTGTCTTATTGCCATCTTTATCTGTCTTGCCGGCCTCTTTCATCAGCGATGCTCAAGAGCGAATGTACAAGTCAAGGGTATCGGGATTCTCCTTCGAACGTTATACGTGAGTATGGCGTTGATCCTCGTCCGATGCATCTATCGACTAGTAGAACATACGGGAAATACGAACGTGGACCTCGATAATATCGAGGCTCTTAGAAACTTGAGTCCCATCTTGCGGTATGAGGTCTTCTTCTATATATTTGAGGCAACTCTCATGCTCATCAACTCGGTTCTATGGAACATATGGAATCCATGCCGATTTCTGCCGAAGGAACATCACATCTACCTCTCGCGCGACGGAACCGAAGTCTATGGAGAAGAAGACTCCGATGACCGGCCGCTCCTGGCTAAGACGGCAAATGTATTGACGTTCGGCATCCTATTTCGCAAAAAGAAGCAGACTCGAGGATTCGAAGAGCTTAATCAATACCCTGGCTCTAGAAACTAAAGGCTGGAGATGTATTATTGGCAGGTGGTATAATTTGTCCATGAAATATTAGATGGCGATAATTAATTTCAATGCTTGGCCTATGGACTTGTCTTGATAACTTTCAATGGGAGAGCGACACATATAGGCGACATACTATCCGGAGGCTAACTATATACTATAACATGTTTGTAATGAATGTCCATGGCTGGCTCAGGGATTGACTAGAGATCGGGGTTCTCGGATTAGTAGATAACATTGGCTTGAGAATTGTAGTTTTTATTTGTTGAAATTATATAGAGATATTCATTAGGTCGGTATAGTTCATCCACAGTTATCTGGTTCCAATTGTTTATAGTCTCATATATAGAATGATTAAATATAAATTCGGTTTCTTCAAATGTTTTATCACCCCTAACTTATTTTCCTGGTAGTATGGGGCAAGCCGTTGGTATCGATTGCAATTTGCATCGTAAATATATACGGCTTATTAAAGCAAGCATCCCAGCGAGTCTCACCCGAGTCCCAGAATGACTCAAGTACGTGTTTAACCATCAATGGCACGGAGGTGCCAAGATCGCGACTAAGCTCAGGTAGTCGGCTTACAACGAATGCACGCATTGCTGGACTGCTACGAGCAGCATATACTCCTAATACGATTAGAGGCCAAAGCATAAATCGTTGGGTTCTCGGAGATGATAGTCCATCGCTTATAAGTACTTGTAGAAGCTCGCCATGCCTGGTGCAACAAGCGCTCATCTCAGAGGTTATATAGAAAACGGACAAACTCTGAAGAGACAAGATAAGATAAATGGCTACAGCAGACTGGTATACACTACCAATAAGCACCCAGTCTTTAGATGAGCGTTTGGAATCGGCCCATTGTTCTGGAAGGAAATCGTGAACACGCTGTAGTATTTTACACGCCTCGTACGAAAGCTCCTCGGCTCTGGTGCTCGTATATTCCGTGGCCCGCATTCGAAGATGGTTAACCTTGATGATCTCTGCGAATAGAGGCAAAGGGCACATATGATAGGGGGACATTGCTGTACTAAATTCCTCTAGTAAGAAATCAGTTGTATCAAGTTGTGAACCTATCATTGAGAGATCCGATGCGGGACAAGTTGTATTCCCAATCACAGCAAGACTGTTTAAGATTAGTGTTCGTATTTTTCTCATTTATGGTTGTTATTGGGATTACATACACCCAGAGGCAACGTAATAGTGGCTTTAGGACTTTCGATCTGGCCATTGCCTGAAAGCCACCACGCAGCATCATTAGTTCATAGACGCCCTCGAGATGACACCTCCAATTAAGCGAAGTGCCGAGTTGAACCTGTAGTGATATATATTTTAATATCGCAAGTTACCAACATCATAGCATAGGAGGTAGATAATTAACTCACGTCGACGAGAAGAAGCGTCAGCACTCCGGCGATCATGGTATCGCCCTTACGCTTATCTTCCATGTCGAGATGATCTCTAAGAGAGCGGATAGCAAGGCCCCAGTGAAAATAAAACTTCTCAACCAATCCCTTGGACTCGGGACTGCCCCTCGTACGATTGATTCGGTGGCCTAGTATCATACAGATCATACCAAGCCGCAGATAATCCGGGGCCCAAGAGGCCCTCCGAAGGTGCTTGGTCGAGAGAGGGTATATATGAGGATTATCCCCAAGTTCACAAAGGGGGAGTAGATCTTGGTATATGCAAGAATTAACTAACCGATTCAGGTTAGTCCATCAACATCGGTTTGTTTCGATTGATCAGTTACTTGCAGTACTCGGCACACTCAGCTAAAGCATAGACTTCAGTCTTTATCTCAACTCGTGGTATGAGCATATGAGTATTTGATATTGTTTCGCTAGATGGTGTTTTCTTTCGCTTCCGACCCCGAGATATGACTCTTCCGGGTGCGAGCCACTTGAGTTTTACTGGTTTCACATCACTGTATCCTGGGCATTCGATCCCCAATGCGGAACACCTTTGGCACATGGGTTCCGTGAAATCGCAGACCAAGTAACGTCGGCGACATTCCCAGCAGTGTCGCTTATTCTTCTGTTGGCTCTCCATCTCGGGGTCTTTATTGTCTTAGAGCGACGCTCGGTGTCCAACGTTTTTAAGTTTTACAAGGAGGTATCAGGGGGCATAATATGCCAGTTTGAGTCCTACGGTGGTAAGAAACTCATATCCCATGCATCGTATCGAAATTTTAGATTGATAACTCAAGGAGTATAAGATATAAGGTTATAAATTTATTTTAATAGACTTTTAAACACAGCCCTGAAAAATGATAAAGTCGATGTAAACATTGAGAATTTTGGAAGTTATTCACTTCTGCCTGGGCCCAATACGTCAGCTTCTGTGCACGGACCTTCAACTCGGAGATATCATGAGTCCTACGTGTTAATTAAATCCGAAACCTTTTCATATATCGTCAGTAAAATCACAACTCCTTTAACTTCTTAGTTTCCAAACGCTAAACATATCTGTACCCTTCCCATTCTCATATGATCGTGGTGGTTTGAAGTAGGCCACTCTTCGAAACGACCCCTTCAGCGTCTTAGTTTCTCGTATTGAATTTTCAGAAATGATACCGTCACCGCCTTCAGCTAATATGTTCCAATAAACACCTTTTAATCCCCAAGGCGGACCAAGTGCTCTTAAATCCTTATATAAAGGAAACTCGAGACAGGCAAGTACTCCGGATGGGGAGATAAGTTCATACATGCGACGAGCCCAGTCCTTTCGTAAATCAGGTGGGAGGACACATAAAAACTAGGTACCATATCAGTATCGTGGTTACACTTATTATTCCAAAGAAAGAAATGAAAAAAAGATTCCACCGTTTGATCTGCTTAGTAGGTCTATGGGTAGTTCTGCACTGGGTCAAATAGCTTACAGTATAATCATAGATTAGATCGAAGCCATGAAAGTCTTCAGTCGCTACCAGCTTTTCCCAGCCTGTTTCGAAGAAATCGCCTTGGATGAACTTTACATTACCTCGGCATTTAGTTGATCGGCCCGCTGTTGACGAGCCAAAGTTAAAGCTGGATGGCTCGCAAAACTGGGCTGCCACGTTGACTTTTGCTATTTCAATAGCCTTCTGTGAAATCTCTAAACCATATACATCGAAACCATGGAGAGCTAGCATAACAACATCGTAGCCTTTCCCGCAGTCCTATTCCTTTCAAACCATTATGAAGGTCAGTCAGATGAATGATGACACATAGAACCTCGCTATTCTCTTACAGGATCAACTTACGGGGATCAGGGCAATTGGTCGATAATTAGGAGAATGTTGTGATATTTCGGATTGCGACTCGATCCAGTCGATGAGAGCGGGCGATGGGCCCATGCGGTCCCAGAAATTGCTCTTGTCACTGTTCCAAAGCTCAGTCCACCCTGAGGATTCATTGTTTCGGGCACTTCACAGCGATATCAGCATAATAAATTATGATATAAATGTTCAACAAAGTACCGATTAATAAAATGAGAGACTAGTTGAGTAAGCGGCTGAGGTGGTGTATCCATTTTGACAAGTGGTTGAATTGTTCGAAGATCTAGACAGCGAGAAACGACCGACTACCTAGCTTCTTGTAACTATGTCTTACTTGGGTAGATCAACAGTAGGATGAATGATGTTATATTTTAATGTCCTGAGTAAAAGGTAAAGAGTAGTGACGACAAATACCCCGCTGACTGATTCAGTGGCATGCTATGCCCTATCTCAATGTTGACTGATTCGTGGCTTAATACCCACAAATAGTAGTATTTGTATCTTAGGAGATAGGTAAATAAGTACTTTTCACGCTCGATATTTAGGATCCGAGACATATACAAATAGGTAGCTATAACAGATAGGAATAATAATAATGCCTAAATACCAAAAGTCTATCCTATCAATATCGGGTGGCTCATACGATTGTACCTAGACGATGTAAGCAACATTATATAAATTCAATTTCTAGGAAGAAGTAAGATTCAATACATGCATGCTTATTCTCTCTAAGTTTAAAATAGAACATAAAGGGTATATCGCGACTAATCAGAAGTAAATAAGAGTGGTTGGGCATACATGGAGGGTTACATTTCAGGCAATGAAGCAGGTTACACAAGCCTTGTCGAATAGTAGAAAATAATCTATTAAGTTTTAGGTGTTGGCAACTTTCAAACTCCCCTTAGGCCTTACTCTCAAACGACAATCTTTGATAATCTACAGTTATGGATATTTACGCTGAATATCCCCTTCCTGAGAACGGCTTTATCCGAATAGCCACTATCCATCCTGGAGATTCGCAAGATGAGATCAAAATCAGTTTGACTGTCGTCGAATTCCTCGAGGCTAATCCTCCCAGATATGAGGCTCTCTCTTATGTGTGGGGGTCAGAAGATGATCCAGAAGCTATTCGAATTATAGTAGACACGGAAAGAACTTTTATGTTCCCCGTAACGCAGAATCTGTCCACCGCACTACGATATCTACGCCGATTATCAGAGCCCAGGATCATATGGGTTGATGCAATATGCATTAACCAGTCAAGTAATATCGAGAAGGGCGAACAAGTCATGAGAATGGGAGATATTTTTCGAGCAGCGAGTCGCGTTATCGGATTTCTGGGCGAAGAAAACAACGATAGTTCTCACGCAATGAACATTATGTCTTACATTGGTTCTCAAGTTGACGTGAATTGGGAATTTTTAAATATGCGGCCGGCAAATAATTGCACAGACCCGATGATTAGTGACCAGAATTGTGTCCTACCGATGACAACAAGAGACATGTGTGCAATATACCACATATCGCATCGCAACTGGTTCGAGCGACTTTGGGTCAAGCAGGAGATAATACTTGCTAATAGCTATGCTATATTGCAATGTGGCACAGCAGAGACGAGCTGGATAGCATTTCGAAGAGCATTGTTTTGCCTCTTCGTCAAACCCACTATCGAATTCCATTACTCCCACATATTTCAACAGCGCTTGCATTTCATGCGTGGACTTATCTTTCCGAAAAGGATGATATCTCTAATATCGCTACGTCTTCACTTTGATTGGGCTATATGCCGTGACCCCAGGGATAGGATCTTCGCGATCAGATCACTTTTGACGTCAGCCGATAGGGATTGTTGTCCGGTTCCGGATTATAGCAAGTCTTGCATAGAAATATATAAAGATGTAATGTTAAGATGGACCCGGAGATTTGGCTCCCTGGCATTACTTCGCGACTGTCACTTCGAACCTAATGCTACACATCCAAGTTGGGTTCCCAATTGGTCCAAAGCGGTAGCATCTCCAGAGCTATGCCTGCAACCGTTTATGGCATCCTCTAAGCTGGGTACCTATGTAGAATCCCCAGTGGATGGAGTACTCCGCGTATCAGGTGTGACATCCACAGAAATCATGGAAGTCTATCAAATTCCAGATCTTTATAACGTCACTCTGAGAGACTTGTTCCATATTCACCGCCAACTTTTATTCGCTCAGGATATGAGCCAGATAGAGGGCAACCAGCTTCCAGATGAACTAGTGGAAATCTATGCTAAAACCCTAGTTTACGGGCGGATTGCCAACGATTTCACTGACATCCCGTCTATCACGCTGCCAAGCTTGAGGGAAGCCAAAAAAGTTGTTACGGAACTCTATTCAAGGTCATGTTATGATCCTGAGCTTTTCAAACCGGATAGCCCTGAATACAATTTCCTCCAACGAACTAGATTCATAAGGGGCAAAAAGTTCGCACGATGCAGTAACGGATATTTTGGAATTGCCCCCCCGCATACACAAGTTGGTGATCATGTATGCATCCTGATAGGTTGCAGTGAAGTTATGATTCTTCGACCCGTGACCAACGACCAATTTATTCTCATAGGCAACGCCTACATTGATCAATTGTGCTTCGGTAAAGGCTTATTAGGGCCCCTTCCTGAAAATATTCAAATATTTTCAACTACTCATGCTCACAAAGCCACTTTTGGCTTTCTAGATACGAATTCAGGGGATATTACCTTCGAGGACCCAAGGTTTGGGAATCTTCCGATAGATCTTTCTGGCTACAGGAAGAAATTAAAAGAGAACACCAATACTACTCTGTGCGTGCGTCCCGAAGTCTTCAATAGTATTGGTATAAATGTTCGGTATTTTGATCTTGTATAAGTGGAAGGAATGGTAATATAACATGAAATGATCCAAAGGGGGGAAAAGCGATGATAGCTAGGTGACAGGAATATAAAACAATGTCTATTGTCAAATCTATTTTACTACCTTCTGGGTTACTTAGGTAGACATAAGAATAGTATAGACCAAACCAAAGCTTCTTAACTATGAGCTTCAAGCGGAGTCACCTTTTTCACAACCCGTGCAGGCGCACCCATCGCGACACTCCATGCTGGAATATTCTTCGTTACCACAGAGCTGGCGGCAATAGTGCACCCCTGGCCAATTATGACACCAGGCAGGATCACAACATTACCGCCTATCCAACAGTCGTCTTCGATAGTTATGGGTTTGGCGTATTCGATATCATCTCTACGACTTTGCACCTCAGTTTCGTGAGTAGCTGTTAAAATCGACACGTTCGGGCCGAACATAACACGATCGCCTATTGTGACTAGCGCGCAATCCAAGATAGTCAGATTGAAGTTAGAATAGAATCGATCCCCAAGGCGAATATTGCATCCGTAGTCTACAGCGAGTGATGGCTCGATGAAAACTCCCTCCCCAACATGACCCAAGAACTGCTTGAGCATATTCTTCCGAACTTCTGCCAGGGAATTGAAGTCGGCTTCTGGGTCATCAGGGAAGTAGTTATTATACTTATGCATCCATCTCCGAGCGTTGAAGCGTAGTTTCGACAGCTCAGGATCATGGGCATCATATCTATGTGGTGGAGCATTATTAGCGAAAGTACCCATTAGGTTCGTCGTACTTCAGACTTGGCTAAATCGAATAAAATACGACGACATCATTTAGCCAGTAGGGAAACACTCACAGCATCCCAGAGATCATCTTGTCAAATTCTTCGGACTTGGGTACATGAGCTAAAGCGGTAGCCTTTTCAAGCTCAACTGGGTTCTTTTCTTGGGCAGCCATAATTCTTTAAATTTTATGGCAGAAGCTAGTCGTAGAAAATAGGGGTCGACGGAATAGCTCACGATGAAAATTGTAACAATAATGAATGGTTATTTTTATTTCTATCCGAGATCTTAACGGAACGAGGGAAAACGATGTCTAATTTGGTATCTCCGACTCTTGAATTATGAACACGTCTGTAAAAGAAACGTTCGTCGGCTTGGCCCGCATATTGGTCGCTGTCTAACCTCTCAGTAAATGCATATAAAGTGGCCTTTTTTTACTTGAGCACCGCCACAGACCAGAGTGGCTTGGTAAAATAGTCTAAATATCAATAGATTTATCAGTCCTATGAATTATGGTTAGAATATATTATCCAAGTACGGCCGTATCTCTTCCTGCATTACCGTGTCCTGAATAAACATTGATATCCCCCTATTAAAAGCAAGAACTTAGAGTCAGTATAGACGCACATCGCGAAAACTTAGGCGACGACGGCTAATGCAATGTAGTATATCGTTTGTTACCCATTGGTCTGTGAAGATTACGTGGCGTTGCGTTGAGAATCTTCAATTTTCAACAATCTCAGCAAATATATAAACCTAATTGCTGATAATAGGTAACAGTATCGAAATAACAATCAGATGTTTCATAAACATTCAATTATTATAGCTGGTTAGCATTAATAATAATAGTCTACCAGTGCTAAGACGCCATGTTACTATTCGAGACACCCAACCCCTATTAGGGGCATTAGTTCTGATGCTACAACTATTTCATATAAAGGACCGAGGACTATTGCCAACGCAGTGTTACATTATACTATAGTTGACCAGGACTAGGTTCGGATGAAGAGTATGAAGTTGAGGTGAAAAACGCCCAGATATCGGGATATAGTCGATGATTAATTCCAGGGGCTGAATGACGTGCTTACCCGCGCATACGTATTGTTCCACGATTATCAAAATGAGCAAATCAGTTATTGTCCTTGGCGATCTGTGCGATAAAAGCTTATCTACGTATCTTTGGATCTACATAGCATCACGCGTGAACCCGAAGGTAAGGCGCGATTTTCTCGGTAAGGGTTCTATGAAGTCTTTTCGGGGGTGTAAGTCGACTAGAATCAGCATGGGGATAGTTCAGATAATAGATACTTAATAAGCCATATTTCTTCGGGAACCTCTACGATTTCTTAACTGTTCACCTACCTCTTAGTAGATGTTCATTATATTATCAACATGGCGGATGTCGCAGATACCGCGGCCCAAAGTCCAGGGAATACTGAACAAAAACCTATCAAAGGTCAGTACGAAACTACCACACTCATGATATACCTGCTAATACTCTCTAGTAAAATGGTATCGATCAGTCTTTTATAATGCTACAATCCTTGGGCTCTGCAGCTTTGCTGCACCGGGGTTATGGGGAGCGATGAACTCTCTCGGAGCTGGCGGTTCCCAATCGCCTTACCTCGTTAACACTGGGAATGCGCTCACGTTCTGTCTTATGATAATATCTTGTTGGTTGACCAGTGGTGTTGTCAAGTATATCGGTATCACCGGTGCCCTATTTGTTGGCACCATTGGTTATGCCCCGTATAGTGCCGGACTATATCTGAATAACCGCTATGGTGTCGAATGGCTGGTTATTGTTGGGGCTGCCTTCTGTGGAATATCAGCCGGAATTTTCTGGGCGGCAGAAGCAGCCATCGCAATTTCTTATCCTGAGCCGCGCAATCGAGGGAGAATGGTCGCCTATTGGTTAACGTGGACTCGAATTGGACAGATCTTGGGAGGAGCTGTGAATCTAGGGCTTAATATAGATCGCAACCAGGCTGGAAAAGTCTCTTATACGGTATACATCATATTCATTGCCCTTCAGGCAAGTGGGACGCTGGTTGCTCTACTCCTTAATCGGCCATCGAAGGTCCAACGTCGGGATGGTACTCCTGTCCAACTTGTCATATACGACAATCCCTGGCAAGAAATCAAGACCACGACAAGAACCTTTTTCACCAGAAAATTTCTCTTGATTGTTCTATGGATAGGTCAAGGGGTCTACTCAGAGGCCGTCTTCTTCACTTATAACGCTCTATGGTTTAGCGTGCGCGCAAGAGCTCTTGGGTCATTCCTATCCGGAATTATAGCAGTTATATGCGGAAATCTCCTCGGAGTATGGCTAGACCAGCACCAAATCTCTCTTAAGACAAGGTCCCGCCGCGCTTTCGCAGTTATCATGACGTTACAAGGTGCTTGGTGGTTGTGGCTCACGATCAATGTTACGGAGTATAATCGGACCCAACCTATTTTCGACTGGAACGATCCCGGATTTGGAAGGGCATTTGGCGTTTTCATCTTCCTCGTTTCTGGCTTCCAGCTTAACTATAATTTCTCATACTTCATTATTGGTCAACTATCGTCTAGTCCGCAAGAAACAATTCGTCTTGCGGCGTTACTGCGTGGAACGGAATCGGCTTGGCAAGCTGTCAGCTACGGATTAAATGCAGTCCCTATAATTGCAGCCATTGGCGGCCCCTATATAAACTTTGGTTTATGGGGTATTTCCATAATACCGGCTTGGCTGGTGATCAAAGATTTTGGTACCGCTGGCGATAAATCTGACTTGGAGAGTCACCTTGAGATTCAGGGGGAAGATCTACGAAAAGATGAAGGATCAAACTAAATTCAGTGATGGTATTCACTATCTAAGGTAGCTGTTTCAGTATAGTATTACGGGCATGGATTTTGAGAAATTTGGTGATTGGAAAGTCAGCATTTTATTATAATGGGCTCTGTTCTAAAATAGTATTCTTATTAAGACCAATATTATGTATGAATCACTTGTCTGTTGTCCATAGATAAACAGTGGTTTAATCAAAATCTTAGTGTTTCATCGTTGTAAAACTCTTGATCGGGAGTTTTAGTAGTTTGCGGCTCGATGAAGGGGGATAATGAAGGTTGATGTAATCTTAGTCGTGTCTAACGCCATCGATGGACGCAACCTCACGGTAAGCTATCTATTGATATATTGTCAATCTTGCATTTGATAGGTTGGATGTGTCACGCACGTCATATTGGTCTCCAACTCCATCCATAGAGCTGGAATACATATAAGCAGCAGTGGGCAGAATATACTATGCCGATATACCGTTGAGGTCTACAACAAAACATATTAGGTTTTCCCTTACCATAAGCTAGAAATGTCGGCTGGACTTGAAGCTCTAAAGCATATATCCAAGGACTCTGGGTTCCCAATTACCATCCATCCGCACTTCTCTGAGAAAATCAAGAACCATGTTCCACCAGAGCCCGCCCGAGAAGAAATAGTCCCGGAGAAGGACCGTGCTACATTTGCGGACCCCGAGAAGAAAGCTCTTTTCTCGGTCGCTAAACCTGTTGACTTGACAGAATCGATCGGCACCGTCTTAGAGAATGTGCAGCTTTCCCAATTAACCCCACAACAACTAGATGAGCTTGCGCTGCTTGTAAATGAGCGTGGAGTCGTCTTCTTCCGCAACCAAGATTTAACTACTGACGGACAAGTAAAACTCTTTGAACATTATGGTACTTTGGATCGACATCCTGCCCAAAAGGATGTTCGACACGTCGTGATCCGAGGCAGCCGAGAGGACCACCGCGAGTTGCTCAAGTATACCCCGTGGCCTTCGGGAGAGTGGCATGCCGATACTTCATTTGAGGTTAACCCCCCTTCGTATTCTCTTCTCCGAATGGAAGAGCATCCGCCCGTGGGAGGGGACACGGCCTGGGTCTCCGGTTACGGTCTCTATGACACATTGAGTGACGCGATGAAGAGATTTGTCGAAGGCCTACATGCAGTGCACACATCAAGACTGCAGTACGACACAATTTTGGACCTATGGGGCGTTGGGCCGAACCGCCCCCCTATCGACTCGCATCATCCGGCCGTTAGGACCCACCCGGTTACCGGATTGAAGGCGTTGAACATAAATACCGGGTTCGTCACCGGGTTCGCTGAGCTCAAGAAGCACGAGTCCGACAAGCTCCTCGACTTCTTCCAGTACCACCTTCATTCCGCTGATGATCACTCAGTCCGATGGAAGTGGGAAGTTGGCAGCGTGGCGATGTGGGACAACAGATGTGTACTCCATCGGGTTATCCCTGGCTCATATGAAGCGCCTCGAAGGGGAATTCGCACGACGGTCTTCGGAGAGAAACGTAAGTCATATCAAATATTTAATGAGCTTTAATTATATTATATGGTTGACAATATATAGCGTACTATGATCCTGCAAGCGAAGGGAGAGCTGAAAGAGAGCGGAGACTCAAAGAGGAGACAGCTAAAGCATTGCTTCAAGACTTGAATACCAAGGAAAATCTTGTAAATACACCCGCTTAAATATGCCGAGAACTCCATTTCAAGTTAATATTTAACGATATCTAAAATGACGAGCAAGGGGCGAATAGAATCCTTATCATATTTGTGATTTGTGCGATTTATAATTGAAACTGATAATGAAAGGAGCCGTGGAAATTTTTTCTTGCTTGTAACATTAGTTGTCAAAATAAGTAGGTACCTATCAAGGGGCTACTATCAAATACAGTAAGATGTCTTATTAAGAAGCTCAGTAAGAAAAGCAAGCTATCTTAGATAGCCAATGCATCTCATTATTCACGATAGAGAAATTGAGATAGTTATGATACACTGTCCATTTACGGTGTCACGTATCTTATTGTGATGCGATGTTGAATTCCTTGAGTCTTGATTAATAAGTTAGTCGACCGAAGTTTGGATCCTATTGGTAAGACTACTGTTTGAGTTGACAACTATTGTTATGTATGTGATCTTATTGGTGCATGAACATAATAACGTGGCTAATGATAAACGCATTCAATTTATAAGATCTCAAATACCAGCGGTAGTTGGCCTAGTTAATAGTTACCTCATAATATTTCAGTTTCTTATCTTTGAACCCCTTTCAAGATAGTCTTAATTACTTCTAATCTGTCTGATTTGATGTTACACGATAAGTGATACAGGGTTGTTGAAGCTCTATATAATTTTGGTGAGATGATCGTGCATTATCTCCATCTTCAACTGGAAAGTAGCTCCGGAAATAGGATCGAACTAGGCTCAATAATATAATTCTAGCCTGCTCAAAAAGAACAGAAATGATTAAATATGAAAACTTGGGCTCCACCGGCCCTCGGTTGTCGGCTCGGTTATCGGTGCTTTGAGATCTAGATGACACACTATTGATCCCGTTTGACGTGCGTGCTGTTAAGTATGATTGGGTGATTTAAGATGATGGAGGGCGCGTTTTTTTGATCCCTTTACCCAATTCTACCAATACTTCCCTGGGAATTTTGCAGAAGATATTCCCCGGAACCATGGAAAGTCAAAGGGATGAATATCCTCGGTCGTAAATCTTAGTCACCGCTCCATTAGAACGACACTAATATATGCAAACCCCAGAAAATAGTTTTGAAGCTAAAACGACGCCAAGAAGGTTTGGTCATAGTATCCATAGCTGAAGAGATCGTGAGTTCCTGTGTCTGAATATGTAAAGTCTCGTACGTGAATCTAATTGGGGTATATTCTAGCTAGGTTCCTGGAGTGTAATTTGATTGAAATAGTAAATATAAAGTAATATGGCTGTTGCCGTCGACTTATATAATAGCTGATAGTTTTGACTCTAAACTGTTCATTGACTAATACGGAAGATAATATAATTGCCACATGCTGACAATCCGAACCTGTTTCAGCGCTCGAAAATGATAAAAACAGAACGATTAGATGTTTAATAATTATAATTATCTACCTGAAATATGTTTAAACATTTCTTACTTATAAATTTTGTAGGTAGTCAAGAGCTGAGCCTCTATCTAATGACGTATTCATTTGACTAACAAGAGCCGGAGCCGGTTTATAGGGAGTCTAGTGGGTTGACTTTCACTGAAGCGGCCCACTATGACTGGGAGTGAGTGGTCTGACAGGCCTAATCCCTAATCGCTAATCATAGGTCGTATGGCCGCTTTCGCCGGGTCCCCGCCATTTGCCATTTTCCATTTTCCATTTTCCATTTTCGCAATTTACTACCAGAGCCGAATTTCCCAACGTGAAATTCCCTCCAATCTTAACCACCAATATTCCGTGACTCTGATAGGTGTAACATGTCCACAATCTGTAATAACGCAATACCGCCATTTCGAATTCTGAAACCAGAATCTGTGAAGAAGCTAGCTATTCCTATTTCATTCTAATTACGAATTATCAACACTCATGTCCAGGCTCAAGATCTGGGAGAATGGATCTGGAAGATATGAGCGTGCAGATGGTGGCCGCGGACACAGCAGCTGAGGTCGCAGCAGACGTTGCTGCGGCCGACCCTACGAACAGAAACCCTAAGAAGTCGAGTCAGACCTGCATTCCATGCAGAGTACGCAAAGTTCGTTGTGATGGTCGTCGCGACGTTTGTCAGAATTGCGAGCGATTAGGATTCACGTGCTCATTTCAAGACGCCGCCTCTCCCAGCCAGGATTCCGAGGGTTTGACAAATTTCACCCTTCCACGAAGACGTGTTAGACTAGCTTGTGCCAACTGCCATTCCAGGAAAGCTAGATGTAGTGGTGAAACTCCGAAATGCGCAAGATGTCAAGCTCAAGGCATTGAGTGCGTCTACAAACCGACGAAGCGATCTGGAGGCGTTAGCGGCGTCTCCCAGCAATCCCATCAGGGCGCCACTGATTCCGAACTTGAGTCTGTCTCGTCCGAACCACCGGAGAAAAGAGTAATGATGAGTAAGGATAATCAAGGTTCTCATCATGGCCCTCAAGGGTCCGATAGGAATAGCTTCGAACCAAATGGGCCCTCGACATGTACAGCATCCAGCAATGAACCGTACGCATTCGATAACTCACCTCTTTTCCCTTGCGCGTATAAACTAACAATCCACCTAGGTTTGTTTTTCCAAATGAAGGTATCATACAGCGGACGTTTAGTAATTTCTTTCGTCAAATTCACCACGTTCCTATCTTTTCCTTCCTTCATCGTGCTTCACTTATGCAACGCTATCATGCTGGCATGATGGATAAAGCTTTGCTTCTTGCTTTAGTGGGCATCACTTCACTTATTATAGATCTGGGACCTGGTACTCGAGAGTATGGGGCTAGATGTATCGACGAATGTCAGAAGATGGTGCTTGAGGACCTCGAGAATCCGTCGACCATTAAGATACAGGCCCTCGTCCTCATTATGAAACATCGTATGATGTCGCGCAAATTCACTACCGCTTTCATGTTGGCGGCAACAGCTACTCGTTTTGCCTATGCTCTCCGTCTAAATTATGAGAATCCGAATCTATGCTTCTTAGCACGAGAATCACGGAGGAGACTGATGTGGGCGCTTATGACTATCGACTCCGGTATCAATGGCGGGTGTTTGGATTTTACATTGATGCCGTCCGAATCTATGCACATTCAACTTCCTTGCACCGAGCGCAACTTCGAATTTGATCTACCACAAGTAACTGAATATCTCCGCCCCGTCCCCACGCGGCCTTTTCCGGACGACGTTGGTTCGCTCGCGCTCCACGTGCGACTCTTATGGATGAGAAGCAGAGTCCTATATTGCACCAAGAATGTGCTAGGTATGCCCGAGTCTGAACTGGCGCAACTGCCAGAGTTAGTTAAGGTATTATCAGAAGAACTGGCTGGCTTCAACGATCATTTACCGGCTTCTTTCAAGTTCTCGGAAAGCAATCTTCAATTACGAGCTTACTCACCACGGTTATGTGTTTATATTATGATACATGTCTGGTGGCGACAGTGCTACTGTGATCTTTACCGAATGTTCCTTGTAGGACTTAAAGAGGCATTACCACAGTCGGGTTTAAATCAATTAGACCCCCAATTCGTGTCATATTGCATGCGTCAATGTTATGAGCACGCTTTGGCTATGTCGGATATTTTCAAACTTGTTTTGTCCCTTGACGGAGGCCTTCCGGTCACTGATATTGATCTACCCGGCTGCGCTTATCAATGTGCTCGAATTATTTACTTTGCTCACCAAACGAATCAGGGGGAAATCAGTTTAACGTCGAACCAAGTCCACGAGCTTGGTACAAGATGCCTTACGATTGCGAAGTCGATGGATCATGTCCCAGCTGGCGCTGCCATTGTAAGTTATCGCATCCCAGAACATGACATGATGGTTTACTGAGTATAGATGTAACTTTAGGTCGCTGATCTCGAAAAACTGATTGCCCGTGGCTTCACTACAAATGCAGCTCCGAATCACCCAGGGAGTCCCGGTACTAACGGTTCGAATCTAATATCCCAACATGTCCTACCACGCCACAACCCGATTCAACAGATGCAAGTTGTCGATGAAAATGGATATACTAATATCCCTATCCTATCTCCTTCAGCTCACATAGCCTCACCACAGGGCAGTTCGATGCAAACCCCAATCCAGCATTCAACTCCCCGTCCACCACAAGAGCATACCCGTGGATCTCCGCTACCAGGAACACCTATTGGAGATTTTACCATGGCGAAGTCGAATTTGCCGCCTGTGATGCCACCAGATGGAATAGATAATAATAACGCCTTTGAGGGTGCGATGGATGGCTTCGACTTCAATCTCGAGTCGTTCGGAAATAGCGGCCTTGAGTCTGCATCGTGGCTCTCGAACGACTGGCTTAATAACGAATACTCACAAACGACTGTTTGAACTTTTTGAACAAGCTGTTATGTCTACTGATTGGTTAACGGGAACTACGTTACCCATCTCACCAATTCGGCTTGGCAATTTAATGGTTACTACCACATCGAATTAGCCAAAGGGGTTAATACGAAAGGACTACAATGTTTCTCCAAGAAACCCGGCATAGCTGTGCCAGTCCTCCGTAGAGTCACCAATACTATTCCAAGAAAGCCTACTTGCCTAATACCACGAGCAAGACAAACCCCCAGTGCCCTTGAATTATCATCTTGATCAATAGAACTGCACCCTAAAGCATCAGGGTAGACCAGGCATTTTGGAGGGTATGGTATCAACGAACCCTAAAATTAGGAATTGCTGATATTTTGTCGATGCTACATATTAGCTAAGCTCGGGGGAAGCGACGAGGATTCGGATTAACTGTCTATCTTGCAGCACCATCCTACGTTTTATCGGTCATAAAGATAGACTTAGCGAGAATCATACATGTTCTAGGTTTCTAGTCCTAGTTCACTGGAAGCCAAGGGTTTACAGTCGCGTAACCGAGGTATGAGTCCTAACAAATTCAAGCCATTCAATACTCAGTTGCTTGATTCGACGATTGGGATTCCGCACGAATCTACGAACACGAGTTGGATTGGACTATCCTAACAAGTTCTTAAGACGAACCTACTCGTCGGTATTACGTTGAAGTGGTTGGCCGGTCAAGTTTAGGCATAGGCATTGCTTTTCGGCTCTTGGTTTATTTTCACCTACCATGAGGACTATTGAAATCGCATACCACGGCAGGATATCAGTTGGCCAACCATGAGATCTCTACAGTCTAGGGCCATGAAAGTTCTTTTTCGGGACGTCCGATTCCCTAGCGGTCCCAAGAGCCAGCAGGGATGCTCTTAAGGAGTGGTTTGCTCGTACATCCATCGGTACGTTGATTGGAAAAAAGGTTCCTCAAATCCTCGGGCAATGTATATGTCCATATCTGCCTAACATACGGTATATACGGTGTGATGAATCGAAAGATAAAAGTCTATAAAGAGGATTTATATGCAACCATCATTGAGAATTATTCCGATAGCGAGGTACGTGACCACAGCAATAGTTTGCAGTTGAATTTATCCCCATTTTAAGAGAATAACCCTACTGCTTTAACCACAGCCAGGCTATTGACATTGATAGCTTCAGTTAAATGTCTTCAGGGGCGTAGTTCATACGAGTTGAAGTGTTCTTGTTTTGGATAGGATTTGAATCCTCAATACGGAAGATAAGCTTTTCTTCGTGAATACAATGTTTACAACTAGTGCACATAGACGAAGTTATACAAGGATATAAGGTAGCTTCAATTGTATATTGGAATGATGAAATAATAAAAGAAACGATCTAGGTACTTCAATGGCCTTATATCAAGTACCCAAGTACATATACATAGGTACGTAGGTACCTACCTTCTATACAGGGCTTTCAAGGTTGAATGCCCGGGAGTCGAATGCAAGATTCTGCCCGATATCCCCGCCAAAACTTTTCAGGGCCCCACGCTGCCCACCACCAAATCCACCACCAAATTCACAAGACGAAATCGCAACCCCACCATCTTCCGAATTCGTGATATAGCCGTATCAATTTAGACATACGCTGAAAAGTAGAAAAGATGGCGACAACAGAACTTCAACAAGCGGTAAAACCCGTGGAGACTATAAATACACCAACAGATACAGAATCTACACCCTCAAAACCCATTCATTCTCTCGTTCTCGACACAGGCCCTCTAATTAAGAACGATCCTCCGGTCAGCACCCTCCTTGCTCAAGCCTACGAATTATATACGCTTCCGTCGGTCATATCCGAAATTCGAGATGCCGCAACGAGGGCGCGAGTCGAGACAACATTAGTTCCTTTCATAAAGTTGCGCACTCCGCGCCCCGAAAGCATCAAGTTCATCACCGATTTTGCGCGGCGCACCGGAGACCTCGAGGTCTTGAGCAGACCCGATTTACACCTAATCGCATTAACATACGAACTAGAGTGCGAAAGAAATGGCGGCGATTGGCGCCTAAGAAAGACACCCGGACAAAAAGGCTTGAACGGAAAGGCACCTACACAGCAAGCGAAAGAGAATGGAATCGCAGAACAAAATGATGGCGAGAATCCCGAAGACAAGAAGCCGGAAGAAGTTGATAGCCAAAACGAGGCAGGCCAAATCGAATTAGAAGGAGGTAAACCAGAGGATAATTCGAACGTCGAATCCGAGATACAGGAGCAGCCGATTATTCAACAAGAAACCGTCACTCAAGCCCTTGATTCTCTCAGTTTAGAATCATCCGCTTTGCCTACAGTTGATACTATACCAGGTGATGTCGCAGGATCAGAACCAAAGGTTGCCGACCAGAAAGAAGAGGACGAAGATGACGATGAAGACGGTTGGATCACGCCGTCGAACCTCAAGAAACATCAAGCCAAAGACCAACTCTCAGCACCGGAGCAACCGATCCAAAAGTTCCTGCAGGTAGCACTCCTCACATCAGATTACGCGATGCAGAATGTGGCGCTGCGGGTGAATCTCAATCTAGTGTCGCCAAGTTTAGCGCGCATCACGCGCGTCAAGACTTGGGTACTACGGTGCCACGGATGCTTCGCGATTTCGCGGGACATGGGAAAGCAGTTCTGCCCACGATGCGGGCAACCTACCTTAACACGCGTGAGCTGCTCGACAAACGCAGCAGGGGAGTTTACGATACACCTCAAGCGCAACTTCCAGTGGAACAACCGTGGCAACGTGTACAGCGTGCCGAAGCCGGTACACGGTTCTTCAAACGGAAAGGCACGTGGCCCGGGAGGTGGAAAGGGAGGCTGGGGAAGAGAGCTTATCTTTGCCGAGGATCAGAAGGAATATCTTAAGAAGTCCACAGACCAAAAGAAAACAAAGCAGAGGGATATTATGGATGAGGATTATCTCCCAGGCATCTTGACGGGGGATAGAAGTGGAGGAACCCCCGGCAGGATACGTGTTGGGGCGGGAAGGAATGTGAATTCTCGAAAAAGATAGACATGAATGGAATATGATAGAGCATACAGGTGTTATGGGGGCTTGGTATTTAAAACGGGATTGGCGGTACGGCTTGGTACGGGCTACACACTTCGGAAATGCACCTTAGAGCAATGCCAAAACAGTTCATTAAGACAAGATTGTTTGACTATCGTACCTGGTGTCCTTATCATGTCCTTGCTGGCGTAGGTTACTATATTCATTCACAGACCTCCAAATATCCATTAAATAAGAAGAAATTGGGTTAAGACTCCATATTGAGAATACCAACTGGTATAATATAATCTGCAAAGCCCAGCTAACTATACACAAGACGGCATCGGGCAGATAGCTTCTCGTAGGTAGTCCATAATCCCGAAAGTCGATTGCCTTTCTTTCTGATTTACACGCCATGAACGCCAGTCCGATGCAGGACTATATTTGCAACCTCGAATAGCCTAACCAAATCTTGTCGATCTCAGTTTGCTGATTTTGATCTTTTATTCACATCGCTATAGGGGATGTATAGTGCTTCACCGCGAGTTCTCAGCAACCTTGTTCTCTGTGATGAAGACCTTGATTAGCACATATATTCTTTTCTAGAATTCGCTTTCATCCATAATTTAGAGAGGTAGCGGAGGGTGTCTATATATAGGGTAAATGTAGGACTCACTCTGCTGTGTCAATAGCAGACCAAAGCGCCTCTTGAGGGTGACGCGCTGGCGCGACCACTTGTCGTCGGGAGAGAATCGTGCCGGGTGCGCCGACTTGGTGACATCGCCGTGTAAGACCTTCTTCAGGGTGTAGATGCGCTTGCCGCTCTCGTCCATAGTGTACATGAGATGCATTTTGACAGTTGTGTATTTCTTTCCTTTTCGTTTTTACAGCTTTGCTCGGTCCGTTTGGCCCTTGAAATGGATAGGCAAGGGTACTTGCGCTATGGATAAGTTGTATATCAAGTTGTTTTAGCGGTTATAGTTGTTGCGAAGGTATAAAATACCTACGTAGGTATGTTGCGTGTGCTGTTATTCGGTGTGGTTGTCGTATTTTGAAGTCTGATTGAGAGTTGAGAAGCTTCGAAATTAATTTTTTCAACCTTCAATTGTTGCATGTATTAAAGTGGATCCTACCAAAATTATTGGTATCCATCTTATCGATAGAGAAAGTGTCTGCCTAGTTCAGGTTTAGTCCTTCAATTATCTCAAGAAGTTCTAATGATCAAAGATATATAATAAGAATTAAGATGATAAGACTTGGTTTTGTTATTGAAGCGGACCTTAAGATGTATCGTTTAGAACTTGGCTGAGTTAAAAAGATTGGATTATCAGGTACGTAAAGTGATGTCAATGCTATACGGGACCCAGCTCTTACAGGGCTTCAACACCACGAAGCTAGACTTATGAGTTGTAATAGTAACAAATTTACAAATTTACAAATTCGTATAATTGAAATTCTTAAAAACACCAAATGTCTCTGCCGAGATTGTGTGACAGGTAGGTTGTATTAGCTCAGTTTGCTTGTCTCAAAACTGCCGAATACCTGTCTTGGCTTCATTATTATTAACCAAAAATCCGGGATATCCGTTGTTACCTATCTCCTATACATATACGCCGACGCCATGCATTTATATCCTTAAATATTAATCTACCCATTGTTTCTCCGGCCTCAATCCTCTAACTAAATTTTTCAAGTTCAACCGCGTGCTATATAATATGTTCTCCGTGAATCCCACCTCACGCATCTCTTCATTCTCGCTTCCCTTATTAATGTCCGAATCGCTGCTGATCTTGCCCTTCGGTCGGTGATGGATAAATAAACTTGGCACTATGCTCACACATCGCATACCGTTTATTCGTAACCGGCACAGATCACTAAGGTGATTATCAAAGGGTTTACGTTGTCCCTCGAGTCCCATATGCTGCAACGCCTTTTGCGCTCCAGCTGCACTCAGAGCATATGCGAAACTGCACACATTATCGCCGGGCACGTATACTATTCGAGTGCGCGGGGGATAATCGTCCCAGCTAAAGGATCCGTTTCCCAGAATATGACCCGGTGGCGGTACCGTCGGGTCGTTGTAGATGAAAACCTTACGAGAGTCGCGCTCCTCGGACGGGATCTGGAGGTCTTCGGGGAGGTCTTCATCGAACGTTGTTACACATGAACCTAGCCATAGCATATCCCAGTCTTGGCCATATGGGCTTGGCGTTTCTAGCGTTTGGTTTCTATGGAATCCGTTTTGCAAGGAACGAGCCGCCGCTGCGAATTGGACTAATTGTTCTTTAATATTAACATCCCAGTCCATATCATCTTCCATAATCAACGCCGACGAGATTCCATCTTCAATTATGCGTCGCATCGCGTTTACGTGGCCGCGCCAGGAACCTAGGTTACTATCCCGCATCGTTTCTCGATCCCACCCCTGAGCCAAGTTTATTAGTTATCTCGCAGCTGGTATCCGTCGGAAGTCTAGAGCTTACGAAGGGCAGAGCCTTTTTTGGGATAGTGTTACCAGCAACACCGGCAATCCAACTTATCCTAAACCCTGTGAGCGAAGACATTAAAGCTAACGCATCGCGTTTATCCGAACGCTCAGGGAGTCCTATGACGAAGACCTTCTCAAACTTCGATATGTACAGCCACTAGTCAGCTAATAACACCCGTGTCGAGCGGGACAAGACTCACGCCAAGCGTTCTATTAAACACGTCCGATTTACCTTGGCTTGCCGGTGATGAAGTCCATTTCACGGGACTTGGAGTCGAGCCCCATCGATTTCGAGCAGACCCGGGGCCTAGATATGTAAGGAGAATACATGCAAAAAGTACCACACCCAATACCAGACTGGTACTAGGCCGTCCCCCAATCATGGCCGATATATAAGTAATATAAGGCAGGAAGTATTCAGCAGAATTCCATCAGCAAAAGGATTCAGAAAGCCGTCACATTAAAATATTAGCTGGGAATTTTCAGTTTTGTTTATTCCAGGTATAGGACGGAGAAAAGGCTCCAGCTAACCAAATTCTAGGTTTTACTACCCCGGTTGCTTTTATTGGAAAACCAGAGTAGCTGAACCAGAGACTAGACCATTTAAGATTCGGAAGGCTTCTCTGATGAGGTATGACATCAGATAGGTAGATTATCTATATAACGATGAGTATCCTCGAGGCTGGGGAATCGCCAAATGGGAACGGTAGGAAGTCCCTCATTCACAGCGCACTCGCATCCTACAGTTCAGCCAATCAACCACTTTACCTCCGCCGGACGCGCCCGACTATCGATACCTGGTCGTAAGAAATTTCCTAACTGAGCGTGAGATAGCTAGGGTTGAATAAGACCGCCTACGTAGAGTAGCATTCTTTCCAGTCAATCACCGCGATCGTCATTGGATATAAGGCCGCCCACCGGGCCATCACCGTTCGACCAGTTCGTGATCCGGCCGAGTACGTATATAGGCAGATTACATAAAATAGCTAGCTTATATATCTACACAAAATTTCTAGAAAGGCTTATCACGACCTCGTATCGTCGATGTTATTTAATTATTTCGTGTTCACCAACCTTACCCCCTGATAGGTCATAGGAGGGGATTGATAACATCATATCGAGTCTGATACCCAACTACGGGGAAAAAGCACCGGCCTCGAAGAAACAGAGGAGGCAATAGCCCTATATCATGCTACGATTTACGTCGTTACGTCTTTTCTTTAAAAAAGAATTACTAGGTTTCGGCCCAAGGTAGGTAGACACGTATATCGGTCTATTATCTTATTAGGAAGTTTTACATTATACTCCATCAACGATTTTAAGCCTCGACCCCTCAATATTCTTCACTTTCTTCCACCACTACTTGACGACAGCAAACACGACACCGCCATATCCAGCGGACATGACCAAAACGGGTTGACTAATTACGTTGAAAATAACCCCCCTATTAACCATCTTAGGTTAGGAGCTGTTGTACGATGGTTTGCTTTTAAAAGCAACCAATCAGCCGATAAGTAAGCTGACTTGACAAGTCTTAAGAAGTCTCACAGTTCCAGCTGAGCAAACAATTCGAGTGTCTAGATTTATAGTAGAATATTCTTGGCAATAAAACTTGGCGCTTATATGACCTCGAGGATTTATACACAATTGCCTACGGGTGTAGAGAGTAGAGAGTAATCAGGTACTCACTTGTGCAGTTGTAGACCTTTTGATCATCATGCGAAACTCGCTTCGGCGTCTACTACCCATCGCGCACGTAATGAGCGCTCTGTTCATATTATGGAAAAGTTTATCCATCCTCACCAACTCTCCTTGTCCCATCCACGTCGTCGTATCGGATTCGATGGCACCGGCCTTTAAACGTGGCGATATTATCATTGTATCTAACCTGGAGCACGAAATCCGGATAGGGGACATTCCCGTCGTCTGGTTCTCTAAAGCGCCTTTGCCAATGGTTCACAGAGCAATCAAGATCCTATGGGGAGAAAGGCCAGGGAGTCGAGTTACAGAGTAAGATAAGCCTTGACTGTTCTTTAGATTTTAGTCTACCTAATGCTAAATCATTTCGCCTCGTAGGCAATTCATTCTCACACAGGGGGACAATAATGAGATGGATGACGTTGCGCTCTATCCTGGCAATCGGAAGTACATATATAGAGAGGAGATTATCGGGGTTGTTCGAGGCTATGTGCCCTACTTAGGGTGGATAACTATACTTTTAAACGAAACACCATACTTGAAGGTTGGACTTCTTGTTTGCTTAGCTTCTATTAGTATTTTCACGTAAAGTCTTAGGAGGTAACCATAGGAATGGTATGCTTAGATGAGAAATTCAAGTTTGGAATCGTAGCATGTTTTTATTAACTATAAACTTCATCTTGTCATCGAGGCTAGCAGCAAAGCGTATATCTTTGGATATACAAGACGCGGAGTTGACCATATAAAGAACGCCCAAACCCACAAAAACCCAAGTAATTTTCTCATGGCGGGCAATTCTCTGCCTCGAAATCCCATCCGCTGCATCAGGTATAATTGCTGCTCAGTTGGCCAGAACTTTGAAATGGCTATCTCGCAGCATATGGCTAAGAAGTTATACCAGAAGAACAGGACGTCTCTTTCTAGGGCTGAATCCCCTATTCGCCATCCAACAATAGCATGCGCAATGCCCGACATGGTAAAGATAGAAAAGGCAACGAATACCTTCTTCGCCGTTGATGGTAACCATGAAAGGGCCTTTTGATCCACAATGGCCTGTGCCCATACTCCTGCCGAAGCAAAAAGTCTATGCCAGAACTTTCCCCAGAAGCGTTTAAGGGTAAAGGCTTCAAGGGGATTGCCGAAAAGTGGTGGCCACTCTTGGGGGGCGTCAAGGCGGAGAATGGCAACAAAGAGAATTCCCATTATCGCATGGCTAATTTCAAGTTGTGATACGGAGTCGAAAATCCAAATCGTCGATATAAACGCTCGGATGCCGAGGTCGTGCAGCGATACAGTGCCATGTATAAGACGTCTGATAATAGATTCGCGGGTTGGTGAAAAGTCACTGAGCGTGCATGTTGTAAATATAGGGGTCATAGCGAAGTTGAGGCCTATTTTGAGCACGACGAAAACTGCTATCTTGAGAAGGCGGTATAAGGTAAACCTCACAAGTACAGGATTTAACATGTGTGGACCTCGTGAGAGTTTCCCTAGCTTGATGGGAATCATCCGCGGATTATTATAAATCTTGTAAGCCGTTAATAGGTTCCAATTAAGGGTCCCATCGGCTTCAACTTCGACCTTGAGGGGTTCTTTTTGGGCATGGAATATCAGTGGACTGCAAAGGAAAGTGATTATAACTAGCATCCCGAACTGGTAACTGAGTCCTGGAATCCAGTCAAGCTGGCGGATATCATATATCGATGCTGCGAGTAGAACCCATACCAAGGGGAGAATGGCGTCCCGACGGTTCGCCGGGATATAGAGACCGATGAATATTAATGCCACGGCAGAGGCATAGAAAATCAGTGGTTGAATGGGTATGGTAGCCGCAAGCAAAGCCATGCTGAATTTGTTGATAATCATGATATCGTCGTCTATCGAGTGTTGAACAGTAGAAACATAGTCTAGTAAGAACATGAAGCCTTTTCAGAAGTAATTTGTTCTAGCTTTGGATTATCTAGGACGTGAAGACGAAACATTAATGCACTAATCCACCATCACAGCCACTGCAGCTGAATATTCAGGGCTATCCTGTCATTCTCATGATAATGCCAAGACTTGCATCTCGCGTAATGTGCTAGGAGTATAGAGCTTATGAATGCATATATCGAAATAGGCTATTAGACAGATGGGAGACGCCGACAACTAGGTTATTTTCATCTACAACGAGTCTATATCATTTTACAAATTAAGTATAGTGTTACTACTGCCGAGATTTATATCTTACATAAGTGGCCGATTATGGCAATTTGGTATGCAAGTAATTGCTGGAGCCCAATAGCCGTTTTTATCTCATTACACAAGGCGGTATGCCGTCATCAATGGTATTAATGGTAGCCTCTATAGTCAACCATGATCTGATGTGGTTGTGGAGAGTAAATGAGTAGGGCAGTTTATCACACATAAGATTGCCAAGAGTATGGATTTTGATACATTCTGACGAGCCCAGATTGGCTAACTACATTACTTTATTTTTGTCATCCATTGAAATAGTTATATCCTATGGCAGAGTGATACAGTAAAATAGAGTAGCTCGGGTTTGGGAATATAGTGAGCTTGGGCCGATGTATACAAGTTAAGGTTGAATGAAGCCATATTGAGAAGCCATGAATGCAGTAAACAGGTGCCTCGCAATCTGTTTCCTAGGTCAATATAACCTACGGTCTAAGATACTAAGTTTGAAGTGCTAGGACAAGCTCAATTGACTAATCGCTAAGAGTCCTAGCTGGTGAGCTCTGAGGTAGAGAGCATCGCGACGTCTGATGCTTGGCATCTTACTCCTGACAAGCTCAACAAGCATTTGCATCTGGCAGTCTATTGAGACGCGCCTTCTTGGCGCTTATCATCTCATGAGATGGTATTATCAGCTTCATTTGGCGCCTCTTTCTGGTCACAGTCACAGCTAGCTCATCCGCTAACAAGTGTAGAGGAGGTTGTAGGTAACTAGTCCCCATACCATGAGGCCAGGGGGATATGCTTAGTATAGCAGCTCGCAATGCTATGGTGCCTCACGAGATCGGTCTAACTAGCCATTTTACTACAATCGACTATACACCCGCGAAGGTGGTCATCGAGACTCTAGTTTATATAGAAACTTCCTAAAAATAAGTAGTTTCTATCTAAGCTCCAGTCAGCAAAGTGCTCTAAGAGCATTGTTCTAGAAGCAAGAGATTGGATCATGAGAGGCTGCTATCATTATGGCAGGATAGTCCTACGAGGCGGCCTCTCTAGGTAAGTGTAGCACGACTTTCTACGAGCGACTTGAATATAAATACAAGAGCATCTTCAACCAAGTGAAAGAGAATAGACATCAACATCTCAGTCACATACCTCCCGACAGCACCTACATTTCTTTCTCTAACAGAAGCATCTTCACTTCTCACAATATCTCAAAATGCGTTACCAAGCTGCCGCTGCCACTGCTTTTGTTGCGGGCTTCACATTCTTCCAGAGCTGTCCTGCTCCTGTCTGGCACCTGGTACCCGCCATCGCCGGTATTGTCGTTCAAGTCCTCGAGATCATCGTCAAGGAGATCGACAAGCGGGACATTACTGGCGAAGACGGGTTCGAAATCGAAGCCAAAGTCCAGCTAAACAATGAGCTCTACAACCGAGGCAAATATTGTATGGATGTTCCCAACGGTGTCCCCGAAAACGTCATCGAGAACTGCTGCAATTCTCTGAGGGGCGCACACATCAAGGTAACCGGAGATAACCCTAAGTCTGGTAAGTAAACTCTACGAAACTAGAGATAAAAAAAAACTGATCATCGTTCTACAGGCATCAAGATCACGGGTATCCCCTACCCTTGCATTTCTGCTGCTCCCTGGTTCGATGGAGTTGGAACCGTCCCGTTTGCTTGCGGCGACGACTGCCTTCAGTATGCAGATCTAACCAACGACGAGTACACTCAGGTGCGCAACGCGTTCTTGAGCAAGGCACACAAATAAGAATGTGGTGTCACGAGTAGAAAGAAAGCGTTAAGATGGTCTTAGAGATTAGCGACGAGGAATATTGAAGGATGAGAAGAAGCAGCAATTTACTATGTTAACCTTTTTATACACTGTCATTTAGATATTAGAGAAGTTCCCTGCAAATATAAAAATTTCTCGGCCGAGCAAAGACGCCCCTATATGGTAATACTGCATAATTGGTTAAATGACTGAGTTTGGGTATCATGCCGGCATTGAATGTTATGAAATCCATTTGAAAGAAACATCCATAGCAGAGAGCTTAGATAAATGCATAACATTTGATGAGGACGCCAAGGGCCGAAACATACAGGATGAAGAACCTTGAAAGTCTTGCATTGAAGTTGTGCTAGGTTTATGACAGCCAATGATAATAGTCTATGACGTTGTGGTTGCGAGGGCCAAGGATACCTAATTACCTCCTAAGTCATGAGGTAGTCACTTGTCAACTAACAACTATATTCTTAAACATCATCCAACTTCAAAATTATTTGTCTCTTACTAAATTACCAATTTTAATTATCCATCATTTAAAAATGTATATTCCATCAGCACAAAGTGTCCTAACAGCAGGACTTGCTCTGACCGGTAGTCTCAAAGAACGTACGTCTGCTATACATCCCATTTTCGCCTCTGCTTAGCTCCTTTCTCACAAATCAATTGATGCGTAATTCTCGCTGACAATTTCCAATTAATTAAGCAAGTACCGTAGCCGAAGGATCAGTGATGGACTACGCGGTCGAGAAATGCAAAGACTCGGAAGGCAATACGAGATGCTCGAAACCGTTCCTCGTCTCTAAGTCAACCTGCTATCAGCTCGAATGGCGTACAGAGGGAGCACTTACGCATACTACCGCCGAGATTCGTGATATAAAGTCAGGCGAGCTAGTTTTCTACCGCGATACCAACGGTGATTGGACTCCAGAAAAGGGAGAGGTACGTCATCCTTCATATTATGCTTGCCTAGAGTGTACTTGCTAATGATATTTGCGATGTGTAAAGCTCGTCTATCTTGATTTCAAGCCTAAGGTCCCGGCAACAGGAAACCAGACTGTGGATTATATAGTCAAGACTTGTGAATAGACGGGTATATTGGTGGTAATATCCTTACCTTTTTTGGAGATTGTAGGATAGGCGAGGATTGCGTACGACACATGAGAAGCATATAAGGTGTTCCATGGGATCTGTATTAACATTTTACTAAATAAGATGAAGCTTGAATTTATCATGACATATGTATCATCGAAATAGGGGCCGGTGTTGGCCACCGATGGTAGATAACTACCTCCTAATATAGAAGAAAGTCCAACGTTGATAAGCTGATAGATACCTGCCTGTAAAATTTTAGATATATACCTACCTAGGTAGGCATTTAACCATATTTCTGCTGATAAAATTTAACTGTATTCATTGGCTATCATAATGCGATCATAATTCATTTCCATACGGCACGAGGTACTTGTTCTGTTTCGGACCCATCCAAACCTCGGGCTTTTATTCTTGAAGGCCCTGGTTGAGGATCAACCCAATCAAGGTCATTTGTCCAGATACCGGCCTTGGTATAATCTCCACTCGTTGTACCCGACATAAAACCAAATCGGAAGTACTCGTTATAATCCGACCCGTTGTCGCGAGACCATACGAACTGGTCTGAGCCTTCATCGGCGAAGAAACCACGATATCTTTCAACATCGTTGACCAGCACACTAATACCATCGTATCGCAATCCCGGCGGAGGTTGCCACTGAAATGTGATTGTTGAAACGGTAGTGTTAATGATGGGTGCGAGGGGAGCGGGAAGAGGAGACCCCAGCTGAGCATCACCTTGCAAAGCTACCGAGGTCTGTAAGATAGAGTCAAATCCCCAGCGAGCTATACCGTTGATGAATAACCCTATCAGAATACCCTGGTAAAGAAGAGATGGCCTTGTCTGTATGCTGGTACCTGGTACCAAGAGCAATGCTAAGATGTAGTGATGAATACGCAAGCTGAGGCTAGGTAGCACGAGACAGATGATAATCCCCAGGATGAACAATGCGTACAGTTTGAGAATCCGTATCAATCTCCCTTCTTGTCGGAAGCACCAGACTTGGCCAACAGCGATGAAAAATAGTACGATGACGATGATAGCGAGAGCTGCCTTGGCACCAGGTTGCTGCTCGAGGTCGTGCCCTGTCAGGCGTTGGATAGGTATGAAGTCGAAAGTGTAATTTGTAAGTGCGCCAACCCAGCAGCCACCTAACCACAGAATAGTCTTCTCAAACTGGGCCGTTAATCCTTGTAAAGTTCGTCGCACACCCATTTTGTCATAAAATACCCACGCACAAAACATGGCGGGAAGAAACTTGCCCAGGATGTTGGAAAACAATCCTGGGATCGATGTGTAGGACGGCGGGTCGGAAGCCATACCTACTTGCCAAAATATACCAACAAAGACAGTAAAGAAAAACACTGACGACGAAGCAGTAAACAACGATAACACGGAGGTGAAGACTGCGGAAACCGCTAGTAGCGACCACCTTACGTCTCTAGCCTTGCATTCGATCCCCGGTTCAAAGGTAATGGACAGCGGGAAGTACGAATCGAAGGCAACGCTATCGATGCCGTGTCTATTCGTGCTAATGTAGTTCTGCTGCCGTCCTACTAGGTTGACGACACCACAGCCACCCTGGGAATCGGAAAAGAGACCGGCGTGAATGGCAGATCCGCAAATAAAAGAATCGCCCCGGTAGACAGGGTCCTCTTCGTTGGCGGGATCGGGTGGTCCACCGACGACCAACGGGGCGTAAACTACTTCTCGGCTTCCTACTGCTCGAGGATTGAGGACTCGGTAGCTGGCGCAGTTGGAGGGACAGCGAAAGGCAAAGCCACTACCGTTGAATGGTCTGCAGTTGACACCATCAAGACCGCAGTCGTTGTTCCGACTCCAGTATGCGACACCACATCCTATGTCCATAGGGGTGCCATAATTCGCAACTTCCGAGGCAACCTGGCCCCGCCACATAACAATAGCAAATATAACAATCCATACAGCAACATAGCCCATATATAATAATATTTGGTGTTTCTTATTGGGAAGGAATTTGTCGAGCAGACGAAGTGGTGCCTCCTGGACGGTAGGAAAGAATGGTTCAATCCTCCAGACCTTGGGGTTCTGCGGACCCCTCATCCATTTAAAGGCGGCTTTCCCATACTTTCGGACGGGATAGGGAACCCATTTCCAATTCTTCCAAGCGCCTTGGTCCTGCATAAAGCGCGGGGTCGGAGGGTCGTCGTCCTCGTTGAACTCGAGATGTTGCGGGCCGCTGAGCGGATCGTCCGGATGTGCCGGTGAAGCGTTGCGCGGCCGTTGCTGTTCAATGTCAGGAGAGACTGAACGAGTTTCTAACTGATTGCTACTCATGATATGAGACTACTTAATGCGTCATAGCGTCTATTAGTGACTTAAGGAATCACTCTCGATGGTATATGAAAGATTATTAAAGAGCTAGCTTACATATAGCGGTTGGGATATAATACAATAAGAACGAGGTTAACCAACAGGTTACGAGTTCTAAATGTATAATAGAACAAACGTTAAAGGATACATGAGATGAGATATCGAAGAGGATAAAGTAGGCGATATAATAGATTTCCAGACCGAGAGCCTGCTCAGCCTTTAGAAAGTTGTCGTTGCGTAGCAGAGGGAGTTGACAATTGGTAAGTTGGCGGAATGTAACTTTGGTTGGATTCAGCGCTGAGAACGCGAAACAAAAAGGCCGCGCGAAGGAAGTGGCTTAAGACCCAGCCCATTGGGCAGGTGGGTTAGTGATAGATAACGATTGGATCTCAGTTGTTTCCTTGAAAGAAACAAGTGGATCTCATACAGTCCGTTTCCGCCAAGTGATCCAATCGGAATGTGACGTCTCCAAGTTCTAGGCTGTTATCGATACAGTACCTACATACAGACTGTTTCCTACACAATGATTGTGTAATAAACGAATAATTATAATAGAGGGCAATCATTGTAAGCCTAATTATCATTAAATACAGATAGTCTTATTATAGTAGGTACCTGTATATTTCTTTTTTCCTATATCAACACCAGGGCGTATTTACATCATATCTCGATGCCTTACGAGAACTCACTAAACGGCGCTACCATAACAAATCCAAAGCTCACGAGTTGAAATTTTCGACTTAAAAAGGGCTATCCTAACTTATGAGAAAAAAGAGGTAGATCAACAATTTATTTCATACATTAAAATAAGAGAAATCCATTCCTATTTCCATCAAAGAATGGCCGATTCATCCTCGGAACACGCTATGTTCACCGTTCTGAAAAGTGCAGTGGTCGAAGGGGGGGCACCTAGAGCAGGCCGTTTAACCCTCCCGAAACGAAAACCAATTGACACGCCCAACTATATTGGCCTTTCATCACGAGGAGCAATACCACATATGACACCAGATGTCATCTCCAAGCATGTAGAGCTCAATGGTTCATATATGGCTTTAGAAGACTGTAAGTCTAGTAAACTTGTGATTGTATTTCTACTATTAGATTAACACATTATCTAGTTATAGAAAAGTCTCAGAGGAGGGCCCAACCCGCCATATTTAACATCGATGCTGATGGTAAAGAGGCTCTGCATGCGTACACCGCTACACCTACACCGCTGGCCATAGTGCTCGGTGCCCGACGGCATCCTGCAGTAGTTGCCCCTATGGGTAATGGGAAAGACTATGTCTCAGTTTACACATCAACCGGCTTCCAGAAGTTGAAAAATAGCGAATATCACCAAGCCATCGAGAAGCTGCAGCCAGACATTGCAATACCCCTTGCGGATCTAACGTTCGGAAATTCACATATTAGGACTAAACTTCCAAATCCGAAAAGGCAGCTCCGAATGGTGGAGAGAACAGAAGATTGGCTATCCGAAACTATAAAATTAAGAAACGTCAACGGTGAAAATAAGACTATTAAGCCTTCTCTATTTGCTCCACTGTTGCCGGTTGCTTATCCGACGCAATGGGAATATTTAAACCGCCTATCCCAGGACTATGTCCAGCATTTATCCGGGCTTGCGGTGTATGATGCGGATATCCTTCCGGACCTCAGCAATCACGAGTCCCTTGGTTCGCTTCCTCGTATTTCTATGGACTTTATAACGTCACCACAAGAAATCCTCCGGCAAACTCGCTTGGGGATTGATATATTCACTGTAACATTTCTTAACGCAGCCTCGGATGCTGGAATCGCTCTTATCTTCTCGTTCCCACCACCACCACCCGTGAAAACAGGCGCATATCCGCTAGGAATAGACATGTGGTCTCCAGACCATCAGATATCATTAAAGCCGCTCGCAAATGGATGTGAATGCTATACTTGCACCAGGCATCATCGTGCCTATCTCCAGCACCTCCTAAACGCCAAAGAAATGCTTGGATGGACACTTCTCCAAATCCATAATTACCATGTCTTGGATGAGTTTTTCAAGGGCATCCGAGCAGCGCTTATCGCAGAACCTTCGACGTTCGAACACGACTGTGATATCTTTTCCGAGACGTACGAACCCGTGCTTCCTAAGGGTACCGGTGAGAGGCCTCGAGCTCGAGGATATCATTTTAAGACCGAAGGGGGACAATCGAAGATTAACCAACCAGCTTGGGAGAAGTATGGCGAAGGTGGAACTGAAGACCCGACACTCGCCGGAGAGATAGCAGGTCTAGCTGTAACAGGAGCCACCGCAGAGGGAGGAGAGACCCCACTCGTTCCTGATGCTGAAACTGATGCCGATGAGTTAGATAGGAAAGGGTTCGCTGAAATTGACAAGTGAGCTCCTTTCTATAAGTGATGACTTTAACTTCTCGCTACACTTGATAATAGACTACGCGCTGCAATTGTGATATACCGTCATTCGGCGAGAGGTATGGCTATACGGTTATTTATCCGGCCCGGCCCATTTTCGAGTCGGTTGGGTATAGGTGGCTTAATTGTTTGAATGAATTACTACCAGCTACCTTAGATACTTGAGGTGTGGGACAATTCGGTCGCCGAGGTCGTGATTCGGTGGCCTCCACTTCCCTGCAATACAATCACCGGGGTTTGTTCCCGAGAACTTGGAACCAAGATTCATATCTGCATGCAATGAGTTGACATCCTTATTGGCCTATTATATGCAGTATATCTGCAAAGGCGTTTTCAACCGCAGATCAAACAACTAAGCACAAAATTTAGACACTAGAGAGGACCGCTACATGGCGGAGAAGTTACCATCTTTAACAATGCGCTTACAAGCACCAATCGCCCCTTTTCAAGTAGTAAACTACACCTAGGTAAATGAATGTGAACTACTTTAAAATAAAGGCAACTAAGCATTACTCAATATCTTTTATGTTGGTTTTATTTACATAATACAATTAGCACGTGTACATCTCACGATCAGGGTAGCCCTGAGTGCCCTATGCGGCGGGAGACGTTAGCCAAGCTAATTCATATCTTCCTGGTCAAGAAAGGGGCCAATAAGAGTAGGTAATTCAACCCACGTTTTCCCAACCCTTGCTCCCTTCGATATCTCGACTTTTACGTATCAAGAAAGCTACCTATGATCATTGTTTATTCGCTAGGTCAAGCTGAAGATGGCTCACCATATCGAGGCATGGTACGCCACTATAGAAAAATATCAACTAGCAACGCTAATAATAGGAAACATGCATTGCTGCTACATATCTTATTTGCCAACCATATCCAAGGCTTCTATTTAGTTTCCTTGAAGCTTGTAAGGACTCAGAAGAACAAGCACTTTGAAAATGCAGGAACCAGGAACCAACAACAAACTTCTAGCCGCTAAATATCCCTAGATACCTACCTAAGACAAGCTATCATTGATATAGGAACTAGCTTGCTAGTCGAGCACGTGCGATGATTTACCTTTATGATTCCTACATGATCAATGCTTCGAGCTATCATTCACTATCAGAGATTTCTAGAACATGAATGACCAATTGAAATCAGGTCTCTTTCGTTGCCAAGATCTCACCAATCGAATTTTACGACCTCAGGAACGGCCAAGGCCTCGACTACCTTCCAATGCAGGATCAGCGGTATCATGGATCTTTCAACAGCCAAGCTCGTGGCAAGGTTACACTACATAATCATAGCAAGCTCAGCTTGACTTGCACTATATAGCTCTGGAGCTTCCCAGGCCTCTGAGACCGACCCGATGTCTTGCTGCCCCAACCTTTTGCTTGCCAATAGTTGAGAGCCACAATGGGTAAACTGAGCTTCCTTGTTGTGGGGGCGGTGGCCTTTTCTGCTGTCACTGCGCAGACGTTCAAGCGACTCGGTGCTTGTCCTGATCTAGGCTGCGTTTTACCGCCTGATCAATCAGACTTCCTACCGGGACAATACTTCGACCTTCGTCTCGAAGTACATGCTCCAGTTAATGGTTCGGAAGCTTTCAATAACGGCGAACCGGATGAGAAGTTCTCCGTCACTATTAATAAAGAGGGTGGCGAGTCTAAGACCATCGCCGAGTTCTTCGACGTTGCCGAACCAGAGCTAGAGAAGTGGGACTTCAGTTGGCACGAAGATCTCTTTGCCAAGGATGCGGGAACGCCGTCTATCGTCAATGTCGCGTCGAAGATCTATCGGCAGCTCGCAATTTACGAGCCGGGAAACTACGTCGTTACGCTGAACTATTACGATGGTCAGAAGACAACAGCTAACTGGGTTGTGCGACCACTGGCTACACAGAAAAAGGCCAAGAATGTTATTCTCTTCATTGGTATGGTTATCGAGACTCAATAAAAAGGGTTGATGTTGACAATATATAGGTGATGGTATGACCACGAATATGATCACGGCTGCGCGCCTACTTGGTCACAAGAGTATCAACGGAAAATACCAGTCTCTATTACAGATGGATAAATTCCCTGTTGTAGGACACCAAATGGTATGATACTAATCGATTTACATATTGTAATCTTTGAGTCCCTTAGAAGCTAACTATTATCGTTAGACTCATTCCATCGATAGTTTCATTACTGATAGTGCTAATTCGGCATCTGCCCTTTACACTGGACATAAGAGCAGCGTCAATGCTATGGGGTAAGTCGTGACACGAATTAACTTGATATACTTCTAGACTAGATGCTGATTTTCTTTTCTCAAGTGTATATGTCGATTCGTCTGCTGATTTATTTGACGACCCAAAAATTGAGACTATTGTTGAGTTATTGAAGCGTACTTGGGTAAATAGGAACTCGCTCCTGACATGGATTCCTGTACTAATAAGTCATTAGGACTCTGCTTGGGGTGCCGTCTCAACTGCAGCCATCTCAGATGCGACTCCTATTGCCCTTACCGGCCATAGCCGATCGCGATATGCCTACGGTTCCCTCGTCGATCAAGGATTGAACTCGGTCACTAACTATTCCTGGACGAATCAGGGCGGTCCTGACGTTTGGTTCGGTGGAGGTGCCGAGCAGTTTTACCCGAATTCCGACAGCTACGAAGGAAAAGATTATTATGACGCATTTTCCAAAGCCGGCTACGAAATCAGCTTGAACAAGACTTCCTTGTTGGAACTTGGTAACAGCAGCAGGGCTCTCGGAATCTTCTGCAAATCTCATTTCCCCGTCTGGTTAGACCGCAACATCTTCACGGAGAATTTAGACAGCTTTGAAAACGATCCTCTAGGTTCGGATAATCCTGCCCTTGACCTTCCTGGTCTGAAGGAAATGACCTTGAAGGCCATCGATATTCTACATACCCGCGGTGGTGATAAGGGGTTTTTCCTCATGTCCGAGGGCGCGTCTATTGATAAGCAGATGCATGCCTTAGACTATGACCGTGCTCTTGGTGATCTCCTTGAGCTTGACGACACGGTGCGCGCGACCATTGACCACCTAAAAGCGATAGGTGAATTGGAGAATACTCTGGTCCTTGTCACTGCCGACCATGGCCATGGATTTGATGTCTTCGGAGGCGTTGATAACAAATACCTTTCCGAGCAGGAGACTGATCGTGACAAGCGTCGTGCCGTTGGTATTTACGAACAATCCGGATTGTCACAGTACACTGTCCCGGTTGAGGGGGTTTCGTATGGTACTGGCCCTAACTTCCCTGTTAACTGGGATCCAAGGTACAGTTTAGCAGCAGGCCTCAGCGCCAACCCCGACCACCGCGAGAATTACCGCATACACAAGACACCGCGCAAGGTTGTCAGCAGCACGCCGGGCTTCAACAAGGACGACCTATTCGTTAACGCCAAGGACAGTCCTGACGGATTTGTTGTCAACGGCACACTGCCTGTTTCCGAGTCAGCGGGTGTGCACTCGCTCACCGATGTAGCTGTTTTCGCTATGGGGCCTTGTCAATACGATTTTGGGGGCACATATGGTAATATTGATGTTTTCTATAAGATTGCGAGTTGCTTAGGTCTAGCGAGGCCGGATAACAAACCTCCTACTAGTCCTGGAAGTGGATGCAAGAAACATTAGGGCTGGAGGGAGTGATTATGATGTAATGGATAGGAACGGCGTATGAGGAAAGAAGAAAAGTATTGAAGTTGGACGATAAACCTTCATGTAAATAATTTAATGATAATGCAAACCTCTATGAAATGGATAGCTTGCGACGACTACCTGTAATCCATTAAACGGCAATTAATCAGCACCAAGTTATAACATTTTCACTAAGAACTAACCGTTGATGGACACCACCTATTTAATTCACTTTCTATGAGGTAAATACCTACAATATAGCCATCCCTTGTAACCTTGAGCATCAACTACGCCCAGCCAGAGCCCCCACATCCGTCAGTAAAACCACCAGCGCCTATCGCGACCTTATTATTTTTAAAGCAGCGATTATTTACAAATATAGGCGTATGGAAAGTGGCTTTCCACTCCATACCGTCGCTATCCGGCTTATCAAAATATTCAAACTTCCAAGCTGTAATACCTAGCCCCAAACACCCTTTCATCTTGGGGATAATTGTATCCTGGCCGCTGTCCCAACTGCTCCACCCAGCACCTGTAAAAACATTAGCTTCGATCATGGGTTCTACATCTACACTCGAGAACACTCTCACTTACCATACATAGTGTAATCACTATACACTACGTGATATCCACCATCACATTTACCATATGCCTTCGTGATCGGGGGCCAAGGTCGGTTATCCCGGTTGACGTTGACAGTGTATCTATATTCGCCGCGCTTCCATGTGCCCCCAAACTTCCAATTCATCGGATTGTTGGGATCATTACCATCGCACCCGTTGATGATCCGCTCCATACTCTCAATACATTCGTCATGATTAAATTCGCTGGCAAACTCTGACGTCTCGATAACGAACTCATGCTCGTCCGGCGTTCCCTCGTGGAACTTTCGGCTATCCTTCCACCCAGTTACGCCGCCACCTGGTGCTTTGACCCCGTCGCAGTACGTCTTATAGTTCTCATTTAACCTATCTGCAGTGGCGTAACCTTTGCGACCTTCTTTTTGCCAACATTTGAACTCGTCTGTGACTGTGCATACTTCCGGGTTGATACCCAGTACCTCAGCTCGCAGATCGATAGCTCGTTGAATGGCAAATGATGCAATGGCATTGTGTCCGGCTTCATTAGGGTGGAAGATACGCCCGAAGTAATCTGGTAGGAACCAACCAACATTAGGGAGATACGGATACGGATCTCCGGGGCAGCCGGGTGTGGCCGGGGCTCGTTTATCAAGGGCTTTAAGTGCTGCCGCTGAAGGATTCACTGAATTCCATAGGATAGAGCGGTAGACAGCTCTGTCTACGCCATTGCTATCGAGATCCCTCTCCGGCAGAGGAGGTAGAGATACACGCAGGGCTTCACGTTGTTCATCGGTGGGTGGAACAGATGTATCCCACTCTCCAACAACTTCGCCATCAACTGTGCTATCTAAGTCCACATAAATAGTTTCCGTTCCATTAGCGGAGCGCTTCTTTTTTAGTGGAAACCGCCAGATAGATTTTCTCGTGTCTGGCTTGAAGAATAACAAGTCTGGCTGCTTAGGGTCCGGATACGTGCCAGTGGACGAGGGATCGCACATTTGGCCTTTAACGCCGTCGATGCCCCAGAGGTCCCAAGATGCATAGCCAATTTTGTAGCTGACCTCATCGGCGACGTCGTGAACCACGTCGCGCAATGCGTCGTTCAACGCCGTTGTCAACTTGTTGAAACTCTTACGGCGATCAACGGTCAGGGGTAAAGGGCTCGCGCTACCTTGTAGGTAGCGATACCAATAGAATGGAGCCCAGTCTTGATTGGTGGCACAATCATCATTATCCTCGTTGAAAAAGCGCGCGTAGCCATTGTACACGACCACTCCGTCTTTAGCCATCTTGCTATCAAGTGCCTTAAGGATCTGCTTTACGTTGTCCTTGACGATACTGTCGAGGTTTTCCTGCGCCTTATCGAGGATGGCATTGCAAGTAGCATCACCGTCAAATGCCAGAATGACGCAGCTCTTAATGATATCGGAAAGACATAGATCGTTTCCACCAGCCGTTAGTGTGAGAAGGTCAATGTTGTTTTTCAGCGCTGTGGCTTGATTGTAGATCTGCCACGTCTGATCCCCGAAGCAAGCTGGGAACTGGAAGTCCTCTATCTCAGACCCGACAAACTCCTTCATCAAGACTGGATATGACTGATCATACCGCGAGCACCACCATGAACCTAGGTCAAAGATACTCCCAAGCCTGGAGCCAGAGCCCACCCCGGCCGTATAGCTGTCGCCGATGGCTGCAAAGCGTTGTACCCATGTGAAAGCAGTTGGGTCATCAATAGAATCTCGCTGAATCTTTAAACCTTGAGGTATAGTGCCAGATGGAATATATGCATTGGAGACATTCCGGGGAATAACATGAGCTATGGCCTGGTCCGCAATGGACAGCAGTAGCCCAAAACTACATGCGGAAACCAACCGCATAGTAAAAGATAGAACCCTAAACTTCTCAAGAGCGTTGAAAGAACGGCCGGGGAAAGAGGGTAAAGAATTGTGAACGCGCAAGAAAAAACACGCCTCGACGAGGTAGCTCGTCGCGAGAATATCCTCCTACTACTAAGAGCACGGAGAGCTCCGGTAGGTTTAACATCCTCACTTATCGGATCCGGTCCGATATGCTAAGCTTAATACCACACTCATCATATCATACCATGAACGGTTCTAGCTAAAGATCACGATGCGATATAATTAGTAGGGGGCTAGAATCATTCACGTCTTACAGACGGGAGAGTCAGCAGAATCTTGGCACTCACAGAAGAAAAGTATCAGTACAATGGATCCTCAACGTGATATTTGTAAGACGGTCGCGGTCGCCTAAGTTGGAATTGGTGGTGTAAATGGAGCTCTAGGATTGGACAACCCGTACCGTGACAACCCGAATACAACTACAATTATACAATAGATCCAAACCCCCCTGATCCCGTTATAGTTTATAGTCTGACCACATCGTGACAATTACTCATAGATATCAGTAACAGGGTATGACACACCGCTATTCGTTGCCTAACGATAATCATCACATAGTTACAATTTCGCATGGTGTAGTAGAATCGACAGTTGTGTAATCCGGTAGCATCGGAGGTCGTTGAGGGGTCCCTCTATACTCAACCGCCTTCTCGCTTACTTGCTGAGACCCTCGCACTCGTCTTGCTATGGTCGTTCTCCTTTCAAACACTTTCGAGCTTTCTACTCCCTCACTCCCGGTAGAGATCTCCTTGAGTATACTCTCTTTGAGTGCCTCCGGGTTATTCTATCCCAAGTATCACCCTTGGAAGCAGCTTAATTCTTTCACATTGCGAGGATGTCATCTAGAAGCATGGCCTTCAGGGGAAAGGCCCTATATGCTGCTATCATTATTCTCTTATCCAATCCTTTGCTTCATACAGTGTTTGCCCAGTTGGATGCGAATGAAACGGAGGTTCAGTCAAATCAACTCACAGCATTTGCACTACAGGCAGGTCTTCAAGAAGCCGATGAAGATCCGGACTACACGTGTACTGCATCCAACCCGTGCAAATTAGGATGCTGTGGCTCAGTGTAAGTACTCAGGACAGGTTCAATTCTGGGCTTTCAAGCTTACAAGATATAGGGATCCAACAACTGGCAAAGGTACTTGCGGCATGGGTCCGGACTTCTGCGGTGAAGGATGCATTTCGACTTGTGACCAGAAGTCTGAGTGCGACCCGGGATGGGGTATGCAGTGGTCTAACGCCAGCGCCTGTCCGTTGAATGTCTGCTGCTCCAAATTCGGGTTCTGCGGCACGACGCAGGAATTCTGCGCGGGCAAGACGGTTGCAAGTCCGCAGTGTCCAGGGGGGACAAGTGCCGACCAGAAGCTCATCGGGTACTACGAGGGCTGGAACCTAGCAAGGCCTTGCGGGAGTAGGTCCTCAATCTCTTCTTGTGTACATCCTTACTATCTACCTGCAGTGATGAGATGGGTCGAATTGATTCTTCAAGTGCCTATATCCTGAATCAAAAACGTAAAGTCTAACCAAGCTTTTAGCTATGAAACCTGAGGACATCCCTCTAGGTTGGTACACCCATATCAACTTCGCCTTCGCGCTGGTCAATCCTACCACATTCCGGATCGACCCCATGGACGCCAACACAGCATCTCTATACAAGCGTGTTACTGCTATAAAAGAGAAGCAGACCGACCTGAAGGTCTGGATTGCCATCGGCGGCTGGGCGATGAATGACCCCGGGCCGTACCGCACCACATTTTCCGACTTGGCGGCAAGCGAGGCACACCAGGACGCCTTTTTTGAATCTCTCCTCACGTTTATGCAGCAGAACGGGTTCGACGGAGTAGATATCGACTGGGAGTATCCTGTTGCTGATGACCGCGGTGGAGTGGCGGCGGACTTCGATCATTACCCGAATTTCTTAAAAAGGTTGAGAGAAAGACTGAACGCATCGGGCAAGGAGTATGGGTTATCTATTACTCTGGTAAGACACTGATCCAAGAACTCGCCTGACCTTATGACTTCTAAAGGATTAATCGCATCTATAGCCCGCATCTTACTGGTATCTCCGTGGCTTTAATCTCAAGGAGTTGGAGCCATATCTTGATTGGTTCAACATCATGACATACGATATCCGTGAGTACTCTGTCTCTTACCTTTCATTCGATTCAATGTATTTCTAGCGGCTTTTCAATGTAGTTCTACCCAATAAGCTAATTGATACTGTGTAGACGGTGTTTGGGACCGCACGGTTGATTCCATCGGTCCTTACGCTTACGCTCACACCAACTTGACGGAGATACAATTGGGCTTAGAGCTCCTCTGGCGCAACAACATCAATCCAGGTCGCGTAGTCATGGGATTGGGCTTCTATGGTCGCTCGTTCACCATGAAAGACCCCAACTGCATGCACTCAGGATGTGAGTTCAGTGACGGTGCCCACGGCGGCGAGTGCACTGGGACGCCTGGTGTGCTCTCAGCAGCGGAAATCGTGAAGATCATCGCTAATGGCGCGACTATTACGTTCGACGAGGAAGCTGCTGTCAAGGTCGTTACCTGGGACACTAACCAGTGGGTTAGTTGGGACGATGCTGAGACGATGAAGATTAAGATGGACTATGCGAATCAGCGGTGTTTAGGAGGGTAAGCCCCCTTTTTGTTTATTTATTCTCCACTGGCACGATTTCCACTTTCTCTAACGGATTCATAGATGTATGGTCTGGGCCATTGACTTAGATGACGGTACGTTGCTGAATGCGCTGGGTAGTGTCTCGTCACGGCCAAAGCAGCGCACCTTGAAGGATCTTCCGGATATCCTTCCGGATTTTGAGTCGCCGTGGCCGGACAAAGATGAATTGTAATTGTATTAGTTAATAAGAGATTATTATCCTATAAGATATATTGAAAGTCTATTTATTAGAAGCTTCCAACACTTGATTAAGGAAATCATATTTGTTCAAGTATAAATGAGGATATTTAATTATCGTAGATCTACCTCTGACTCAATGAACTAAGATAAACAACCCGCATCCGGGTCCTTCTTCAAAACGTTCTTAAACGTATTAAAGTACGCACTCCCCTTTTTATTGAGCAGCTGTCCAATGGTCTTTTTAGGCGACCCGTACATCTTGCGCAAGCCTTCGATATCGAGAGAGCTGGGCCTGGTTACGGGCTTGATGACATCTCCGTTTGGCTTGGTGAGTAAAATAGCCTGATCTGTCCCGTCACCCGTATTGCCGTTACCAGCCGTGCTGGGGTAGATCATAATAGAAGTCCAGTCAGGCTGCTTTTTCTTGTCCCATTGCCCACCCAACAGCACGGGTAGATAATTGAGACCACCTGCAAAAGACCAATCAGATGCGATCTTGCGACTGTGGCATAATAGTTCCTTTTCCTTAGCTTTTTCGCTAATGGTTAGAAAGGTACTTTCATCGATACGGGCAGTAGCAGCGGCGTAGTCAGCCAGCCGTTCACAAAAGAAGCTTCCGTCGCCAAAAAAGTAATCATCGCGTGGCTCGCCACTCCAGGACTCAGCCCACCAATCTGGATTCTGGTGTTCGTGATGGAATCCCCAGGAGTGGCCCATCTCATGTGCGTAATTTGCTACAACGTTTCGGTGCCCCATGGTTAGAACATCGCTGAGCACCATTCGCGGGCCGAGCTTCTCGTACGTGTTGTCTAGGTTGGCTGGACTTAGGTTAGGGCCCATTCCGGGTGTCGTTGCCATGTTGGCTACTCCGATTCCAGCGTATATTACTAGCAAGAAGCTGGGTCGGTTGTAACGGTCGCTGCACCACGTTTTATCGTCCTGTACATCCCACTTGAACCAGCCTTCATCGTCGTCCAGCCCCTTATCTCTCCAGAGCCCACGAGCCTCTTCTAACGGGCCGCGTAGGATGTCTTCTGTAGATTTAGAGTCGGGTCCCCACACGGCCTGCTCGAAGCACACCTTGATATTACCCTGAGGCCAAAGACGTTGCGTTACGCCGTCCTGCTCAATGCCAAACCAACGCTTGTGAATTGACTGGGAGCTACCATTGTGATAATGGTATTCGGCATTGGGTAACGGCTCATACTGGCTAATACTACGACTTTTGATCATGTCTGTATTATTGCCATAAGACTGGAACGAAAGGTCGCGAGCCTGGATAGCTTCGTGCTGCACAGCACGCGAGTACCTGACATTGGACTCCCAAGCTCGACTACCTGCATTTACGCCTGGGACTGCAAAGACTACAAGACCCAAGCCAGATACTAAGAAGGAGAACATTCTTGCTGTTACTGATGTTATTCTCATTGTGTCGATCAAAGAAAGGCAGAATGGTAAAAACGATATCAACAGCCCAGGGGAGATGAAAATAGTTAGCTGCCTATGTTCGATAGGATGAGTAATTTCAATCACCGACTCAAGACCTCCCTACTAAGTGAAAAATAGTCTCAACAAAGGGCTAGAACATGCGATCCCAATTCTAGGTACAACTAAGCAACAAGTACTGGTACTTATCATGTATAGGAGGGTGTCGGTCAGAGCCCTGAGAATGGTAGCTTGATACCCGAATAGGAAGGTTTGACCGTAAGCTGTCAGCCGCTTGAGCCTCCGATCGTGAGAAATCCCTTATAGCCTGATTAATAATAGTTGGATTACATATACTCCCGCCTTTGCAAAACAAGGTTCTCAATATCGATGGTGAACCGTTAGAACATCTTCATCTCCTGATTTCTGATGACGGGGTTGCATTCACGCTGACTATTGATTCCTTGGCATTTAATGGTGAGAAATAGAGTCGGACATCGAGTCGCGTGGTTCTATGATTGAGACCGGTCAGCCTGCATTTAATGTAAGACTGCGTGATGTAGAAGTCTTGGCAATATAACATGCAGGTGTTTGTCATACCTGTGATACCGAAAGAGAGGGCGACGATGTCGAACGAGTATAGAGTAATAGCCATGACGAGTTTGCCGCCGTCTTTGAAAGCTAACACTTCAAGCGTGCTGTTGGTTTTGATTTCGACCCTGAGACTGTTCTGCAGCTCTTCCGCTCATTCAACAGTTCTCCCTTAGTGATTTTAGACTCCTTTCTGGTCTCCCGAGATACGTAGCACATAAGTGGGAGAATGTTGTCATTAAAAAAAATCTGTACCCTAGGGGTATCATGGCTCGCCCAGAGAGCCTACGCTCAAGACTCATCGCCTTCGGGGCCGACGATGCCCAATATCGTCAAGAACTGTAATGCATTTTACACGGTTCTTGAGGGTTCTGGCGACTCGTGCTGGTCCATCACACAAAAGTTTAGCATCACGCTAGACCAATTCTACACCTGGAATCCAGATGTGACGGACGATTGTGGTACCAACTTCTGGCCCGGTTACTCATACTGCGTTGGTATAGATCCCAATATACCAACGACATCATCTTCATCTTCCACCATATCGAGCACCAGCAGCAGCAGCAGTAGTAGTAGTAGCAGCAGTAGCGTGACATCTAGCAGCACTATAACGACCAGTGTACCGCCCAACACGGAGCCGTATACAACCAACTGGCCCATCACGAACTGGACTATCACCCCGACCACGGTAGAGACGAACTTCCCGCCGCAGCGAACCCAACCAGGGCAGCCCCCAGTTTGCAATAATTGGTACTATGTCAACCCAACCGATACATGCGACAGTATCGTATCTACTAACTCATGGCTGACCCTCGAGAACTTGTAAGTCCCCTTGCATATTCGGTATATTGCCTTGATGTGTTTTTTTCTGGATCCTGACTTTCGAGAAGGCATGCTTGGAACCCAGCCCTCGATAGCGACTGCTCAGGACTGTACGCTGGCTGGTGGCTCTGTATTGGTATCCCAACAACCTCAACAGCCGAGTTTGGCTGGACCACGACTGACGCACCACCTGATATACCTACATTCACAGGTAATTATACCTTTACACCACTCCCGGAAGTTAACTCCACCTTCGTAGCCGAGCCCATACAGACGGGGATTATCGGCGGTTGCCTGGCTTTCTATCAAGCTCAGAGTGGTGATACCTGCCGCAACATCGTAGACGGCCACTATTTGACTGAGGAGGACTTCATGGCGATGAATCCAGCTCTTAATGGAAATTGCGACGGTCTCTGGACTGGATACTACTACTGTGTCGTCGGGCCTAGCGGTATCACTGCTATGCCCCCTACCGCCACGTCGCCGCCGGCTACAATTCCATCTGGTCAAACTGGCGATTGTCTTCATTGGTACCAGCGCGATGGAGAGTCCTGTACCGATATCGTCACCATGTTTGGTATCTTCTCCCTATCCGACTTTCTAGCATGGAACCCCAGTCTTGGGGGAGAGTCATGCGGAGGTATCGTTGATGGTGCTTGGTATTGCGTTGGCATTCCAGGAACGCCCACCACGAGAACGAGTCCTGTGCCGACTACTACGGGTCAGCCACTAACACCCACGCAAAGTGGGATGGTAACCGGATGTACCAAGCTTTGGCTTGTCTCTTCGTCGGTACCCATATCTACCAATGCCTTATAACAATACTGACGTTGTTTAATTCTAGTACCGATACCTGCGACTCTATAATTTCGGCGAATGGCCTAACCCCTGATTTATTTTACCAGTGGAATCCAGCAGTCGGATCAGGGACTTGCGACAACCTAGCACCGGATTTCTATGTCTGCGTCGCGGTAGGCGATTCCGCTTCGTTGCCTCCAAGTACGACAAGTTCGTCGCCAACTAGCACTATTGCCTCAGCCATCACCACACCAACCCCAGTCCAGGTAAGTAGATTATGGATGGACGAGGAATTGCACAGTTATAGATAACTGCTAATGGAACGGTAGGCGGGTATGGTATCCGGTTGTAGGAGGTTTTACAAGGCGCAGACGGGCGACGGATGCTGGGCCATTGCTAATTCGGCGGGAATTAGTCTTGAGTAAGTAGAATTTAGCGCTTAAAAATCCTTGGGTGTGTGCTAACGAAGTAATTATAGCGACTTTTACGCTTGGAACCCAGCGTTGGGAACAGACTGCGGGGGTCTTTGGCTTGATAATTGGTATTGTATCGGAATTGCAGGGCCTGTAACAACTATTTCCAGTGGGCCACCAGTACCAACGTCGTAAATATAGGTAGCATTGCTCTTGATAAATAGCGAATAATTCCACTATTTACCAATATAATTCACTACTGCCATATCTCAAGCTTTAAACCGCTTCAGGGAGTGGCGGTGGGTACATATCCTCAACACCGTGGACGATCCAATAACCGCTAATCGACTGATTCGAGGTATTGAGGTCAGTAGACACGTCGGAAGTTGGGATATTTCTCCATAGAGTCTCAGGGTCTGGGTCTATTCCGTGACGCCAAGCGATATCTCGACCTTTTTCCACGAGCTTACGCGTAGAGTACAGAGACGAAGGTAAGGCCACGCGACACTCCTGAAGCCGCGACATTCGTACAAGCATAGCGTCAACTTTTCGTAGAACCTCTTCTATTTCATCATACATTTCTCGTCCTCCAATTGCTAGCATAGGTTGCCGCATTCGTAGCACATCTTGAAATGAGAGATATAGATAGCGTAGGTTGGGTAAGATTTGTGGTAAACGTGCCAAGAGTGCGAGCCGATCACACTTTTCTAGCCCATCTTTATCGTTAGCATCCCAACGGAAATATTCACTAGGTGGTATAGTTAGATTCCATGATAACTCAGCCGCTGTGATAGCCAATACGTGCTGTAGCGGCAGAAGTCGCGGAAGACGAATAGCGAGCTCGGCATAGGCGATATGAAATCGGTTCGTAGAGTATAACACATCGACACCTTCGATATATGCCTGTCTACAAACTAGCAACCAGCCTTGAACACCAATGAAACATTTGGCTGGTGCATGGCCAGGATAGAGGACGCAGAGGCATCGTGGCAACATAAAAGGGTCGCGACAACCATCTTTCGCTGGCTCTTCATCAAAAATACTAACTCCTGGAGGATACAGATTAAAATTCCAGTTCGGGAAGCGAGCATGGCAGACGCAGCTCCACCATGTCCATTCTTGCGGTTGAGTAGTGTCACGTAACGATGGGTGGAATAGGTGCGCGTTCGCGTGTCGCTGAGGGCGTGGTTCGGCAATGTTACGATCTTTCTTTGAGTATTTCTTTAATGGGTGTTCCAAGCGTAAATCTAGGTGTACTGTACGTCCACCGAATGCTTCTATGAGAATGCGACGTCGAATCTCAGAAGGTAAAGATTTAAAGAACTTGCTGTTTGCCGTGGCGGTTGGCAAGGGTGATGTTGCTGCGAGGGGCTGTGGTCGATCATCTGGAAGCGATGGCATCGCTGGTAGCTTTTGCTCTTTAAATCGGCCGTTCAGCGTGAGCCTTTCGAGGTACCCACGGAATCGGTCCATCGAGCTTGATTTAGTTGCCTAGATACCTTAGGAGGTAGATATGCGAAATAAGAGCATATGGTATATGTGTGCGATAATATTAATTGCAAGTGTTCTCAGATTCTTCAAGTTTATGAATGTCTCAGGTAGTTATTACTCGTTATTACATATAAACGTCTCACTGAAACCTGGGTGCCTTAGGTGCCTTTCATTTACTGCTTACGTACTATTTTTACTGTACGACAATACCAAATCATAAGAGTAAATCGATTTAATTTGGTTGCTTCAAGATAAATTTATTTTTCTATCCAAGCTCATTCACGTGAAAAACACATCTTCTTGGTTCAAAATGAAGTCATTTCTAATAGTAGGAAAGTAATATTTATATCAGCCATCAATAAATCCAAGCAACACGGCAATGCGAGTCGAAATTTATATTTTCTTCAAGTTGCCTTCCATTTCGCATTCTGACCAGCAACGGACTGTACACCAGCCACCGTCAAACCCTTTCCGGGATATTCTCTAAAAGCCCGTGCCTACCCGTTAGGTTGGTAAGTTCATATCCTTCAGGTGCTTCGTACACGGGTTTACGTGTGATTTCGCCTTCTTTGGCGATGAAATTCTGTTGTCTGTCATGCTTGTTCTAAGTTATGGCTGCTGGCCCTTACGGTGGACTATTAGTTTAACTGTGCCAAAATCAAAAAAGTTAATCGCATTATGCCTTAAGTTTACTTAAGGTTTTGTGTCAAGAGATTTTTAGTATGCTAGAGGTAGAGCTTTGTTAGCCTTGCATCTCAGCCTTGCGCTAGTTATTTTAGCCTTACGCTAATACGTTTTAAATTAATAAAATTAATTAAAAATATTTTATAAATATATTATTTATTTTTTAATATATTTTAATTATTTTATTATTATTTTATAATATTTTTAAAATATTTAATTAAATTTATTTTTTATTATTTATATTAAATAAATTAAAAAATTATTATAATAAATGATAATAAATATTATATAAATAATTAATAAATTTTAAAAAATTATATTAAAAAAGTTTATTAAAAAAATTAAAAATTATATTATTATAAATATTTTTAAATATTTAATATATTTATTAATTATATAAATTTTATTAATTTTATTTTAATTAATTAATTTTATTAAATTTTGTTATAATTATTTATAATTATAATAAAAAAAAATTAAAAAAAATGAATAAATAAATAAAATAAATAATAATTTATAATAAAATTTAAAAAAATATATACATATATATATATAATAATTAAAAATTATAAATAATAAATAAAATAATATAAATAAAATAATAAAATAATAATTAATAAATATATTAAATATTTAAAAATAATTATAATATATTTATTAATAAATTTATAATAATATAACTTTTAATTTTTTAAATAAGTTTTAAAAATTAAATTATTTAAATATAAAAATTTTTTAAATTTTTTTTATAATTATATAATATTTAATAAATAAAATTAAATAATAATATAAAAGGTTTTATTTAAATAATAACCATAATTAAAATAAAATAAATTATAAATATATTGAACAAAGTTAATAGTTTTGGTTTTAATATCAAGCTTTTATAAATTTGATTCCAAAAACTTATAAATATAATTTTGTAAAATATATGAATAAAAATAGAAAAAATATACTTATTATGGAAGAAATTATATATAATGGATATATGCAACTATAAAAGATACTTATATTAAAATTATTATTATATAATTAAAGATAAAATCACATAATATTTTACTTTTATTTATACCTTTTTTTTAAATTTAATCAAAACCACAAAATCAAATTTAACCCATAAAATAAAAGCTAAAACTTTAAAATAATAACATACATAAAAATCAAATTTAAAACCTTAAGAGAAAAAAAAAAAAAAGCATTACTTTAACTATTAAAACTATTGATCAAACTTTACGTAATATTGCTATTTTAATATCTTTAATATTATTAGTTTTATTAGGTTTTAAATCTTAAATTTATATGCTATATAATTTAATTTAATTAAGATTTATTAATTAGTTATTTTTAAAGTATCTTAAATTATTAAATTAAATCTTTTAATTATATAAATTTATATAATAATAAATTTAATTATAATATATATTAATAAATTAAATATATAATAAACGTATAAAAGATTATATAAATTTCCTTTACAATAAATTTATTAATTAATTTTTTTTTCTTTCTTTTTTTAATATTATATTAAAATAATTTTTATAATTAATTATTTACTTTTTTTAATATTTTAATTTTAATTTAAATAAGTTTTAATATTAATTAGGTTTTTACTTTTTTTATAATAAATTTATTAATTAATAAGTTAATTAATTAATTAATTGATTAATTGTTTTTTTTATATTTAATTTTTTTAATTATTTTATATATTAGGTAAAATATAACTTAAAAAATATTATATAATTATTTTTAAATATTTTTAAAAATAATTTATAATAATTATTAATATTTTTGTTAAACTTTACTATTATATTCTTTTTTATGCGTTAATAAAATTAACTTAATCTTTTAATATTTAATTAGTTAAAATAGCGTTATGGTTTTTATATATATTTTTATAATTATAATAAATTATAATAATATTTTTTAAATCTTATTATATTTTATATATATTAATTGGATAAAAATATTAGAAATTTAAAAGTTATATTAATTTAATGATTAATAAGTAATGTAATTGTTAAGGTTTAAAATAAAGTTTTTAATAAAGTTATAAATAAAATTATATTATATTATATTATATTATATTATATAAATATTAAGATTTGGTTAAATTGGTTAATAATTAATAAGTAAGTAATTTAAATTTTTTAATTAAATTTTTTAAATTTTATTTAAGTTATTAATTAAAGGTATTAATAAAATTATTATAAATTTGGTTATTAATTAATAAATAAGCTTAGGTGTTAATTGTTAAAGTAGTTATTTAACTTAATTAAGTTACAATAAGATATTTTTAATAATATAATTTTTTTAAAATTAAAGTTGTAGTTTAAGTTGTTATATGGTTGCTATTAAATAAAACTAATAGCTTTAACTTTAATATTAAGCCCTTATAAACTTAATTTTAAAAATTTATAAATATAATTTTATAAAATATATAAATAGAAATAAAAAAAATGTATTTATTATGGAAAAAATTATATACAATGAGTATATACAACCATAAAAGGTATTTATATTAAGATTATTATTATATGATTAAAGATGAGATCACATGATATTTTGCCTTTGTTTAATATATTTTATTATATAATTTTATTAATATTTTTTTATATTTTATATTTATTTTATTTACATATATATTATAATTTTTATTATATTTTTTATTAATATTTTTAGTTTATATTTTATTTTATAATTTTATTTAATTTTATTTAATTTAATTTAATTTAATATCATTTAATTTAATTTAATTTAATTTAATTTAATTTAATTTAATTTAATTTAATTTAATTTAATTACAATATAAAATATATATATTTTACTATATTATTTTTATTTAATTATATAATTATATTTAATTTAAATATTATAAAATAAAAATATATATATAATTTTTATATAATTTTAAATTATAATTAAATAATATAATTATTGTTTAAATAAAATCTTTTTTATTATTATATTTTTTTATAATAATTTTTTAATTTATTAAATATAAATAATAAATTTTAATTTTTAAAAAA